CCTAACCCTAACCCTAACCCTAACCCTAACCCTAACCCTAACCCTAACCCTAACCCTAACCCTAACCCTAACCCTAACCCTAACCCTAACCCTAAACCCTAAAACCCTAAGGCATCTCTAGGTACCTAGTTAAGGGACTTAACACCCTAACGCCTCTAGACGCGCGTAACCGTAGCATAGTAAAGTCGAGGATATATTAGTAACGTTATATAGGAGTTACGAGAAAGATAGCCTTAAAGGTAGCTAAGAAGACACTTTAAAAGAAGCTAGACGAGACCTAGAAGTAGACTAGGAGTATAAGACCTCGAGACACGCTACGTTCCGGATCGTATACGTAGAAGCTAGACGGAGCTCTCCTAGGTTCCTATATAATAATAGTGAATAACGTACTATTAGCGGAAGAAGCGTTAATACTAGCCTAATGCTATATAGGGCACTCCCGACTAAAGAGTGACCTATACCGGATAAAGCTAGTAGACTTAGTAGGGTACGAATATAGAGCTACGTAAGAAACGATTAAGCATGTTATATACGAATGCCCCCTCCTACGCGAAGACTATTAAATTGCTATCGAGGTAGTAGGGCATAGGTAGAGGGACCTCTCTTATATACTTAGGGAGTAGAATCCCTAGAAAGACCCGAGAACTAGGTAACTAGTCGACAGACTAAAGGAAAAGTAGAAGGCGAACCTCCCGGCGGTAAAGGCGGTTCTCTACTTCCTTTATAAGTCCGGTAGGTTTATATGGCAGATAAGAGCTATTAAGTAAGGGGAAGCTAGAATGGAATAAGGATAGATAGGAATAAAGAAGGAAGAACTAATAGGAGACGGCTTATAGGTTTGCTATAGAACTAAGTAGCCTAATCAATTAAATCAATTAATTAATTAATCTAGTATTAGCTAGTTAGTTTAATGGGAAAGGACCCTAGTAGCTACCCTAGGAAGCGACTACTTTAGTGCGGCGACCTACCTATATGTAATTCGATAACCATAATAGATATAGACATATTAAGTAAATAGAAGTTTGTCGCATTAATGCGTTCTACAATATTATCGAAAAATATCATAGGGTTTATTCGTACGTTGTTAAGATGCTTACCTGTCGCGCCCGATGCCCGAATTTTTTCTAAGTTAGTAGACCCTGTATAGACCACCTAAACCTCTCCTTGCCGGGGGCATGGTATATTTATTATTTATGTTCTATTAGTTATTTTAGTTTATTCTCTAAATGGCACTAGGGAATTAACTCTAGATATAAGCTAGGAAATTTTGGGACAACATGTTGCGAATCAGTGGTCATGATATGTCGCTGCCAGAAACCAGTCTTTGTGTCTTGACAGAGCCTGAGGACGAGAAGGTCGGGAACCATGTTGTACACACAGAGGAACATTACGTTTGGAAGGCTCTGACGGGTAGACCGGCATATTCATCAAGGGAGAACGAGGAGAAGATGGTGGTTCAGCGACACTTTGGAGAGGGCGAGTTGGAGAGCGGAAGAGCGTGGGCCCGCGTCAAACTGCGACCGGTGAGATGATTACTTGGCGCCGCAGCAACAGACACAAGAACCAGAACGCGTGGGGAAATAATATAAACAGGACAAAGGCTGTCTAGGTGATGTTTCGTATTGCCTGATGCATCTTCTTTATTACCTGATGGATCTTCTGTCTTACCTGGACTGTCAAGGCCACGACACATAACTCACATAATCCGGATCAGATATGGAGGCACGGAGTAACGCCACGACAACTTTCGACCTTGGTGAGCTATGAGACACCTCTATACCTTACAGTCTTAAGTTCATTTCTCCACTTATCACATTAGGAATCAAATGTCTTTGTTTCTGGGCCACTGCCTCTTAAGTTAGAAGACACAAGAGCTGGGAACAACTGTCATGGAACGAAGCAGGGTCATCATAGCAGCTTGCGGTGCTTGGCAAAGACTGCCAAGGAAGGTTGAGAATCGAAGGACAAGTCACAGATCGCTGAACTCGCCTACATATCGACGAGATATCGCGATCACTTCGCATGTTCTTGATAGTGGAGTCGGTACTGGAGTTTGGAGCTGTCGCCTCTTGAGTGCGGGTACGCTGGGTGTTCGAGAACAACTGCTCGATGCAGTTGCCAAGATGTCAAAATTGCAGAAGCAAGCGGAGTGGAAAGTGGAAGGCGTAGCGAGGGAGGCCGCGACCGCCAAATTCTCGACGGGCGCAATCTCGTTCTTCCTCGTCCATGCTCGCATACTCTTCCACCTCCAGAGTCGTCAACTTCTGACGCGAGAGCTTCCGCTCGTTCAGCTACACCCTTTGAAGCACCGCCTGACGGCGGCGTAATGCCAATGCTCTGCGTGTTCCTTCGCGCGACCCGAGATAGGAAGGCGACACACGCAGGCTCGACTCGAAGCCAGCAGCTCTGGTACAGTCAACGCCCGCTGGTGCTGGGCAAAACATGATAACGAGCCTCTTTGCCACGCTTGCGCTGCAATTACACGAACGATAGCCGTCATGCCGCCGTTGACCAAGACGACCAGAAGGAAAGACTCGCTAAACTCGAAGTTTCAATTGCACTCCGCCTTCTATAACATCTCTTGGACCTTGGCGGCCAAGCCTTGTCCACCGAATTACTGGCTTGGACTCCTTGGAACGCTCCTGTACAGCTGATAAGGGTGGCTGCGAAAGGTCAGTACAAGTATGCCGTCAGTCTCGTGCCACAGGTAGGTGCGACAGAATCTCTAGTTTCCTTGTTCCATACCCATTGCATATTTCCTACACTTCGGCCATTGTGCCGAGATTTGTTCACAAGTATGATGGAAAAGTCAGCTCACGAGGACATCACTGGCGGTAAAGTGTCGCCGCAGCTCAGCAATGATGCTGCCTACACGACAGAGTATCCTGCCGAGAAGACTCCTCTAATGACCAGACTTGGTCTGACACCCGACTCGTTCAAGCGCCGTACTCTTGATGACAAGCACAATCAACTCAACAAGACTCTCAAGGGCCGTCACTTGAGCATGATCGCCATCGGCGGTTCAATTGGTGCCGGCCTGTTCGTCGGGTCCGGTGGTGCTCTGAGAAGAGGTGGTCCTGCTGCGCTTCTCATTGCTTTCGGAATCATGGGTGTCGTGCGTATTCGTTCTCGTGCATCTTTTAGACCCTTGCTGACATCCCTGCCAGATGATCTTCAACGTCGTCTACGCGCTCGGTGAATTGGCCATTATGTATCCCATCTCGGGCGGCTTCTATACCTACTCTGTTCGATTCATCGATCCCGCTTGGGGCTTCGCCATGGGCTGGAATTATGTCTTCCAATGGGCTATCGTTCTTCCACTTGAACTTGTCGTCGCTGGTCTGACGGTCAATTACTGGGGGGCCGATGTGAATGTCGGCGTCTGGATCACAGTGTTTTTCCTTCTCGTCGTCCTCATCAACGTCTTCGGAGTCCTCGGCTATGCAGAAGAAGAATTCTGGGCGTCACTACTCAAGCTCTCGACTGTGTCCATCTTCTTGGTCATGGGCGTCGTTTTTGTCTGCGGTGGAGGCCCTTCGAACGGCAAGTTCAGCGAGTATCACGGCGCAAAGTATTGGTACAATCCTGGCGCATTTGCCGACGGCTTCCCTGGTCTCTGCTCCGTCTTCGTCACGGCTGCTTTCTCCTTCTCGGGCACTGAGCTCGTCGGTCTTGCTGCCGCCGAGTCTGCGACTCCTCAAAAGTCTCTCCCTTCTGCCGTCAAGCAAGTCTTCTGGCGCATCACCCTCTTCTACATCCTTGGCTTGTTCTTTGTCGGTCTGCTCGTTCCTTACGATGACCCTCGTCTTCTCGGGTCTGGTGGCTACCTTGACGTGTCTACCTCTCCTTTCGTCATCACCGCTGTCGATGCCGGTATTCCTGGATTCGGTGATTTTGTCAACGCCGTCATCTTGGTCTCGGTCATCTCGATCGGTCTGTCTGGTGTCTACGGAGGATCTCGTACATTGACTGCACTGGCTGAGCAGGGCTACGCTCCTAAGTTCTTCACATACATTGACAAGGCCGGTCGTCCTTTGTGGTCGACTGTTTTCGTCCTCGCGTGGGCCCCTCTCGCCTACATCACCCTCGGTAGCACTGGTGTCATCGTTTTCGACTGGCTACAGTCGCTGTCTGGTCTCGCAGCCCTCTTCACCTGGGGATCCATCTGTCTTGCCCACATTCGTTTCCGCGCCGCCTGGAAGTATCAAGGCCACAGCACGGACGAGCTCCCATTCAAGGCTGTCTTTGGTGTCGTCGGATCATGGATTGGCTTGATCCTAATTATTCTTGTCCTCATCGCCCAGGTAAGCTCTCGAATCATCGAGCATGTTCTTCACAGTACTAACAAAAACAGTTTTACGTCGCTATCAGACCTATGGACGCCGAGGCCTTCTTCGCTGCATATCTCGCCTTCTTTGTTGTCATTGCCTTCTACATTGTCGGCTGGGTGTGGAAGCGCCAGGGCTGGCACAAGCTCGCCGACATCGATGTTGATTCTGGCCGTCGCGAGATCGATTGGGAGCACTTCAACAAGACAAGAGCTGTGTACGATTCATACCCCAAGTGGCGCAAGTTCCTGAGCCATTTGTTCTAATCGGCGACTCGCTCTGGGCGATTCACAACTATGCTATCTGGTCAAGAAAAGCAAGGAGTAGTAATGGTTAGGTGTACGAAGCCTGTGTAATTATCTATAAAGTCATGCTCTCTGTCCGTCAATTCGCTCTCAAATAATGAAAACAATGCACCCAAACTCGTGCTTGCGACAATGGCTTTTCGCAAAAATGCCACTCATACCTGGCTCGAATTGGATCCCAGGCGGCATCGCGGCTGGTTTCTGATAGAACACGAAATCAGTTCCATGTCCCTTGATCGGGTATCTACTTCGTGATCACCGCTGGAGAATATGGAAGCCAAGTTCCAAAGTCCTTCTCCGCATGCCCAGCACCTTGTCTCCTTCCAAATCAAGCAGGAGGTAACGCGGTGCAGACACGTGCCCAAGCGGGGGAGGGACATCTGCCAAGTCGTCGAACGGCGTGCCAACCCCTCGTATATCCTTCCAAGACGTCGCTGATCTCAAACGTCGCGGCTGTGCTCTTGGTATGCACCGTGCTACAGATAGCAAATATCTCAATGTCCAATGAGACATCTCGGATTACTGGCTGTACTTCTTGTGCTGTTTACCCCTGGCATTAACCTTTCTGCCATACCGCTTTTTTCTTCGACATCGACCGCGGCACGACATGTCGCCATGCGATATGGTAGGTCACTCTCATCACGGGCCTGTCCTCCTATCGAAACTCTGCATGTTGCTGCAGTGCTGCGCGTTGGCATTGCTCACAAAGTCTTGTGCATCGTCGCTCAATGCCCCTGAAAGGAAGGTCGCATCTATGACAAGACTATCTTCCCGGATTTTGTCGGCAAGCTTGCGATACGGCAAAGAATAGCGCAATTACTCCTTGAGGTTTGCTCAATATACGGACGAGAGCGGGAGGTAGTTCTATGGTATAAGTATACTGGGGTGTCGGTCAGGATAGAGTGCCTCATCAGCCTCATCTCTTCTACTTGTCGCTAGCATCAGTATCACCATTAGCAAACATGAAGTTGTCGCAACTCGCTCTCCTGCTGCTACCAGCGTTGGCAACAGCCTACACTGAAGCTGAATATGATGACGGCAAAGTCCACCAGATGATCATGGACAGAAAACATGTAAGCTCTAGCAATTCTTTCTTCCACTTGTCACTAACGTGATCCAAGGCATCTTGGGCGAAGCACAGAAGCTGGGGTGAATACAGCAGTAAGAAGTGGAAGTCTTTTCTAAAGCATCACAAGGACAAGGATGTCATCAAGTGCAACCCCAAAGGTCTTGCTGTCGTCGAGCCTGGCAATCCTCTGGAGACCTTCAGTTGCAAGAATGTGAGCTTCTCTCATGATCGCCAACCATCGCAAGGATGCTGACACGTTCAGATTGACTACTACGACTTCAAGAGCCATGCTGACCTTGGCTCTTTCGCTGGAGAAGGCTCTTCATCCTGGGGCTGGGTCTCACCCGATGGTCGTGAGTTTGTCGCCATCGGACAAGCAGATGGTACTGCTTTTGCCGAAATCAATAAGAATGGCAAACTTGTCTACCTTGGTCGCCTGCCCCAGCAATCTGTCTTCTCCATCTGGAGGGAGATTCGATCGTACAAGAACTACATGGTCATCGGATCCGAAGCTCGCGGTCACGGCATCCAGTTTTTCGACATGAACAAACTCCTGAACATCGACCCAAGAAGTCCCAAGAACTTCAGTATCACTGCAGATGTTACTGGTCTTTTTACTGACTTGCCTGTTGGTCGCACCCACAATGTTGTCATCAACGAAGAACTCGGCTATGCTGTATCCGTCGGTGCCGCTCCTCGCAACAGCACATGTCGTGCTGGTCTCATCTTCATCGACGTCAGCGACATCACCAAGCCCGTATCTCCTGGCTGTGCAAGTCAAGACGGCTATGTTCACGATGCAGAATGTCTCGTCTACCGCGGCCCAGACAAGCGCTACTACGGCCGCGATATTTGCTACGGCTACAACGAAGACACCCTCACCATCTACGATGTGACTGACAAGACTGGCGTCAACGCATCTCGTATCATCTCACGCACTCCCTACGTCGGTGCTTCCTATACTCATCAGGGCGCCGTGCTCGACCGCAACTGGCAAGAATATATCGTCCTCGACGACGAGCTCGATGAAGAAGATCGCTCCGGCCCCGCCGCCGACCAATTCCCCGTCACCTACATCTTCGACATCCGCAATCTCGAGAAGCCAGTCAACACAGGCTTCTACAAGTCCAAGCAAAAGGCCATCGACCACAACCAATACGTTTACGACGGTCTTGTCTACCAATCCAACTACGCAGCAGGTCTTCGCGTGTATGATGTCAGTGGCATTCCTCGGGATCCTACTGGTGGCAACGTGGAGGAAGTGGCTTACTTTGACATTTACCCCGAAGATGACGCGACGGATGGGCTGGTCGACTTTGTGGGTACTTGGAGTCATTATGCTGGGTTTCCTTCTGGGTATATCATGATTAACACCATCGAGAGGGGAGTGTTCATTGTGAAGATGAACAAGTTCGGCAAGAAAGGGCATGGCAAGTGGTGGGGTAAGCCTAGAAGGGTTTGAAGGAGAGTTCGAAAGAAGACCACAAGGGTTTTCGAGGTCGGGAGTTTCTAGTCCAGTGCATTCCGAAACTTGGAATGTCATGTCCTCTTGCACTTTGCAGCAATCCGTTCATGAATGAGACGCGGCTCCTAATAGATCATCAGAATTGCGAACCAGATTTGGAACCTGCGCAGAACTAGTTGAGTTGTTCGAGCACATCGTAGTCTATGCTCGCCATTGCGTACCTCAGACTCTGCCACAGATTATACTCGTCAATATTCAGCAACTACAGCCAGTACGGTCCGTCTAATCCGAGTGTTGAGCCCAACGTTCTAAAAGCTTCCTAGACGCATTGGATATCTACACCCAGCAGGCAAAAGTGAATCTCAATGCATCTCTCTTCATCATCTCCGGGGCACACCTCATGGTGAGCATAAAGGATAGAAGCCCCTACTGGACCTGCTTCCCATCGTACTTGGAATGATCAAGTCATCAGAGACACAAGACCGAAGCTATCGCGTACGACCTAACGACGTACTTTTCACATTGACACGAACTCCCACAAGGCATCCTCCGAGCTCTCTTGCCAAGTGTACCACAAACTAGCAAGCCCTTCATCGTCGACTGGCACGTCGAACGTTGGTGGCCTGTCATCAAGGATTCTGTTTTGCAGAATTTTGGAAGCACATCTCAAGGCATCCGCACCCTTGGCCGTCTTGATGTCTGTAGACGCTTGGCTACCTTTCGCGGTTTTGACTTGTGCCAGAGCCACCACGTGAAACAGATAGTCCTTTACATTGGTCTCTCCAGCAAGAAGCCTGTTCTCTGCCCATTTGACAGCAGAAGTCACCAATGCATGAAGTTCAACCTCACGAAGGCTCTGGCCGTCTTGTCTTTGAGCCAGGGTCTGTCGTGTGGCTTTCACAGAAGCAAAGTGATTCTCTTCTTGGGAGGTGGCAAGGAGCTCTGCTGCGATGATGTAGTTGTTTTGGATCTGTATCGAACGGAAAGGTCCTGATCCACAGGTGGACAGTCGCGTGTATTCGATGCATGGCGGGTCCATGTCTGCTACTGTACGCAGGCTCATCAGATCGGGATTATCTAGGGATTGTGAAGCGAAGGCTGCGTGAGATAGATCAAGTGCTCTTTTGACGCAAAGCTCACGCGAAAAGTGAAAGATTGGGTCCCTGAAAGCAATGCGCATATATGGAACATGGAGTGCTAGAAAATATGGCTGTAAAAAAGTCTCGCACAGAAGACGGTGGAAAAGAGATAGCTTGGATCCGTACGAAGACAGAGTGGTCGTCAAAGCTCGGTAGGCGTCGTTGAGTTCAGAGGTCGCATGCAGTATCTCTTTGTAGTTGGGCTCCGAGTTGGTCCTATTGGCCATGTCGACTATTCGCAGTCGCACGCCAAATGAACGTCCTATCGCGATTTGAAGTGACGTGTCGGACATGGTCTCCCGCGGCAGGGAAATCGGGAGCTCGTTGTCTGTTTTGTGCAGCTTTGCATCGTCCAAGTTGGATGGCAGACAGCAAGAAGCCTGTGCGAGCGTGACCAACGGCAGATTACCACTATCTAGACTTGATTGGAGTTGGATGTCAAGGACCGTTGCCCAGAGACGGCGACGCATCTCTGACTGGTACGGAGAGAGATTCGGTAAGGAGGCAGGATCAAGGTGTAGCCCGATGCAGAGGGCTGTTCGATGGAGCTCGCCAGCCGAGATCCAGGCTACATCCTCCTGTAAGGAACAGATATTTTGTCGTGCCAGTTGCAGCAAGCACAACAACTGCAGTCTTTCGATGTCAGGTCGTGAGTTTTCGGGCTGGGTCAGCCATGTTTTGGCTTCATCGATGTATTGCAACGCTGAAGACCGCAACGAGAATCTGTCGTCAAAGACGCAAGCGCCAAGAGCGAGGCATAGCTGTATCTGGAGGAGCATAGGGGTGCTCACTCTGTTCCTGTCTAGCCAGTACAGAGTGTAGTACCCCTCGAAGGTTGGTTTGTGAACAATCCGATGAAGTGACTCAAAATTGTCCAGGTAGAGCCTTACAAGTCTGTCTGCAATGTCTATCGTTGGCATATGTTTGCCGTAACTTCCATCAAAAACCTCGGGATGTTGTTGGCGTTCCAAGCGGTCGGCTAGAGACTTGCAATGTGATAGCAAAGCATGGATGGGAGAGCTCGAGAGATTGGATTTGTTAAACCAAGCCATTGTGTCAGGGAGCTGTGTGACTCTGTATCAGGCCAAGAGCATCAATTTGTGGAGTACCGGTAACAAGACGGCTTACCAGAAGGACTGTCTGCATCCAATGGCTCGGGCCAACGTATCTTTCCTTGACCATAAGGTGTCGGATTGGAGCCTTGATCATGCTCAGAGACTGCTCCAATTCATCAGGCGCCATGCGGATTTCGTCTGATTCTCGACTCCCATCGGTAGCTTGTAGTGATGGGCCGTTCGGAGCAAGTGGACCTATATCAGTGATTCGGCCAAGTCTGGACTCCTCAGATCCGTCGGTCACGCGGAGAGCACCTAGAGCACACGAGTACCAGGACGTGACAGTCGACACTAGTGGCGTTGCCGAAAGTTGACTTTGGCTGCCCTCCATCGTTGCTGTTGCTGACACGGCTGCCTGCGGCTCGCTCGCCAGCATATTGTTGGTATCGATAGACGTCGGGTGCTGTGGTCTTGCTGGTCGCACGGTGCTACTCCGCACTGAGTGACTAACGATATTCCGAAAAGAGCATTCTTCTCTCCTCGACCGCACGCAATTGCTACATGGAAATCTCATGTCGCAGCGGAGTTTCCTTCGCCGACAAGGATTGCAAGCGCATCTTGACCGTCTTCCAGAGATTCTCGCGGGCTCTGGATCCGCGTTGGGGCTGTCGGGCATGGATCTCGAGGTCAAGGCATCTAATTATTGGTACCTAGCTTTTCTCAGTCCGATCGAAATCAGAAGGAAAGAGAACGACTACGCCAAGTTCCATGACGACAGAGGCCCCGAAGCCGAAGCCGACAAGAATGCCGATGCCGGTGCCGGGCCGCGACGTGGTGCGCTGCCAAGATCCAATCTGGTTCTCGTTGTCGCACCAAGTTCAATTGTGCTGCATTGATACAAGCCGATCCATCCAAGAACCACTAATTTGAGAGCTGTGTAGGCCTGACTCTGCCCCTGAAAATTTTCCCCAACCGGCGGTCATCGATTCTGTATAACTCCTACAGACGAACTTTATCATGAATTCTCCGTGGCATGACGAATCGAATGTGCATTGGTGACATGGATACTATAAGCAGTAGCCAGATGTGTGCCCTGGGAATGTCACAGCGGTCGAAGCGTAAAAATCTTCGTGAGCTCCGCCTTCTTTCCCACCATGGCGTGGAGGCTATCACCGTCTTAACGGGTGAGAGGCCCGAGACCTCGGGATCGGGGCTATCCAAAATCGGAGATCGAGTAAGGTCTAACAGCTTTATATGTTCCCGTTTGCTCAGATCAACAGTGAATAAAACACTGTAGGCTGCCACTTATATTCGCAGCATTTTGATCCCATTTTGCTCTTGTAACCACGAAGTTTCGAACGCTCGTGATTACTCGACATGGCAGGAGGTGGAGCTACTCGAGGAGCAGGTCTCAAGGACGCGAACGAGCCTTTCAGGTCAGTATCACTTAATTTATCCATGTAGACTACGACGTCTAACTCATGGTCTCGTAGACTGGTTAAAGGTGATTGGGGTGATCCACGTAAGTAGTTCTATCTTCATTCACTCGGTAGAAGGCATTCGACACAGACATGTTGATCAATGCACCAGGTTCTCCAAAGCAGAAGGGTATCGTGACTTATGCAGTCTCGACGAATCGACAAAAACCACTCGCCGGCACTGTAAACGCCGCAGTGTTCAATACCTTCCGCCGTACAAAAAGCCAGATCTTATACTGGGGCGTTCCGATCCTTTTCGCATATTCTGCTCTCGAGTGGGCCGACCGTAGGTATGTTGAACATGAGAAAGAATCGTTTGCACACTACCGAACTGATGATGAAGCAGAAACCACTTCCTAAATTCAAAGGCCGGACGCATGCATGATGCGGAGACTGAGAAAGAATAAAGTCTGATGGAGCTCTCCGGTATCGTAGTGAATGTTGATTGTCTTTTTTATCCACCGTTGTGACAACTGCTTTGCGTCCATCGTTGCAAGTCCGGTCTTCTCGCGGTCTTTCAGGTCGGCATGGGTCCATCTCAGAACCTGCATCGTTCTATGAATCGTGTAAGCCAGGAGGTCGGCGAGTAATCTCATGCAGGCGATGGCCAGGTTGTGCTATCCGTTCACCAATAGTCCTATTCCACTCTCGCAAGACCTTACGACATTCGTCGCGCCGAAAGTCATCAGGCTAGCCATGATAATGATAAATCTGACGGACTGACTTCCTCCACCGAGTCACAGACAGATCGGGAAATGGCATTGCGAAATTGAAGGCGACACTCGGACGTACATCAGTTGCTCGATCATATCGAAGCATCACACCACCTTCCTCGTTGAACGGATCAACCGTCCACTCCAAGGTCCGATATTTTTGTTTCCACGAAGCGAGCGTTTCGGCGATGGGTGTTGTCTCGGAGTACCGCTATACTTTCGGAACTGTTCCTGGCTCTGGCACGTTTCTTCCGGGCCGATCGTGGTTCGTAGTCTTTCGCTGTACCTAAACACAATGTCATCAGCGAGACTGCACGACGAACGATGTAGTACATTACCAGAACTAACCGTTCTCTATATCCAGAAGAAGCAAACTACCATAGTAATTCTCTCCCTCTTCTGTCAATGACACCACATGAAGCGAAAACTCCTTCTTGCCAATAGGGAAAGATTGATACCTTGTTCCCGAGGCAACGCCATACTTGCCAAACTCCCCATAATTTATCTCAATGGTAGAGAAAGTGATTTGGGTATCATGAGTGCTGGAACCACCAATGTAAGGTAGATGTCCCAAGAGTTCGATGACTTTGTTTTTTTTTTTTCACGAGCCATGCGAGTGAGGATTGAGTGATGGACGGCCAGCCGTCTTCGGGCGCATCATGGATGCAAGTGGAGAGGATCGCGACGAGATCATGCGCTGAGAAAGCGTAGTAGTCGCGAATAGCATCGATCACAGGCTTCCAGAACGCTTCGGGTCTGTCTTCTTCCGTTGTTCAAATGCTTCCCTAGCAGTCTACTGAATTTAAGATCACGACTGACGATTGAGGATCGACTGTTGTGTCCAGTATTCTGTCAAGATGTCAGGCTCAGATCGAGGTCGAGAGACTTGCGGCAGAGGTGTGGAGATTCTCTGCAGTAGTACGATCACTCCTATACCATGTTCAGCATGATGCAACTCATACTAACGCGATGTATATCGGGATGAGGATGAAGGCCAAAATAGTTGTCGCGGCGAAATCCGAGTTTCGGCAGGCGCTTGTTTGCTTTGTCTTCGCCGTGTTGGCAATGATATGTGCTCAGCATAACTCTGCGACATGTGCACGGACTTCTGTGCATAAACAGATGACCGGCCTACTCACCCTGTACACACTTCTCATCGGCAGTGTGGTCGATCCATGAAATGTCTGAAATTTGAGCTTTATGTTAATGTATGCCAGCTATATAGCTATAGATTTAATGTAATAGCTATACTATGTTAATGCTAATACTATAGCAGTTATCGCTATTACCCTAACCTTCCTCTAGCAGTATACTAGCCTCCTTAACGTTGTTGTTAATGCCTAAAGCCTCTATTAGGTTAGACGCGTCCTAACTAGCATTAATTAGCGACTAAACTTAGCTCATTTTAATAGATATAAGGGTTAAAAATAAGGTAACTAGGTACGCTCTACGCGTTAGGAAACGAATTAGGACTGTAACTAGTGTAGTTATGTTAAGGTAGTTAGTAAATAGTTAGGAGAGAAAAGGCTAGGTATAAGAGAAACGAGTCTAATAGAAAGCTAGCTTTAGACGGGTAGCGCGTTGTAAGTTACGTAATCTGCGGCTAATTAGAGGCTAAGATCTTATCTCCGAGATTAGATTTAGCTAATTAGAGGGCTAGGATTAATGCTTAGTAAGCGCTGCGTTATAGTAGTAACCCGACACAGTAACGTACGAAGTCGATGGATTTTACGAGTTTCCTAAGCGTTGCTAGCCATACCACCTTACTACCACCTTCGTGGCGACGACGACGACGCTATATAGCTATCTATCTAGTTGACACTAGTTGACACGTTTCTAACATGTGGTATCTACATTTAATGGTAGCCCAACGAGCACGTTGGTAGTAAGCGATCGAATCTGAACGAACGGCATTGGCCGTGGTCAAGATTGTTACAACATATTCCACACCAGCGCGCAAACAGTTGACGTAGAACCGGCTTTCCTCGGCGAATTGGTTGGGGAAGTTATGGGATGCTATAGCCTATGAACATGCGGTAGCTTTCTGCCCGAGAGTGGACAAACAGCTTCAGCGCCGACTAGGTCTCTTGTTCGCTGACAAAGCCGCCCTCTGCCGATCTTCTTAGCAATAGCAACAGTCTCAGCACCAGTTCTTCCAGTGAGAACTACAACACTCTGCCCTGATGTTCTATCTTGACATTCTCAAGCTAGCTTAGCCGACTCAGCTCACGCTCATCGCAGTCGCCCGAAGATCAATTACTTGTGGGGAAGATCTCGCATTAGAGGGCCAAAGCCGAGATGTGCTCTCAAGATGGACAACGCTTGATAAGGGTACTTTGATTTCCAGTTCCATAGTTCGACATATCGTTGAGATCGGGTATTTGATCATTGGCATCAAACAGGGAAAGTACATTAATTCCTATCCACCGAGCTCGACTCGCGTAACGATCATGTTCCCTACATCTTCTATGCTCCAACAGTCTCGTTAAGAGTCTGGAGGTTGTTCTTGATGTTGATGTCATTTCTTCCAGCAACGGCAAGTGCATTCAACAACTGCACAATCACAGGCTCCAGTTGCACTCCCAAAGCCAATGGGTCCAAAGTGTTTGCCAACTCAGTCGAGGTCGAGCAGCCGCTTGCGACAGTGCCAGCGAAAGCAGCCTTGACAAAGTTGAATGCACCAACGAAACCAATGACTTCAGTAGTCGCGTGACCTCCGGCGGCGACAGTGGTGAAGTGCACAGAAGCACCATCAGCGCACCAGTCAGAGTAGAGTGTCGAGGCATTTGCGTAAGGAATGACTTCGTCGTTGGTGGCGTGGTACATGTACACGGGAGCCTTGGGAGTCTCATCAGGATTAACGCCCATGACATTCTTTTCGAGGACCCCGGCAATGGTAGGTTCGAAGAAGACCTTGTTGCCCAAAGACTGAACATCGGTACTCTGGATCTGGCCAAAGGCGAAGGTGAACAGATTCTCGACGCCGCAGATCTGCTCGGCAGTGTCCAGGACAACACGACCTTTCGGCGTGATGATGCGGTCGATGACGGGGTCAAGCTGAGCACCGTAGGCTGAGTCTGCGGCGAGACCGACGAGGGCTTGAGGCAGGAAACCGGCGAAGAGTGTACCGTCGATGAAGACAGCTGTGCCAGTCAAGTTGGCGGGAGTACCACCCGAAGCCCAGCCCAAGACGTTCAACTCAGGAGCATAACCGGATATCAAGGAAGCTGCCCAGCCAGTGGCAATAGCACCGCCAGAGTAGCCGTACCCAACAATCTTGGGTGTTGACGTGGTGAAGCCAAGAGTAGACTTGAAGTTGACGATAGCGCGCATGCTGTCGAGAACACCCATACCTGCAAGGCGACCAGCACCGAAAGCAGCATCGGGGCCCTCATAGTCGGGGGATTGCACAATGTAGCCCGACATGAGATAAGCCTGGAGCAAGAAAAACTCGACGGACGAGATCAGGTCGACCTGGGGAGCGAGGAGCTGGTAGTTGAAGCTGGGGTCGCATGCGCCGGTTACAGCAGAACCGTCGTATGCAGTGTGGAAACTGACAAAGCTGTCCAGCTTGGGGTTGAGAGGCTTGAAGACGGTAGTCGCAGCACTGATGGCAGTTCCATTGATGGCAGTCGTGCGGTACAGCAATTGCCATGCTTGTACACCATCGGGAATGAGACCGATGTAGGATGTGGCGACTCTGCGCGTACGGAGGATGGTTCCAGGAGCCCTGTCCTGGTAACCAGCGGGAGCAGTGTAGAAGGGATCATACTGCGGTAGAATGGCGGCCAAGGTAGAGGGCAGGAGCAAAGCCGAAAAAGCGAGGGTGGGAAGCATGTCTCGTACGAAGGACAGCATGGCTGCGATAGGGTAACCGTGGGCAAGGTCAGCGATGGTGAGACGAACGACAAGGAATCGGAGAGCGGGGCCAAAGTCGCATCTTATGCTACAGCTATCGTCAGGTTCCCATGAACTGGGACCATCTCCGCTTGAGAGTTAGGCCTCAGAGAGTGCAGCAAGTGCCAGCATCTGATCGGGCCCATAGTAACGTTTGCCGACAAAAGCGACCCCATTCGCTGAGTACGTGCGTAGGGATCATGGAGCTTTTGTAGATCTTCTCATGAGTCCACGGAGGGGAACGTGAGAAAAGTCGTCTTGTACCTGACATGCCTCGGCAGGCGCATCCTGTTCGGTATAAGGTTCTTTGGTCCAACGGCCGGCATGACGAATGCGGCTTTCGAGATGGCACGTGTGAAGAGCTACCGGAAGCCTAACGCTTGACACATTGTGACAGATTACTTGGCCTGCACAAGCCGGATGAACACTCGACCGACCAAACTGTTATCGTCCGGAAGGGCTAATAATCATCGTGTGTCTCACAAGAGCAGTTAGGGATCCAAAGTATGGAAATCTAAAGCGATGTTGCATGAGCCGAGGAGATCGCGATGATCAACATGGGGTTGTGGAGGATTGACTCGCATACACACGCCCTGCAGACGCAACCAATAAGCGAAGATGCATCATGTATAGATATGGAGTGATTAGGGCAGAGTGAAAGCTATCCACTGCTTCCCTCGGTATCGATGTCTGGATCTGTCCTTACTCTGACTTCTTCGAGAGGCTTTGAGCAAAGTCAATCAACGTCTGTGGTGCATTGTACTTTGGCATGTGCAGCTCGACGAACTACCAAGATGTCAGTATAATGTCGATACAGGAAATCGCCATCAGACTTACGTGCAAACCCTTGCCTGCAGAAAAGTTTTCATCTGCCAGCAAATCTTCGAGCTCGGACCGGGTGCTGACTTTGTACGACCTGACACGATGTCGGGAGGCCTCTTCCTCTGGCGTGAACACTTCTGCGATCTTGTTGTATCGCCATTTGCTGATGTCGTTGTACTTGGCTTTCATACCGTGTACCCAGCGCTCGATCTCGTATCCGTCATTCTCGATGAGAAAGATGATACAGTCCAAGTCTTGTCTGATGATGGTAGAAAGTTCTTGAGCTGTAAGCTGGAATGAACCTAAGACCTGTCAGCAGGGTGCGAAAATGGACAAGTTGTCAGCGATCAACTCACCATCGCCCTCGAAACAGACAGTCCTGCGTAAGCCACCCGATGTCTTCATAGCCAAAGCCGCACCCTGGGCTGCGCCGACACCATAGCCTATCGACGACCACAGGGTCTGGTTGATGGCTTGCACACCTGTTGGGAACCTTGTTTCCCAGATACCGACAAAAGACGTTCCCGTCTCAGTGACGACGACGTCTCCAGATCTCAACCAGGACGACATGCGCGGCCACAACCAGTCGTGAGTGACGTCTTGAGTCGTCGCATAACCATTTGTGAGCTGGGAAGTCTTGCGGAGAGGTGTCTCGACTTTGTCCATGGTCATCTTAGACGGATCCACTTCCTTGACCAGGCGTTCTAGCAACCACTTCATATAAACGTTCTCAAACTTAGCACAGTCCATGACGACGTGGTCAAAGTGGAGGTCGACTGACGAAAGACGACTGATGCGATAGGAAAAACCGAAACTGTTGACATCCGACTTGACATTGCCGATGGTGATGACCAAGTCGCTGTCCTCGATCATGGTGCGAACGTCGTCTTCCGAGCCCTTGCCGATGTAGATGCCAGCGAACAACGGCGACTCTTCGTTGGCGACGCCTTTGCCCATCGGGGTGATGAAGGTGGGCAGGCCAGTCTTGCGCGCGAATTGTTCAGTCAAATCTTCGACTCGATGACGTTGAGCACCCGCATCGAGCAAGAGTGCGGGTCTCTTGGCCGCATACAGCTTGCGCAAAATGAGCTCTGCGGCGAGATTCTCTGTCTCGTGATCGCTCGGTGGCGGCTCAATGACGATGGGTGTGTCCAGCAATTTCGCATCCACCTCTTCAGTGACCATGTCCGCAGGCAGTTGAATGTATACCGGTCGGCTATTAACGTAGCAGGCCTGGAGTACGCGATCGATCTCTGCTGGAGCTGTGGCTGGGTCCATCAGGTTCGTCTGGGCGATCGAGATGGGTTTCGACATGTCGGCAAAGACATTGAAGTCGCCATTGCCGAGCTGAATCATGAGTCAACAACATTCTGCACCATTGGAGTGAACGAGGACATACTGTGTGATGCAAAAGCATGCCGCTTTTCTGAGCTGCTCTCTTGGGCGTTCCGACAATGTGCACGACAGGACAGAACTCGGCGAATGACCCAGCAATAGCATTGAGGCACGACAGTTCTGCATCTTGTGTCAGCTCAGAGTCGTCATCCGCTACAGAAACAACTTGCCTCCCACCCCGAACGTCGTCACCAGAGCACCCATACCCAGTAGTCGACCGTACGCATCGGCGGCATATCCTGCAAGGCTTCAGTCAGGCCGTCGACACAAAGCGGTACAAGTCAACCAACCTGCATTCAACTCATTGCAGTTGCCCACCCAATTGATGCCACAAGGCTCGACGTAATCAAGAGCGACCAGATTGAAGTCTCCTGGCACGCCATGAAGGTCCTTGACTCCAAGTTGATAGAGTCTAGTAAACAGGTACTCGGCGACGTTGACTTTTTGGCTGCTCATGTTGGATGTCGTTGTGGTGACTAGGATACAATCAGGATAGCAAGTTGCTTATGATTGTCTACGGCAGCTCCGGCAGCTCCGGCGGTGTCTAGGAAGGATGATGATGGGCAACATCATTGTTGTCTTGAGATTGTAGGAAAGTGACGGGTAACCAGCCGGTGAACAGCTCGCTCCTGCCATCGAGGGGTACGGAAGGCGGCTCCAATCCGTCTTGGCTGGCGGAACACGGCCCGTCGTCTGTCGCCCTTGGTCGCCGCAAAGACTGCGACAGCAGACATAGCGCTACCTAGTTGACATGTGCTCACGAGCTCTCACGTCGAGCGCATGTTTCTCATCCGAGCGGGTGTGTCCGTCGCAAAAGATCGAGATCGTGGAAAAGAGGGGACGCGAACAACATGTGCGACAACGCGTTGCCTGGACGACCATCATATCACATCTCGGCGTGGAACTCGTAGGAGTTTGCTTTCCCTTACTTACAATTTCGTCGCTGCCTGAGGAAACAATATCTGAATTCCTTGTCGCACAAATATAAGGTGGTCGACGTGCTCAGTTGCTCTTCGACCTTGCGAGACACGTCGGGTTCCAATAACAACGCGAAAAAGTCGTTGCGCCGACAACCCTGAACTCTCGACGTGCTCATCTATTGACCGCCCTGGCGCGTTCCTCGATCCCTAGAGATCACGTACCGCCTTGTCATCCTAGCCTTTTTTTTCTCCAGAAGGACGAGTACAGATTCAGAAAAACTGCATAAGCATGAGGCAGCATCATGAGGCTTCGACTCTCCCGGCAAACTTCCTTGAGTGCATTGAGAAATTGAGCAAAACTTTGCAAAAGTGGCTCTCTTCTCAAAAAGGCAGCACGAGAACGTGATTCCGTAGATGTCACGAGAGCCAGTTCTGGACGTAGTCTGCAGATTTTGATCATACATGATGTGAGATTAACTGATGGTAGGCCAAGGACATAGCATTCTGCGTCAATCTATCATCATTGTCGCCGGTGACGGCGTTTTGCATGGGCCTGTTAGCGCCCGTCTCGAGGGACGGCACAGACCATCTGAGGTCGCTGCAGGAGGCACCCTGTATCACTTCTGAATCTGTCCTGCATGTGTGGCCTTGTCTACTTCCGCGCTTAAGGTGATGGAAAATAGAGCAAAAGGCTTTTTTCAAGAGAATATCGTGTAGTCAAGAAGGTGATACTATCTACTATGAGCTTTCAAGCTCAAGTCTCGAGGTCTGCCCCCAAAAACCTGCTAGCCATGGCGGAACGCAGCAACTTGTTCGGATACTTTTGATGACCATCTGTCGCAGGCTACGACTGCCCACCATGATTATGTGACTAATGTGCACGTATGAGATAGGATGCGAGCGAGTCTGTGCTACTAGATAGAACGTCTAAAGAGACTCCGAACGTCTCACATACTGGAGATAGCGATACATACCCTTCATCATAGACACAGTCTAATGTGTAACCCAAATCGCAGTGGTACGACCCTAATGCACGCAGAACGGTTCGCATGATACATGTCCAAGCACAAGCACGATTCTGGCCAGTTCGGCAAGACTGACGTTAATAAGTCCAACAAAGTCGCAATCCCATGGCGGATAAGGTAACTTGACGTGTAACAACTAACTTGTGTGAATTTGGACTGCGACAGGAATTTGCACTGCCGAGACAGACAAGAGCTGACCGATTGGTCAGCAGACGAGATAATCCATGAATATGATCGATGAAGGGCACTACCATCGAAGCATCCCCTTCCAGAAGGACTTAGATGGACCTTAACGACCCTTCTGCCCGACTGTTCGTGTACACTTATCGGCTTCTGGCGCAGTATCGAAGAAGAACCGTGTATTGACATCAGACTAACGGTCTGCGACGGTGTCGACGGTCCTCCGAATCGATCAAGCCCAGACAAACACGAGAAACGGTTATTGGTTGTCGCAGACTATCGACACATCTGACCTGAATGAGATATTGCACGAGTATGCCAGCAGGATATCTCGTTGGTACCAGAGTGTCGTCTACCCTGGATCTTTGTATCGAAATATTCAAAAGCGTATCCAAGGGTGCATTGCCATAGGTGCATCGCGAAAGGTGCAGGTGCAGGTGCAGGTGAATGGCGGATTGGAACCGTTTCTGCAACGGCTGATCAGCCGGGCCGCCGTCTCTTCCCCAAGCGTTCATGACCTGCTCTAAAGTTCGAACACCAGTCCAAATGAATTGGCGACCGAGCGAGGCTGGGTCGAAGTTTGGGAGCAGCAGGTCGGTCCCTCAATGCCAAAGCTTCAGGGTATCCATAGAACGTTCCTTGGTGCTTTGTAGCCGTTCAATCTACACGTCATGCTGGCTGGAACGAGTCTTGAACTCTATGGAAGTCAAACATTATTCGGGTATCTGAGACATCTGCATACAGGAGCGTCAATCCAGAACGATCAACGCTGCACTATATGAAGAGCGAACATGCCCATTGGAATTCGAGGTCATCAGCTCCAACTTCATACTCTCTTTCGCAGACCAGCACCAATTTCCTCCAGTACTTCGGTACCAGTCGCTCTTTGGCAACCCAACAACTTCCTCAATTTCTATCCTTCATTCCTTCCGATACTCAGTCTATCCTAAAATATCATTCCGACCCGACTACCTCGACCAATCATCATGCGCTCCACTCTTTCTGCTATCGCAGTCCTGGCCGTTATTGCCGGGGCTCAGTCGACCACCTCAATCGACATTGCAGCCATCTCGGTCCCCGCACCCACTGAAGTCTTTGTGCTTCCCGTGGTCTATGTCACCGAGGCTGGTGCGCCAGTTTTGACCGCAACCACCCTCGCCGCTACTGCTACACCCTCCAGTGATGCGAAGGCCACCAACGTCTTTGACTCTCCCTCAGACGTCAGCGCCGCCATCTCGTCGGCTTCTGAGATCGCCGTGGCCACCTCCACCCCGCTGTCTCGTGTAAAGCGTGATGCGTGCGTGCAACAGCCTCTTGGAATCAGCTACAACTCAGTGCCTGATACTGCTGCTGCTTTCGCTGCTGATGCCTACTACGGTCTCAAGGCTGTCGCTGCTGGTGCACCGACTGGTTACGTCCAGACCATGTCCAACTTGACTGCATCCAACTCGGCCGACCAGTACATGGGATTCACTCTCCTCAAGTCATACGATATTGTCTCTTGCGTCAACCAATGCAATGCCATCAGTGGATGTAACTCGGTCAACATCTATTTCGAACGTGATCCCACCATCAACCCCGACAGCCCTGCTTGCTCTCAGAACCCTCCCTCAACCATCAACATCAAGGTAAGTGTCTCAACGCCGACTAGCTTGCATTCGTGCTAACGTTCAAAAGTGTGTGTTCTGGGGAGGTGCCGTGGTGTCTTCGAACGCCAACAACTTTGGCCAATGGCGTGCAAACTTCCAGGTCCTGATTGCCGGTAGCAATGGGTACATGAAGTCAAGCTACGCTTCGCAGCTCGCCGCTCAGGCGTCTGCAACTTCTCCAAGCTCTTCTGCTGCTTCTGCCGCTGCTGCCGACGCCGCCGGTAATATCTACGCCATCTACTACTCGTCTGATTCGACCCAAGGTGCCTACTCAAATGCTCAGGCCAGCTCCTCGTACAAGGACTGTATGACGGCTTGCGATGCTGACTCAAAGTGCAACGCTTTCACTTACGTTGGTGGGGCTAATGGCGCGGGCTCCGGTACCTGTTGGCTCAAGTCCTCGCTTGGCTCTCCCTCGAGTTCGGGCAACAATGTCGTTTCTGGCACCCGCTCCAGCAAGGCGTCGTCAAGCTCTGCTCTGACTTCGACCACCGCCACCTCTTCTTCGACAGCAATTGCCTCATCTCCAACGGCGTCTTCATCCTCGACCACGACTGCGTCTTTGACTACAAGCACCACAAGCACTACCAGCGCCTCTCCAGCTGCAACCTTGACCCCCTCATTTTCCCTCACCTCCGGCGACGCGAACTCCTGGCTGTCCATCGCCCCCGGCGTCAACGGCGTCACCAGCTGGACCTTCAACCAAGCTACCGCCTTCAAGTTTCAACTGAACAAGAACAACGGCTATCTCCTCGAAGCTCAAGGCTCCAGCGCCGGCTACGTTGCCACGGTGGCACCTGCAGCAAATGGCAATGGATTGAAGCAAGTCTTCTTCAACCCTGTTGGAGGATCGCAGACGTATGTCTCTTGTGCGCAAAACACTGCCAACACGCCGCATCTTGATTGCAAGGTCAAGGGTGTTCTCCAGCAAACTTTTGTCTGCGATGACAATTATGATATCCTGTACTTTGTGCCGGTCGGCGGAAACACTCCTGGTAACTGTTATGCTACCAGTGGCTTCTTCTACCAATAGATGGGACATTGATAGTAGAGTCAGCATTGCTAGGGCTCACAAGGCAATGGTGTCAATTGATTCTGCGGAAGATGCAGTGTTACTGTTCTTTTGGTTCTGGTTTTGTTTTGTTCGTAGAAGGGAGTCTTGATCTTGAGCGATAGAGGATGTAGCAAGTTATGAAATACAACGATACGACCATTCTCATCTTTTCCGCATCTTTTGTGATCCGTGCCAGCAGAGTAAACTTGTCCTGGTTGCGGTCAAGTAGAGTCCCATCACCTCAGTCGCAGTTATGATATTCGTTCGATTGTTCGTGGTTCTTCCGTGAAGCCCTGAGGTCGTCTCGCTCTAGCTAGGGTAGATATTGTTGCTATCGATACTGCAAAATACAAGTCTGATCGGATATCTGTTTGTCGATCTTCTATCCGCTCTGGTGTTGCCCTGGACCGTCCACATCAACTTGTTCTAAATATCATTGTTGCTAAGTGCTCGAGTGCGAATCATGTTCAGCTTGACGTCTGCATCAAGCCTCGAGTTATCCCTTCCGGTGTTCCGCCTTTGATCGAATCACTTGCGTGCTGAACGCGACTCTCGTACATGGCGCTTAGACCTCGGTATATCCGGATGCTTGCGCTTGAGCTTTACGTCCAGAGTTTGGCAATACATCAAGTGTATGGCATAGAAGGTTTCGTGATTGCAAGAGATGCAGTCTAACTTGAGTATACACGAGCTATGATGGACTGGTGACAGTGACGCATGACCCCGTATAACCAGTATATTGTTAGCATGTATCGAAGTTTAGGCCAGTGACGCAATATAGATCCCCAGTTTTAGAGGCTATTGCCGGCGCCATCTGACGGGCCGGTAGGGCTTGGTATCTATTTTTGGCGCATACGAGAAGTTTGTTCTGGAAGTTCCACGCCAAGTGGCGAAGAGGCCCTCGTTCCCCGCATTGTTTCAATAGTGTTCACCTTGCGACCAGGCATCAAGAGCTGTCTTCTATGCGTCTATCAGGCGATGCAGTTTCGCAATTGTGGGCAGTCTACGAGGATTAGAGTCTCAGTCGAAGGACTACATCGCCTCCGCTGCACAGCTAGTATAGAAACCCCGCAGATGTCGTTCAGCCTCACAAATCATGATTTGAATTACGGCCATTAGACTTTGATGACATGGGCTTGGAAATAAGCGGGAATGACGACCTCGTGAAGGTCTGGGGCCGGATACCCAAGACATCCGGGCTCGTAATTCCAGGTCAGACATTCACACAGCCCATACCAAGAACGCCGAATAATCACTCAAAGATCGACCACCTAAAGTACGAGCTCCAAGAATAGCAATGGCTTCTCGCTCAAGAGTCTCTGACACTATGTCAAGGCAAGAACGAAGAGGCACACCCATGGTATAAAGGGACCGTAGAACCCCTGCCAGGAAACAGAAATCATCCAACAAACCAATTTCATCTTCCATCCTCAGCTACAAACACCAGCTCCACCAACCAATCAACACCAATCCACTCTTCCAATCACCTTCAACCAACCAATCAAAACAACCACAACCATGCACGCCACCACCTTCATCGCCAGCGTCCTCGCCCTCACCTCCACCGCTCTCGCCGGCAACGCAGGAATCAAAAACAACTGCAACCAAGACATCTTCCTCACCACCACTGGCCCCAGCCAGAAGTCCACTCAGATGAAGATTGCAGCCAACGGCGGCTACTTCAGCACCCCCATCGTCGGTCAAGGCAACAGCTTCGGCCTGACCAAGAACGCAGACTACTACTCTGCCAACACCCCCAAGCTCATCTGGGGTGCTTCCGACAGCAACGGCGTTACTTACTACTCGCTCAACACTGTCAACGGCAACCCCTTCGACGGACAGAGCATCAGTCTGAGCGGCAACCAGCCTGGATGCGCTACCATCACCAACCCTGATGGCGCCACCAAGGCTTGCACTGACAAGGCTGACTTCTACCTTCAAGTCTGCTAGATGGTGACTTTTGGCTATCTTGTATATTAGCACGGCCATGGGTATCAGCGTCGATGTTCCCTTTGTAACATATTTATCATGTACATAGTCCACTCGTTTAATCATTAATTCTACACCAGTCTCCTAGAACTTCCAAATCTCTCGCGCGACTTGGATCCTGAGTCGTGTACTCAGAGGACGGCTGCATTTCCTTTGCGCAGAACCGAAATTACAAATCGAACACACGATCCAAGCATGTTAATCACAGTTCCACATTAGCGCAGTAGCCATGGCTTAGAACGTGCATGTCATGATCAAAAGTCTTCAAAGCCCTCTCTCTTCGACGGAAGCAGGGCAAGGTTATCTTGACGATGTTATCGAAGGTTGTCTCAGCTTGCGTTTGAGTAGACCTGCAACGAAGATGCCACCGAAGAAACCAAAAATGGCAGAAGTACCATAGATTGCAAAGACGAGGTTCTTCCGCGGCCCAGGTCGGTAAAGCGATCCAAGCAGTTGTACACCAGTGGGTAAGAAAGCGGCGGCACCAAGGCCCTGGAGGGCACGGCAGAGGTCGAGCATCAGAGGGTTTATGCTGAACCCGCAGACGATAGTCCAAACGACAAACCATGCCAGTCCGATCATAAACACAGGGTAAGCACCCCACATATCGCCGAGCCGACCGAAAATGAGCAGGGTGCTAGCAACGACGAGAAAAAATGCTGTAGCCGGCCAGACGCTCGAGGCCTGGGGATGTCGAGCTCTCTGATCAAGGTCGGTAGAATGACTACAAATCCCGATACGAAGAACTCGGTAAGGAACTGTGACATGATAATGCTGAAGACGAAACCGACTTCATGCCAGACAGTCCTAAAGCACGGGGGCCGTTCGCGACCGAGGCGCTCGATGCATTCTTCGAGCGATTCTTCGATCGGTACTTTGCAGACACTCTGCGACTGGTTGCTTGGAGTTGAAGGGGTGGCATGGTTGGACTGGTCTGCCGGTGATGTCCTATCGAAGCTTGGATCGGGGCTGCAGGCGAAATGCTGGTCGTTGAGACGGGCGCTTGTGAACGTGTCAATGTTGGCTGCGACATGGTATCTACTTGGCTGCTAAGGAATGACATACGATGATCTGATCCTGACAGCGTGACGCGAGGCTGGCAGATATATTAGAAGAGACCCCCACATGACGACCTAATGACATCGAACTGCTAGGGAAGGGTAGGACACAAGTCAGCCACAGGGCGTGGCCATGATTGTCAATCAGTGTCGTTGTATATGGCACGATTGGTGAAACGATGACGACCATGCGACGATTTTCTGCGTCTTGGCTGCTGCTTTGGGAATGGCTTCAACCGCCCGGCCGTCATTAGCTGCACAACGTGTTATATAATCACAGATCGGATCAGAGCCACTAGGCTTGTCTCTGCAGAGGAGTGAACAGGTTAGGGGACATGAGGCTTGGCTGCCTGGTTCTGGACAACTTGTTGCAGAAAAACGCAACCCGACATCCGGGTACTGCGTGACAGATTTTACGTCGATGTGTCACCGCAAGGATCAGATGAAAGGAAACACGCAGCGCGCGAAAGCACAATTTCGAGACTGAAGCTGAGCTCCACATCTGACCTACACAAACTCAATTCTTGAGTTCAGACGGAATTGGCATTCCATCGTCTTACTTTAGCCGTGTTCTAGACCGCAAACTAGAAGAGGGCACAATTCTTTCTCAACTTGGAAGAGGGGATGTGGTCAAGGAATCGGTATACCTGTGCGGCCATTGCATCGAAGCACAAGGTGTTGACGCAAGAATCATAGCTCATCGCAGAGGGCAGGGATGGCAATAGTCATATTTCGATGAATACACGTTGAGTTACAATGTAAGAATCTTGTAAAGCGAAGACAACTAAAAATGTCATCCAGATGGTCCACAGCGCGATCAGAGTTGTATCAAAATAAATGATACTACGAGCGCTTGCTCAGTCTCTCTTCCTCCGATATGCGCTCTGCTAGATCAGCAGGTGTTGACCGGCACCACGGCTATTGTCGAGAGAACGACTCCACCATCAATGTTCGGTGATTGCATCAGATCATCGCCTGTCTCTGAGTAAGACACGAGGTTGGTCTGACACGAAAGAGTACCAATTGCATTAGGCATACCCGCTGGAGCAGGGCCAACGATGCTGCATACAACGCTGTTGATGCCATAAGTAGACTGTGAGCTTTCGGTCATGGACAAGATGAAGTAGAATTGACCTGATTTCGTGTTCCATCCGTACACACCGTCCGACGACTGTACTTGGCCATCTGACCGGAAGTTAAACTGGCCGGCTTGGGTCGCATCTGCAGTGAACTGCACATAGCCATAAGAAATGGCATTGGGATCGGGTCTTTGCTCCGTGATGTATTGCCCAGCGTATGTGCCAGATGCGGCCACGAACTTGTATGCCGGGGTACAGGTCGACGTGACTACATCGGTGACGGTCGTGGTAGCGCCGACAGTGACACTTGAAGTGATCAAGGTTGTCACGCTGGTCTGCTGTGTCGATATCACGGCGTTCGCAGTTTGTGTGGAGGTTGCTGTAACGGTGCTAGTCACGGTGACAGGCGATGCCGCCAATGAACATGCCGATGTGATGATACTGGCCGGGTATTTGGTCAAGACATTGGGAGTCGAGACAGCACGTTTCTGAGGCGCTTGGGTTGAGCTTAAAGGAATTGAAGGAAGCGCTAACAAGGCGACTCCGTTGATAATGGTCCAGCTGGTGGGAGCGGGAGAGGCGCCACCATCGCGTTTTGCATTGACCACAGTCGAGACAGTGGTGAAATAAGTAGATACGGAAGTTGCGGTGACTGTTGCAGCGACATTGGTGACAGAAACGGTCTGAGAGGTGACAGAAACAGGTGTGGTCGTGGTAACCGAGGTGACAGTAGCTACTGGCGTGGTGTAGCCCAGAATGGAAGAGCAGAAAGGCTGTGCCGAGTTACCAGGCCACAAGATGTCCTGACGTGCTTGATACACGGCAGCGACTGGGTTGGGCGAGCCGGGGTTGGTAGAGTTGCTGTATTCGAAGCTGTACTGGATCATGAAATGATCGTTACCACGGTATTGTCCATTGTTCGTGGCAAAGCTGGGACCCCATGACTCCGCATACATGGCCTGAGATCTTGGTTAGCATCATCAACAAATGGAGACGAGAGGAGGGTGAAGTGATGCCGGCGAGTTCGGTTCATTGATTGAAAGGACTCGATGAACGAGCTCGGCGTCTGTGATGACTTGTGAGATGGACTTACACAGTACTGTCCTTGGACATTGTCTGGAGTATTCTTGTACAGAATGTATGTGTTGAAGAACTGCGACTCTCATGAGCGTTCGCCTCCCACGGCTGATATTCGAGCTTACCTGGCACGTCTGAACTGGAGTTCCATCAGTGGGGGGATGAGCTCTGGCGTAATCGCTCTTTTGCGTGCAAGCAGCAGCACAAAGCTCTGCGTTGAAAGCACCTTGGAAGATGGCACTACCGAGGAAGGTGTTGTATCCATTCTGGTCGTAGGGAGCGTTGATAGCATTGTTACCGTAGGGCTGAGCAGGACCGTAACCAGGCACACTAGCTACCGCGTTGCTTAAGTATCCGTTGGAGCCGGCGATGACGACCACAAACTGCCCACGAGGCTGACCAGTGTTCACAGTGTTGCCTGCAGTCACAGGGCCGCCCCACAGGGCGCATTTGATAGTCGTTGTGCTGGGGGGATTCAGACAGTCGCCTCCAGGGTTGACTGTTGGGTCGCGCTCGAAGTAGAGGTTGAAAGAAACACAACCGCTCACGGCATTACACTTTGTTGCACATGCATTGGTGTCGTAAGTCTGCAAAGTATAGAAGCCGAGGTAACCATAGCTGGAAGAGACGGTCAGACACCCGGACACTATGGCTAAGAGCGAAGGACTCACGCTCCACTGGACGCCTGAAGATTGGAGAACTGTTGCGTATATCCGCTCGGGACGGGAGCTCCAGTGGCTGCTGCTACGAAGGAGCTGTAAGACAAAAAGGCGGATGGAGTATCAGGCGCAGGAACGGGGCCATATCCCGAGGGCTGCGCCTGTTGGGCAGCACAAGCATCACGTTTCTGGTTTGATGGGGCATCCGTGGTAGCAACCACCGCAGCTGCAGTGTCGGCAACAGATGCAGTGATTTGCGAAGCGGCAGAAGAAAGGACTGCGGAAGCGTCGTAGGTGATGACTTGAGCGGTGACTCCCACGGCCTCGCTGTAGGTAGGGTCGGGAAGGGCGTCCGCCAAAGAGAAGTTGATGTCTTGGGGCCGCGGCGCAGCGCAAGCAAGGCTAATGATACTCGAAAGGTAAAGAAGTGAACCCATCATGGTGGGTCAAGATATGCGGTGCTGATCTGTGGAGGGAGCGACTCCTGGATGGAGCATCGTGGTTCGTTGGGCAGTGGCAGGGACAACTGTGACGATGAGTTCCTTGAGCGTAGAGATCCTGGAGAGCAACTCTCCGACCACGAGGCCCTCGCTTGCGGGGAACTTGATCTGCAGATTGATTGCGCGAGGCAGAATCTCCTTCGATCCGATCGGCAACTCTTCCCAGAATAATCAGTCGAGTGATTGGTCCAGAAACAGGTGGTTGAGACGGGACATCGTCAAAATAGCAGTCAGCGCATCATTGCCCAGGGCTGGGTTAAGCTCTGAGCCCAACCAGAGAGTTCTCAACTGGGACATGCTGGTGAACAAGAAAGTCATCTCGGCAGACGAGACATTGAGTGCTACTCCCAGCTTCAGGCTGCTTAGGTTGAAACAGACTGTGCTGAGCTGAGACAGCAAGAGAGTGTCTCTGCGATCGTGTGAGTTTTGGTCAGATTCGACGTAGATCAAGAGCTCGCGCAGGCTCTTGTCCAGGAAGGGCTTGAGTTGTTCTGACGCGTTGACAGACATCGATGTGTTGTAAATGCGCAGACTGTTGACTTTTGCGAATTGTGGACAGTCACGGACGGCAGAGGGCCATGCCACTTCACAGTTGGCGAATTTGACTTTCTTGATCATTGAGGCGAGATCCTGCTGTCGGTTTGCGGTTGACACGTGTGAGACCAGATGTCTAAGATCGGCGGCCTGGCTTAAAAGCGGCTCGCCAACATGACGGAAGAATTTGCAAGTCCTGATGACATTGTTCAAGGATCCATGGTCGTTCTGAAGGAGCGACAAGATGAGTTCCAGCAGATGCTCGTTGCCAAGTACCTTGTGTTCTTCAACGGCGTCGCTGCATAGACAAGTCAGTTTCGAAGTCGCTGCTATGAGATCGGGTTCGAAGGTACTCACGCGTCGACCTGGCTGGCGTGCTCTGGTGTTAGGGACTGGATTGTCGTCTGATCTGGCGTAATTGGAAGACTGATCTCATATATCGGTGGTTTGCGGTAGATCTGATGACAGTGGAGTGGATTGGAAGCTGGGGTCTAGGTGATGGAGGTTAGTACGAGCACAAGATATGGTTGGAAGCAGCGTCTTACTCAACCTCTTCAGGGGCAGACACAGAGTCCGGTTTCATCTTGGAAGAGAGCTGCGTGTGCTATACACAAAGGCTGAGATGATAGGGGCAAGGAAGATGGTTGTGCGCATCGAAAAGTGCGACTTGGGAGAAGGGTGAATGTTGAGATGAACCACTCGCGACGGAGTGATGGCGGAGAAGTGAGACACGGAAACATCGAAAGCCGCACTGACAAAGACGTGTGAACCACGACCGTATCTTCGCATTTCACGACTCGAATTCTCCGGACGCATCAGCATCGCTGAATCATATTCATCGTATGTCTAAGATTGATTGTCAGAGTCAAAAGTCGATCATTGAGCTGCTAGGGGCATCTGAGCTGTCTTCAGACTGACATAGCAGTCTTTGTGGGATACAATGTACGGCATTCCCCATCCCATGATTCAAGCCCTGGACCATTGCAAGGTGACCGAGCTCGTGGCTCAGGTGACATACCGATTACGTTCAGCAAGGCTGGACGAGGTACGACAGTCTGATCCGGGGTGGCGGAAAGGAGCCAACGGTGCGTAGTAGTATAGAGCATTGATGCTGCATTGTGAGTACGCCATGTCTTGAGGCAATTTGATCAAGAGCAAGTCGGATGCACACCGTATAGTATCTGAGATCGAGATCAGTTGTGACGGTTATAGCTAGAGAAATGTTTTGGTACGGCGTGTCTTCTCGAGTTCACAAAATTGAGTTGTACATCCGTGACTCTCGGTACTTACCTCTAATGACTTGTTTCGTCTCCGATGGAAATGGTAGGGAGACTCTGGCCCCCTGTGCCATTGTTTCTGGGTCTGACTCCAAGTCACTCAGGATCATGTCCAGGAGGTGATCATATCACTCCCTGGTGGTTCATCAGCTCCAAGGAACAATTTTTGTGAGTTGTGGATACGATGCGATGGTCCAGAAAGCCGTCGGATATTCACATATATATGATGATGGGGTTTCCAGCGGGACGGTCGTGAGGACTCACGATACATGCTATGACGATCTTGCTGGTACTTGCTGGTTCAGCGAAGAGTTCTACCCCTCGATCAAAGCCAAGTCAAGGCCTCTCTTATTCCGCTCAAAGGGAGAGATTTCGAAAACTGTACTTCAACTAGCGAGCAGGTGATGGTGTACTGTTGAAGCACAAAACGATACCTTCGAATGCGAAGAGCAGGAAACCCTCGACTGCTGCACTGCTGCATGTGCTCCGTAGCCCCCGAACTCGACCTGACCGATCTGGTTTTGTTCGTTGTTCAAGAGAGGAGTTGCACCGATCGTGTCTTGAAACCATCTATACAGTCCATCTATATGGACGGTGTCTGTCCGCCGCTATTAGATGTCTTCAAGCTCGTCCTTAAACGGGCATCTTGCCTGGATGGTGCGAGTCGATTAGGGGTTTAGTCCGTAGACGTACCAGACCCTTAGCTTGCGTGCAGAGTTTCCTATGATACCTATAGTCATCTCGGTTGTGCTGTCTGGATGATAGTCTTCTCTGCTGGAGACAATGCGTGATAGGACTTGGTCCTGTCGAAGGTGCCGTAGGAGAGATCAACTACGTCTTTGGTGTCAATCACCGGGTTCTGTCGGGATGGCAGTCTTCTTAGTGATGACGTGATGATGCCAGACACTGTCTTTTTGGTCGTGAGTGGACGGCTCAGGGCTGGCATCAGGTCACACACTCAGCACCTGCAGTAGTATAGTACCGACATATCAACCACATTATAAGGTTGATCCGAAGCGCTTCGCGGTACTTTGTTGGGTCGGCAGAAAAGTCCCTACTGCTACAAAAACCTTCTTATTGGCAAGCCATGGCCAATTGTCATGCATGGTCGAGAGGTCCCTTTGTCGTTTCCAGATGCATAGGTTGAAGCGTAGCCGTTGACCATTCTAATTCAATTTGCATCCTAGTCGGTGTTGCCGGGTTCGACCTGGAGCCCACATTACTGTTTGGAGTTCTTGGATACTAAGGTTGCGGTGCCGGGAGCTTTGGTGATCATCAGGCTAGAGCTTTAGGAGTAGATCTTCGGCCCGCGTATATGGAAAAGGTTAGGGAGCGGATCACAAAGCCATTTGCAGAAATCACCGTACAAATTGGCAAAAATTAGGAGATTCCACTGCACGAAGCAGCATGGTTCGAGGTCGAAGATCGCGAGGTGGATGTTCGGCGAGAGAGATAGGCCGAGGATCTCAAGCTGGAAGGCCAAGCTCATCGCTGAGGAGAGGGAGGAATGGATCGTTATAGCCCGATTTTCCTGAGGCTGAGCCTAGCTTCATCGAGACTGTCTTGACATCGGTTAAGGCACCGAGCAGAATGGCAGGACCGTAGTCGCCTCCGTCTATAAAGGCGACATCAAGTTGCTTGATCTTAGGTAGAATTGCTCCCGGGCTACGATGCGATATATCAGTCTTGAGGTCAGCGCAAAGTCCAGAGAGAGGTCGGTAATGGATGGTGCTCTCAGGATGGTGCTAATTGCGTCGTCGCCAAGGATCGAGTCCATCCGGAAGCTGAGTATAGGTTCTAAGCCGTCACTGGAGAACGCTGCAAGCGATACAGCATAGATCGTGGTATATTAGAGAAAAATCCGACAAGAGCTGCCAGCTGTGAGCAGACTTGATGGAGCAGAAAATCATGGAAAAGGAGAATTGGAGTCTATAGAGTGCTTTCGTTAGGACGAAGAAAAAAACGACCCTTCAAGTCCTGATACTTCTCTGCCACTCGACAGGCCTTCAGAGAGCCTTTCCGTCATCTGTCACAATCTCCATCGACTTTAAGAAAGTCGTCTCGGACTGCACTTTCGCTGGAATATCCATTCTTGCCCTCCGGTGTTCCCTGCCGGAGGCGGTATCAGCCGTGATCATCAGTGTCCATTAGTTGTTGATTAGATGATTGAATGATCCATTAGAGGCCACCTCATCAAGCGAGATTTGGTCGCCGTGTTGGTTAATGAAATGATTCAAGTCACGCTGATTCCAAGGGGCCGGATCTGGAGCAAAGCTCAGGAGGCTCGCCTTCCAAATGTCTTGAGTTTGATGGATTGCGTAGTCCTCGGCCTTCGGCCAGCCGAATGACTCCGGCTCGTCAACGCTAAAGTCAAATTGATGGACGTGACCAGGGGAGATCGACATGATCATTTGAGTGATGGCGACTGCCTCTTCCCAGGTAGCTTCGATCGACGAAGACACGTTGAAGGACTTCAGGGTTTCGAACAACTTCAAACTCTTAGGCGATTGGAGCAGATCATGTGCTGTGGTGTGGACATGAGCTTCACCTCGATGACGGCCACGCTTGATACACGAGATCGTAAGGTAATTGATGTGGTGTCCGGCAAGCAGGGTAGCCAAGGCACAGTAAGGGATAGTGACTGCACCGCCGAAACGCAGGTCAAGATGTTTGACACGAGGGAGAGCGCCGATGACTGTGAAGATCTCGGGGTGGAGTGCCACGGTCTCAGCACCAGAGGTACCACAGAGGGTCAGGGTCAAGGACTACAGTGTCTGGACTGTATTGAGTAGGATGGCGGCCGTGAGACTGTCGCTGGATGCAAAGCTCATGTCCAGCTTTTTGACGGAGGGAAGAATGCTGCCTGGGGATGAAGAGCCCTGCAACTGCTGAAATGGCACTGATGACGCTGCAGATGTCTCAGACGCAGCTGCAGTCATAGCAAGACTCCGACAAGCCTGACGACGGAATCTGGACGATGTACATAGAAGTCTTCGAGACAGAACGAAGTGTATGATCAATGTTGAAAGGTGTTGGCTGCAAGTGAGAAAGTGGCGAGACCGATGATTGGAGGAAGCGAAGGTCTGCCGGGGCTTGAGGTTCTGCGGTAGACCAATGCGTTCTCTGGGATAGCGAAGATATCGCTGCATATATACCTGGTGTTGGCTGGAGAGAGATGAGAATTGTGATGTCCGAAATTTTGAGCCAGGCAGCGGCTCCTGCTCATCATATATTCAGCAGCCATCTCAGCGATCATCTAACGTTTGCTTGCTGGCTTTCTGGCTCTGCCCTGTTTGTTTCCTCGTGGCAGTCTATCCGTTCTCCAAATCTTTGTCTCATTGTGAATGACCAGCGAAAGTATGCTGTGGTCAAAAGGCTTGAGCAAACAGAACTCAAGGACAGAAGCTACGAGAACAGAAACGCAGCACGACGAGAAGCCCGACGTTCTGACAATTGATTCAAGCTTGACCATCGACCTTTCAGCTCTTCCCTCCTTCTCGCATGTCCATTATCCAGGCAAAATAAATTTTGTTTGACCAAAGAGCGGCTGAAAACATCTAGTGTCTGCTAGATAGGAGAAGTGAGTCAGAATCGCTTCTTAGACAAGCGATGGATGGAAGATTAAAGCAAACGAACGAGCCGGGGACATCCTCTAGGAACCTGGAATGGCGTTAAGATTGATGCAAACGGAAGCACAAAGCGAGAGTAGAGAGAAATGTTTTCCCGGTCGTACCTCAACGCCAGTGCCGAAGAAATTCGTCTCCATATCCTTTGAGTCTGTTGCTGCTTTGAGCCATGCACATGTGTAATGAATGTGTCTGGTCTCGTTGAGGCAAATGATTTGGTGGCGAGAGTGGTCGATTTCGGCAAAACGCGAAAAAATGTGTATTCTCAACAGGACTGGCGAACAAGCTACTAAATGCGCGGCACAATATCATAGCTTGGTCTAAAGGACCGTACCCTCATCCCGAATTGAGTGTCTTTCGTCTCGATCAAACACACAGGCAGCATGACAGAGAGATGTGATATTCGAAACGAAGACAGGGTGGGTGCCACAGCAGAAAGTCTTGGCGCGGCTCATGGCAGTGGCGACTATCAATGCAAGAACAGAAGGCGGCGACATCATGTAGATGCCGATTCCATAGTAAAACGTAGAAGGTGCTGATGTTAAGACAACAAGTCGGAGATGCGAATCAGAACTTCTCTCTCTCTCTCTTCCAGAACCTCTTTCATCCTCACTCCCGAGGCGCGTGCCGTCAACTCTCCACGATCAGCAACAGACAAGGGCACGGCAAATGTCGCACAAAGTCTATTCGGCGCCCGCAAACCTTGTCTCCATAGTTTTGCTCGATCACATCGAGTAAGCACGCCCGGCGCACCTATATCGTTGCTCAAAAACAATCAAAGATAAAACGATACACAACTGGGCCAAGTTGCTTGGGCTTGCGCAAGCCAAGTCGTGTTGAGGCCTGCTTGTCGTCGGCGCGCCCGAGGTTCAGCTTGACTCATCCGTTTGCGTAATCATCACAATCCTTTCACGCTCTCAAATCTGCTCTCTTCTTGCAACACCAGGTTCGAGAGGGCTCTGCTCCAGGTTCTGCAGTGGTTCCTGCATGACATGCCTCTTTCCCCGTCCTTCTAGAGCGACATCGAACGAAAAAATTCTCCAAGAATGTCTTTATCTAAGGTTTTGATGATCGGCCTGCAAGCCACATCCCCATCCTTTTGCTGCGCATTGACCTTTTTCTCAGGGTACGTCTTATCTACAACAACGTCTGATGGAAAGAATATATACCTATAAGCATGGCCACTCGTCGGTGTTTCTTTGCTCTGACACACAGCGACCATGACTTTGATCCTGCGAAAAATCGTCAGTACTCATGTAATACTTCCGACTCGAGTTCAAGAGACTGATTGTCTGTATAGGAAGTCGAACATGACCACGGCCTCACGAACAAAGAATTATTCCTTACAAACCATGACTTGAAGATTGTCGAGCCCGAGCGACGTCAATGGACCGCCTTCAACTTTGTTGGTTTCTGGATCGCCGACTCGTTCAACATCAATACGTGGATGATCGCTGCTTCTTCGCTTGACAATGGTCTGTCATGGTGGCAGGCTTGGATTTGTGTCTGGTAGGATCATCCTCCGAGAAGAGGTCAGGACGGTGTACTAATATCATCGTACAGGGTCGGATACAGTATCTCGGCATTCTTCATCTGCTTGACTGGTCGTGTGGGAGCAGTCTACCACATCTCCTTCCCAGTCATGAACAGGTCTTCTTTTGGTATCTTTGGATCGCTGTGGCCTGTGTTCAACCGCGCTTTGATGGCTTGGTGAGTCGTGCAACCCTTGTATATCTCAGCAGCCCATCTGACAGGACTGCAGTATCTGGTACGGTGTACAAGGCTGGATCGGCGGCGAATGCGTCTACCTCATGATCCTCTCCGTCTGGCCCTCGTTCGGCACGAGAGCGTCATTGACCAAGGAAATCGCTCTTGGAGGCAGCGTCAACTACCTGATCGGCTTCATCCTCTTCTGGGCTGGCTCATTGCCTTTTATCTGGTTCCCCGTCCACAAAGTCCGTCATTTGTTCACCGTCAAGGCTGTCGTGGCACCCACAGCCGGTATCGCCTTCCTCGTCTGGGCTCTGGTCAGAGCTGGCGGCGCAGGCGAAATCATCCATCAACCGGCCAAAGTCCACGGTTCAAAACTCGCTTGGGCAATCATCACAGGCATCATGTCTTCAGTCTCCAACTTTGCCACTCTGATCGTCAACGACCCTGATTTCTCCCGTTTTGCAAGCAAACCCAGCGACGCTTTGCTCCCTCAATTCATCACGATTCCCGTGGGCTTCGGCCTCACCTCTCTCATCGGCATCCTAGTGGGCTCAGCCTCGGCAGTAATCTACCCGGAACTCGGCGCGGTCTGGAACCCGCTCGAACTGCTCAAAGCCTTCATCACGCAAGACGGCCACGGCAGCGCAGGCGCCAGAGCAGGCGTCTTCCTCATCGCCTTCGCCTTCGTGGTCGCGCAACTCGGCACAAACATAGCCGCAAACTCCATTTCGGCAGGTACAGATCTGACCGCCTTGCTCCCTCGCTACATCAACATCCGCCGCGGTGGATACATCTGCGCCGTCATCGGTATCGTGATTTGTCCCTGGCAATTCGTGGCGGGCAGCAGTACATTTACCACGTACCTCTCGGCCTACTCTGTGTTTTTGTCTGCGATCGCCGGACCGATGATTGTGGATTACTATGCTGTGCGCAAGGGATACCTCCAAGCGCGGGATCTGTACTCAGCCGATGTCAATGGACCTTACTACGGCACGTTCGGCATCCAATGGCGTGGCTACGTGGCCTATATCTGCGGTATTCTTATCAACGTGGTCGGTTTTGCAGGCGCATGCGGCGTCGATGTGCCCATTGGCGCTACATACATTTACCGCCTCAATTTCTTTACCGGGTTTTTGGCAAGTGGAGGTGTGTATTACATTCTCTGTCGCATTGCGCCTGTGGAGGCACAAAATCCCGTGGGAAGCTGGTTAGAGGCGCCAGAGCCCAACGAGGAGGATTTGGGTAATGTGGTCAGTCATGGCAAGGAAGTGGAGTATGCGACTGGTTTGGATGTGGAGCAGCAGCAACAGCAAGGGGGCTTCTTTAGGAAGAAGATGGATGCTATTGCCAAGGCTTTGTAGATAAGACCTGACGGAGACTGGGTTTTGCGGTCGAAAAAAAGTACTTGTTTCTTCTATTGCTCTGCTGTTCTTTTCTTGCGCTGGGTGACTTGTGGTCTGACAACGTCTGATCGTTGATTGTAGCTTAGATGTGGGCTCTGACTATCCGCATTATGCTGCTGTGGAGCTGTTGTTCAAAACAATCTGTCCGCCAACCTTCACCATCCAAGCGTTTTTTTCAGCGTGAAACGGTCTTCGGCCTTTGCATTCGTTCGCTGGTCCTCAGATATGCTCATGTCCTCGAGAGCGAGCAAAGGATGGCACGCAGCAACAAAGGCTACCAGGACTCCTTTGTCCAAGAACATTGCAACCAGTATTCCTTCCTCTGCAGCACCAAGTCATCCCCATTCTCCCCAGCAGCCAGCAATCTCATCCATGCACACCCCATCATCCACCAACATAAACATCTCCATCGCTCTTCAACTTCTTCCAGGCCTCCTCAGCCAACTTCCCATACACATCATCATCATCCTGACAACAATCAAACCACGACACCAGAGGTGCGTGTCTCAAAACATCCTGAGCGCGCTGATCGGCCCAGAACTCCCTGAAGAAACTCAATTGTCTGATGGGTACACTAGGGCTGAGAGAACCGAGCCGCAGGGACAGCAAACATGGGAAGAGCACAGTGGGTTCGGTTGCCAGGGGCTCAAGGGTGAAGGTCCCAGTCAGAGTCAGGTCGCGTAGAATGCGGCATTGGCGGCCGAGGGCGAGGAGGAAGGGGTCGCCGAGGTTGTTGGTGGCGTTGAGATTGCGTGAAACCAATGCGGGCAAGGAGCCGAGTACGGTGGCGAAGGGGTCGGCGTTGAGCAATGTCGCATCGAGCCGTTCGCCATCGTGCGTACTGGTGAGTTCGAGGTACTTGAGTCGCTTCAGGAGAACGAGATAGGCGAGGTCGTTGTCTGAAAGGGTGTAGTGCGTGAACTTGAGCCAGATGGACCACAGGTTCTTCAGACCACGAAGGTAGGGGAACACACTGGCTGTACCGTCTACAGTGAGCTCGAGACGTTCCAGTTGAGTGATGCAGGGAAGCAGGATGTTGGCGGCTGCTGCATCTGCGAAGAGAACGAGATGTCTGAGCTTCTGGAAGGGGTGGGCGACGGCGACAATAGACAGCGCGAAGGGTTGATCGAATCGCTTCTCCAACTCCAACTCCTCGATGGCAGGATGCAAAGCGATACATCCCATGACAGACTCATTGATCAAGTCGTCGACGAGACTTTCAAGGTGCAGTGTTTCGAGTCTGGTACAGCGTTGCAGGACAGCAACCAGGTCCTCGGACGTTGTTCGTCTGGTCAAACGAGCATACAACTTCAGCAAGCGAAGACCTTTGCATTTACTGAGCTTCGGCAGGAAGTTATCGACGATAGGGAGAAGACCAGGGCGTCCGTCGAGCGAATCACCGATCTCAAGGTGACGAAGACGATCTCTAACAAAGCGTGCGACTCGAGCGAAGGTGCGTGTTTCCCCACGAAGTTCAGCCTTGCCATGCTGGACAGTAAGACTCTGTAGACGAGGAAACTGCAAACCTCTGGCCTCATGGTGGGCATGGGGTGCCTTGAAATCAGTCACGACATTACGCATCAAGTCGGCGAGAGATTGTTGTTGGGTGTTTGGCTGGTGGTCTTCGAGTTCCTCCAGGAGTTCCTTTTCGCACGTCTCGTTTTGCCAGTAGAGTCTCAGGGCTTGATCGTGCGCAATTTGCCAGTGGAGCCTCGGGGCTTGATCGTGCGCAGAACATGCCGCGCCTATGACTGCCTGCAGGGTATCTCGGTCTCTGATAAAGTGCGCGAGGATCTTCTCCCAGATCTCATCAGGGACTGTGTCGAGAAGTAGTTCCATGGCGGTGGGGATGACTGAGGTGGTGGCCATGATGGAGGTGAGCAAGAGGATAAACAACAATGATGATGCTGATGGAAGAAGCGAGAGCACAAGAGCACGAAGGCAAGCGCGCGTGGTGTTGACGGCGACAAGGACCGCTCTCGCAATAACCACAAATTCACACTCGAGCCTCCCGTGGAGCACACCCGGGAACTGCCAAGGCTCCATTACCTCGAGCATGCTCCTTCTTACTCATTAGATTGCACTCACTCCTATGTGTAACATCTTCTTCCCACAGTCGCCGAGTGGGAAGTCTCCCACAGCTGCACAAATATACTCTTCCTACATTTCCACCCCACTGACTAGATTTCGCCTCATAGCGAGGGGTCTGCTGCCGCAGCGGTATTCGAACAAAGAAGCAGATCTAGCTAGACATTAGGAATGTGAAAGAAAGAGTGTGTTATACAGGACGTGATGAGCAGCATTTCCAGTACTCCAGGCATTTGCTGTAGGCCTTGGGCATCGCTGGCGAGTGCATAACGTTTACAAGAAATCAATGGTTCGTACAGATGAATGAGAATCAGGAGAGTAGCCTGAGTGGAAAGTAGCCATCTCCTACCCGTCTCGATACCGGTTTCCCAATTCTGGAAGACGAAAAGCAGCATCCGTCGGATCAAATCCCAAGCACCTAACTTTTGCTTCGCCTCAGTACCATTGGCATCATCACAGTCTTCTCCAGTGAACTCTATCCACGCAGCCGATCATGTCTCGCATCTCCTCCTCATTATAGACATCGATCTCTGTGGCGTCCCAATACAAAAGAAACATTAAAGCAGAGACAAGCCCAGAAAGAATTGCGCAAAAGCCAAGAACGGAATAACAGAACAAGGAAAAACTTGAATACCCCATCACCACCGTCAACAAAGCTTTGCCCTGGACCAAGACATCTTTTGCTGATGTTGAAGCATCGAACCTCCTCTCCTTCTCGTTGTGAGTCAAGATGCTCCGATCATTTGCTTCAGTGATCGATTCGGTGCAGCTGATCATCGATTCGTGGTTAGGCGTGCTGTTTCTCCCAAAGCATGTTCGATCTCTACCCAAGGTGACAGACAGCTTGTGCAGCAAGACCAAGCAAGGAAGAAGCCACCATCAAGAACACTCAGAAGACGTGCTATGACATATGAGCTTCCTCCCAATCTGAAACAGGGGTGAACTCAGACACATAGCGATCGATGACCTCCTCCGGCGTGCCATCTCGCTCCAAGAAAGCACGGAACTCTCTCTTGTCCTTCGAAAACCACCAGGCGTTGGCAGCCATCTGAGCCATGTCGTCCTTCTCATCAAGGCAGGAGTAGATCCAATGGAGCTTGGGAGCGTGTCTGTCGAGATCTTGGGCCAACTGGTCTGCCCAGTCCTGTTTCACGAAGCCCTGGTGCTGGCGCCCTGGAGGGTCTGGAGCTTGGGCAATGAGCCGAGTACACTCGCCAGGATCTCTGGGCTGACTCTGTTGTGATCAAACAAACTTCTCTGCTGGCCGTTGTGGAACTGAAGAGATTCCAAATGCTTCAGCGATTTCATGTACGAGAGGTCGTGATCAGTCAAGGGGAAAGAGGCAGATTCAAAACTGAACGACTGCAGAGTCTTGACCTTTCCAACAGCTGGGAAGACACTTCCACTTCTTGAGATTACGAGCCGGAGTGTCTTCAGTCGCTGCAATTGCGGCAGGACTATACTGGCGCCGTCTGGGGTGGCGTGCAGCGTGAGATCGAGCAGGTGGCGGAACGGTTGCTCGATTTTCATGATAGTCGAAGCCAGAGACAGGTCGATGACTTTCTGGATTTCCAATGTTTCGATAGATCGGTGTTCAGCCAGAGCTTGGAGTGCGTATGGGTCGATCAGTGGTGCAGTGTGGCTACTCAGGTAGAGCATCTTGAGCTCTTTGCAACTGTTCAAGACTGCGACAAGGTGTTGGGATGATGCGTCCCCAATTCGAGCACAGACTGACAACTCCCGGAGGTCGAGGCAAGTGCTGAGGACTGGTAGAAAATTGTCTGTTGAGGGAAGAAGATCATGAGGCCACCATCTATCGGAGCCAATGTCCAGATACTGCAGACGTGGACCTAGCAGGCGTCCTACACAGGCTTCTACATGAAGGTATCCTTCGCTATGAAGAACTCCGGTAGTCATCACAGTAATACTTCGGAGCTGAGGGAATTGGAGAACCGGAGATACACGACGCTGGCCGGTGGGCTTGAACCTCATGGTTATGTGGCGGATGTGGTGAGCAAGCGACTGTCTCACGTAGTCTGGCATAATATCCAACGTATCCAGCAGTCCTGGAGCAGCAAGGTCATTTCTCCAGTAGAGCCTCTCAGCCTGATCAGGGCCACGGCCGTGTCCTTGAGCGATGGCGAGAAGGGTTCCTCTATCACGCACGAGGTGTGAAAGGAACTTCTCCCAAAGCTCGTCGGGGACCCGGTCCGATGGCTTAGTGGCGCTGTCGAGCATGGTGTCTACCGTGCTAGTCATGACGCGTTGGGACATTGCGATTCTGGGGTATCGTGTTGGTTGGAGGAAACAGTAGTCAAAAAGAGGCGATGTGGTTGTAGGGAAGGAGTATTGATTTGTTGTTACTGCTGGTTGTGAATCACTTTGCTCGCGGATATTTGTGGTGCAGTGATAGCAACTTCGGGATGTTGTGCTTGTCGAACAGACTAGCGGTGAACAACAGGCGATGTGATTGTAAGAGAGGAGTATGTGGTTTGTTGTTGTTGCTGCTGCTGATGGTGCAAGCGCTTTGCTCGCGGATTTTGGCGGTGCAGTGGTAGCTGGCTCGAAGTGTTGCAAGATTGAAGGTGCACGTCAAACTGTAGTCAACGCGCGTTGTTCTTGCGTTGATGAGAGAGGCTGATTGCAGGAGTCGTGATGGTAGTCCTCAATGTTGCGATGGGCAAAGAGATGAATCAGAGTATGAATATGCTGTGCTTTGTTATGAATTGCTATGCCGAAACTTGATGCCCCGACGATACAAGAACTTGATTTCGATTGTAGTCGTCAATAATGCGATGAGCCCAGAGATGGGCAAGAGAACGGATGTGTTGCGAGTGGTTTGGCGGAGAGACGCTGCCGCAAGAGCCTGACGCAGACGCGTAGCGCTCAGGCGGTGACAGCGAAGACGTGGCTCCAGAGTGACAAGGGAATAGAACGATACTGATGAAAAAGGATGTTGATGCAAGACAAAGGATGCTTGAGTAGACGAACAACAATGCGCGAGAGAAAAGTCGCGTGGTGTTGATGAGAAGATGGGTTCTTCTGGCAGCTTTAACTTACGAATTTTCCTAAGCCATGACATGGTGCCCACCGTGGGACACACCCGACGAGTACCAAGCCTCCGTCACCGAGAGCATACTCCTCCTTCGCAACGCCTCCATCGTAATGACTGCAATGTATACCAATTGCTGGCCATGATCACGGCTACAGCACTGATTGCACCTGTTCCAAACCATCTCTTCAATACCACCTCCCCCGACCAACGTCATCAACCCTTCAACATTCCCTGCATGATGGACTGGATCATGTAGCAACGATTCTCCATCATCCACCTCATTAGTCAATCTCCTGTTGCCCTACTCCTTCCCCTCGCACACACCTCTTCTGACCTTGTCACTAGTCAAGGCACCTTTATGCCTCTTCTCGGTGATGATATACTCTCTCCACAAGAAGCCAGCGCCGACCGCACCACCAGGTCCAAGTACGACGGTAGCAAGTGCTGAAGCAGCCAACACAGTAAGCCAACTCTGTGTCACAATACCAGCGACTTTGGCGTCCCAGACGAAGTACAGGAGCCAGAGGTAGGTAGAGAGGATGGCGATGAGGTAGTTGTATTGCAACAAGTCGTATACCGGAGTCAAGGCGGAGGTGGAGCTGAAGTCGGCCAAGGTTGTGGTGATATTGTGCGCCAAGAAAAGTCGTGAGAACGAGACGGGAGAAGCGCAGAGGGTGTAGAGCCAGAACATCGTTGCAACACCAGTGGGAACCCCGATCGTGTATCTGAGGGTAGCGACATCTCTCTTCGGCCTCTCAATCTTATCTTGATCGGCGGTGTCTTTCCAGATTTTGCTCATGGCAAATTGACCAAGCGAGAGTGTGACCGGAAAGTATTGCCAGAGCTGCAACCATGTCTGACGTTGACTGACTTCGGGCAACAACCAGACTTGTATCAATGGAAGATAGAAAGTCATGAGCAACGACGGGAGAACAGCTTTCGTATAGTGCATTTTCGTCAATCTCATGTCAGTGGACTTGAAAGTGTCGATGGGGGTGAGCACCCAATGCACGAAGGAGTAAAGAGGTGCAACTACACCGAGACCTCTACGTTGAGCAAGGACGGTGAAGAGGAGGGGTCTACAAGTTGTTAGCGATCGGATGGAGGGTTCTGGAGGTGAGCGAAAATATTGGTAAGGATAGACGTACAATTGAACTGGCATCAGAGCGTTGCAGCAGCGGATGGCTTCGATGGACCAGATGGAAAGGACGACGCCGGAAAAGCTGAGGAAGTTTGTGGTGAGCATGTTGGTGGCAGGATGAACATTCGCAGATGTGGTTGTGTAGGTGTTGTTCATGGATGCCGAACTGAGAAGAGTTAGTGACATTCAGGGAATCAGAAGCATCGAAATACATACCTGTTGAATTGTCCACCAAAGCCCCAAGGAGATGTGGTCAGAGAGGAAGGCATGAGTCTAGCAGAGTACCAAGCAGAACTGGCAAGACCATCGCCACCGATACCGACAACAGCACTCGAGATCTTCCAAGCGAAAGCGAAGACAGCCAGAAAAGGCATCGCAAGCGCCGCTCTCACCAGCAAATTCTCCTTCATGCCTTGCCCCTGCTCAGGATTGAACGGCATCCAACCCCTCAGACTTCCCTCAGGTAGCGGCAAGTAATCAATCGCAACCGCGCCGACCGTAACATCAGACGTCAAATTCTCCAGGAAATCACCCATGTAGTTCAATCCGTAACGAGCAAACAAGGCATGTCCCCAAGTTGCTAGTGCTTGAACATGGGTAAGGAAATTTGAGGCTTGGATTGCAGCTGCGGCGCGAACTTCGCGTAACTTTTGGTATGAATGCAGGCAGGCGACGACTTGGTCTTGAGTTGGGCGTTGGCCATTGGAAGTATCTGAGAGCTTCTTGATCGAGTTTGCGAGGGCGGCGGCGCTTTCGATTGCTTGATTGCCGCCGAAGCCTGGGATGTTGTTAGTCTGTTCGGTGTTTTCTGAATTCAGCCTTGACAAACATACCAGCGTTCGGTGTCATCTTGTGGGCAGAGTCACCAAGACAAGCTATGCGACCCCACGTCCAGATCTGTTCCCACTCAGCGGAGCATTCAATATTGGAAGAAAGGGTCATACCTTGTAAGTAGCAGTCTCGATGCCGACGAGCGTACTAGAAACGCTGTTCTTGTGCAGATCTCGAAGGAGGACCTTGTCAGTGACTTTCATATCGCCATGACGCTCAGCAAACTCGATCTTGTCGGCTTCAGTATATTTCGGGATGTGGGGGTCTTTGTAAGTCTTGTTCATCTTCTCAAAGACAAAATAGTATGTTCGGTCGTTCTTGCCGACTATTGCCATGGTGCTGCGTTTCTCGTTGTATCCCACGTCGATCTCACCGGCGGGCAGGCCAGAGGACGAAGAGGCGATACCGTAGAGACATTGGTACTGGCTCTCGAGAGCTGTTCAAACAGTCAGCTTCAGTCGGAATGCGGTATCTCGGTGTCATACAGCTTTTGTCGTTCTTGACCAGCTCAGGGTCCTCTTCATCGGCAAGACGCCACATCTCGCTTCTTGCTTTCGAGTTGACTCCATCTGCGCCAGCTAGTACATCGCCCACATACGCACTGCCATCTTCACAGATGACTGTGACACCGCTTGCGTGTTGACGGACTGTCGTGAGGTTCTTGCCGACTAAGACCTTACTCTTGTCTTTGAGGTTATCGTATAGAACCTCAAGAATGTTTTGTCGGTCGCTGAATGCAAAAGAGTAGCCGCTTCTATCGGCAAGGTCAATGATGCACTCCTGAGAGTCAGAGTGTATCTACGCATACCTGGCCTTTGCGAGTTGAGAAACACTCGAAGGTTTTGCCAGCAGTCGACCATGCTGGTCACGGTCGTGCACCCACTGAACTGGCTCCTGCTAGGGTCAACACAGCTTTCGTGGCGATCAGTCTTTCAGAGAGCGTACCACACATGCGTAAAGAGCCTCTCTACAGCCGAGTTGATCCAAAATCTGCGGTCGATCAGCTCGATGAAATGAGGCATCGATGTGACGGCGGCTTGACTGACTCTGCAGCCGTTGGACAGAATACCGATAGAGGCGCCAACTTGAGGTGCTATCTCTTTTCTCCGTTCGAGGAGAACATAGTCGATGTTTGCTTGCTGTTCAACGGTCATCAAGTGATCATCAAGACTCTGTAGAAGACGCACCTCGAGAGCATTTGCGAGCGTGAGACCAGCGATACCACCACCAGCGATGATGATTTTCAGAGAGCTTGTCATGATTCAAAGATAGTCTAAGAGGATTGCGAGATCGAAGGGAGCGGACAGAAATCAAGCATATGATTTGAGAGTGGAAACGACAAGGAGGATGCACAGAGATATAGAATTGGGTGACACAGAAGTGTCACACACTGATCGACACAGCTTACCTCAGACTCGACGGGAAAGGATAATGATAGTGCTAGGGACGTTTTGACAGCGCTTACCATATGCTTGTATGACACTCAGCGTCTGTGTCAAGTCACCGAGACAGGCAAAAGGGCGAGTTCGGATCTAACTTGGACTGGTTTGGGGTGTGGAGAGAGTGCATCTCTAGCGTGGAGAATGGTGATGGATTTGATCAACAGGAATCCTGCGAACTCAAGATGAGACGCAAGTTGCAGGAAGGAGGAGCTCAATCCTTCGGTGGAGCTTGACCGGTGGGAAGCACAGGCACGACCATGGCATCGTAGGCGAACAGGTAGAAGCGCATGACAAGGTCTCTGCGGACGAGCTCGAAGAGCTGTGTACTTGCATGCAGTAGCCAGTCGCTGGTCAGCGATGATCAGGTCGAAGACAAATGGTTTGAGATTGCGCACAAGTCGAGTCGCAGGCTGGGCGGAGAGAAAGATGGCAGGTGCGGGATTGATGCCGGGTGCCAAGAGATGAAAGTTGGGGATCGGAGTTGGACGCGTCGTCTCGGCCAGCGAGCGGCACGGAAGTCGCGACTGGGAGGAAGCAACTGCCTTGTCTGGACAGCAGAGAAAGAAAGAGCGAGCGAGTCTTCTGCATGCAGCAAGAGCGGTGGATATCGACACTGAGGAAGGAGCTGCTGCACGCGTCCATCGCACCCCCCGAGAGTTTCCACACCAACCCGCGACTCTCCATAGCCGTCACAAAGTCCATCAACTGCGAGGTCTCCCTACCCATCTCGACAAGCCTCTCCATACCAGAAACCCCTACCATGGCCGACCTCTCGGCCCTGACCGACTCGGCTGCTGAAGCCTTGCCTATCGACGCTGCCGACCACGAAGGCGATGCGACCGACACCAACGACAACGACAACGATGGGGACAATGACGGCGACGGCGACAACGACGCTGCCCCATCAACGTACAAGGTCATCTGTGAAGCTGCTCCACCAGAGCGACGCTTCCCCTCGTTCGAGGCAGCGATAGAATTCGGCAACGCATGGTCGCGCGACAGCGGCTTCGACCTCGTCCGCATCAACAAAGGCAAGCAAGGCCGCAACCCCCAAGGCGTCACATACAAGTTCCTCTGGGAGTGCAAGCGTCATGGCAAGCCTGCAAATACACGCAAGCTGACTCCGGACCGCCGACAACGCGCTGCTCGAGGCTCGGTGAGGATTGGCTGTCGCATGCGCATCGTCCTCGTCGCCGTCGAGCCTCAGGTGCCTCAGGGCGAGTGGCAGATCAGACACTGCGGGCGCAACGGCCACAACCACGGCCCGGACAATGCAGAGTCGTTCCCGGCCGTCCGCCGTCGCACTCGCACACACGAGATGGATGTCTTCATGGCTACTCAACTGCGTCAAGGGCTGTCGAGGTCGGAAACGCTGCAGCTTGTCCGCCAGCACTGGCCAGACGCCCTCGTCACTCGTCAAGACATTGGCAATTTTGCAAAGACGTTTGCCCAGAAGATTGGTGCCTCCTCCAGACTGACGCCTGAAGCCACTCCTGACAACTCGCCCATGCCGCCCGTGCCTACTGCGAACGCACAAGTCATTCCTAACCCACCTCTGAATGTTCACCACGCCCAGATGCAGCATTCACAAGCCCAGCAAACTCTGGCTCACACTCACCAGCACCCCATGCAACCACTAGGAATGCCCATGCAACAGCCAAATCCCGATGCCACTCGAGCTGCCTACCAGGCTGGCTATCAAGCTGCCGTTGAGCAACACCGCATCAACAGCGATCTCAATCACCGTGTCGAGGCTCTTGAAAGCTCGATACAAGTACAAGACCGCATCGCCTCGCTCGAACAAACCGTCAACAACTTGACTCAACTCATCATGGGCGGTTACATGCCCCACATCCAGCATTCCCAGTCTTGACCCTCCAAACCCCTCGCCTCGCCAAACTCTGGGCGCCTAATCGCTATCCTGCTTCACATCCCTTGTTTCCCATCCTCGACCTCATCTGGCATCTGATATCGTGAACACATGTCGGCTACCGAAAAAAGTCTTTTCGTCGCCCGAACTTGTCGAGGTGATCATCGAGCAGCTCGAGTTCGATCGAGCAGCACTCTACTCGGCACATCTCGTCAACACCACCTGGGCGCACTTTGCCAGAAAAGTCCTCTGGCATAATGCCCCCTTTGTATCCCTGGCTTGCGTCGATCTTTGCAGGCCACAATGCTTTGCAAATATGATCGAGAATTCTTGCACATGGAATCCGTGGTTGCATGCTGACCTCCACACGAGGACAAGCTCGCTCTTGGGCAGACTGCATAACCTCGGTAGTCTCGTCATTGTAGAGATCGGCTGTGATACCCAGTTTGGCCGGGAAGAGATTCACGATGGCCCATTCACGGATGATGATATTGAAGCCATGACATCTGGGCTACCTCTTCTCCAACACTTCGAGCTAGACATGCCTTATAACTTTTCGCTACCATCGCTCACATCACTAGCAACGAATTGTCCTGGACTCGAGTCCTGCCATCTCTCGCTCTCTATCCCTATAACAGCCAGGGGAGCCCAGGAAGCACCCAACTTTCCGCAGTTGGAGTCTTTCATTCCCACTTCAGGGAAGTACATGGATAAATCTGGGGGTACCGAGCATGAGACCGAGTGGTTGAGTCCCAGCACGGAAACGAAACCCACGATGAGTTTGATGGATGAGATTGCGGTGGTTCCTACTCATATCGACATTGTTCTGCGGCATTGTCCAAGGCTTGAGAAGTTGCATCTCTATCTGATGGATGATGGCAAGGAGGAGATTGAGCAGAGAAGGCAGAGAATGGCACGGAGCGCATGATTAGAGAATGTTTTGAACGATGAAACTGGAGAAGGCAAAAAGGATGGACAATGTCTAAGGATGGAAACGAGTCGTTCCGCTGGCTATAAACTGTTCCTGCTTACCTGATGTCCCTAGACTCAGAATGCCTTCGTAAACCGGAAAATCAGCACGTGCATTCTATCTGTTTTGCTCTATATCCTGTCTCCTGTCCCTCTGAGTGCTTCTCGATTGATTTTTTCATAGCATCATAAAGACCACCACTGCCACCACTAGTACTAACGCAGATCTGACATCTCCCAGCTTTTCTTGCATGCCTTACACAGACCATGCTTCTGACCGTAGAGCCACCAAAATGAGCTGTGCACACGATGCTACGTCATGGGTTGCCTGCCAGGAACCATAAATATGAAGCGAATAATGTGTTTCGAAGCTTCTATTAGAGATGGAAGATCGTTTTTATAGTGTCACTATGACGTCACAATGGACGTGCGGACTACGAAAACGACTCTCCCAAGGACTTCTGCATTCAATCAAGCCAACAATCTGTTATCATTGGGCAACATGCCTTCAATGAGCAGACAAGAGTTCCTCGCGGACTTTGTCTACAGCGTTCGAAAACAGTTCAACGTCAACGGCACTCCAGCATCATGGGCACAAGGATCCAAGCCAGCTCATCGGTTCTGGGGTGACGAAGACAGCGCAATCGGGATCGCATATTCTAGCCATGACCACACAAATCACCACTACGCCGTCAGTTGCGACGCGAAACTCGTTGCCGTTTGTGGCGGGTTGAATGTCAGTATATACGACATTGCGACCCAGGAACGACGAGCTCAGTTTTGGTGTCCGGAGAACTCGTCTCCGAGGATGAGATTCCATGATTTGAGTCGTGAAGGTGGAGGATATCTTGTCATTGTGGCGACCTCGGATCGAGGGGGCTTTAACGACAAATTGAACTTCCTAGAACTAAATTCTGATGGGAGCATGTCGATCGACCGGGCAAATCTCATGGATGCACCAAGTCTTGTGGACGAATCTCTTGCACCCATCGTTTCTCAGATCACTCGTACCCACGGACCCATGGATTCAGTGATCCAGCCTTTACTGCACACGCTGCGTGAAAACTACACCAAAGCTCTACAGGATCTACAGGGCAGTCTGCTATTCGCATCCGTCCCTCACGTCGACGGCAAATTATGTGGTTCGCGAGACTCCAGCTCAAGAGGAAAACACTTTCTATACGTAACTAACAATCACGGTCTTCAACGCGGAGGACGTCCACTTGCAGAGCTTCCGGAGATTGTGGTATACGACTATGCTTTGAAGAGTACAAAGTTTGTTTTGGCTGGTCATGGAGGATATATCGTATGGACTAGCTTCAGTCCTGATGGCCGTTATATTGCTTCTGCGTCTCATGAAGGTACTTGCAGGATCTTTGACAGCACGACAGGCGACTGCAGACACAAGGTTGACTTGATGGATGGCCAATGCTCATCAGGAGCCTGGTCGCCAGACTCACAGCACATAGCCATCTGCGGAAAGGACAAGCGAATAGCTACGGAAACTGGAGTTGCTGCAAGTCTTCTGGTGACTGTTGTGATCTCCGTCGAGACAGGCAAACAAGTCGCGAGTTTCGACCACGGCGACCCATCCTCCAGACACAGCTCCATCGCTTGGTCATCAAGGAACGACATTGCAATAACCCAAGACACAGATATATACTTCTGGGATCCCTTTTCGGACAACACCATGCATTCCTTCTCCATCGATGTCGAGGGTCGCATGCTAAAGACCTACGCAGGCTTCAGCCAGATCTCTTGGAGTGCAGATGGAAAACGTCTGATCGTCATGTGCGGGGACGGCACGATTGAAGTCTGGGACAGAGATGCTAATGTCAGGTGGAGGGTGCAAAGACCGCAGGGGTTGACGACGAAACGATTTGGACAGGGGTTTCATTGGCTTGAGAAGCTTCAAATGTTGATTTGTTTGAATGGAGATGGGTATTTAAGATCTTATACGTTTGAATAAGCGATCACAGTGTTGATGGTTTCTTCCCCTTTTTACTGATCTTCCGAGCGGGCACGCAAGGCTCGTTGATATAAGCCTAACCTTGAGGAGTCTAGATTGCGCGCGCAACTGCCGAGTTCAACGCGACTGAATAACCTCCTACATCCAGCTGTGCATGCAGCGACATGCATCCTCGTGTATACAAGATGCGCAGCGACAATGACGACTACGACGAACCAGAAGTTGAGGTGAGCCGGCTGATGGTGCGCGGATAGCAGGAAGACTGACCGCTACACCCTGCTAAACGTCGAATCCGAAAGACCAAAAAAGAGCACGCGAGCACAAACCCCTCTCGTTCTGTGATTTAGCTACAGAGCTCTGTCTTCGGACATCCTTCTCGACTTGCGAGACTGTTCAAAGGCAGTCGAAACATCGATTTCGAAGCCGCCCTCTCCATATCCATCGCATAGATTGACCGACTTCTGAAGCTTCGGCGCGACCGCACTCAGAATTTCCACCACTCGGTGAGCGGACATCCCTGCAGACTTGACAAGCTCAACCCTCATCTCCCTCAGATTTCCAAACAGAGGGGTTTTCGGCCCTAAAGATTGCCGCACAGAAGTCTTGTCTATGAGTTCAATTATTCTCAGGTTAAGACAGAAAACCGAGATTGTTTGCAATAGGTGGTCTGGAAACCATTGGCAACCTGCATCGATGGATAACTCCTCTAGATTCGTCAGTCCAGGGAACATCTCCGCTGCATCTGATTCCGTGAACCAATTGCCGGGCCTGTGCAATTCTTGGTCCTTTACTTCATCTGGATCTAGTTTGATAGTCATAGGAACTAGACCTGTTGCTGTCATCTGGACGGGACCAATGCAAGGGTAGCTGCTTCCGGAAACATAGCAAGATTTGAATGCACAGCTGAGCCGTAAAGTGTTGAGTCGAGACAGAGAACCCAAGACAACATAAACTCTCGCCGGGACGATTGGCTCTACCCCATCGTCATCTCTTTAGAAATCAAGCACCCGTAGCTACGTCATGGTAGAAGGGTCGTTCGTACATAGCCCAATCGCATACAATCAAATGCTCCAAGTTAGACGAAAGCCAAGTCCAATTAGAGTCTTTTTTTTTCTTTTTCCTCCGTGAGGTACTGCCCCAAATCACCCTCGCTATCGATGACCAGACTTTTCAATTTCGGGGATCGGAATTCATGAGACATCCTGCAGCACAAAGGCCAGTGATTGAACATGCTCAAATCAAGTAAGGCAGCCCGTGCTGCGAATGCCTGTCGACGAGCAAGAGGCGCTTTCGCGATCGCGCTGGTCGTCCTGGTATTGCGACCTAGTTTGAGGCTGAGGGTTTCTTTGTTTATCGTCGGCATGGGGTCGCCACGATATAGTATGTCCAGAGCGGGGTCGGTCCATGAGCTGTGCACACGGACGCAATGTGCCAGACTGACCAGCATATCGAGCACCGTGGTTGTCATGATCAAGCGAGTGATACATTATAAATAGACGTGGGGGTATGTTGGTGATGTGATCCTGCAAGCGATTGATCGGGGATGCATGTTTGCGAAGCCCGCAGTATCTTGGAGAGTTGGTCTTGACAACGACTCAGTTGGGAACAAGATATTCAGACTCCTGTGAACGATCACGCAGCCCACACTGTCAGAGCGCGAAAGAAGTATAAGACACGAAAAGACATTCGAAACCGTTGCTCTTCACTGAAGGAGCATTGGGACACAAGATATCGGGCCAAAACAGCAAAAAGTAAAAATTCCGACACGGGGAATTGAACCCCGGCCTCCTCGGACCTGATCGTTCATTAAGAACAGTTTGAGAGCGAGAAATCCTAGCCACTAGACCATATCGGATATGCTGCAGATATGCTCATTTTCGAATCATATATCCAGATCAGATGGGTAAGGAAGATGGTCATGCGGACGGTAAGACCCTGATTGCCACTAACAACTAATATCGCATAGCCAGTCGTCCTTGTAGAGCTTCTATCAATTGTATTTCTTGGATACTTAGCCTCTGACACATATGTTGAGCTGATTTATAAGTCCAGTCCGCTCAAGGGTCGTCGTCAGTCGTGTTATGGCAGCAAATCTTCCTCACGACATGCAATCATATGGAGCGTTTCTCGGGCGCGGCTTGTCTGGTCCAATCTCCGAAGCAACAAGCGAGCTGGCAATCGCAACATTTCAACCTGACTTGTTGACAAAGTGTCTTCCATCTAGTGCGTTGATATCTGGGAATCAAGGAGTTGCATAGCATTCATCATCATCTTCCGCCAGGAGAAGGACAAAAGACATGGCATGTTCTTGCCAAGATTCACAAGCACGGTCACGATTTGTTGGTCGCCAGGGGATCGACTTATCCATCCCGATATATCAAATACTATGCAGCAAGCATGACGAACATGGCTCTGCAAGGACTCGTGGCGTGTCGGGGGGTAATGGTAACAGAGACTCCTTCGCAACATTTCGAACGGTCTTATCAAGGCTTCGCAGTCCACCTCGATCAATATCAGACCTCCGCACGCCAAATGTCAAAGTCAATCCGGAGACCGCAGTCGCCTCAATCGCCGCGTTCGCTGAGTACCAAGCCTGAAGACTTCGAAAGTCTTTTGACGGCTTGATCATTGCTTCGAATGGTATGTATGTATGTGCGGAGCAGACGCTGCGACGCCTTGCGGCCAGCGAGAGACAGAATAGGAAGCTGATAACATGCACTTCCTTGTGTCCTATCGGCCCGCTGATTTGTCTCGTCGGGCCGTATGACCTTCTCCTTGAGGCCGAAGGCGTTTTTGCAGGCGTTCGTGCAGGCGTTTCCCCCAGTTCTCGACCCCGCGAAGAGTTGAAGAAGGGCCGAATGCCTCACATCCACAACCACCTTTCAGCCGAGGTGCCAACCGCCTCACAAGCTTTCGCACGCAAGAGAAGGATATTTCCTGTTTGCCAAGTCAGATATTTGAGAAACACGAGATCGAACGTCCGCAAATAGCTGTCTCGTGCTGAGAAGGTTGATGAAGAATTTGCAGATAAACTTCTTCTGGATCAATTTCCCCAGGAAACGGCTGGTCGAAGTGCGAACGTCTGGGGCCGAAGCTGGATGCCTTTTTTGGAATCTCCAACCCTTTCTTATCTCCCTGTCTCGCATTCTCCATCTTCACAACGGTCTGACACGGCTATCTCCAGGCTTGGAGGCAATCTCTTCAAACTCTGGGGAGATGAGGAGAGGTCACTGGCAGCGAAGAGCATGGGTCGATGGTATGCGCTAAAGATCAGTCGTTGACGCCTTTGCTTGGCTGCAACAACAAGGCTTCGAGCTTGAGTTCTGCAAAGAGCTTACAAGCGAGAGGTAAGAGCACGCCCTGGCGCTTGTTCTCAGACTCGGCCGGGTCTCCTCAATTTGATCTCGGGATGGCATTCTGATACTGGGGGAACATGCTGATTGTGCATTAATGTGACTGCTCTGTGAGGTATCTTGTCGAAGTGCAGTCCTCTGACATCGTGGGCAGCAAAAAGTACAGGTAGAGCAGATCAGTGACGAAAACAGACTGACAGCGGCTGCACGTGGAAGAAGTTCTGGAAGTAGATCTTGCAAAGTCTTTTCCAAATTGAGTTCAATGAGAACAGAAAGAACAGACGACAACCATGTCTCTGTCTCATGGCGGGCAGCGCGGGGACCCCATCATGGTCGAGAAGGGGAAGAGCAATACCAGTTCATGGTCGAACCTTGTTTGCACCTTCTCCAAGTCCACCGTGCCTGCCTCTGCAAGAAACAATACGCGCACTGACACCTGAATACCATATAAGATATCTTGTTCTTCCTCTTTCTTCCTTCTTCGCTCCATCATCCACTCTCGTTACACGATCATCACATCTAGAATGGCTCCTAACTCCATCCGCGGTACGGCTGATGTCGACCGCATCGAAGCCCCCGTCACCCTCAAGGCTTACCTCATGTGTGCCTTTGCATCGTTCGGCGGTATCTACTTTGGTTACGATGTCGGTTGGATCAGTGGTGTCATGGGCATGAAGTATGCCATCCACACCTTTACTGGTCTTCCTTACGATACTCCCGCCGAAGATTTTGTTGTCGGTGCTAGCGACAAGGCGCTCGTCACTTCTATCCTGTCTGCTGGAACCTTCTTTGGTACGTTACCTCCTAGCCTCTTACACTCGAGGCTCGTTCTGATAGTCGACAGGCGCCCTGATTGCTGGTGACTTTGCCGATTTCTTCGGTCGTCGCACCACCATCATGCTCGGTTGCTTGATCTTCATGGCCGGAGTCATCATGGAGGTCATCTCGACCACTATCCCCCTCATGGCCGCCGGTCGTTTTGTTGCTGGACTGGGTGTTGGCTTCGAGTCAGCAGTTGTCATCCTGTACATGTCCGAAATCTGCCCCAGAAAGGTTCGTGGCGCCCTCATCGCCTGCTACCAATTCTGCATCACCATCGGTATCCTCCTCGCTTCGGTCGTCGTCTACGCCACTCAGAACCGCATGGACAGTGGATCGTACCGTATTCCAGTGGCCGTTCAGCTCCTGTGGGCCCTCATCCTTGGTGGTGGCATTGCTTTCCTGCCCGAGTCGCCTCGTTACTTTGTCAAGAAAGGCGAGCACGAGAAGGCAGCCAAGGCCCTTGCATCCGTGCGTGGTCAGCCCATCGACTCGCAGTTTGTCACCGAGGAACTCGCTGAGATCATCGCCAACCACGAGTACGAATTGTCTGTTGTTCCTCAGGGCAGCTACTTCTCATCGTGGGCCAACTGCTTCAAGGGATCGATCTGGAAGGCCAACAGCAACCTCCGTCGCACCATCCTGGGAACTTCTCTGCAGATGATGCAGCAGTGGACCGGTGTCAATTTCATTTTCTTCTTCGGTACCACCTTCTTCCAGCAGCTCGTAAGTCTTGTATTCTTGCATCTTGACAGCAGTGACTGACAGCAACAGGGCACCATCTCCAACCCCTTCCTGATCGGGCTCATCACCACCCTCGTCAACGTTCTTTCCACTCCCATCTCATTCTGGACCATCGAACGCTTCGGTCGTCGTCCCCTGCTCATCTGGGGTGCCCTTGGCATGCTCACCTGTCAGTTCTTGACTGCCATTCTCGGCACCGCCATTTCTATCGACAACCACGCCGCCACCTCAGCCCAGATTGCCTTCATTTGTCTCGCCATCTCCTTCTTCGCCTCAACCTGGGGTCCTGGCGCTTGGGTCTTAATCGGTGAGATCTTCCCCCTGCCCATTCGTTCCCGCGGTGTCGGTCTGTCTACTGCCAGCAATTGGCTGTGGAACACAATCATTGCCGCCATTACTCCCTACATGGTTGGTAAGGCCAAGGGTCAGGGCAACCTCGGCCCCAAGGTCTTCTTCGTCTGGGGTACTCTGTGCACCTGCGCTTGCATCTACGCCTACTTCCTCGTGCCTGAGACCAAGGGTTTGTCGCTTGAGCAGGTTGACAAGATGCTTGAGGAGGTTACTCCCCGCAACTCTGCTGGTTGGAGACCCACTACCACTTTTGCCAACGAGATGGGCATGACCAAACATGGTGAGGTCACCGAGACTGAGGTCCACATCGATGTTGAGAAGAGAGGTTGATCGCCTCAATACTCGCTGTATGCCAGAGAGTCTTCGTGAAGAAGCTTGGGACGAAGAATCGCCTATCGGGAGACTGGAGTGTGAATATGATAGTTGGCTCGACCTTGAGAAGCCTTAGATAGTTTTTTCTTGCTCGAAAAATGATACCAAAAGTACTTACTACAACTCCTCATATTTCTCTTACCAATGTGACGACGGCTTCACGATCGTGGCACGACGAGATGATACAGGCCGACAGTCGAAAAGAAAGACATCTATTCGACGTCGCGACGCTGTCGAGATTGCGCCCGGGGACGCTTCGTCGTCTGTCCAACTACCAACCTTGCTTCGATCGACAGCACCATATATAAGTTCTATAATCAGCATCGTTTTCTGTCGTGTGACAAGCGCAAGGTCAGAGCATCAAGTTGGCATCAAAGTGTCATTGTACTCGAGTATTCTCAACACTTTAGCCTGAAGTCACACAGATGACGCACTCATAACACCTCGATGGACATACAAACCCCAACTCTACTTCACCTCACCTCTCCTTCATTTCAATCTCTACCACTCTGCAACACGACCAAGATGCGTATCCTCATCACAGGCTCCAGCGATGGCCTCGGCCTCCTGACCGCAAAACTCCTCGCCAAAAACTCCCACCAAGTCACACTCCACGCCCGCAACGCCTCGCGCGCCTCGGACGCCCTCTCCGCCTGCCCCTCGGCCCACAACTGCCTCACCGGCGACCTCAGCACCATCGCCGGCATCAAAGCTTTCGCAGCAGAAGCAAACAAACACGGCCCTTACGATGCCGTAATGCACAACGCAGGACTCTACCTCGGTCCCTTCCGCGCAACCGAAGACGGTCTACCTGCTTTGGTAGCAGTGAACACAGTGGCGCCTTACATCCTTTCCTGTCTCATGGACAAGCCTTCCCGCTTGATTTACGTCTCCAGTGGTTTGCATCAGAATGGCAATGCTGCACTCACCGACATCACTTGGCAACAACGAGGAGAGGCACAATGGGGAAACGGAGCACAAGGATATGCGGATTCAAAATTACACAATATCATGTTTGGGTTCGCGTTCAATCGCAAGTTTGGCATCCCTACGGCTTCGGTGGATCCGGGGTGGGTGAAGACGAAGATGGGAGGGCCGAATGCGATGGATGATTTGGATGCTGCGGTCGAGACGTTTGCGATGGTGTGTACCGGGCAGAGTGAAGCTGGGAAGAAGGACGTCGGACATTTCTATCAGATGAAGGAGAGGGCGTATAGAGAAGAGGCTGAAGATGTGGAGAGGCAGGAGAAGTTGTTGAAGATACTTGAGGAGGTTACGGGTGTGAAGGTGCCTGAGTAGAGGAATGCATTATACGCACCTTCGACGAGTGGGAGCATTCAAAGAGGAAGCTTCGTCCTCGGGCGCAAATTCGGCCCCGCGTCTGACATCTGTTTCTTTGTCATCGATCATGCATCGATAATCCATCAACAATCATCCACAAGCCATCCGACTCAACCGCGATTGACGAACGAAAATCTCAGCTTCCCTGCCATGTCCGACGCACCTTGACCTCAAGTCCAACTTGCTGTGCTCGAATTAGAAGATCAATCGACGACGGGCTTGATCAGATCTGCTCAAGATTGTAAGCGACAGAGGCTGTGTCAACAGAGACCAATAGCACTGCGATAGGGGGACGATCGTCTGCTATCCTGTATAGCTAGTCATTGCTGTCTGCTTTAGGTCTTCTTGGCCGAGCCTCTTTTCTCCTGTCTCGACTCGGCCGAGTTCTTGGCAGGCTTCATGCGAAATTCTCTAGAGACTTCTCACCAATTGGGCAGAGGCGGTGTCCTCACAGAGCTCAGTAGAGGCAGACAGTCGAATCCTGCCGCTGTAATCGACAGGCACTTGGAGAAGGTTTCGGCTGCGGCGGTTTCAGGATTTTTGCCCGAATGCTTGAGCTGGTGCACGGTCCCGACACTGACACCAGTCACGCCGAGTCATCAAAATTCGACAGCCTTTCTTTTCTTCTAACATGACTCTCTTGACCAGTCTATTCAGCTTTCAACTAGTTCTCAAATACTACCCGCTGTTTGCCTCCCGACTCGAGTCAGTGTTATTTTCTGGTACCAATGAATGACTCCGCGGCTATCTTGACACTCGATTCGAAGACGGCGATTCATCAACTCCCTATCTAAGGCGCGCATCGCTTGAGTCGTCGTGTTCAAGGTTTACAGTATGATAGATTGCCTTTCCATGCATTGGCCATGCCCACGTTGCCGATCATTCTTCCTTCCAAGCCTTGTCCCTGCATCGCACTGTGTCTCCAGTACTGGGTATTCGGGATTTTGTTTCACGTGTCGACTTCTTTCGGTCTTACATCATTCCAACAGCTTTCTATTTTCGTCAGTCGCGTGGCAAGAGTGTCACCGACGAAGACAAGATCAATCTACAGCTCCCTTGCTTGACACTAATTGACAGTCGCCAACATGGGCCGTCGCTTGTACGAGTAGATTGCGTAGCGGAGCACAGGTGATGCACAGGCCTGAGAGTCCGAAAATCATCACCGAATATGTCACTCAGTCTTGCTGATCCAGTGCTAACGAATCGACCTTTTGGATCATCCCCACGAAAATGCTCGTTTCGGCCGCTTGACTCGGCTTACTTTTCCTCCTTGGACCCCTCTCGAAGCTAGTAGTGTTGATCCATGTTCGCCTTACTATGGTGTGGGCCTGAAGCCTATCCCTCACGTGGAGAGGAATCTAGGCATTCCATATAGTAGGCCTCGTCTTGCCTCTTTCCATTCATATCCCTTGTTTCTCTTTCTACTCTCTTTCTTTTTCTTTTCCCCCCCTTTTTCTCCAACTACGTATACCATGTCCACTTGACCACATTTCCTATTTTGTATTCCTATACTCGTTCATTCTGTTGCGCACGCACATATCAAGGATAAACCCACACCCACAGAAGACATGGGCACAGATGATAGAAGCGGCCAAATTCTTGGCGTAGCTATCGCTTTCTTAATTCCTACAGCGTTGTCTACTTGCCTGAGAGTTTATACCCGGTAAGATTTTGTGGCCTACCGTTCCTTTATGATCACGGCACTGACATCAGATCAGAACCAAGATTCTCCGAAGTCAAGCTGGCTGGGATGATGCTGCTATGGTGATAGCATTCGGATTTATCCTCACATATCTGGTCTCTCAATTATGCGGTGTCGCTCACGGAAACGGCAAGAAAAGATATCTTCTGGATGATGACACCGCACAGATGGGCCTGATGGTTAGTCTACCAGTTTTCACATCAGTCAGCGATGATGTAACCATTAACATTCCCCGTCCAGTACTGGTTCTTCTGCGAAATCTTCTACACACTCTCTACCGCCGCCCTCAAGATCAGCATCGGTCTCTTCCTCCTCCGCATCGCTGTCAATCGCATCCACATCTGGATCATCCGCTGGATCATGATCCTCAACGTCCTTTTCGCCGTTCCTTACTGTTTGCTGGTTACCTTTCAATGTCGACCCATCTCCTTTTGGTGGGATCTCAATCCTAGCCATCATGGCAAATGTATAAGTCCCGATGTCATTATGATTTTGACCTATGTTGTTTCGGTGTTGAATTCAGTTGCGGATTGGACGTTTGGACTTTTACCGTTCTTTATTGTAAGAAAGTTGCAAATGAAGAAGCAGACTAAAGTTCTGGTGGTTTCCATTCTCGGTTTTGCTGCCTTGTAAGTTTACACCAGTACCCACCGCAACCAGAAAAGGAGGAAATGCTAATGGAGATGGACATCACAGGGGCAGCACAGCAACAATCATCCGCACCCCCTTCGTCCACACCCTCAAAGACTTCAAAGGCGAATTCTTGTACAACACCGCCGACGTCGCAATCTGGACAACAGTCGAACTCGGCATCACCGCCACAGCCGCCAACATCGCCACTTTACGCCCTTTACTCTCCTCCCTCCGCGCACACTTTGGCGTTGCTTCCACCACTGCTACAGGCTCAAAACCTTTCGGCAACACGTACAGCCGCTCTGGGGCGAACAAGAGGAGTAAAAGATTGGATGTGGAAGATCAGACGTTGGTCACGCTTGATGAACTTCGAGCTGGAGGCCAGGATAAAGGGACCACGAATGTTGTCATTGCGGCTGGAGGAAGTTACGAGCACGAGTTACCTCCCCTACCATCACCTGGACTCGGCCATGCCTGGAAAACCAGAGAAGTGGTGCAGAGTGTAGAGATCCGCACGAGTCTCAGTGAAGGCAGCGATGGGAGTAGTGTTAAAGAGGAAGATGAGAGGAGGATCAATGGCGGTGGTTCGAGGGTCGAGGGCGCGGTCAAGAAGACTGGGAGTAGTGCGGGGAGGTTGGGAGTCGGGTATAGGGGTAGGCAGGATACGATGAATGAGTCGACCGAGGGTGCCAAGGCGACTACGCCGTATGAACGGCTGTAATGAGGACAGTCTGTCTATATGATAATATCTTTCTTTTTGTCGAGTCTTCTTTGCACGAGGTAACGTCTTTACGATGATTGAAAGCCAGAGCTCTGCAAATGAAGTCTTTGCGGTGAAGCAAGAAATCCTCTCTTTCACGATTCGACAGAGGAAATCGGCAACAAGGGTATTGAGAAACTTCACTACTCAAGAGATGAGACTACTAGATCCAATGGAGACTCTGCACTTGCGTGGCCGAAGGAGTCTGCCGTCGCAAGAGATTGTATACGGCTGAGTCGCCCCGAGGCGATCGATACACAGTCTGACGGTCGTACAGACAGTCGAGTCAAATCGAGAGCTCCGTAACGAGCATATTTCGTTACGTATTTCTCCACTGCCGTGTCTCCGTACTGCAAAAGCTCAACTTTCAGAATTCCATCCGATCGCCAGATTTTCCATTCTCAGTTCTGCTTGTGCAGCCTCCCAATTCATGGCAGCATCCAATCGAGCATCTGCCTTCAACTCTCCGAATCTGTACATCCAGAAGCACCACCGTTTCTCGTCAACTTCGTCTCTCACGCCTTCTCGAGTCCAAAGTTGTCCTGCTCTCGCCGACCAAAACTCTTCGTTATCTCGTTCCTTGACAGCGTTGTAGACTTCCACCCCAGCCAGTAGAATCCACTGATATGCTGCTGGCAAGTGCAGTGGCACGTTCCTCCCAAGCCTTGACCTGGGTGAACTCTCAAGAGCATCAGCAAGAGTGGCGAAAGCATATGTGACCAGGGGACCGAATAGTTCTGGAAACTTGGTTCCGTGGTCTCGGAACAGTATCGCAACAAAAGTGTTTATATTCTTCCATGTCGCTTTCGCAGTCTCAGGAGAGTCGCCTCTGCTGAGATAAGCTTCTGGTCCATTCATTCTTTCTCGCAACCAAAGTGAGAACCGGGGAAGATGATGCCAGAGCTTTTCTTCTCTGCCTGCCCAGTGGACGATGATTGCGTCGCCTGGTTGTATGGTTGTTGTTTTTGATGATATAATTACCAATGGCTCTTCCCTCTGATTCGTCGCGTCGGGCAAGCCAGCTAGGGTAGCCAGAAAGGCGGCAAGGAGTGATGAGATATTATTGCTAGGAAAGAACTCGACAGCTTCAAGGAAACAGCCTAACGTGTAGTCGTAGGCTTCCATAACGTTTGGATGTGAGAGTATCAGCTCTGCTATACGTTTTGCGGCGGCGAGTGGATTAGTTTGCGAAAGTAGAAGATCGCGAAATGTCAGAACGATGTCCCATTGTGTTGATGTTGCGTCGAGGGTAGACATACGATCCAGCCAGTCTTGCTGGGCAGCCGTGTATTTTTCAACCAGGGTTGCATGTTCCATCGCTGGATGTGTTCATTCGAAGAGTCAACTAGTGTTCCAATATTGCACTCTCACCCTTCTATACGATGATGATGTTGCAGTAAGCATCTACACTTGTCTCTTGGCAGGTGGGGTCGATATAGGCACCAGAATCCTACGTACGAAGGAAGCAGACTTGGCAAACGGGTGTGGCGAATTTGCAGGCAGCAGTCGCAGTTCTTCGGAAAGATGTGAATATCCCTCAATGATATTCCTTGTCGTGCAAATTGCTGCCCGGAAGTATGCTCATGCTATAACATCCGGTGAACACCATCTCATTCTCAAATGAGTGTCCTTCCAGTATGCTGTGCAGCCCGATTCGATGCGAAGGTGAGTGCACAATAAAGCGTGAAGGTGTCCGGTTGACGACTAAATAACCCTTGAAGTTCCTCGATCGGTTCATAGAACTCAATGTCAAGCAGAAAGAAGGTCTTGATCTCGATTTCGCCATGGTCGTAATCACCGACCTCTCAAAAACATACACAAAAGTCTCAAACATCCCCATGGAGGCTGTTACTACTTCACCAGCGCCTTTTCAGGGCAGAAGTGCAGAAGAGTGCTTTGAACTGCTTCAAGCGTTCGTAAAGCATACAGGGAGTGACATCAATGTGGAGTTTTTTGCTATCCTGGATGAGGGATCGAGGGAAGATGATACTGTGTTGATTGTGAAGGCGACGGAAAAAACGCGAGATATCAAGACTGTACGTGGAGCTCTGAAAGAGACCGATATGTCGCTGGTGAACCTCTGGGTTGGGAATTTGGATATTGAGGAGTGTAGTCATGAGCTGGTGGGTTAAGGATTGAAGGATATCACAGGCCTTCGGTGGATCCCTTTAGTTGCTGTTTACGGGCTTCTGCTTATCTGGACCTGCATTGACTCTTTTTGTGACTGCCACAGAGGGGTTTTTGTCGCCATCGTGCCTGGTGGATCGTTGTTCTACGAGCATTTGCTCGACTGTTCACCTTTGGGTTTGCTATGTGTTTGGTTTCGGACAAGATGTGCATTCTCGGATATCACCAGACATTGATGCACCCTAAGCTCCTTAGTCTGTCTCGAGTGGAGTCAGACTGTGACCATCGACAGGTGACCCAGAGCGAACGAGCGGTTTTGTAATGTCCAGATGCCTAAGGTACGCCTCGGATCGATTGTCGTGGTCGAATTTTCCGTGACCCTCGATCCAAGACTTTTACACACAAACAACAAGCGCATCTTGAGCACTACCCTCAGCAACTTTTTGATTCCCTCAATCTTACCATCAGGAAGACGTGTCACCTTTCTCGCCTTGAGTCAGCACCCGTAGCGTCACTGCTCGGGAGAGCGGAATCGAACACTCTATCACGCCATCGCCCTTCAGCAACATCATCTTTGACGCGTTGCTTTTCGACCATTGTCGCAACATCTTCATTCCCATTACATTACCGTTGTCGCTACTTGACGTCGCATTCCTATCAAAGTCGCGACGTGTTCCAACAACCGCAAAGTCAATCCACAGAAGACAGCCGCAGTGGATTGTCGCATCCTCAGTCTCAGGGAGACGCCTCCACAAGCAGTCCTTCCGAATCCAGTATCGCTTCCAACTCGAACAAGTTCAGTACATCGAACATCTCCCACCGCCGCTTGTCCTCTCCGGGAGCTTCTTCTCAGCAACCATGACGAAGTCTCCGCTCTCCTCTGCCCGTCCGAATTTGTATTTGGAAGACATGGCAGAGCTTACAACATCCAAATCAGACTGCAGCTGCAGATTGACCACGCTGCCGACCGAGATTATCCAAGCTATCTTCGAAAACATCACCAATCAGAGGGACATCTTGAATGTTATGATCACCTGCAAGTCGCTCGCTCACCCAGCAGAGGAAGCCCTGTGGCAGGTCTGCAACATTCGTGGCTACGCGAAACTTCCTACGATGAATGCTGAGCAACAGGATCGGTTCCTGATGTGCATCCGGAAACAAACTTTGCACTTCGAACGCACCGGTATACAGCCCAGAGACCTCCGCATCCAACCACCTCGACTCCAAGAGCTCAGCGTCGAGCACCTCTCTGCAGCCTCTGTAAACAACCCCGTCAACATCAGCAGCTTCATCAAATCCAGTCTCATCCGCTTGGAGGTTCGCAATGGCACGACTGATGGCTTCTTACCGGCCTTGAACCTACTCAGAGGTCTGAAGCACCTCAAGATCGGCAGTCAGGTCCAAGTGCAGGGCGGTGATCCCTTGAGCTTCTTGCGTCTCATCCAGACTATACCGCCTCTCGTGACCTTGTTCGGAGGTAGCCTGTCCTCGACCGAACTGTTCGTCGTAGCTGCTTCTGGCAAAGTCATGAGAGAGCTCGGCATGACAGTGCACGTGGATCATACCACCGTTATACGGGCCCTGCAAGTGCCAGATGCTTTTGCTAACCTACGCCGCTTGTGCTTGTGGACACCTGCCAGTGCAGCATGCGAATTGTTGCCAAAGCTGACAACTCTCCAAAGTCTCCAGCTTGACGTTAGTCAGGACTTGCTTCCCGGCGAGACATTCACATCCGCCGCAGTCAGTGTCTTCCGTGCCATCGGTACAATGGACAAACTCTTGGTGCTAGATGTCACATTGCGCGACTTCGGTGTTTCAGTTCAACCTGGAATGTTCCAGCCCCTCACGCATTTGACTCGGCTGGAGAAGTTGAGTATCAACCATGATCTTGTTGTCAATTTTCATCACCGCAACATCGCAGACTTTCTCCCTCTATCCCGCCTCTGCCCTCTGGAGCATCTGCATCTTGAGACCGAACACAGAGTACCTTCTCGCTGGATCGCGAGCTTAGCGAGACAGCATCCAGGCTTGAAGACATTGTCGCTCGGAGCCTTGGTCAAGATCATCCCCTTGAAAGCCCATTTCCCAGCCCTTGAGTCCCTGATGCTCTATTACCCTACTTTGCCTTGTGAATCTTCCCACGCGTACGTTTCTTGCATATATGACATGCGAGAACTCCTTGACTCACCCTGAACAACAGACACCCCTTGATGCGCCAGCTGGCCACGAAGATGCTCGCGATCGCCCCTCGTCTGAAGCAAGTCCAGGTCAATTTCTACTCTTCCGCCTCTAGGGACATTGTGATCTCCTACGAACATAACGAGGAAGACATCACTTGCACTTGCACTAGTCGCCGAGACGGCAACATGACCTTCACCCTGCCAGGTCCTCTGATCCGTTACTGATTTCTACTCTCTCTTAATCGTCCTCGAGCATTGTGGCAACACGTTCACCTCTGTTGCCCGTCGGCAGGAGGAATGGCTCAGCGCTCCCACTCTGAGAGCTTCGATCATCATTTTCTGCAACTTCTTCTTCTTTGGTCAACGAATACCACAGTTGACTTTCCTGGCGTCGTTCATCAGTCGTCAACCGTCAGTCAACATTCGTAACCCTTCAATCAGCAACATCAGTCCTTGATTCGGTCGGTGGCTCTGCGAGGTGGTGTGGTCGATACCTTTCTCTGTCACGCTCAAGATCTTCTCTTCTTTGCTCGCGACGCTCCTGTCTTTCGCCAGAACTCCATTCTTCCAGCACTCACTCTTTTTTCGGCGAAGGACCCCGGCGAATCTCCATAGTTCCACTCCTCCCGGCACAGCTTCCATCAGGGCTCAAAGCGCAATTCACCAATCGTCCTTGGCGAGTAACGTGCGTGTCTACCATCCTCCACTTTCGGTCCCAGCATGAGAAAAATCACACAAAGATGAACTGGTGAAGACGCAGTCTTCTGGTGCTCGTTACAAACAGTGGCAGGGGTTCTTTCTTTGTTTCGCTTCTTTCTCTTGACGCTTGCGTCGTCTGCCCACGACTTCCCTTCTCGACGGGCGTGTTCTCTTTATCTAACCACGGCCGAGGCTTGCAAATCCCCTTTCTGATTTAACTTTCCTCTTCTTCGTTGGTATCGGTTCTGGGTCTCAATTTTCGCTGTTGACGCCTTGGTCATTTGCCCGCAGCTTTTCTTTTTCAATTACCCTTTGGTTTCCAGATGGCATTCCACCCGCCAATGACCTTCTTTAGCATTTTCTTTCGTCTTTAGCTCAACGATGCGATAATGGGAATACCAAGCCTTTGTTCTGCCATCAAATGCAACTTCTCGATATGTCAATTAGTCACGACATGCAAGAGCGAGTGGGTTTTGATCCATGTGCCATGTGCTTCGTCACTCTTCGTCTGGCGTACCTTACAAAAGTGTGATATATTATTAGTCGTATCGAAGCATGATTCATTGCTATCCGATATGGTCTAGTGGCTAGGATTTCTCGCTCTCAAACTGTTCTTAATGAACGATTAGGTCCGAGGAGGCCGGGGTTCAATTCCCCGTGTCGGAATTCTACTTTTACATCTTTCGCGTGTTCTTTTTGTGACACAGTGCCAATGGCAGCAACGTGAGATTGGAGGGGGATAGTACATTTGTTAATCACAATAGTGTGGTAGGTGGATATTCGGTCGAGTTTCTTTTGGCGTTATACTCGTTACTCCTATTGACAGACTATCTCGGTCAAGCGAACGCTTCTTGCTGCAGTTTACGTCGCTGGACGCCGAGTGACGACCCAGGAAGTCTACGAGCATTCGCATCCGGTGATTCCTCTCTCGAGATGATGGAAACTCGCAAAGTCTTGCCTTCTTCATGCTTTTGTCGTCCGTTTCTCACCTACTGGCTAGCTCTTTTTCACTTGTTTACTCTAGGCTATGCTTTCGCAGAGGCTGTGCCGGGGGTGTCGTTTCTGCAGGCGACTTTGAGACCGGCAGAGAAGGTGATCGAGCTTGGCTAGCGGCGTGTAAGGAAGAGATGCGGTGAAGGCACCATCGTGGTTCGTGGCGTCCATAACAGAATGAGTGACAGAGACTGGTGATCTGGGAGAGCGGCGTAATGGTGTAAAAGTGTGGCTGGAGGATTCGGCGATATATTGATGCTCATGATGCTGTTGCCGCCAGAATGACATAGTCATCTCCCAGGGACAGATAAACCTCGACTGCATGTGCTTTTCTTTCCAGGAAGCAGTGGACGACTTTGTGTCCGGAAAACGGTCAAATCAGTGATCTGAGGCTTTGAACAAGGACATCACTACCGAGACTGTTTTTGCTGTCCATTGGATATGTGGTCTCCTTGCGGACGGAAGTGAGCGCAGGACGTGAGTCTGAGTACGCACCCTGCTACCGCCGTGTTGGCACCAAGCCGGACTCAAGGCGGCGACAGATGTGTCGAAGAGAGATGATGGCAGCGACAGCAATCTTGAGCGACAACTCGAGTTCAGAGCTCGCGCAACAACACGTCGTCTCGCTAATTTTGTAGGGCTCCGAAAGAAACTGGGTCTCCAAACATGCACGCGAGGGTGATCAATCTCGTGTCGATTTTGCATTTCAGATGTAACACTGGAAGGAACGATCGCTTCATGACCAGTTTCTGTTGACTTCAGTCACCTTCGCAATGACAATAACATGCAGCTGAACCGTGTCCAACTCCCCGCACGGAGCACCCCCAGGGCAGATTGAATCTGTGTTTCGGTGGAGAAGGGCCGACCATGTGGTGGAGACATCACGAAGCCTCCCAGAGACAACCTGCACAACTTTGTCGCAGTACCAAGCAGTCATGTACCTTTCACATCTTCAGTACAGGTCATCAATATCCGCGGAGGCATCTTGATGCTCCTCATACATCGCAATCTATTTGGTCAATGGCGAAGACTTTCGAGAGAATGAGCAGCACTGCAGCAGAGAGCATGACAACCGGCGGATTGTGACGGGAGGAGCAGCAAGCGACCAGAGCGGCGGAGGAATGCGGCGAAATTTGATGGTCAGAATATTTCACCCTACTGGGCCAAAAGTCGTCGTCAGAATGCCCCTCGTCTTCTCGCCCGGTCTTTCTCGGGTGCCCATTTCTCACTTGTCAAGGCCCTTCATCCATCTTTTGCTGCTTGTTCGACTGGCGAGTGACTGTGGAAAGGCTTGCTTTCAGGAGCCTCGTAGCGTGTCATTGGTCATGCCGTCGACAAGATCGCGCAATACGAAGGCAAGTCTTGCTGGTCGTATTGATCCTTCCGCGGTTTCGACTTCCCAGCGGTCTTGGTTCCACTCCACTGCAACGCATCATAATTCTTGTACCCTAATCAAGCGTCTCAAGAAACTGAGGTCAAGGCTTGTCGAGTCTTGATAAGCTAATGATCCCTCCTGCCAATACGCCAACGCTATCCCCGGTTCGATAGTGTAGCGAGACAATGTACCGGTCGTAGGATACAAGCGAATGTTCGCCGCGGGCGTCCGCACTCATTCGACTGCAGTAAGTGGTAGGGCGTGTCTCCCACCGGGTGGCGGCGTAAACCGGCCCTACACTCGGTACATCTCTTGATGCAACCATCGCATCGGCTGACACGGCTGGATGCGTAACGGGCGCTCTTTCCCCAGACGACAATAGCCCCGGACCTCACTACCCCACGCCCCGAAACTCTCCACATGTCTCCATCTTGCATCTCCACTTGGTTATAAGATCCAAAACCCACCTGCAACATCCCTTCTCTTCCAGTCCGATACTCTTCCCTCTAGCCAACTCCCCAGCTTCTCAGGAGAAGCTTCCGACATCAACATGAATCGCGACCACGAGTCCAAGCCGAGTTACACCGAGGAGCTCGAGAAGCCCGGTGTCGAATATAACGAGAATGAGAAGGCAGATGCCTCCCTCAGGGCTGAGGCCATCATGGCCGAGAATGCCGAGCACAGCATGACCGTGCTGGAGGCCGTCAAGGCATACCCCATGGCTTCATTCTGGGCTTTTGTCTTTTCTTGCACAATTGTAAGATACCAATCTCATACGCTATGTCTCTTTTTGTACATTAACTAATGATCCCAGATCATGGAATCTTATGATGTCTTCCTCATCGGTAACTTCGTCGCTCTTCCCGCTTTCAAGCTCAAATTCGGTGTGCCCGCCGAAGGACAGCAATACGGTGTCATCGAAACCAAGTGGCAGTCTGCTCTTCAGGTTTCCGGGCAACTCGGTGCTCTTATCGGTGTCTTCGTCGCTGGTCCCTTGACCTCTCGCATTGGCTACCGCTACGCTACCCTTGTCGGTCTCATGCTCCTGAATGCCTTCATCTTCATCTTCTACTTCGCAAACTCGCTTCCCGTCATCTTTGCTGCTCAGATCCTCGAGGGCATCCCGTGGGGAATCTTCATCGCCAACGCTCCCGCCTACTGTTCTGAGATTGTTCCTCTCAGACTTAGAGCTCCCGCTACTCAGATGCTGCAGATGTTCTGGGCCATTGGCAGTATCATTGTCGGTGCCGTCACTTACGTGTACAACACCCATCTCGACGAGAACGCATACAAGATCCCAATCGCTCTCCAGTGGTTGTTCCCCACCCCTCTCGCCATTCTCATCTGGTTCGCCCCCGAGTCTCCTTGGTGGTTGACCCGCAAGGGCAAGTACGAGCAGGCGGCACATTCGGTTGAGCGTCTTGGTCGCAGATCGGCCGTCAACTCTGCTGACCAAGTTGCCATGATGCGTCGTGTTATTGAGATGGAGGAGTCAGCAAAGAAGCCCAGCTATATCGAACTCTTCAAGGGCACCGATCTTCGTCGTACCCTCATTGTTTGTGGTGTTTACGCCGCTCAGAACTTGACCGGCAACTTGATCGCAAACCAGGCCGTCTACTTCTTCCAGCAAGCTCACGTCGGCGAGAACCTAGCTTTCGCTCTCGGTCTCATCACCTCCGCCCTTCAGATGATCTTCGTCATGCTTTCCTGGATCCTCACCACCTACTTCGGCAGACGTTCCATCTACCTGTGGGGTTCGGCTGTCAACACTGTCCTCCTCATTGCTCTCGGAATCGCTGCCTCGTTCGGCATCTCGACCACCGCCAATCTCGCTCAAGCTTCGCTTGGTCTTATTGTTTCCGTTCTCTTCACCCTCGGTCCCGCTCCTGCGTCTTGGGTCATCATTGGTGAAACCTCGGCCATTCGCCTCCGCCCTCTCACCACCGGTATTGGTCGCGCTACCTACTACATCATCGAGATCCCTTGCATTTTCCTCGCCTCCTACATGCTCAACCCCACCGGCGGTAACCGTAAGTTTTTTCTCTCCAAATTTGGTCTCACGAACATACAGCTAACAAGTCTTCACAGTCGGTGGCAAGTGCGGTTACGTCTGGGGCGGCACCGGCCTGCTCTGTCTCATCACTGCATACTTCTTCCTTCCTGAGATGAAGGGCAGATCTTACCGTGAGATCGACATCATGTTCAAGCGCAAGATTCCCGCTCGTCACTGGAAGAAGACGGAGATCGACGTTAATGACGACGAGTAGATGCTCTGTCGGAATGTTTTGATGCCAGTCTTTTGAGCTTTCAAAAGCTCAAGGCATGATTGCATGATTGTTTGAAACATGCAAATATGCACAATGATACCACTTTTTCATTCCTTCTGAGAATTATCTCTGCTTCTTTGCGAAGATCTGACCGCCGAATGTGTCTCCACTGTACCCATGATTAGCCTTCTGCATTTTAAGCATTAACTAACCTTAGAAGAGAGTGGAGGACTTGCAAAGCACCTCTTTGCTTTTCGTCCTATTGGGCCTTGTACAATCACTAGTGTCTTTCTAATTCAGTGTCTGGAGATCCGGAATAGCCACGACTGCCATTCTGCTGAGTGGCTCTGCCCTGGCCTCTTGGATGACGGATGGTTTAGTATAGTTATGTACACAATGCCGATATGGACATCTGTGCTATGATGGCACGTTGAAGTAGCTTGCGAACGATGAGGTGTTTTTTGTTTCTGAAACATACTTGACTAACGGCCAGACTTGCAGTGTTCGGAACACGAATTCACGAAATGGTAGAATTCTCCCTGAACCCCTACGATGATGCTCTTATCTCTGCGGAGGCATCACTGATCTTGTTATCCATCCTCCCAGTATGCTACATGTCTTGTAACACAATCATATCGTCGCCAACCACCCTTCAACTCTCGAAAACCATTGCTTCAAGTACAACCCTGTCCGCCAAGCCTCACTGCAAAAACAATCGCAAGCAAATCCTGCAGCCTCTCCCACGAAAGTCCTCCACACATAAACACATCACCTTTCCACCCTGCTCTATGCCCGTGAGCTAGCAAAAGAATTGTAACTCAAGGCGTAGATGCAAAAGCAAAAGAAAAAGATTCCGACACGGGGAATTGAACCCCGGCCTCCTCGGACCTAGTTGTTCTTACGAACGGTATGAGAGCGAGAAATCCTAGCCACTAGACCATATCGGATTCGGTGTAAGCAGGTTTTGCAATGTGAATCTCTATCGCCTGGTCATGCTGTTGTCGGCCAGAGATTGCGGAATCGTCGAGACAATCACTGCAAAAGGCGGACCATTGTACCCTCGCATTTGCGGATGGATGATGGTACACTTTGTTCGCAAGCCATAACATTGCTCAGAACCCCTTCCTCAACCTTCCCCTGGAGGTCCGTCTGGACATCTATCGTTACGCCCTAAGCACCACTAGTGACGATGGAGATACTGCATCGCAAACATATGTCATCAAAGAACGTCGCCAATTGCGTGGCACATTCAATGGACGTCGCGAGAACGACTGCACACTCGTCAACTGCACCAGAAACTCCGTCGCACTCAAACAGACATGCAGTCAAGTGGCCGACGAGATCGAGGTCTACCTGCCCAAGCCTACTTTCAAGTTCGCATCTATCGGCGCCTTCTATTCTTTCTCTTCTGTTGGCTGGTTTTCCGATCGCGAGATCAATGAGCGCAAAGTAAGCATCCTCAAGTCGGCTGCTGGAGTGGTCGTGGTAGTGAATGAGGAGTGTTTCTTTGTACACGGCTTCATAATGTTCGCCCAGTTGTTCAAGGAACCATTGGTTGTAAAGCTTGTCCCTCATCGCGGCAATGGCGGTCGCAAGCTCCTTCAAGCCAAAATGATCTGGAAGACACACCTCACTAGCCTTCGAAGTGGGAGCCACGGATCAGTTGCAACTATATGATACAGGTGTTTATGGCATGTCACTGACCTTGGAGGAAGTACAACGTCCGATCAAGCCTCAATAGGGGATGATGGAGAGGGCTGAGTGACTAGCCTTCCATCGAACGGGGGCATGAGTTGAGAGATAGAATAACGGAGCAATGTGATCTGGAAAGGCCTCGTTGATGATTGCAGAAGGCTAGGCAGTACGGGTTTTGGAAGAGACGTATTATCAAGAGGGCGTCTGGTCGACAAAACAAAATCAATTCGCGTGGCGTCCTGACCATGAAGCATACCGAAATGTTTACATCACTTTTTGTTTTTCTGCTTCCCACGATTCAATAGACACAGTGTGTTTTTGTTTTCAAACGATAGATGATGAGCGAGGAAGTCGTCATGTCGTGAAACTCCGCTGCTGTCTCGAAAGTTCCGCTCCGGTAGCTAGTCTCACACCAAAGCGTGTTTTGTTCACCGAGTTTTCGACACTATCAAAACATCTCGTTTGCAGCGTCAACTTCCGCAGTCTTGTCAGTCGATTTACAACAATCATCAGCACTGTCATCAAAACTCAACCTGTCACGCCTCTCATCATGGCCCACGCATACAACCTCCGCTCCACCACTCGTAAGAATTAACCGAGCATGGCCCGCGGTTCTGGTATGTAATCGATCAGAGGCAACGTGTTGACCTTACTGACGATCAACATAGGTGCCGGTAATGCCCAAAGTCCCCTTCTCTGCTTGCCCTTAGAGATCCGCCTCAAGATCTACAACTACGCCTTCGACACCGGCGACTCCTACGACAAGGCTGAATCATGCGTCTATGTCGTCAAAGAGTCACGCTCATGGCGCTTGATCTCCACCACCAAGCTGCGCAAGAATCCCTTCAATCTGGACAACATCACCAGAAAGTTGATGGCCCTCGAGAAAACCTGCCGTCAGGTCCGCAACGAGATCCGCGAGATGGTCGTCCCTCCATCCTTCCGCTTCAAGTCCATCCAATGTTTCTGCGGCTTCCTATGCTATCGCGACAACAACATTGACGAGTCTCGCTTGACGCTCTTGATGTCGGCTCCCAAGGTACTCCTTGACGTCAAGAAATGGGACGTCTCAGTACGCAGACTACGTGCTCTTCTTCAAGTCATCAGCGAGACCATCGAAGTCACCTTCGTGAACGAGAAGGGAGGTTCTAAGTTGACATTGCAAGAAGCTGAGGAGATCTGGTCTGGAAAGTCTGACTGAGTGACTTCTGTCTGGTTGGTTTCATGGTCGTCCTTCCAGGTCATGATATCTCGCTGACTCGGTACACAGTGCTTTGCCTCAGCATAACAGGCAATCTTCATGTATGGGGGTGGCTCGTAAACGCTATCAGGGGGGTCACTGGCATATCTTTGTGTTCGAATAAAGTCTCCAAGTTCCCAATGACCGAATCACGTTGGGGGTCAGTCTCGAGCTACAGGATAGGGTGGTTGCCGGGAATATGACCATGTCGGAGGAGAGCAGCGGAGTAGGATGGAGCGGCAGATCGACCAGGTCATCATGAAGGTGCAAGGCAGACAGGAACATGAACATGCTCATAGTTACAAAACCTTTTCGTAGTCACAAACAAAGCTTTGTGTCAGACTCTAATGATTGAAACTGAGATAGTGACCGGTACAAATCTAGAGAATGCGAACAGGAATGTGCCTGCGACGCTTCATGACTTCGGAATAGCATACCACGAAGCACGCTACTGGCTATGCGTGATACGTACACCACGACTTGGGGAAAGGAAGAACTCACTGTCAAGTTGCTCGCTCGTGGATATTTCGTCCAGTCTCGGCATGAGCTGGTGCTCGATCCGCCTGTCAAGCTTGCTTTCACCTTTCTCTCGCTCGTCCTCGCGCGTAAAAACAATTACAACATCCATCACAACCATCAACACTTAGGTTGTTTGAGTCTGCCAGACACCTGAAAGCAATGGCGCGTACGAAGAAGATCGGACTCAAGAGCAAGCACAACATCGCTCAGCCTGCTGCCTCGTCTCAGTTCCCGACCGCGTCTCCGAGCCTCGAGCGCAGACGAGCACTACCAGCAGCCGTCACAACGACCAGCAACACCAACGAGCTATAAGGTACCGGCCAGGGAGCCGAGTCTACCAGTCATACCAACAAGAAGACATGCTGTGTCAGCATCGTCGTCAACGCTTAGCCCGCAATGCCTCAAGCCAGTAGGTTTAAAAGCTCGTACCATCACGAGGCTCATACCAACACTGTCTATAGGCATAGCTTCAAACAGCAACTCTGCTGAAAAATCCAACACCGGCCAGAAGACCGAATTCCTCGACCTACCACTTGAGCTTCGCGCCATGATCTACAACCATGCCCTAGCCGTCGACAACGATACATATGAGGTCGCGCATATCGCTTGCTCATATCGCTTGCTCAAGCTGGTCTGATATCAAGGACAGACAGAACTCCCACAGAGTCACCAACATCAAGCCCGATCATTTCGCCCTTCTTACCGTCAACCATCAAGTCGCCAATGAAGTCAAGGCCAATGTTACCGCCAGAAGCTTCAAGTTCACAAGCACATACGCACTCGACAACTTCCTGTTCTGCGAAAAGCATGAAGTCCTGCATCTCATGATGGCAAACTTTAACGTGCTCTGCAAGGCGAGCAGAATCGTGGTTGTCGTTGGAAAGAGGCCATTCTCACGCGCCGTTCGTGACCATTGCGTCCAAGTCTACGATACGATGACCGAGCTACTGTCCAAGCTACTAGATTTTGAATTTGTCGACGCTGGGAACAGTGATCAGCGCATCATGCTTGTATGTATCCTATTCGCAACGCAAGTACCTGGGAGGCCACACAGAGACTGACATGCGCAAGCAGCACCATGCCGGACGTTCTTGAAGTCGTCGAAAAGAATTAGAAGTCTCATGCGACATCGCGTTCAATCGACTGAAGTGTTCAAAGAAGTAATGTGAGATCGCTCCATCTCTATAACGATAGTTGAGTTTACTCATTCAAGTCAGACATCGTCGAAATCGCTCAAGCGAGCAATACAGATGCCGGAAAGAAGAAGCAACTCGAATCGAACATGAGAAGAAAGTCAAGTCAAGAGGAGAGGAGAAGAACTTTCGGCCAAAAGGGAGAAGAAAATTGAATTCAGATCGAGAGGGGCTGTCGGTTCCAAGAAGTCATTATGCATGATTGGTAGAGGTCAAGCACCTTTGAATCATGTCTACAGTAGTTCGACAGCTCAAGGCGTAATATTTTCAGTCTCAAGCACATCCATAGTGTAACGGAGAATGTGCAACAGTGACTCTTGCCGCGACATGGATTGATTGACAATAGGAACGACTAACCTGCAGGCCACGCTGAACAACATCGATCTAGGATCGCAAATAGTCACAGTACTGCCGAGTCGCCGGTCCGTGGAGATTCCGGTCGAGCCTCGGCATGACCTGGTGCCAGATGCGTCAAGCTTGATTCCATCATCCTCTCACGCGCAACAACAGCCACAATCATCTTCCCACCTCTTAACACATCAATCGTCTGAGTCTTGAAGGCATCTCGACACCATGATGAACAATATGACAACAGACGAGGACAAGGCCACCGCCGCGGAGCCTACCTTGCCTGAGCTTAGTGGAATCCTCGCGTACTACCCAATTGACTTGATACCAATACTGTCTCTAGGCATCGAAGCATTAACACACTCTGATTAGCATGCAAGTACCACCAACAAGACTGGTCTCCTCGACCTTCCGCTTGAAATTCGCGGCAAAATCTACGACAAAGTCCTCGTCGTTGACAACGACACGTACGAGATCGAGGCTAAATCATCGTCACGCTGGTCCCGCTAAAGGGAAATCAATCGTTGTCGGCATGAGACCCCACTCCCGCCGCGTCCGCCGGCATTGGGACCAGATCCGCTATACTCCAGCCGAGCTCTTGCCAGAGTCTCCTGGAATTGAGCTCGTAGACAACGAGGGCAATGATGTTGGTGTCAAGCGTGTATGTATACTCGCCGGGAATCACTCGAGAAGGATGTGCATAGATTATCAAGCGCAAGCAGAACCCAGCCGAAAACCACTGAAGTCGTACGACAAGAAGCAGATCGTTATTGCGAAGTAGATGAGGACACAGGAGTAATGTAAGTCTGCCTTGTTCCTTTCAACTTCATCCCAGTCTTTCTTATTCATTCGAGTCAGTTATCATCGCAACCCTGAGAAGGACAAGTTCGGAACCCGAGAGGAGAAGCAAGAAGTCAGGTCAGACAAACAGAATCATTCGGGTCAGAGCGTAGCGAGGAGAACATGAAGGTGGTTTGTGAAGAAGTGGCTCGCCAGTGGAAGAGCTACATGGAATATTCCGGATACAAGTTGTCTCAATACAATTGAAGTCATCAGGACAGATCAGAGGTCGCGCTTTGCAAACGAGCGGTACTCGATGCATGCGATCTCAGAGCAAGGAGCTATTGGGTAAGTTAGCGCCAGTTGTGTAATGCTTGTTCCCAGTACTTACACACCTCAATCATCATCGTTATTCCTGAGAGAGGCCCTATCAACAGTCGAAGCGAGAGAACGAGTTGAGTCGAACATGAGAAGGAAACGAGCTGGGAAGGGAAAAATATTGTCGACTGGACATCAAAACGAATCTGGATCGCAGAGAAGAACACCCAAGCCGAAGATGAGACGATCGAGCAGGGAAAAGACGAGCAGATCATCCAGGACGAAGAAGATACCATGCAAGGTTAGCAGAAGCTCGCCGCTTTCGACCCTCTCAAGTACTTCTTGAAAGTTTCTACAAATCAAGCTATCGATTACTCGGACTTTATGCCTCTCCCAAAATACCAAACTGCCTTCGTAGATGTTTCTCCTGTTTGTAACGCGACTCAAAATGTAGTTACATATTCATCTAGACCGAAGAACCGAGGAACGAAGAGCCATGGTAAGAGCAGGACAGCGCTGGAAAAATGTTTTTTTAACTGAAAACGTCGACTTCAACAAAGGAAAGCGGGTGCATGATCTCCAAGATCTATTGAGCAATGCCTTTCGCCGCGTTCTCGAATTCGATTGACTTCAGACCCTTATACTCAGATGGAAGAAAACTTGACAAAATATTGTGAGGGCAACTATATCGCTGCGTCTACTTCTTCGTCTCATTGCCACTATCTCTTGTCTCAGACCCACAAATCCGTGCGCCACTGGTTTCCCGCCTGTCCCGAGAAACAATGACTCAGACAAACAAGACACTCGACCAACTTCTTCTATTCAGTTCAGCCAACAAGACCAGTGTCTCGGCGGAATCATATGACCTCCTTGAGTGGAGTGTTGCTGCTCTTCACAAGTATTGAGTGGGACAGTCGGGCGGATGTTGTCAACAAGACGAGTCACGATTTCAGTGGTTGGTTAGTCCATGGCAGTCTGAACCACATTATTGACGTAAGGATCGTGGAGCAACTTCTCGAGGTCGATTGAATTCATGGTTACGTTCATGAGGGCGCGTCTCGTCATCTCGTCGCCAGCATGATTGGACCTGAGCCTTAGCAAGACGGTCTTCCCTCGACTGTTAGACACGTTGTCTATACATGTCTCTGGCGCGCTGATCTAGAGTGGGGTACCACTTGACCATCATCTCGTCGTCGGTGAGCTCAGCAAGCTGGGTCATCTTGACAGACTGCTCGTTTTTGACTAGTCTCGCGATCTGCTCGATGCAGACTTTGCAGGTCAACTCAACGAGGTATCAGGCAGTTATGATGTACACATCAGGTCCAAGGACTCTCAAGGTGGTCAAAATGAACCAAGGGATATGAGTGGAGAGGGCTGGCTCTCTGAAGAAAGTTACAGCAGCGTAATGCAGAGTGCGGGTGTCAAACTGTTCTCCGAGGAGGTACGAATTGTCGTGCAAGTCAAGTATGCGGCCCATGGTATCATCGGAAGCGGTAGTGCGTAGACGACAGCCGTGGAGGTGACTGTTTGTTTTGCTGACAAACTCCAAGCAGCAGCCGTGATTGATCAATAAGAGCCACCACTTCCAGGCTAGTTGCGTCCTCGCTCCATTGTTCCAGACCTGCGGTCGACAGAAGCTCAAAGATCGGCAAGCTGATGCCCAGGAAGCGTGCCATTCTCGAGACATTGTATGTGTCCTTGACGTGGCTGACAAAGCGCAAAGGTTTTGCGCCTTGGTGTTGCAGCACATCACGAGTTCGCGAGGCCCTGTGTACGAGGACTCATCAACCATCAAGCGGTCGAATCGGAACGTTTTAAGATGCGTCCAGGCCTTGATGACCATTCCAGTGTTTTGGCGACGGCATTGCTAGATGACGACGAGGTCCGTCGGCATACAGGTGTATGGCGAAACTAACTCGATAGTATCTTTTCTCCTCAGAGTATACCCTATTCTTGCGTCGCCTTGACTCTTCGGCATATTCGTGGTACTTCAACATACTCGCGGTACTTCGGATCTGTACAGCTCCTGAAGATGCATCTCTGCTTTGCAAATACGAAGATGCCCTGGAATTCGGGAAGGAGCATTGTGAATATGTGCTTCCAAGGCTCGAGTGCTCTTGCCAGTCTACTCAGGCATCGCGGCCAAGAGCGCTAGTAGCTCAAAGCATCTCGGGTTGTCGTGGACCACAAGAACAGAAACACTGGAAGCGCTTGCCCTCAAGAAAGCGCACAGATTGGTATACTCTGTCAAGCTGACAAGCAGAAAGATCGAGGACTTGCGGTCTGAAGCTTCGCTTCCAGAGGTCTTGATGATACAAAATTGTTTCTCACGCTAATATCCTCGAGACATAAGACCTTAGACACAACGTATGAGAGTGTCATATCATCCTCTGCACTCACGGACAAGCTCAAAAAGATCCTAAACCCCACCAAAGCCTTGTTTTCGACACTCACGATTGTCCGTGGATTTGTCTGTGCCAGGTATTCTCAGGGCCACAAAACTTTGGTTGCAACGCACAAGAACTTGATTGCAGTCTACGATTGCTGACAGGGTTTGAGAATCAATTCTTGATTGTTTCCAGTTGTTCGTCCCACAACTCTTCTCAGACCGCGATACCTTGGTCGCAACGCACAAAAAATGACTAGCAGGTTAGCTTGGAAGAGCCGTAATCAACTGAAGCCTTATCTGCGAAGGTTTTGATTGTTTGAAGTTGTTTCCCTTGACTCTATTTTCCGGCCATAAACCCTCGGTCGCAACGCACGAGAATTGATTTACAGATGAGCTTAGAATTGAAGCCTCGACTTCGACGCTCACAATCGTGGAAGTCGTCTCTTATTAACGTCCTTGGGATATGGAAACTCGGTCGCAACGCACGAAACATTGATTGTATACCCAACGTCGCCTGTCAAGCTTACACAAGCTATACACTCGATTGGAACCCGAGTCGCGTATGTCTTGGCCTTGAGACTTTCGATGGTTGCAGCAAACGATGTCCGCGTCGTCTTGCATTGGGTGCCCGGTAACGAAAGCCTGGGCAACATTCATGGGTACCCGGCTGACAACTCCGCTCGTGGTTTTGCTCTTGCCATCAACAGGGCACGGTTTTATACTGCTCGAGTCTACCAATTGACGCTTTTTGTGACTCCTCGTGGTTGGTGACTGAGTGAAAGTAAGCGGTGGAAAACGAGCTCTTGAGCGAGTGGCCATTGGTCAAGATTCATGAGACTTTTCACATGAAAAAGAACTTGGGCGGGTCAAGCTCTATTTTCCGGCAGTCGCACTGCTCAGCGAGATATACTCCCTGTTTCATGTTTCCCATCCAGCCGGAAGTCCCCGGGAAGGTAGATGAAGCCAAAAGTGTCTACAAAAAGAGCACTTTCAAAGATCTCCTCAACACCTTCTGCAATGAGAATGCTGCACTTATGTCGTCGAAGCGATCATGCAGGCAAAAGTGGTAAGTGACGTCACCTGCTGCAAGAATACAGTTTTAAACCCAGGACAAGAGTGCCATCTTCAAACCATTCGGCAGGAATCATACCGAAACGCACGAAGCAAGTCTCGGTAACATTGGGAACAACCTCGGTGCTGAAAGGAGGACCATCTCTAAGCACAGGCTGACGCGATGGAGAGGATAAGCCAGAGCCAAGGATCTTGACTGGTGACAAGGACGAAGCCTTGTTCGATGCTCCATCAGGAGTAGGACCGATGTTGAGCAGCTTCAAGACACTGGCCTTTGAAGGAGTGCGGAAGGTGCTAGAAGCAGCACTGCTGTTGCCCTGGAAAGTCGCAAAGCTCTGACCGGGAGTGAACACAAGTTCGTTCCCGTCTTCACACACTTGCTCGCACTTGCTCGCACTCGAGAAGGTGGTGTTTCTAGCTCCGTCATGGTGAGAGCAAAGGCTTGTATCGGTCAATCTGACCACCTGGCTTTCTTCCTGTCAGTGCTGGATGGTGGTAGCTGGGTGAGCGAGACATACTTGAGCCTCAAGCTATTTTGGCGAGTCCTCCTAGAGACCTTAATGACGCAGTTTTGACGGTTGACGACCTTTCTGCCCTGCAGTGATCTCGAGGAAAATGGTGGCAGCATGACTGGGCTGTATGACGGGACGCGTGGTAGTGACATCATGAGAAAGAGGTGACATCTCCTGAACAGAGATGTCACGACGTTGCTGCTGAGGCGAGATGGTCGTACGTGCAGTTGAAGTCGAAGCAGAAGCACTGTCAAGAAAGTAGGGCTGGCGCGCATCGGACTCGAGCTGCTGCATGCCCGGTCTGTGGTGAAGTCGTTGAGCAGCTCGGCGGACTCGACGAAAGGATAGATGTCGGTGGGGTATGGCTCATCCTCGCGATACTGGCCATTCGGAACAACAGGCTCATACTGTTGCTGAGCGTGATGAATCTGCGGAGACTGCTGCAGTTGGTACTGGAGGCTGTCACCAATGCTGGCGCCAGTGGTGGGGCGACGCTCGTTGTCCTTATTGCCAGCAGCGTGCATGGGGACGACTTGGATGCCTCTAATGTAGGTAGGGATCCATGGTCGAAGGTTGTTCATGATCTCGGTGTTCTTGGCTTCTATCTAATTCAATCTGGCTTGTCGGTACTGGGAGCCGATACTGCTCAAAGGCTTCCCACGGTCTGCTGAGTAAGATTAGCCCATGGTCCTGTGGGAAAGATTTGGAAGACCTAACGGTCTTACAAACGACTTCATGGTTTCTTCCAGGACACTCTTAGGATGTTAACGCTATCGTAGTCCCAGCATGCACGAGTCATGTGCTGGTTTGCGTCGGCGTAGACGCGCGCCATGCTGAGAAGCAATGGCCGTCCGCTGTGTGGCAGGCGCGTGAGGTAGAGAAACAACCAGTGCGAGAAAAACTCGCAGGACCCATGTCCAACATGCGGTCAGCCTAGCCGAGAACGCTCTACTTGGTGTTCTGGAGTGAGATGCAATCACGTTCCATGAGATCGACAAGACGGCCAGGAGATGCAACAAGAAGATTGCAGCTGCGCCCAATTTGGCGGAGCTGGTGACCAGTGTGAGGTGGACATGGTTGCGTAAACGCAAACCATGCTGCAAAGCGGAGGCCATCTCCTGATGTGGCAGGCGCGCAAAGTGGATGAGCACAGTGCGCAAAGCAGCAAGAGGCGCAAATGATCGCGGAATTGGGCGTGGTACGTAAGAGCGGTGTGCAAAGCACAAAGAGATCCACACGAACGCCCAGACCGCAGTGGCCTTTTGGCTTTCTTCTCAGACGACTGAGTGAAGAGAGTATTGCGTTGGCTTCCTCGAGAAAGCCAAGGTTGCTTATGTTGTATGATGTCTGACTGTTTTTGACAAGATTTGGAGATCGTCAAAATCAAGTCTGATTCGAGATAGTCTAGCGTAGGATGGCGACGGGGTGCTTGGTGAGTGTCTTGTGGTTGCGGATCGACGTGCATGGCATCTGGGTTGCGCAGTCTTTTGCTCTGGCGAGATCGTTTGGCAGGAGGAAGCGAAAAGTCATGTTGCTTCGACGAGGGACTCCATTCGAGGCGAGGTGGGCAAACAGATTGGTGGTCAATTTGAAGCGCCGCGACTGGTTGGTGACCTGAGCGAGTAGCTGATCGTGAAAGATGACATGCTGAACAGTGTATCTGATACACTTGCAGCTCTTTGGCTGTCGCACACGTCTGTCTATCCTTGTATCCTGTACTGACTCTCTTCTTCTCTGATCTCACTTGTTGTGGGCAAAGCTTTCCTCTTCCTCGCAGCCTGCCGCGGCAGTCTCGACGCTACCTTTTCCGGTGAAACTGCTGTTGGTTTCGAGGTCATGAGCGCTGCGAGGGATCAACTCCTTTATCTCGATGGGAGTGTCGTCGTCTTCCACTGTGAGCGACTGCATCGTTGGAGGGCTGTTATTGGGCAGTGCGGAGTAGCCGTAGCCCTTAGCCCCGACGCTCATGGCATTGCTTGTGACAGTCTTGAACGAGTTGCTGAGAGCTCTGGTGTGAGCTTTAGCTTGGTCCAGCCGAGCGGTAGTTGGAGATCTGTCGGTGTTGATGCCAGCGCCAGCGCCTGCATCAGCACTACCGTCCCAATGACGAACAGCAAAAAGGTGTCTAGCCAAGCAAGACGAGGCTCCTTAAGATAGGCAAGGATATTGCCTGGGCGAGGATCTGGTGGGGGACCAAGCTCTATATCTCATTAGTCCAATCCCAAACATCTCATACACAGATCGCTTATCAATAGCGTCCAGCAGCATGTCAGGGCCAAGTGGACGAGGACGGCGAGGGCGCACACGTCCACGATTAGCATGGAACGGACGCAGGCGAAGGTCTCGCCAGAGCAAGTAGAAGAAGCCCGCGGCGTAGAGCATGCCCAGGCACGAGAACATGCCGAGCAGCAAGAACCTACTACGGTCCAAGCGGAGGAAGAGGAAGTGTATGATGCCCATAACGGTGACGAGCGAGGCGAAGGAGAGTGTGTACATCAGGGGTCGCAAGTGTGCGCGCAGTTGGGCGAGCTGGGCAGGAGTTGACATTGTTGATGATGCTGATGATGATGATGGTGCTGCAGAAAGTCTTTTACTGGTATGATGAATGGAAGAGAAGAACACACGAGAAGAAGAGAGGTGTGCTGTGGTGAGGCTGAGGCTCGGGGCGTGGAGCAAGTCTCGTAGATAGACGGTCGCTTCCAAAGCATCTATCAAAACGCATAATTCCGCAACACATACCACGTCCGACGAGTGCCCATCAAACGATACATCGATGGACCACGAAAGAAAGAGTAAGGAGGTATACACAGACTGCAGGCAAAAAGAGAAGAAATGCGAGACAGGTCACACCCTGCAGTGGGCAAGAGGAGGGACTCGTCTACCGGAATAACACTCCTACCGTTACGACCCACCCAATACATGCCATGCCGGCACGCGAAGCATCCACTCGATGTCCTTTGAGGAGCATACGGTCATGAAGAGCTTGGAGAGAAATACAAACTGCAGGCAGAAAGAGACGAGATGCGAGACAGGACACAACCTGCAGTGGGAAAGAGGAGGAACCGCCATTGACTCGCCATTCCCCTTATCGTACCACCATCTCGCCGCCGCTCATCATACGCACAACCTACCACTTGAGTCCAAGACGCTATACCGTTCTCAGATCAAGCGAATGTACGTTTCGGGCTGCCATCGCGGACAGCAGCATAATTGACGGTCATATAACTGACCCATCCACAGATCAACTAGCCATTGTCGAGCAGACAGAGAGGTACGATCGCTCATAAGTCTCTGACGCACCCCCGCTCTGGCCCAAGACCGAATACGATCGGTTATTGCTTGCAAAGCCTTTGGTGATGTGCTCAGACCGTTACAGGATTCCACAAATCAGACCAGTCCAGCTCACTTGGGTTTTCGAAAGCTCGTTATCGAGTCCCTTTCCTCACAGAAATCCAGAATGCTTGTCATCCCTGGGACCAGCGAAGTGTCCAAGTGGGTGTGCGTGTGTCTCCCTGTACGCCTTCCGCGCTTGCAATTTTGAGCTGAAACATGCCAGCGAGTGTTTGCGTCTTCTGATGCCGTGCATATAGTCTCCTATGGCCTGCGATCGAGTCTCGGACTAGTCGTCGAACACGAAGGCTTGCCAGACTCCACAAGATGCGGAACCTGCTGGTCTGCCAAGCTCTACCCCAAATTAACGGCCAAGGAACAGGGACGCGGTCGTTCTGTATTCTGCTCAGGTATCATAACTGCAACAAGCAGTGTCAAGCTTGCGAGGCGTAGATGTCATTGTTCACATCCGATGCCCGAGTCCAACAAGCCGAGCGACTCATTGCGGTCCCAATGGAATCGACGACACCTTCAGCCATGACGAAATATGCCGATAATCTAATGAAGACTTTGGGGGCTACCAAATCCTCAAGCAAGAGAGGAAAGCGACCTTGATCCCGCTGAACGACACTCGAAACTCAGGCATGCCCTCAATCCCTCAGAAAGGTAGCCGTATTTGTGAACGTCTTTCCGTATCGGTGTAGCGCCAGACGTTTGCAATGAGCGCAGAGCATGCTTTCGAGGGTCCCGGTCTCTTGTAGCGCAGCAGTCGATGCAGGACACACATTGACATTGGATCGTCAGACGACAAGATGCAAACAAGTCGAGGCAGTCCGTGGCGGTCCAGAATCTCGCTCATATGTCCTCTGTCGGTTTATTCTCTGGTCGAGCAACCAAAGTACTCGCAATGTGAGAGTCGTACAGTCTGTCGAGTCGCTGACTGTCTGTGAAGGGCATCCGAAGCCTGACACAATCACACCAAGACCATCCATGAACGCCTGGTTCTCCATCCAGACCTCGACGTACACCTCTAAAGCGTCAGGGGACCACGGTCGCCAACGAGGAATGTTGTTGAAGCCAGCAGAAAGAACTAGGAAGGAATGAAAGAATCGCGGGGCTTCGCGAGTGCCTCGGCTACGACCTCGACTTTTGGCCACTCTCTATGCTCGAATCGCCGCCAATAACTGCGGCAAGCTCGATGCTGTCCTATGGATGTGTATGATACACGCTCCATGCCATGCTATGCAGTCTCCAGACTGCTCCGTACCATGCATCAGTTGTGACTCCAATGGTCAAGGTATCAGGGAGCGATTGGTCGATTGGCACCGAACCAAGCTCCAGAGGATCCTTGCTCAGGCTGCATCTGACCTCCAAATCCTTCGCGATCTTGGTAGCGTAACAGATTTGCGTTCGTGTTTCATCGACGACTTTTCGCGTTCTTGGTAGTCACGTACATCATCCCGCAATAATCAGGCGTTAAGGCTACTCACAGGGTATCTTCGGACATCACAAATTGCTCAAGGTCAAGATCGCACCTGTCTCAAGACGATGTCTTTCGCAGCTGATAGTCGTGTCGCCAGCACCGCGCCGGCCAGATGGGCCGAGCTGCTTGAAGAAGCTGATGAACAAGCTTTCCGTTCGGCGTGCGAGAAAGAGAGCTTCCATACTGTTCGTTTTGAAAGGATCGGGTGCCTAGTCGTTGACTGACATCTGATCAGGTAGCTTCGCAATTCTTCACCTGCCTCCGGACGACTCTGATGGACTCGAGTCTCTCAAGGCTGATAGCAATATCAGAAGATCCCGAGCTCAGAAAATACGTCAAAACCATCCGAGTCCAAGATGACTGCTCGATCAACGATCCTTACAACACTTCTGACCCTCTGCACTCGTCAGAGATCTGGCCACGAGACACATCGGGATATGTTCTCACGCAGCAGATTGGTGTGAACACTTTGAGGGACATCTTGGCAGAGGGCAAGCTTTGCCCCGAGAACATCATCATCCGAGATCATCGCATTGCGAGCGTGAACTTCGCTGTATGCCCGGAGACAACCAAAACTGTAGACTACCGCATCCATCTCAGGAACTCGCCTGGCCGGGAACCTGTGGCAGCGTTCGCGAAGGAGATAGTATGCGATCTTGCTTTACCAATCACTTACATCGAGATGCGCGCTGTAGATCATCTGCCACCCTCCAAAGATTCCATGCTCTTTCTTTGGGCGAAACAGTCGAATGAGCACCGGGCACTTGGCAGTCCCGAGCTCTGGGATGTCTGCATGAAACTACTTCCAAGCTGCGAGAACTCTACTGCCATCGCTGGACCCTTCTCGCTACTGCGATCTGCGGAGTTGAATGTGGCTAGTTACTGGCTCGAACAAATACTACTCCACGCCGTCAATTTGAAGAGACTGCAACTCCAAGGATCGAGTCCATGGGACATACCGCCACATCCTTCGCAGACTTGCTCATTCCGATTGACAGAATTGAAGATCAGTAGAGCGGCAATTAACGCAGGCACCATCCTATCAATCCTAGTCAACTCGAGCGACACTCTCACAAAACTCTGCTTCGAGTGGGTTCGACTTAAAGAAGAGAGTACCTGGGCGGTCCTTCTGCCTACCATCGCAGATAGATTCCCAAACTTGACAGTGATCAACATACAATATCTGCGGAATGGCGAAGTCGGGACAGGAAACTCAAGAGTTGTATGCTTTGATGAAGACGAATTTGATGGCGAGTGGCGGTCGAGTATGATTTTACACGAGAAAAGACGTCTGAGCCTCAAACGAGTTATCGGTGTTTCATATGAGGGCCCACATGTCGCAGCAGTTATGAGGAACTTGGCTTTGCATTCGAAGGCTCTGAGTCGTCTGTTTGAGGTAGACTAGTCAGCGAACGCTGATCACAAAGGGATGCTGTCGTCAAGCCACCATCTGATAAAATTGGAAGATATCGGGCGAGCTTGTGTTGTTCAGATGTCCTGACCAGGATTCGTCTTTCGATTGTATCTGGCCTTGCATCGTCCGCTTGTGCAGCGAGAAAGCTGCACAGTCGCACGTGTCGCTCGCTATGTGCAGGTCGCATCTGGCTCTGATACAATCACCACATGATCGCGCAGTTCTGTCAGACTCAGCATTCAACAAAACTCTCCAGAGAACATTTTGTTCGCGAAACGGTCGACAGAGAAGACAAAGGGTGTCACTGGAAGAAAGAACACCAGAGAGAGAGGGATACGGTCGCATCCTTAGGCCTCGACTTTTGGCCACACGCTCGAATTGCGTCAACACAACTCGCGGCCTGGTTGATTTGTCGCTCGCTCGCTCTCTCGCCTAACAAGACATCCTTGTCTGCTGTTGTGGTCTACTGCTTTTGACGTCTTGTTTTCCATCTGCACCTGTCGCCATCATGTTCTTTTTGCTTCGCCTCGCCCGTCCATTTGGGTGCGTGAGACACCACAGACAATCTCCTTTCCAGTGTCCTTTGCGCATCGTCGCACGCATAGGGTAATGATTACTCTGGACGAGCATGTTTTCATCAAGTTGGTTCTGTGGTGTAGTTGGTTATCACTTCTGTCTAACACACAGGCGGTCCCCGGTTCGAGCCCGGGCGGAATCATTGTTTTTGCCATTATGCAGGCTACTCTTTGTCCCAGGGAAAGTATGGGTGTTGTGACATTGAGGCCAGAAAAGGTTTTTTGGAATTTTGGAAGAACGCCAGGCGCAAGATTTGAGGGTTCGGACGAGTTGCCTCGGCTGGAGCACGAGGAGATTCTGAGGTGGATGTCTGACGATGATTATTTCGGTCGTTTTGTCATGATTCTTGAGCCAAGTCCACTTGGTCTTCGTGTTCCGTTGCTGCTGCTTGGAATAGTACGTAAGGTGTACAGGTCGGTCGAGCAACTTGCTTCAGTGCTCGGCCTTGGGAAAATTGCTTTAACCTGCTCTACCCTTCTTCACTTGTTGCGCCGATGATTGGAATCTTTCGAGTTTGTTTTTGAGTCATGGGGTGCACTTATTGAGCTGCTTGCCGAAGTTGAGACAAGTTAGTATCACCCGTTAATCGCAGGCAGTGGGTTTCATCCTGGAAGCAGATGTTCTGATAGCGTCAGATTATCCATGCAGTGCCGCCGATAACATGCAAGACAACCCCCAAGAATCACGTCCAAAGTGAGTTTGCAATGTCTAGTATCTTAAACACACTCCCTCCAGGCTTCGAGACGGCAAAACCAACTGACAAAGTCAATTTCGATGCAAGAAAGTTTGGAGCAGGGTCATCCCGATGGCAGGAAATCTCCGCCAGATTTTTCAAAGGGGGTACCACGAAACGCTGCGATCTAGGACCTACACGCATAGCAGGGACACGAAGTTCGGTGGAGTACTTGCGGATGGAGAAGACTTGCGAGAGAATAGACAAGTCTTCTTATTGTCAACGATGATGTTGGTTCATCGAACCTACGCGTGCAGGTCAGCAATGCGGAAGTGGATTAGCCACTACAACAGGTTTTCGAGCTAACACGGGTGATGTATTGAACCCTTTCCTATGCGAGCTGTGCTGCCTTAGAGAATACTAAATCGATCACATGGCTACGTTGAATCGAGATCAAGTGACACAAATCAGAGTCGCGATGGTGTTACTGAACTTCCATGACTGTCAAGGATCTGGAGACTAAACGAAATAAGAAGATATGCTCGAAATAATGGAGCGCAAAAGGAGATGCGTCAAGGACGCCTCAGCACCATGATCTCCTCGTTCGAGCCACCAGCCTGTCCATCCGCTGCTTCAGAGTATCCAAAGTGTTTCCTTCCCATTAATATTGCAGTACCATCCTTGTACGTCGAGCCAATCCCATCAGAGGTATCGAGAACAGTGTTGGGCGAATCCGAGTTGACAGACTGTGACGGTTTGAGTTGATGGTGGAGTGCTTCAAGGAACAGACATGATGAGAGTGAGCTTCTGTGGAGTGTCAGACTCGGTAAGGAGCCCAGCTCCAGCTGTGGCGACTGAGAGGTCGTTGTACTACATAGACAAATTGTGCATGTCCTTCTTTTTCGTCTTATGGGCCAGTGTTGTGGAAGGCCTTCTCCAGACTGCCCTTGTCTGTACTGCAGGTGGTTTTGATGACTGAACTCTGGCTCTGGACGATTTACGGCCGAGGCGGTTTTGAGAATAGAAGTTTTATTTTGTGGTTTGCTGAGGAAACGTATGAGCTTAGGGATGCGGCGTGCAAAGAGGTAAGTAAGTCTATACAGGTGTGACCGGCCCTGTATAGAGCAGCTCTTGGAGGCTTGCGATGTTGGACCTCACTCGACTGTAGCCTTTCTTGTTTCTTGCTCTCATCGTTTCTCCCACTGATGTTGAAGCCACAATTTGGAAGAAGGGAGCAAAGTGCTGTGTGCGAAGCTCGGCAAATAAAGCACAACAAAGCGCAGCATGACGCTTGACGCCAAGTGGCAATCTTCACTTCTCCTCCAAGCACCGGTTAAAAACCAGTGAATGATGGAAAAGAATATTCGCATCAGCTTGAGGTAGTGCAATACAAGCGACACAGTGCCAGCAGACGTGAAACAGAGGTCTACCGGCGAGTCTCAAAAAGAAGCGAGCAAGTCTGTACAGGTATGACCGGCCCTGTACAGAGCACCTCTCAAAGGTCTGCAGAACTTGGCCCACTCTACTGTAGCCTTTGTTGCATGTATTTTCTGTCTCAGCCTGAGAGCCACAGGAAGAGAGGAGAAAAGGAGGTGTAAACTGCGAAGACTGACGGCTAAATCAAAACAAAGCGCGAAGCGACGATCGCCGCATCAAGCATGATTTCGGTCACGAGAACGTGATAGTCCAGCGCGTGGTTACTTCTTCTCCAAGCACCGGTTGCAAACCAGTCGATGATGAAAAGGTAGTCGCATCAGCCTGAGGTAGTGCAATACAGGCGACACAGTGCTGACAAATATACGCAAAACGTAGAGGTCTGCCAGCGAGATCTAGATATAACCCATGATGTCTATACAGGTGTGACCGAGCATATACAGAGCATCCTTCGAAGATCTGCAGCCTGGGCCCACTCGACTGCAGTTCTCGGTAGATTATTGAAAAACATTGAGAATGCGAAGCCAGGAAGTGGAGGAGAGAGGGAGAGTAGGACGGCCAAAGCCCGAGTTGATAGAGCAAAACAAAGCGCAGACCATTGCTTCCAGATCCGGTAGAATCGCGACAAAGGAAGACGATACGCACACATCTACCTCTCCTTCAAACACTAGTTGGAAACTAGTATACTCGATGGAAAGAAAGTTGTTCGCGTCAGCTCGAGGCAGTGCAATACGAGCGACACAGTGTCAGCAGACGTACGAGACGCAGAGGACTGCCAACCAGTTCCAGAAAGAAGCAAGGATGTTCATACAGGTCGCGCGGTCCTGTACAAAGCGTTCTCTTGAAGGCCTACAGTTTAGCCCACTCGACTGTAACCTCTGTTCCGAGACCCACATTAACCAGCTGGCACACTTGGTTTTGCAGCGACTTTGTAAACGAGAAAGAGAGAACAAAGTAGAGCAGAAAGCCGAATCAAAGAAGCCAAACAAAGCGCGGAGCAACGCACGCCGGATTAGGCACGGTGCCGTAAAGGAAAGCCACCGTGATTCATCTCTTCAAGCATCGGTCAAAGACTAGCAGACTGAATGGAAAGAAACATTGTTCGCGTCAGCTCGAGGTAGTGCAACACGAGCGACATCATGCCAGGCAATGTTCGATAAAACACTCGCACGGATGCGAGAACCAACTACTGTTTCTCCCAGCTGCGTTCCAAAACGTGATCGGAGATCCCAGACCGCGGCCAGGAGCAGTGATACAGTGATATCTCCATCTTCAGCCAGGTCATGCTTTTGTTGTGGGTGATGGCTACCATTGACAGGTCAGTGCCGAGCATGCGTCTTGAGTAAGCCGCATATGAGAGAGGAAAAGAAGTTTGGAAGATGGAAGGAGCTTTTATAAGACGCTGCGAGGGCGCTGGCGCAGCGAGCGAGCTAGCTCTTTTCGAGAGTGGAACAAAAGACCACACCCCTACATATGGCAATAAGATCACGAGAAGGAAGTAGCAATGGACGTCAACCGCGCGACGATGATGCATGATCAACGCGAAGATTATGATTATATATAATGGATGGATGTCCTCTTGTGGCAGTCCTCATCGCCATTGATGGACGAGTAGGAAATGTAAAGCCCTCCACAAGAGTTTTCACTCTAGCAAAAATGCCATACGACATCTGGTATAGAACAACCAGTGCCCGCGTACTATGCTGCGGATTCGTTGTTGTGTAGTTGAGAACAGAAGAAAAGAAGATGCACGACCGCAAGGAGATTTTATAGCCCACGCACGTTACTGTGGTGATCCTGCGGAGCGTCAAGCTGGTGATTCTCCACTCTGATACTCTGGTGATCCCAAGCGATTTCGAACGCAGCCGCATCATCGCAACCTGGTGTGAAAACCCAATCAGCAACGTTCTAAGCACCGCCTGTCAAATTCGCGCGAGAGCAGTTCAATCGCGCAGACCATCCAGCACGTTCTCAAACACGGTCTCTTTTTTCATAGTCAATATGGAAACCCGTAGCAGTACATTGTATCATATGCCCGTATTGTGGACCCTCTTGCTGACTCGTGGGAAGTGGCTCGCAAGGCGAAGCGATCATCAGGCAGATGCCTTGTCGCACCATCAAGAACTGCCGTTAAGCGCGCCCCTGTCCAAGTTGCGAGCGAGCTATCCCTCCTTGGTCTGCCTTCCGAGATCAAGCGCATGATCTGGAGAGAGTACTTTAGACTGCTGGCTGATCCCAACGAGGGCTGCGTGTTTGTCGAACAGCTCGGCAGGAAGTACCGTGGGTTCCCCCAGCACACCATCTGGTACAGTCGTGAGGAATACGGAGCACTTCCAGGTTACTTGGACCTCCTGCTTGTGTCCAGAGAGATCTACAGAGAAGCCCGAGACGTGTTCTGGCTCACCACCTCCTTCAGCTTCTATTCGCACAATCAGCTCGCCGAGTTTCTCAATCAGAGAAAGAAGATGTTCAGCCGCCGGCCTCATCGTTACCCCACCCAGCTCATCCGCCAGATACGACTCGACATTTCCTCTGCTTATATGGACCACCGCCATGGATACCCATCGTCCGTCCTCCATTGTCTTTGGGATGTTGCTCGCTTGGCCAACCCTGCTCTCAAGCTAGAGTCCCACTACGAGAAGCTCCAAACTCATGTCGCCGGACGCCGCGTACACTATAATATTGACCCTGACGACATCATTGCATCACTGCCAGAGCTGATGACCAGACTCCGCGCGTACCAAGCAGAAATGAAAGCTGCCGGCCTCGACCTGCGTGTCTCAGAGAAGCAAATGGAGACCTGGCTCGTTGCCGATGATGTATTCACCACTAAGCTCCCTCCCATCCCACAGAAAGTGGCTGCAAAGAAACGCAACACACCTGCAAGCAAGCGCTGGACTCGCAGGAAGAAGCCAACCTTGAAGTGATGGTAAGTCATGGTCCACATATCTGCCTCCTGACTACATACTTACACCACGGATCTAGCCCCAGCCCTTCGTCTCGTCAAGCATCGATCTCTTGCAGAAACACCTCTCCCGACTGAGCTATCGAAATACAACATGATCTGGCATCCCGACCCAGCTCCATTGAAGACCCGTCATCTTATTTCGTCTTACAGGGCGCTCACTGTTCATTCTGTAAGTTGCAAGAACGTACTGCGTTCCGATAGGCCATTACTGATCATCCCTGTACGACAGAAGGACGGTACACGACGACAGCATTCACAATGCCAGTCTCCATCAAGCTTCCTCCTGGCGCTCTCCTGGGACATTCAAAATCAAGGACTCGTGGTCGTCGACACTCCATCATTTCCGGAGCGACTCGGCTGAACGCAACTCGATGGCAGGAATCATCAATGGTCTCCTGGAGAGCATGCCGGGCACCGGGTATCTTGCAGCCAACTCCTTCATCTCTTTCTTGTCCTGTACCAGCCACTGAGCACTCTGTTGCGTGTCGGTACTGTCTCTGAGGATGTTACGGCGGTGGTCCCACAAGAGCAGTTTTCTGTCACCATTACGTCTGGAGGCCTTACACTCTTGATTTCTGCGCGCGGAGATGATGAGGTCTGTAGGAGCAACGTAGACCTCGTAGTCGGTAAGGGGTAGCTCGATAGGGTTTTCCTCGAGTTCATGGGTGTAGTGGACTGTGATTAAGAAGGAACGCATAGTCTGGAAGGCATCGTCGTGGATCCTGTCGGGATTAGTGATCAGAGCCTCGAGGCTGTGCAGACCCTTTACTTGGGCTTGGAGTCGAGCCTCTTCCAGATCCATGAAGTCATCACACAGATACGATAGCTTAAGCCACTGTCCGAACGATGCAAGCTAATGGATAACCCCAGCAGGAACTGTGAGATGCTTTGGCTGGATGAGATCAACGTCCTGAGCTTGGGTGAATCTGAGGTAGACGCTCTTCATCAGCGCCTTGCGAGGCTCCCAACGCTGCCGCGCGAAAGCCTGTACGTCGTATGCATCTCCGTGGACGGCAGAATACTCGAAATGCATCAATTGGGATAGCGTAACAGGGTCGTCGACAATGATTTAATCGGGAAGCGGAAGAGGAAGGTCGAAGTCACCTCCGCCTTCAATTCCTCCGGAAGACATCGTGGAAGGTCGTTGATGTGTCTGAGGCCAGATCTTCCACGCGACAGTCAGCAATGGTCTTAGAGAAATTTCTTCCGCTTTGCTCAGACGTACCGGGCTCAGCAGCAGAGAGACTGAGTCTGAGAGACAATTGATGAGAGGCAAATTGGCTCGTCTGATGTTGGTTGGCAGGGGCTGTTGTAGTAGTCCACATAGGGAGGTCAGGAGGCAGCGACATCTGGGGAAACTGGACGTAGAAAGAGACGCGTGGTATGCAGAAGGAACTTTCACACTCTGTTCCAGCAATGCTCCGACGCAGAGGTCCTGTGAATTCTAACACAATGAGCAAACAAAGCTACGCCCTGCGGAATTGAGGCATCCACTATCACGCTGCCCTTGCCTACAAATGATCACTACAACATCACCATCTTCTCATCGTCGCAACCTCCTCAATCTCTCTTGCTACCCAACCACCATCACCACAATGCCATCAAACGTCCTGAAAAAGGTCAAAAGCAAGGTCAAAGACCTGATGAAGAAGGTTGCTGCCGTTGTCAAGCCCGGCACTGAGTAAGTCTGATCGTCGCCAATGTCTTCATGAACCCTTCTGACTGGTATTGCGTACCAGCAGCAACAACAACAGCAACAATAAGTCCTCGTCCGAGGCGGTCCCCGGCCCAGCGAACACTCCCGTTCGCAGCCCCTCGGAAAAGCGCGCTGCAAAGGACCGAGCCAAGCTCCCTTCCACCTCACCCGCCCAGGAACGCTTTCCTTTTGACTGAAACCGTATAGACGGAGAGGTGGAAAGGGATACTGTAGGAGTGCATAGAGTCAGGCGGGAGGGCAGGCGGAATATCAAGACATGGTCGGGTCTTACAGCATGCATCTTCACAGCAACATCGGGTGTCATGACATGAAGTATTGCCCGTTCTCCTTAATCAAGCTTTACTGCAGCATATTGTCCTGTTCTTCATTATTCATCTGAGTGATGTGTGAAATTGAAAAGTTGTTTCGAAACGTCCAGACTGCCGTCTGTCACTCAAAAGTTCCGCTCGGCATTCATGACCAGCCATCACTGTTTCCAAAACTTCCCTCTCTCCTCCCACACACGTCTATCCGCAACCGCTTTCCAACACCTGCTCTCCATTCAACCCTCAACATACTCAATCTTCATGTGTTTCGGTCGCCGCCACTCGTCCATCTACTCAACCTCCTCCTCATCAAGCGACGAGGTCCCTGCCCGTATCATCGACGTTCCTACAGTTCGTCGCACCAACTCTCCTCGTTGCGCACCTGCTGGCCATGCCTACAACCATGCCGCCGAAGCTGCTTCTGACAGTGCTGGTGCCAACGTCAAGAAGGCCCACGACAAGAACAAGGCTGGCAACGAACCTATCAACACCAAGCCTGGAAACAAGCCTCAGCAGAGTGCGTTGAGGCAGCGAGATGATGTATTCACACTGCTAACCAGATGAAACAGCCAAGAAGTAGCCGTTCATAAAGCAAGCACTCCCTCGTCCGCACGTTGCAAGACCGTCTCGTCTGGTGAGTTTCGGCCAGTCTTATGGATTCATCTACACCTGCTGATTGCTTGACAGACCTTCAAGATACCAAATCAGGGTCATCGTGTGCGCAAGCAAACGAAGGAGCTTTTGACGTAGAACGGCGCTTCATCGTGGGATGGCAGCAGAGGTTGGAAGCAGATAGTCGGCTGGAAGAAACAGACCCATACATCTCATGACTTTACATTCGAGTCCTAATTCTACTTCATGTCTCTGTCTATCTCTTGACTTTTTCCGCAAAGTGGTAGCCTGATCGAATATATCGGTTGCTCGGCATCGTGCGTGGACCAGGAAACTTGCTTCGAGCAGACCAAGCTTGTTTACCATTTCACGTGTCTCAACATCAACTCCTCACAAACCAACCTCAACACACAAGCATTGGACCATACCCGCAACTCCTCAAACCATCACCACGGCTCACCCAACCACAGAACAACTTCCACTTCCAATCATGCCTTCCCGTGTCTTCAGCAACCCCTGCTTCTGGTTCGGCGTGATCATCAACCTGCTCCTTCTCTCGCTAGCCGTCTACACCGCCAAGTCAGGCAAGCCGTTCGCCGTCTGGGTCTCTCTGTTGGTCGCTTTCTTGTTGACCTTCCTCTTCGCTGTTACCATCTGTACGTACTCCCTGCAGCAGTATCGTTTATCGATAATCAACTGACTTGTCTGCGCGATCCAGCCCTCGCCCACGCCTCCCAGCCCACTCGCGGCCGCAGCGCTTACATCGTGCCCATGGGCGACAAGGAGATTGAACTGTATCACATTGCCCGCTCGTTTCCCCCTAGCTTTGACGACGAGGACGTCGCTGGCCACGAAGCATACCGTCAACTCCTTGCTACTCGCCCTCTACCTCCACCCCCAGTTGCCAGTCCCCCCAGACGTCGTGCAGCTTCCCCAACTCTGCTCTCGCCCCTGAGTGACCCATTCATTGAGAGAGGCGTTGCTTCTGATCATGCTGGTCCCGCGGCCGGAAAACGTCGTCAGACCATCCGCGTTGTCCCTGCCTCTTCCGGTACGCTTTGCCCTGAGCCGCTCCACGGTTCTACCCTGCTGACAACTTGTGCAGTCATCTCCCGCATATGAGCAAAAGCATGGAGTGGTACACAAGCAATTCCACGAAGTCACTCGAAGGTCGTTTACGGTTATCGAGAGCTCAGGTGTAATGAGCGTGTCTCTTCGGAAGGCGGGAGAGTAGGAAGTCTTTCTTTGGTCACGTTTGCTGAACTGGGTCTTGATGGACTGTGTCACGGCAGCAGAGTAGACTGGTGGGCTGATTGCAACACGAGTAGTCCATGATGGAAGGTCTCTGAGAAAGGGGTGGCTCAACTACGAGTTCAGCGGGTATAACATGGAGACAATGTTTTTTTTTTCTATTCGAACGTCAGAGCATGGCGACGATCATTCCAGAGCAGTCTTAAGCACCATGCCATTGTTTCTCAAGACTCAATGGATTATCCTTTGATGCTCTTGAAATGTCTGCTATCTTTCTGAACGAGCCTAGCTTGATTGTCGTGGCAGACAGCGTCAGCTGAAAAATTGACGTAGATTGTTGTTGTTATTGTTTGACGCAGCCAAATCCTTACGATCTTCTTCTTACGACAGCACACAACAGCAGATTGTCATCCCCCGCATCCTTCTTCCCATCCCTACCACTATGCCATCCTCTCTTACTGGTTCAAGCATGTCCACTCATGTCATCATGTCGCAGGTCAAGAAGAAAGCAGTCCTCTTGTGCCTCTTTATGGCTATCCTGAGCATCGCCATCGGTGTTACCATCTGGGCTGGCTTAAGATACCGCGAAACAACATTCTTCGTCCTCGTACTGGTTCTGCAGATCATCATGTCCATGCTTGTTGGCGCGCTCGGTAAGCTTCCTCCAAACACCGGATCGTTGCATCACTGACTGACAAGAGCAGCTGCTCTGTTCCACAGCGCTCTAGCTAAGAGACACGAAGACGTCGAACGCGATGGTTCTTCTTCGATCTCAGCAAGCTCTGGTAGCACGACCAACATCACTGAGGCTGCACCAGAAGGCTTCAACTCGACCGTCATCACCAATAACTCTGAGCCTGGTACTTTCCGCAATTTCTCATTGTCCCGTGAGCACTGGCTGGATCCTGTCGCTGTCAACACGACCAGACCTCTGTCCAGACCACCACGCTATCTCGCCACAGCCATTGACTCCAAGGTTGCCGTCAACCCTCTTCCCGCTTCGCTAGACAAGAACGGTGACGCTCAAATGCCTCTACCCCGCTTCCAAATGATCAGCGAGTTCGTCGTCCAGCCGCTTGACATCCACTTGACTCAGAAGCGAAAGTCACAATTACTTCCCAAGACCAGCATGGAAGAGCTCCAACTCGTTGCTGGAACCAGCGCCACCGTGAAGTTGCCCGTCAACATCGCAAGCTACGACACGTCGAGGATCACCTTCTTCCCCGTCCTGGAGGACGACAGCTTCCAGCAGAGCACCAAGGCAAGCTCAACCGTTGCCCAGTCCGACGTGGAGTCTAAAGCCGAGTCTGTCGAAGACAACTTTGCTGAGCCAATGCATCAGCGAGCCGATGCATGCAATTCGCCTCGGAGTCCCGACCCCTTCGCCGCTCCAGCCATCCAGGTCAAGGAGGCTACTCCAACGACTTCTCTGACATGCGGCTCGCACTCGCCTAGCCCCACCAAAGTCTCTACCATTCGTCTGGTAGACTCTTTTCTCGAACTGCCTCAGAAAGTCTATTCAGAATTGCCCAGTGAGGATGGCAACGAGTCCTCGACTGCATCTCCCACCCGCCATCCAGGCCGCCAAGCTAGTGCAGACTCCAATGAAGATCTCGCCGAGCTGATCATCGAGGGGTCGGCCAACAACCCTGCCACCGTTGACGCCGCTCCCGGTAACGCTCTTCCGGCCATCGAGACTCAGCAGCAAGTCCACTCCAGCCCTGTCGTTCTCGAGTCCAACAAAGCTCTCGACGCCCACACTACCGCCCGCTCTGATTCCCCAACCATTCGTCCGGTTAACACTTCTCTTGAGATGCCTGTCAAGCACGGTGTTGACTCTCTTGGCAAGAGATGGAAGGGACAGCCTGGATTCCTCGGTCTTTGAATAGTTCAAAGCTGCCAGCCACTGGCAACGCGACTATGATCCAAGGAAGGAGCACGGCAAAGCAAGTTTGAGTGGCTCGCTGGAGCAGGATGTGATGCTCATCAGTCGGTCCATGGCGAAGAAAACAACGCATGGTGGACAAACGGAGAAGGGCAAGAATGGAGGAGAGAGGATCATCGCAAGTGGCATGTCTTTCGTTGATCGTTGGAGATGCAGGAGAACAAGGCTTTGGCAGGAGAACAGTTGCTGTCAGAAGACACACAGGGGGAAGTAATACGAGATTATGAAATGCATCACGCAGGTGGGAAGGATATCAGAAGACAGACTCGAGTATAGTTACTTGGGTCGGAGTCCTCAGGCTTGTGGCATGTGTCCGTCGAGGTAAGAAACAGAAAGACCGGTGAACATCATAAATCCGATCTTGTGGTCTGTCGAAAAGAGAAGCAGTATGAAAATACAAGGGACGACAACAGAAACAGGATGCGTCATACGAGAATCTCGTCCAAAACTCGCCGACCATCAGACTCGATTGGAAGCAGCGTAAAATCCTCCATATCTTGGTCCTGAATGCCATCTAAGCCAGTCTCGTCGTCACTCGGTCGATCGTAGAGGTGGATAAAGAGGTATAGTCGTGCCGTGAACGATGGTGCAAAACGCAGGAACAGTGACTTGGCTTCTTCATAGTGTTATTTGTAGTGTGAGTTAAGCCGTGCGGTAGGAAGGACGATCGAGGTAGTTTGAAGAGACAGTAGGAAGCGTGATGATAGCTCTCAGGGGGCTGGCAATGGGTCGTTCTCTGCTGAAGCATATGTTAAACATTGTCGGTCGGCAAAGTGCAATTCGTGCTCACCGAGCTGACTCCAGTGGAGTTCCTTTTCGTCAGGAGTCCATTCCGATTTTAGCTTGTTAGCTAGAAAGATCAGTATGATGCGACAAGTCATTGTCAAGGTGGACTAACCAATGCAGTCGCACCACCAGAGAGCCTCCTGGGAAATACAGAGAGGGTCCAGGATGACCAGGTCAGAAGGCTCGTCGTCCTCCAGATCCTCGAAGTCAGTCACCGAGTAGCCTAGGCAGGGGTACGACGGCTGTTCGATGACATCCGGCATGATGGGGGCGAGAGCCGGGTCCCGGCGGGATGTGTGTGCTGGACGCTGGAGTAGGGTGATGAGCTTCTTGCCGAGCTCGCTGTCGCCGGTGAGAGAGCCAATGTCGAGGTGATGGAGTGGATCAACGGGAGCAAGAGTAACTCTACCCACGCCGCGAGTTTCCAGGAGGACGTTCATCTCCAAGGACTTGATCCAGTCTTCCTCGGGGCCCTGAACTGCATGGCAACGAAGAGTCAAGGTGTGTAGATTTAGATTGGAAAGAGCCAGTAGGGCGAAGAAGTTAAGGTCAAAGGGTCCAGACTCGAGCTGGATGTCAACGTGGCGGAGTTGCTGACGAGCTGTGGCTGATTGAACCAGGAAGGCCAGCATGATGTCGAGGTTCGCAAACTTGAATACTCTGGAGAAGATCATGTCTTCAACCTCGTCATGAACCTGTTTGCTGGCTCTCATGAGGTTCAAGTTCAGTTTGGTGATGGCGCGTGGTTTATCGAAGTTCTTGTCCTTGTCAAGTCGAACAATGATAGGTTCTGAGAGTGCCTGTTCCAGAGCATACTCGTAGACGCGGTTTCTGACGTCTGGGGGAAAGTCCATGAAGTTCTTGTGAGTCGTCAGTCCATCGTGTCATGTATCAGCCCTCTGCAGAACGTCTACTCACCACTTTCTTGGTCGTGAGCAAGGTGTGTATGAATTTCTTGTGTTTTGCGACCTCTTCGGCGGTGTAATCGTCCTCGTCGTCTTCAGGCTTTGATCGATACATCTTGAAGGTATCCAGGTTGGCGAAGTTTGTTGTGCGAGAAATGGTGGAACGGAGTCAGTCTGCGAAATGCGTGTACCAATATTGAAATCACCCGGAAAATGCTTGGCACTAGTCATGCAATGCCTGCTAACATTGTGATGTACTCATGCCTCTCCTTCTCATTCATTGACCTCGCGCATCGCTTACGCACCCATCACCGATCAAACCCTTCTATCGAAGTCCGAACATCCATCTACAAGATGTCGGCCGCAGATATGATTGCACTAATCATCCTTCCCTGGTACCCGATCACCACCATCGCTCGCATACCTTGAATCCCTCCTGAGAATGACTAGTGTGCAGAAAACGCCATCGATCAAGCTTGGGAAGCCCAACACCAGGGAGATCTCGCCTATGCCGATCCCCTCGCCGAGGAGCGTAAGGACAGATCCGTCAACATCGACAGTTGAGGCGGACTTACCATTGCTCCCCCTTCTGCGTGATCGTCCCGGCTGACACCGCGAAAAGTTCAAGCGCATAAGGCATAGCGTAGTATCATCCCTTGCTACTGATTTCTCCTTGGGGTTAGCCACTCCTCTCTCAGCTGGATTCTGGAGCATCCTTCTTTTCGTGCAACCTAATCTTTTTGAGTAGACTATGCTAGGAAACAAGATGGTTAGTGGTTCATATCCATATAATGTGTGATGTCGAAGCTGGGTGATTGTGGAGACATCTTCGTTTACGGAACGTGGTTCGTTTTCAAGCAAAATGCATATCGATTTCGGCCGACCGGTTTCTCTCACGAGGATAACGATTGATTGATACATACCTGAAATCTCGTCAACGATGAGGAAGAGAGGACGAGGTTTTGCGCGAGGTGAAATTATAAAGCAGGGTCGCACCGCTGACAAAGCCGAGTTCGACGCATCCAGAGCGGACGATAAATGGCATGGAATAAGTAGAATATTGGCATATGCCACTGATTTTGAGTGGAATATTCCACGTGGTTGGCATAGCATAGAACGGGCAATTCTTGTGGAATATTCTACTATTCCACCTCTTAATATAGCTAATGTCGATGGTTAGATAGGTAGCAAGCTCGAAGTTGGCGCGTGCAGCGGTTAGGCATAGTAGATTCTATGGAAAAGCTCGCTAATACGCGTGTTTCCATTAGTAGCGAGTTCAAGACCTCTAATTGGCTGGATCCCCTTCCGAACTGCTAGCAATAAGAAGCTTTATACGTTAATTGACGAGGTACTTCCTAGCGCCTCTAGTCTCTTGATTAAGAGTCATTCTACTGTCGCTAATCACGTTAAGAAGGAACATGACTTCTATTAAGAGCAGCTTAAGGCCCTCCTTATAACATCTTAATTACTAATCCACTTTACCTACGATGCTTAGACAGCTAACTACGGTAGCCATAAGCTGCTTAGCATTACAGCTCGGTTTATTACATCAGACGGCAAATTAAGTAAGGCACTACTTACTCTCTATAAGCTATAGTCTAGCCATGCTGGTACTTAGTATGCCCCTCTCTTCTTCGATACTATTATTTACTACGGCATCGAGCAGAAAGTTAGATACATCACTTCTAACAATGCTACCTATAACGACACTATAATGAGCTACCTTACTACTCTATTTAGCCAGCGCCTATCTATTAATTAGGACCCTATATAGCATCGAACTCGCTATTTTGGACACTAGATTAACCTTGCTAGTTAAGCACTTATATTAGCGAGCTTAAAGGACGCTATTACTACTATGCTAGCTTAAAGTTAAGACCCCTTAGAAGCGATATTAATACTTAGCTAAGGTACTAGCCTTACTAATCATAAAGCTATTAACTACCTCCGTCAATTCTTTAAGTGGATTATGAAGTTAGCTCGCCGTCGTCGTAAGTTTAAGGCTGCGGCTAGTATATCTACTATGCTCAATAACACTATAAGGTAGAATAGCTAGCTATCTATGATTAAGTAAGGGCTTTAATGCCGAATAGTTATACGGCATATCTAGCATGCCCATAACCATTTTAAGCATACTATCCTCTAGCGGCGTCACTAGCAGTTCCTTAAGGAGCTTGTTAAATTTATAGAACTACTATAGGAGGTGACAAAGTTATGCGAAGGTAATAATACTACCCTCGATTAAGTACTAATGTTAATAGACTTCTTACGTAAGCATTATAAGAGATACGTAGAACAGTATGCTTTTTCTAATCTAGTCCTTACTAACGCTATATAGACTAGCCGGTTTACACTCGATAAGTGGCAAGCAATTAATAACTACACCCCTACCTACGCCGCCGCGCTACTCCTCCATCTAAGTTATCGCGAGGCCTACATTAACAAATAATGACCTTCGTTATAGCGAGCACTAGCTATTGCTACCGCACGTGCTCTATAGACTACTTAGTACAAAAACAGGATTAAGGCTATTTAAGTAGTGTCATTAAAAGAGGAGAAGTTAAATAAGCTTACTTAGTGGCAGGCTTCTTTACGGCATATAAGCTTAGTTCATATAGGCAAGGAGTTCGTCCACTTTATTAAGAGCCCTTTAGTCCTCGTTAATGACGCTATACAGTGGTGGCTTGAACCAACGCAGCAACTTAACTACCCGAACCTCGCTCAGATGGCTATTGATATCCTCTCAATCAATCCAATGTCTGCAGAGTTAGAGAGGGTATTTAGTGGCTGTAGAAGGACGCTATCGTGGGACCGAGCAAGCCTCTCTGCTACCAATCTTGGCTATATCGAGTGCCTTAAGAACTGGCAGAAGAACCTCTGCTTCGAGAGGGTTGATCTACCTATGGAGGAAGGAGAGGAGACCGCAAAGGAGGAACAGGACGAACAAGAAGAATAAGGGGACTATGTGGATAGACAGGGTGACCCCTCAGAAGGACAGGGTCGCAGTGATGACGACGACGACGTTGGCATTGGAATTATTCCACTAGATAATTGACATGGAATGTTGTATTAGCTAGAAGTAGTGGCATGGCATGGCATGGAGCCGAAATTCCACCGATTCCATGTAACGTCCGCTCTGGACGCATCGTCGCATCCGGCGAGTTTTTCCGAGCCAAGGAGCTTGACCGTCGAACAACCTGAGATGTATTCTATCGCGTAACGTACCTCTGTACAGTGCTCGTCCGTCTTTAGCTCCAGGATCACGTCCGTGCTGCAACTTACATGATACGCCCAATAGTCTCGTACACAAGCTGACAAAAATGGAGAGGACGGAGTCTGAACAGGGCTTTTGGCTCGGCCCGAGAGCCGCCCGCAATTTTGGGCGCGTCGCGTCTGCCGTCAACCTCACCTCCTGTCTTCTTGATCCTGTGTCTCTATATCTGAGTTGTCTAGAATGGGCGTTCCTGGGTACTTAATATCCTCAACAAAATTTGTCCAAACTATGCTGACACGACAACCAGCCTCTGGGACATCCTCGGCGAAGGCGAAGTAAAGTCCCTCGCCCAACTATCCACAGACCACTGGAACCAACACAAACGACCCCTCCGCGTCGCAATTGACGAAGCAGGTTGGCGCTTCCACAACCTCAGCGACGCCCAAGTCGCAGCAATCCGACAAAAAGTGCCCGAAGCCAATCCCATCGAAAAGGCAATCCTATGGCGTGTTCTCAAACTCATGCGTATGAATATCCAGCCGATTTTCATCTTCGATGGACCGTCCAGGCCTTGGAAACGAGGAGATGTGGCGGGGAGAATCGATTGGAAGAAAATCGATTCGCTGAGGAAGATGTTGAATCATTTGAAGATTTCACATCACAGGGCGCCTGCTGAGGCGGAGGCGGAGTGTGCGAGGTTGAGTGAGTTGGGAATTGTGGATGCGGTGTGGACTGATGATGGTGATGCGTTTATGTTTGGAGCAAAAGTACTAATCAAGGAGCATCGAGGAGGTGGCAAGTCTGGCAAGAAGAGCGATAATCTGGTAAGAGTCTATCGTGCTGATGACATCGAACGCAAGCACCGTATCAATCGACAGGGCCTCGTTCTTTTTGCGTTGCTGAGTGGAGGGGATTACGATACTAAGGGACTACCTGGCTGTGGACCCACAGCAGCGCTGGCAGCTGCACAATTCGACAACGGCAGACTGGGTAAGATTCTTTGCGAGACTCCTTTGCGTCAACTACATTGCTTCACCGAATCATTACGGACCTACTTCCAGATGTCGGGCACACAAAATGTATGCGTACCTCCTGGCTATCCTCGAGACTTGCACGTCAAGAACTATCGCGAGCCCAAGGTGTCGACGTTCGAGCAGGCCAACGACCTGCGAGGCTTGAAAGATGGCTGGTATGTGCCCATCGACGAAGAAAAATTGCGCAAATTCATGCTACCGATGTTCAACATGGACACCAAAGCATACCTCAAGCACATTGTTCCTCTTCTGTTGGTCAAAGAGCTGATTGGTACGACACCAGAAACTGTAGGAAAGAACATGGTGTATGACCTACAGCTGGTGCAGAAGCGAGGTCGAGATTACGATGCAGAGTGTCTCGAGCGACAAATCACGTTCGACCCGAAGAAATGTACGGAGTTGAATCTGTGGAAGAAGCCAGATAACGAGGATTGGAAAGAAGACTTTGACCCCACTGCGCCCGTCGAAGCAGAGTTTTTGGAGTGTATTCTTGTCAACGCACTTGGCAGAACGGAGATGGACCGGCTCAAGCAGCTTGCAAATCAACCGAAACTAAGAAAACGCAAGACCAATGACGCAGCAGCAGAGGAAGGCCCAAGTCAGACACCTACCGCGACAACCGAGAAAGCTCCTGAAACAACAGCCAAGAAACAAAAGAGGACACCGGCTGCTCAAGCGGATGCTGGATCGTCTGCAAGCACGTCCAAAACAGTCGGCAAGTTGGTGAACCAGCCCAAACCAACGAAAAGGAACGGCAAGACCAATCAACCCATCGAAGAACCCAAGCCAGCCGAGGCCCCGGCGCCAGTAATCAGAAAAGGCTTTCAGCTACCTCGAGCACTTGTGCGGAATCCCTCGATGCTGTCAGAATTTGCATCTCAAAGCAGTCAAGATGCGCTTTCTCGGAGTGCTTCCTTCCAGTCTTTCGACTCGACAGAGTCAAGTCATGGGCACTCAGCGCCGAGAGGCACATTGGAGACGCAACTATCGGGCGATCGTAGTCAGCCGTGTCAGGAGACTGTTTCTCCGCCGTCGACTGGCTTGAGAGAACTTCAGTCTACCAAGTCACACAGAGCAGTCTACGAGAAACACCCAGCCGCCAAGCAAGCATCCAATCCTGTACCACCACGCAGCCAACTTAATCCTGCTGCAAACTCATGGACCTTTGAAAATCTCTCACCTATCACCAGCCTCGATGATGATACCACGCAGCAGCGCTCATCAACAAAAGCACACAACGCACGATTTCATCAGCAAGCACCACCGTCCATCTTCACCGAGGAAACACCCTCACCGGAGTCAACACCCGTACAACCATCATCCGATGTACCCACTACTACAATTACACGCCTGCCGCCACCGCAGTCTTCGATGTCAGGACGTGGTTGTGTCGTTGTGGATCTAGACAGCGACGACGAAGATGTGCTTCCTGTAGCAACTCAAACGGTACCTTTGCGTTCTGTACCAGCGCCGCCATCGCCTCGCCAAGCATTCATTTATCAGGCTTCTCTTTCACCCGCGCTTCACGGACAACCTCTTCCTGCGCCGGTGACGTCAGTGTCTGCCGCCCTCGACTCGAGGCAAGCCATCGCAGCAGCTCGACTCAAGCATTTTGAGAAGAGAGCACCTGAGACGATTGATCTTACGCTTGATGACTAATTGATGTCCTCCTTGCAATACGCTGCAGAAGTGAGGTATCAGCAAATCAATCAAAAAGTACAAGGCTTGCAATGCAAGCGCCACCAGGGACAATTTTGCCCCCGTCGAAAGACAAACGAATATTCTTAACAAGTCCCTGCATGTGTCTTTATGAGCTCAAAGTCCTGTGATAATAATGCGCACGATAACAAATTCACGCCAGCACTCTGGTTTGTGGAACTATCCAGCTCTTCCCTTTACACGTCCTATGCGAAATTTCTTTCATAATCTCTGTCAAAACGTCCGTGCATCCTTCCAGACAGTGTGGTTTCCGATACTTGGTTTTTCCTTGCTGCAAGTCCCGCGAAGCCTCACAAGTAGCTTAATCAATGCGCAAAGCCGAAAAAAGGTGTACATCCAGAATAGTAGCAAAACAAAGCTCTGGCAAGGATGCATTTGCTGCGAGCTTTCGTGATAGCCGGGGAAGTCTGCAAGGGCGCAGAGCGTGGGAGATTATCGTCGAAGTGTACATCAACTTGTAGCAACGCAGTTTCTTAGAGAATACGCTGACCACTCCAATCGAGGTAGCCTTCTCCGAAGCTTCTCAAACGTTGGCGGTTTCTCTGGCAGCTCGCATCATTTGGCGGTATGTCCAGGTCAAGCAGTCTGTGGCTTGCTCCTTTGCGGGAGACGTTCTCAGATATCCCCAGGACTAGTAGACATGCTAGCAGACATGTTAACAGCAAGACTGCTTCTCATATGATCGTTCTTCGCTTCCGAAGTATCTTCCCCCTCTTCCTTCATCTCGTGTAGATTACTGCCCTGTTATTCAGTTCCTCCTCTTCGTAACGCATCTTGTCGGCAGCAGCCATGGCCATGAAAGGAGCCTTCCTCTTCTCGTTAAGGAATTCATCTTCTCTTTGGGAATCTTGCCAACACCACCTATTAATTTTACGAGTAACTTGGTTGGAGGTCGAATGAACGTTGCTGCACCGATCAATCTCGATGCTAGAGTTTTTCTCTTACCAATCTCGCGTGTCTCGTTGGCGACGAACATGTAGGCGGGAGACCACGGTTTCGAGCCTTGCTGTTAAAGCCTCACGTTTGGCTTTCTTCGCATATAGTACCCGTCGGCGAGGCAAGAGTGCCGTCTGTCGGCTATGCTTTGACGATGCCGAAGAATGATTGCGTGAAACGACTGAGTCAGACAGCGTGTCAGAAGCTATCGACTGCTTGCCGCCTAAAGCTGTAAAAACAACTTCTTCTTTGATGTTCAAGGCGCAAAGCCTGTGAAGCATGCTTACACCACTAAAGCTATGCTTGGTACAGATTTGCTTTCATGCAAGAACCTTCACGGACTCTCCTTCAAGGTTGGCCTTGGATTGTTCGCAAGACGGCAGCGTGTCTGAGTTGCTTGCATCATTATCGGATTGCACAGATGACGAAGAGTGATTAGACGGCATGTCCGAATCGGACGATGTTGTGAAGGCTGTTGACTGCTCGTTCTTTGAGATCATGTAGTCGTCGTTGTTGGAGTCTACGATATCCAGGGATTCGTCGCTGAAAGCTCCGGCCTCATACAGCTCGCTGTCGGCAACCGCTCGAGAGCTACGAGCACATCGGCGTATGTGGACCATGTGCGCCTCGGAGTCTGGGGAGCGCTGGCTTGAGGTCCTCTTCTCGGGCAGACGAGCAGAGTATGCAACAGCAGCGCCCCACAGATCCCTGAAGCGCCTACAGTTGGCGAGTGTGCCTCTGCTATTATCTTGCCATTGGTCCCTGGCCGGGCACCTCTTCGATTGCCGGGACCAAGGACCAGTGACAGAGCAGGGTCCCAGGCCAGACCACCTCTTCAATCGCCTGGACCTGGGACCCACTCTTGTTGCAATAGGTTTCTTCGACATCTAGCAAGAGGTCGAGACAAGTAAACAACGATTCGTATACGATGACCTACGAAGAAGCTCTTATTCAAAAATGAGCTTGAGCTTGACGTGGTAGGCTCGCACCAAACATACCTCTCGATCTCGTACCAAAGCTTGTCACTGGTCCCGAGCCAAGCCACCTCTTCCATTGCCTGGACCAAGGATCAGTGACGTGGTACGGTCCCAGGCCAGCCACCTATTCGATTGCCTGGACCTAGGACCTACTGTTGTGTCTGCGCACAGCGACCAGAACATCCTGAATCCGACGTTGCATAGCGGAGGAAGAACGAGCGATGCCATGGACCTCTTCAGTGTTGCCGTCAATCTTGGGAAGCCAATACGACGAAAAACTTTCGAATGCATGAGGAAATGTTGAGTATGTGCCTGGCTCAGACATATCTTCTGATCCGAACTCCTCGACTGAAGTTGACTGTGGAGGATTTAGGGCTGACGACACGAGCTCCAGTCTTTCTCTGTTCAGACACGGGCTGAGACTTGACTGGTTGCGCAGATCGTGACTGAGATCGGAGCCTCGGAGGGAGACCATCCGGGATGTCGTCTGACTGAGAAGGGGCCATGTGGTCCATAGCAGCGGCTGCTGCTCTTCTGCGCTCAGGTTTGGGGCCGATCTTCACAGACTCCACCATGTCTGGTGAGTCTGCCCGACCACCAGGACTCCCGGGTGCCGCTAAAGTGACACGTCAAATACCCACTGGTAGGACTAGCACTGCTTGGAGAGACACGGGCTGGTGTGTCTTGCAACAGTCCCCTCCACCATCATGGACGCTCAAGAAGAGCGAAGTCGATCAGCCAAACTGGCGGATGATGGATGCGAGCTTTCTGGTTCTCATTCAACAACCACCTCTGGGCTTGTCGAGGCCGTTGAGAGGACCTTTGAGGTTGGCCCACTTCTCGTAATCCTCGTCATTCAGCTGCAACTGATTGAGCACGCCCTGAGCTTCCTCGAGGATCTCACAGATTCTCTTGTAGTTGGCTTCCATTCTGGCTTGGACTTGAACGCAGTGCATGTCGTGATGCATGACAAGGCTGCTGGCGTTGAGTAGGCTCTAAGCTCCAGCAGAGAGCTAGTCGTTGGGGTCTTTGATTCCTGGAGTTTGGTGCTTGATGTGGTCGTTCATTCCGGTGAGAAGAACCCATTACTGCATGTTGGTTTTAGGGCTGTGCTCCTCAAGCCTCAGTTCCGCAAGCTTTCCGTCCAGGAGAGCTTGGAGGTGAGTGATCTTGAATAGAGTCAGTAGTGTCATTGGGAGCGGCGCTGTCAACTTACCTCCACGATGGCCTCGTCCGTGAGGCTTGTGCTCGAGATCGAGCAAGTGCCCGAATTAGGCGTGTGATTTGATCTGACATCTATTTATTAAGATGCTTGTCTACAGAGTTTGATTGGCGATCAGGAGACTCGGTCTGAAGCTTTTTGTGTCCAGACACAGACTGAGACCTCTGTTGCTGGGACGAGGCTGACTTGACTTGCTGCACAGATTGAGACTGATTCAACTTTCTCGAGGCTTGCGCGTCAATGTTGAGTATGTGCCCATCTCAGGCGTAGCTTGTGGTATAGAGTCAGCTTGGCAAGGTGCTTGTTGAGAATCGCTGGTGGGGGAAACACGAAACTCGGTCGAGGTCTTTTGCGTCATGACAGCGGCTGAGGCTTGACTGGCTGCGCACGGAATGAGTTGACTCCAAGCGCATGTCAACAGTGAGATCTTGGCTTTGCAAAGGGGTGACCCGCAGAAACTTTCCAAGGGAGACCAGACAAGGTGCGAAAGCAGAGACGGTCTTGCGCAGCGTACCGAGGGGAGCTGCTCCTTTGCGCTCGGGCTCCGAAATTATGCGGTACGGAAGAACTTGAAGAGAAGATGCGATAAGTAACTTGGACTGCAGGTTCCAGTGAAGCATCGGATATTCGAAAGCACATTGCGTTGTTCGCTGCAAAAGTCCGGCGGCGAGAAGGGGTGCGGGAAGCGAGCAATGGAAGAGGCAGAAACTCGCTGGTGGTGCAGAACCTTTCCCAAGCAACCGGGATGGCGTCCTCTTTCTCTCAAGTTGACTGTAACAGCAATCTGATTTCTGTCGAGTGTTTCGCATTCGAGTCCGTACTCAGAGTCTTGCGCGCTCTGACAACTTGAAGATTTGAACGAGCCTGGCAGACCACAACGTCGGCAGAGTCCTTGTGGTTTTGACAGTCCACAGGGCTCGTCCTGGCAGAGTAGACTTGATGGACCACTGGAACATTGACCATGCGCTCGCAGTTGATTCACCTTGCCTACGCAGTCTCGATGCCCATGTCCTCTCTTTCCCAACAAACTCCATGGGTGTGCTCTGCGCGTGCACAACGACCATGGGGTGCAACCATTAGGGCGCACGTAGTTGGAAGCATATGTGATGCGCTTTAGAGCCTAGTCAGCACTGGATGTAAAAGCAGATGTAAAGCAAAACTGACTTACACTTCCACGACCAAAACCAAGCCATAATGGCTGAAGATCAATAGCAAGATCTTCTCTTCGATGTTGAAGGGAAAAGGGAAGATCGCCGACGTAGATGGCGTTGCGAACAACCTCAGGAAGAATGGTGCTGTACGAGGTGAGAGCAGGCTGACGCTCCACCCCACCATGCGAGGCTGAAGATGAAAGTCTCGTGGTTGCGGGAAGCTTTCGCCCTCTCGCTGTGCGCGGAGGAAGACAACACCAGATCTTTATCTCCAGTGACCGGGGCGAGCGGAGCTGGGCCTGAAGCTCAAGGTGCTGGAGTCCAAGGCGCTGGAAGCGCTTTTTGATGAGAAATAAAGTAATGTTGAAGACCAGTGTTGTGTCGGGGACGAAGATTATTAGGTCTTTGATGTTGCTGAAGAAGCGGTTGAGAATGAATCTGAGTGATATGCCGCCAACAACGGCAGAACCAGCCCTCGTCTTCCCTCTGAGATGACCGAGGAGCAGCAGCTTGCTATTACAGTTGCCCGTTCTCGTCCCCTGGATGGCCCTCTTCCTCCTGGTTTCGACGTCGAGACCTTGCCCGTCTACCGCGCCCCCATCTCCCACCCCAACATGACTGTCAATCCTCGTTCTGCTGTCTCCAGTTCCGCCCCTGAGCACGATGGAGCTGTCGGGGAAGCTGTCACTGCTGGTGTCAATGATGCTGTTCCCCGAGCTGTCCTCAGTGCTGTGGCCCATCCCATCGCGGTCGCTTCCACCCCTGAGACCCAGACCTGCCACTGGGCTACCTGCACCAAGACCTTCTCTGGCTTCAACGCCCCTACTTTCCTCTGTGTAAGTGTGTCTCATCTGCTTCATAATCTCTTGCACGGAAATTGACATAGTCGCAGCTGCACCTCACCAACGAGCACGTTGAGCGTCCCGTCATCGATCCCAACTGCAAGTGGATCAATTGCGCCTACTCCAACAAGACTCGCAGATTCTTGGTGTCCCACGTCGGGACTCATGTGCCTGACTACAAGCTCTTGGTGTGCGATGAGTGCGGCCGCGGCTTCCAGCAGCCCGCTCATCTCGTCCGCCACCAGGGGACTCATCGTTGAAGGAGGGATAAAGTCCAGTGGCACGGCAGGATCCTGGATTCGTGGGACGATGAAATTGGGGAAGAAGAAGTTTGTCGTTAGCTCCTCCGTCATTTTCACTTTTTCTTTGACCACAATGGGAACAGAGAAGAATTCATGCATCAAGCTAGTTGCTTGAACTAGTGAGACTCGAGCAGAGAATGTCCGCGAAGTCTTGTTTTTGTGCTGCTACAAAGACTTCGTAAAACAGTGTGTGATTACCTTGTATGCTGACCAAAGTGTCGTAACGTACTTGGAATGCTTATCAGTTTGTCATGGCGCCTTATCTCGACCAGACTTCTAGCCTCATGCCCAACGGCCGTAAGGAACGCCAGATCTCGTATCGCAACGTCACTCAGGATTCAGGATGCAAAATATGACGCGCCGACATCCGGTTCAGCAGGAAGTTAGCAAGCATATATTCGAGCGCAAAGACCCAACTCGTTCTTTGACTTGCTATTCGCTTTGGCGGTGCTAATTATCGCTCCATCTCGAGATTCTGTCGACCTCAAGGCTTCCAAACATGTTGACAGCCGCACTGACTTCCTCTCTCCTCCTATCATTCGCATCTGCGGCTGCTATCGGGAACTCACAGCAGCCACTCGACCAGAATGGTACAAACGCGACTATCGACCATGTCGACCAGGCAGCCTTCCAAAAATTTCCCATCGAAGCTATGAGCGACACTGTATTCCGTCTCCACCATCACGCTGCCAAAGCACTGCTCAGCGACCAGTCATACGTCGTGCTCCGTCAAGGCGAAATTTGGAAACGACGATCTGAGATCTGGCACTACCTTCGAAAACACGATCTCGACTGTCAAGATTGGATGGATGCTGAGATGGGCGATTCTCGAGACAACAGGCGTAGGATCTTCATGTCGGGCGGTCGCATCTTCGACGCGGACCCGGAACGCGTTCCTCAAGAAGTGATCGCTGCGCTGCAAAATCTGGCGGATCGAGAACACGAGAATAGGCTTGGGATGAGGTGTCAGAAGCTCTGGAACGCCACTCATACCGATGACAGTAATACTGATCAGGGCAAGATGTCGTTCCGAGACAGGTTCAACCAAGAGCATGGCACACCTGACCAAAGCTGGATGATCCCGACTCCAAACGAGTACATCCAATATCAGATTCCTGAATCTGTCTTGGAAGACATGTGGAAAGCAAGCGAGGAACGGGAAAAGCAAGACATCCTTGCAGCTAAGCTGTCAGTCAGAAATGTGGAGCTGCCAGATCTTCGCAAGTGCAAGAGACTGGAGCGCATGTGATCTATTGCAACTAGGGGTTGTGATATCAGTTCTTCTGCGCGATCGGTAGATCTATTTGCCTGCAGCATGGAGTGCAACAAGCCCTTGACTAAGTGCTCACCACGCGCAATGATGCTTTTGATATTGAGGAGTCTCGGGGTTCAGTCTGCTGCCGTCTGTCCTGTTTCTTGGACGGGGTATACATTTTTTCTGCTCTTATAACTGGATTCGAAGCTCCTGTTTATGTCAAAGTATCAACGTGTATTGACATCTGTCTACATCTCTCAAGATCGCCAAGACCAGCATGCAAAAAAATTGTATATCTTGACAGTCATATAGAGCTTAGCATTCGATTAGAGAATGCATTAGTCACGTATCAAGAAAGCATCGGCTGTCGCAATACTTGGCACAAAGATGACGTATGTCAATCACTTAGAAAGACTGCATTGAGAGCAAGAACGCTGAATCAGAGTAGCGGGCAAAGCGAAAACAAAGAAAGACTAGCATTAAAGCTAAGCCGTCGCGACCTCCAAGGAAACAAAGGAAACAAAGGCAACAAAGGCAACCAAAGAAAGCACAAGTAGTAGCGAACCCAAACACCATCGGCGTGGTCCAACCCCAGAGGAATGAAGACAAATGAGGTCCTACCACTAGCAACAGAACGGAGCCAACGCCCAGAGAGAAAGCAGCACAAAAAACAACATCTGCGAGCGCCCGAAAAGCCGCAACGGCAATCGGCGAAAGCGCAATGAGGTCGGAAGTCTGAGTGGATGTTGCGAAGAAGGGAAAACGAGCAATAGTCCGTGGTGCGGTCGGGGAGAAGCGAAGAAGCTAAGAATGATAGGAGCGTCTGCTCAGGCGCAGGCAGAGGTAAGAGGGTTGCGGCATTTGGTTGCAGCATCAAATCGCCGCGCGACCAACCAGCTGGACCGTTGCAGTATGAGTCCTCAGAAATATATGAGGTGAAATGAACAGGTGGAACGAAGAAGAAAGTGGCTCTGCCACCAGCAGCGGATCAAGACGAAAGCTAAAAGGGAGAATCCAAGACTTGGAAGAACAGTGAGCAACCAAGACTGTATTTGCCAACTGGACATGGAGCTGTCATTTTAGTGATGCGTGTTGGACTGGCGCAAAAGACGAGGCAAACAAGTTTCTCCGAGACCAGGAGACGAAGTGACAAAGGAAGGAAAAATGATCTCGTCTGCTTCTCCCACAGCAGAAGAATGGGACGTGTAGTATATGTATCGTTGCATAGACCAACGAGAAGTCTTGTGAAAGGCATCAGAAACCATAATCTTCGTGCTTGGAAAGAGATTCGAGATGATGTTCTGTGGCCAAGGATAGCTTGTGGACGGTGTGAAATGTTCCTGTTCCGGCCGATGGTTCTCAAGGACGAGCCATTCAGTGTGACAGTGTTCGCTGCGAGTGATACTCCAGAGAAACCTTTAGTAAGGGCAACGAGGACGAAGACAACTAGGATGGAGAAAGAAAGTGCTGATGGTGGTGATGAAACATTGTTGTATTGAAGAAGTGACAAGGGGCCTGAGTGGGCAGACGTTGTGTTGTCGTGGGATGCAGTAGTCGACAATAGTTTTCAGGCTCCTGCGAGTCACATGTCGTATTCAAAATGGGTCTCGGGGTTGAATGGTTTTCTAGCCGGGTTGGATGGGAACGCTGGAGAGCCATAGGCAGGGGTTGCACCAATCTTGTTCCGGACCCACTGGCTTAGTCTCTGTACAGGCACCGTGTCTGTATCGGCCGCGATTTCAACGTCTTTGAGCTCGTTCTAAAATGGGCATCTTGCCTGGATAATGCGAGTCGACCAGGGGTTTGGTCCGTAGACGAACCAATATCTTGGCTTGCGTGCAGGATCTCCCATGATACCCATGGTCATCTCGGTTGTCCTATCTGGATGGTAGTCTTCTCTGCCTGTGAGCAAAATGTGGTACGACTTGATCCTGTCGAAGGTGTTGCAGGACAGATCAACAACGTCTTTGGTGTCAATCACCGAAACGCCAACTTCGGATACACGGCCGCCAGATGCCTCGGGAGTTTGCGCTCTCTCGCTAGATTAGACATGTCAGTGGTAGTTTGCCGTTCACAAGACTCCCAAGAATCTACAAGTCCACACTAGACAACACTGGCATTGAATGTCTTCTTGTGGCAGAGTGACACCTGGGTAGGCGAACCTCATGGCAAGAACACTTGCTAAGGACTCTCTGGCGTCAACGCCTGCGTTGTGGTGCCATTCTTCCAGGCCTGCCACGGCACAAGCCTTGGCCAAGTTGTAGCATGCTAAGCACAGTATTAGCGTTGGAAGAGCAGCAATGGCACAATGGGACCCACACATTGGCATGTCCTTCTTTCCAGTGAGGTCTCTGGGGTGCCTGTATCGTGAGCCCGGCTTACTAAAGTCGCCGTGTGATTCTGCCTCGCCGTCGAGAGCCTGAGCAAGCTCCTTGGCCATAACGGCAAAGTTGATGCTTCTGTCGAAGTACTGGTAGCTAGTCATGGTCAGATGGGAAAGGCTTGATGAAGAAGGGGCACCTACTTAAGGCCAATCTCTTTCATGGCTTGACTATCGGTGTTGGTGGGTTCAAAGTCACCGTGCTGGAGATACCAGACTTCACGTTTCTGGAGACGACGGTGTGGCGCCAGGCTACGCGATCCAGTGGAAAGCATACCAGCCAGCATCAGCAGGTCCCTGAGTGGGTGTTCCATCTATCGAATCAGTCAGAAAGTGCTCAACATCTATGGGCTGCATAAGAGGAAAGGGGTGGTGCGCGATCTCTTCGAAGCGTAGTCGCGCAACAAGATGACACCATGCATAGGCATCTGGGACTTGCGTGACTGTGGCAGTGGGAAGGGCGAGATGATAAGGACTTACTTGTGGGACGGAAACGTCGTTGTTTGTGCCACCCTGTCTTTCCCGCGATCGTTGCACGAAATGGTGTCACAGTTGACCACATCATAGGAACCTGAGAACATTGTCGATATACCCTCCAAATTGGTTAATTATTATTATACTACGAGCTAGAGGAGTGTCTCCTAGTGATTCCCTCGAATTTCTAGTAAAGCGCCACGGTGCGGGGTCGAGATGCCAACTCCGAAAGGCCGAGGAGGAGCGAGAGGTGGAGGTATAGTAGGTAAAGGGAGGTTCGAGGTGTTGTCGTAGGGTAGCGTAGAGGGTTAAGAGGTGGAGGATCAGTTTATAAGAGATAAAGAACATGTAGAAAAGAGAAAAAGAGAAGGGAGACAGGGTAGAGCCGAGGGAAGCCCTCTAAGACGCGATAGTCGATTTAGTAACGACTCCGACTCTACATCGGCAGAGGCCACGCCTAGAAAGAAAACCTCGCCCATAGCTATAAGAAGGATGACTAGAAGTGTAGAGAAAGAAGGTAGCAAGGCTAGCTACTAGACTAATAGTAGCCTAACCCCTAGTAGTAGAAGTAGCGACATGCTACGAGAGATTATAATAAGCGACATTATGTAATAGTTACTAGAAGCCTAAAGAATGGTAAGGGAAAGAGAGAGGAAAGAACAAGAATATAGAAGAAATTAGACATTTATAATCGACAGTTATAACACTAGTCCTAGACATTAAGAGCCTATAGGAAGCAGTCCCGAACTAGGGCTCCCTCTAGTCATTGTCCCTAGTAATAGGCATAACCGATTCCTTTATAAGCGTTATAGCTAGGGGAGTATAGCTACCAAATTAGGAGATAACTATAGTACTAGCATAAGGAACAGACGTAACACTAACTAGATTAACTAGGTCATTAGTATCGTTCGATTTGTTAGACTAGTTAAGTCCGCTACGGTCGCCTCCTATATCTATAGGAACATCGATTAGGAGCGTAATAAAGAAGATAAAGAAATCCCTAGAGGCAGATATAGTGCTTAATATAAAGAATCTCGATATAGAAGGACGAACTAGAACGAATTTAATAATAAGAACTAAGAACCGAATCCTAGCTATAATTAGGTCTAATAAAGGACTAGATAAAGTCGCTCTTAATTAATTTATAATTAGACATATAAACGAGGACGTTTATTTAGCGTACTTTAAGATTAATAAAGAGGTAGAGAAAGTAGTAAGAGCCTACGTAGACGAATAGTTACCTATATTCCTTAAAGGGGTAAGACTTATTAAGTCTACCTAGCATCTAACTAAAGTGGACTTTATCCCTAAAATAGAAGCTAGACTACTAGACTAGAACAATTAGTTAAGAGATATAAGAGGCCTTTATAGAGGAGGATAAAGTAGAAGTTAAGCTAATAAGATAGCTAGGAAGGCTAAAGAAGTACGCTATATATATATTAGTAGTAGCTAAGTTAGCTACGAAAGAATAGGTAGAGAAACTGCTCTAGAGACAGGTAGATAAAGAGGAGGTATACCTTTTTAGGTGTCTTACCATTTTATAATAATAGAGGGCTAAGAGCTTGCTATAACTATTACTAGTTTAGACATACGTAGAGAGAGTGTAATAACACTACTAGGTGCTTATAGTATGTATAAGAAGGACATAATAATTATAGACTAGGAGAACCTAAGTGTTATAACTATAGAGAAAAGTACCTAATAACCTATAGGAAGTGTCTAGAGTATAAAAAGCAATAAGAGAGAGAAATTAACCTACGTTATTATAATTAGTATACTAAACATTCTTTAAGCAAATCTATATAGGAGCTCGAGAGTTTAGGATGCTTTATATAACGACCTAGACGTCTAGGACTTTAATACTATTCTTATATAGGAACTACACTATTAGGAAATTGCGGGAAACCTTTAGATTACTAAAGCTAGACCTAATTTTAAGGTGATAAAACTAAAAACACTATAAAGAGAAAACTAAGTATAAAGAGTCCGATTATATATATAGATAAACCGGAATATCGAATACGCGCAAATTACGATAAATAGTAATGATATAACTATAATTATTATAAAACATAGGAACTATAGCATACTACTAGTATTAGTATATATTCTAAGTATAGGCAATAGAGAGGAAGCTAATAAGTAAGAACTATACGTCTAATTATAGGAAGTCTAAGACATAATTATAATTAACCTAACTATAGTTAGTAAAAGATTGTTTAAAGATCGAGACATATACTAACTATTTAAGAACGAGTATAGATTAGACTATAGAGTAATATATATAGCTATAGGCATATAAGATATAATAGAAGATCTAACGGTCCTATAGTACCTACTATAGAAAGTAGACTAGAAAGCGATAAGGGTCGAGATAGGATAACATCTTACTAATAATCTATTCCTAATAGACGATCTAGAAGTAATATAGAAATATATCTAGGAAACTACTTAGATAGTAATAGACTATTACTACCTAAAGGCAAAACTATTAAAGTACGTAAAAAGATGGTAGTTAAGTAAGTTAACGTCTATAAGAAAAGAGTATATAAGGGCTTATAATCTAGTAAGGTTAAGAAGGAGATAAGACCGGCGAGATAATAACCTTAAAGTTATAGTAAAGATAGTAGAGTATAACTTCTATTACGCGATTAAGAAACGTAAAAAGGAATACTAGATAAAGTTCCTAGGTAAATTAATAGATATCTAGAAGGCAACCTAATACCTAGACCTAAGTAAGAGATTAAGCTTTAGTAGGATTATATCTATAAAAGGGTAAGGAGGGAAGTCTATCTAAGACAAAGCTAGTATTACTAAGGAACTATTATATAGTTTCTTCCTAGAACTACCTACCCCTTAGAGGCCCGAATATATAAGAAATAATAGGGTAGACCAGCTTTCTAATAAAGCATTAACTATAGACGAGATCGAGAAAGTAGTGTTCTCTTAAGTCTAGATAAAGTAGTAGGAAGTAATAGCATAACTATTAGGGTATAGAGAGAAGTCTAGCTAGCTTTATAATAGCAAATCTATATACTCTTCTTAACTTCGCTTAGGTAAGGCAAACTGCCGTTATAATAGAAGGTAGTAAAGATTATTCCGCTTAAGAAAGGGAATAAGGATAACTATACCCTCCCTAAGAACTATAGGCTAATATCTTTACTAGTAACGCTAGGAAAAATAATGGAAGCTATAATGGTAGCACGGATTACGTACCTTATAGAGGTGCATAAGCTACTACCTAATAACCACTTTAGTATAAGGAAGTAGAAGTTAACGGTGCTCGCTATTTCCTACCTTTAGGAAGCTATCTATAACGCCTAGCAAGGTAAAAAGACATTATTACTAGTGTTATTCGACGTTAAAGGCGTATATAATAATGTTATAATAGGACCGCTTCTAGAAAGGCTAAGATAGAGGAGAATCCCTAAAACCATAGTTAAATAGATCTAAGATTTCTATACCGATAGGAAGGTAAGTGTAGTAGTTAATAGCTTTATATTAGAAGTAGAGGATTTACCTTAGTTAGGACTACTATAGGGATTACCGCTCACCCTAATCTTATTCCTCTTCTTTAATGTAGATCTAGTATAGATAGCAATTAAAGAAGGAGCGTCGATAGCATTTGTTAATAACTATACTACGTAGGTAGTTAGCAATTCTACCGAACGGAATATAAGGATAATCTAGAGAGATATATTACTAAAACTAGAAAGATAGGAAAAGGAGAGTAGAGTAGTATTTAAAGCCTTAAAACAGCATTTATCTATTTTATAAGATATAACGACCTACTTAGAGATAGCGACATGCCCCTATACTTTAAAGAAGACTAGATCTAGCTAAGTTAATCGATTAAAGTCCTAGGTGTAATACTAGACTAAGGGCTTCGATTTAAAGAACATCTAGTAGAAAAAGTAGAGAAAGTATTAAAAGTAGCACTAGCTCTAAAAAGGCTATAAGGTCTAAACCCATTAACTATGCGTTAGTTATATATAGTAATAGTTACACTAGTTATGGACTACGCGTCACTAGTCTAGTACCTTACAATATTTAATAAGACAATGTCGGTATTATATAGAGCCTAGAGAGTTATAGCATAAGCCATTATAGGAGGATTTAGAACGCTAGGCCTTAATATATAGTCCTAGAAGTAAGGATACCGTCCTTATAATAAAGACTATACGAATAGACACTTAGATTCTAGATCTTAATCTAGAAATTAGAAGCCTTATATATCTACGTAAAGCTAGCTAAGACTAAACTAATTAAGCGATTTAACTTACCTCTCTAAAAAGTAGCTAGGTTGTTTAAGGAACTTAATGTAAATAGAGCTAAGAAGATCCCTATAGTAGGGAGTGAACTATAGAGCTAAAAGGCTTATATATATATACTTAATAAGGAAGTAGCTAAACTTACGATAGAGGAATAGCTAGCAATAATAGACATATATACTAATGATTTAGTCCGTAATAGACGGGTAGGCATAGGAATCTAGATATTAGCGTAAGAAACGTTAAGAACAATAAGGAGGGCTAAAGAAATAAACGTCTATCTAATAGAACTTAAAGCAATATAGATGGCTATTAAAGGTCTATTATATAAGAATAATAGACTAGTAAAGATTAGGGTCTTTTCTAACAGCTAGAGCGCGCTCTAAAGCATCTAGTCTATAAAGATTAATAATAGCCTAGGCCTAGTTATAAGAATTAGAGATAAGATCGCTAAAGCGACATTCTTACTATACTAGGTCCTAGGCTACGAGGGAATTAAAGGCAACGAGAGGGCAAATAAACTAGCTTAGAAGGCGATAGATATTATCTCTCTAATGCCTAATCCTATAAATAATGTCCTAATTTTAGTAATATATATAAGAGTAAAGGTTATAAACTTTAAGCTAAAACTCTAAGAGTTTTATAGCGCAACTATAGGTAAACACCTCTAGAAGATCGATAAGGCACTACGAGGAAAACACATAAATAAGCTATATAACGCACTTAATAGGATAGTAGCTACTACACTAGTCTAGCTAAGAACGAACATATTAAGACTTAATACGTATCTTTATAAAATTAATATAGCAGACACTAATAGATGCGAACGTAGAATAAAAGAAATAGTATAGCAGGCTGTGATTAGCAGGAATGCTTATTAATTATGGACAGCTCATACCCCTTGCGGGGTAAATAGCTTAAGAAAATCAAATCAAATCAAATCAAATCAAATCAAATCAAATCAAATGACCACATCATATTCCTTCAGTGGAAACCATTATATTCCAGTTTCTCTTCTTCACCTACGAAGTAACAAGTGCGTCGGGCACAGTGGGTGCTGGAAGTGTGCTAATGATACGGACTTTGAACTGGCTTGCCAAAAACCATGGCTCTGCATTTGGGTGTAACCATCAAACACTAACGCCATCATTGAAGACTGCATTAGTTCCAGCCTGGAGCTGACAGCGATCACAGTGCGTCTAGATGTCCCACCCTCGCACCCAGCCACCCTTTTCCCGCTCAACCTCACACTCATACACCTTCAGCAGACGAAACCATTCCTCTGAGTAACCCACCCCAACTGGCTCTCCTCTCGAGAATCTTCGGCTGTCCGATGGCTCCTGTCCATTATATCTTGGTATCTTACGGAGTCCCACCTCCTCACTAACTCGCCAACGATCCCAAAAGGTGAAACCTAGACGAGCAAAGACAGTTGGTCTGTGTGTTTGTAGCGGAGAATCAGGCCGGTTGGTGCTTGCTCTGAGGAAGCGCATCATGTCGTTCTCCCTGCAGAGGTGAAAACTTTCCTGTTGCCATGCTTTTGACGCTTCTGAGGAAGTGGGGTTGAGGACCGGTGACCGAAAAAAGCAAGGCGAGCATATCAATGGCGCGGCTATGTTTTCGCGATATGGAGGACGAGGTATCTGGTATGGTCGAAGAATGGTAGCGATATCGTGGGCCTTCTGCCCTGTGTGCGTGCACGGCCCATGCGATAGCAACGTAGGCCCGTATATCAGACTTGCCTCAAGTTCGGCGACATCATCGTTTATCCAAGACAGTTTGTCGTCCAAGTCAACCGCTCTGAAACCTTGACATTCGATAGCCAGGAGCCATAGTGCTCGCACAGCACGATTCTCCTCTATCCAGCTTGGATCTTGTAGTCGAGAGGGTATTTCTAGGGGCATCCCCTTAGGTCTCTGCCTCGATATACAATTTTATACCGTCCTAATAATCTTCCTAACTAGTAGAGGTATTTAGCTCTAGCGGCACTAGCGAGACCTGTCGAGGAGTAGGAGTAGTTAGTGTAGTCGCTAGTAATTGCGTAGTCTTCTTATGGCCGATATAGATGTTATTAACAGTGCCTTAAGAAGGTGAACCTTATATAGGATTAGGTCGTCTCTAAGGTTACTTCTTAAGCGTAGCTTCCTTAGCCTAATAGAGTCTTTTAATAAGGTCTCGGATCGCCTTATTTAGCTGCTTAAGGGTACCTCTACCGGCCCTAACCTTATCGCGCTATCGGCTAGAAACGGTAAGGACGATCTCGTAATGGCGACCCTAATACGGGAAGCATGTAAGACCTCTACGTAACTTAATGTAGTATCGTAGTAGGGTTAGGCAATCCTAGAACTTAATAATTAAGTCCTAGAATACTGCTCGTTCTAATATGAAGTTAGTAGTCTGTTCGATCGATCTTTAAGATCGAGTATGGCGAGAGGTTTAAGAAGACTAAGGTATACTTATAGGTGCTTCGTACGTAGGGGGTGCCTCTAGCTCTAGTTCTTTACCATTAGGCGTCTATATAGACTTAACTATAAGAGATAGGTCCTCTATGCCGCTACGAGCATTAAATTAAATAAGGTCTATAGCCTTCTTCTAGCGCTTACTACCACCCTTAACCCTAGTAAGAACAACTACTTTAGTCTAACGGAGACCGCGAGCACCGGTCGATATAATTAAGGCCTTAATTTTCCATAGATAGAATAGCGCGATCCCTTAACCTTCTAAATAAGGTATAACAGTTTCATCCATCTCTTTTAAAGCCTCTACCTATGGTTTGTTACTGTCGGCAAGGCTAGTGTCACTTTTAGAGATCCTTTAGTAGCCCTAGCGTATGTTAAATTAAAGCTTAAATGGAATTGGGACAGGAGGTGCTATAGCGATAGGACCTATAGTAATAGTAGACGAATCTAAAGATACTTTCTTCGTAGTGGCGGTCTTATAACCCTTCGGAAGGTTACTACAAAGTTTGGTGACCTTATTCGTAGTAGTAGTTAATCGGCGAGTAGTTAGGGCTAGGTTATTATATAGCTTCGCGGGTCGATTTTTAGTCGCTAGGGCCTATATCTTAGTCTTTCTTAAGGTATTTAATGTCCGTTCTTTACCTAACGTGTTTATAGCATTAGAAAGTGGTTTCTTACTAGCGGATACCTTTTTTAGAGGTGGTTATAGTAGTTAGGTAGAGGGAGGATGTTTTGCTATAACCTGACGTTAGGTGGATTCGGAGAGTGTTTGTTAATTAATAAGACGAACTAGCGCTTTTCTACAGGTTAATCGAGCCGGTATAGCAATAGGAGCACTAGAAGGACCAGTTTCCAGCTCTAGATCGAAGTGTATATGCCGTCGCGTGCCCCGGTGTGCGGTAGGAGGTGCTAGCGAAGGTGGAGCGGTTAAGAGGCTCGAGTCTCGAGTCCTACTCTAAGAACGCGTACGAGGGCTAGGACTAGCTGCTACTTTAAACAACGCTTTAGCAGCACTGGATTGGTCCATATTGACGTGTATAATAAGATAATTGACTATGGTAGTATAGCTATTAAGCTAATGGTAGATAGACTAGCTAATTAGAGCATTAAGTTCGAAGTTGGGGGTGGCGAATTCTCACAACTTTTGCACACGTGAATAGTCTTTCTTGGCAACGATCCTGTGGACGAATACGAAAAATCACGAAGCCAAGTAAACGTTAACGGATACCATACAGTCACTAAAGGAAGAAGAAAGCAAGGATATCATCAGAGGAAAAAATGTTGTATCAGTATCAAGCAATCTAAGGGTAATGCGAATCATCCCACTCCATATCCTCCTCATCATCCCCAGCGAATTGTTCATCATCATCAAGTTCAACCTCCATATTATCATCAGAATCAAAAGCATCATCGGGAAGGTAAAGAGTCGCAGGCGGCAAAAAATCAGAATGATCATCAAGATCATCAGTATCGAGACCAGCAGAAGCACCACGTCCCTCAGGCAAAGCAGGAGGCAACTCGTTGGCAGCAGGTTGAGGGGGCGACAGTTAACCAGCAAGACGCCTAAGGTGAGTAATAAGATCAGTGTAGCGTCTGAACCAGATAGGAGCTGACTCATAGAAAGCAAGGGAGTTTGTGATGCCATCAACAATTGCACCGATCTGGAAGCTAGCGTTCCCTGGAATGCCGGTCCCGTTGGTATTCTCAAATTCAAAGTTCGTGACTCTATCGATATAAGTATTAGCAGCGGTGAGGATAGCACACATGTGCGTGGGGATCCATTCGATCACCAGGGCAAACTGTGGGTCGAGAGGTGCAATTGTGTTCTTGAGGTCTGACAGAGTTGGAGCAATTTCAAGCATCATGCTGTGAAGTTCATTACGGCGGTTTGTGGCGATGGTCATTGCGTGGGAAGGGTTGTTAGAGCCGCTGGATGTCCAGCCGGCAGGAAGGGCAGCTCCGGGATTCGCGACTGGGGGGTGTTGAAGAAAAGGAGAAGGAAGAGGAGACTCAGAAGGACTAACACCATCGCGTGCGTCGGTGTAAGCAGGTACAGGGTGGGACTCACGGACTCTACCAAGGGCAACTTCGCGGGCGATTTGATCAATTTGAACGCAAGTAGGGTGGGGTCTGGAGGTGTTAGCAGAGGCCTCGAAGACGAGATTGCACTCACCCAGAGGTTGTTCGAAGGGACATCCAAGATATTGAATCTCAGGAACACCGACACTTCCGCAAATGGGGCAGTTTGGCCACTGTTTCTCGAGCCAGCACATCTTACCTGGAGTAAATGCTAGAGCTCTGTGTTAGATTGGAGTGGTGTAGGTGTTTCCTGTAAGTTAAACTCGAGTTGCTGAGTATCTGTCCAGGGGAGAGAGTCACACGGTTATGTATGGAACCATCTGGGTGTCATGTGGATCATACTGCTGCATGGCGAACAATGCAATGTTGTCGGCCACAAAGAGCCAGCACCAGACGTGAAAGAACGACAAAAAGGCAGAAACAAGACAAAGAACAGAAAAAGGAGATAGTATTACAATGTCTCATTGGACAAAGAACGAAAGATCAATGCTTTGTGCATTGCGATTGTGCTGTTCAACGACGCATTTGCTCGCGAAGATTGGCGTAGCCCTTTTTGCGGACGAGCTTGTGCTCGACAGGCGAGCACGAAGCAAAGTCAACAACCTCCTTACGCGCTGAGAGAGTCAGTACACAGTGATATCCGGGTCAATTGGTAGTCGCTTACAAGGCTTGACACCCAGGCGGATGCTGCCCGTGGGGGCCCGGCGCAAAACCAGAGAAACGCCCGGTCCCATGGGGATTCTGCCCTTGTGGCCGTGCTTGGCCACAAGGTCATCAAAATTGACTCTTCTGCGCGACAGTGAGATGGAGAACATAATCTGGGGTTATACTAGGGAGCTTACGGAGGCACAGCAGGCATAGAGTTGCCCAAGGGGCAGTCTTTCTTCCTCTCGGGGAGGGCAGGGAGGACTTTCTCAAGCTGTGCTCTACATCCGATGTCAGTGACTAGCTCGTACAATGAGAAGCGAAGGTACCTGCCTATGAGCATCAGCGACCATGCAGTCGCGCTCGTAAGCCGAGCACTTCAAAGCAAGACAACCCCAAATGGGGTGTCCGCGCAAGGAGGCTGGCAGAGCACTGGGACAAACGCCCGCGAAGGTCGCCAACGTGGTCCCAGAGTGCTCGCAGAGCAGGCAGGCGAGGGCCGAGGAGGTGTGCTTGCACATGATGGCTGTGCTGGTGGTTGTTGTTGTCGAACTCAGAAAGCTTACTGCGTTTACGAAATTTGGATATCGTGGTGTTGCGTCGCCAACCTGTATGCTTGGTTCGCATATGCACGAGAGACAGGGTGTCTCCCCCCAGTTGAAGGCCTAATCACCACGACGCATCTTCACAAAGCGTGTATGATACTACTGGTTGTTGGTCGACTATCTCACGCTACTACTGTACATGACCTTTGCTTTACCTCAAATCCAGTCCCTGCGGTATTCCAATCCAGCAGGACCACTGTCTGTGACCTCAGGCTCGTTCCTGATGCTCATTTGACTCGCTCCGCCATAGTATGACTTCCTCCCTGATACTTTGTCACGATCATGCCACTCCATGGTTCATGTTTCTAGCCGAACTTTTGCATCCTTGTGATTGCTGGGAATGTTCTGACTCCTCAATGTCTTCTGAACAGCGCCGAGAAGCGGCTCGAGACCTTGCTCCCGCTCTGAGGCTTCTTCTTGTTGTTCACCGCTCCAGACATCGCACCATCCATTTCGACCTTGCGCTGATATTTATGCTTGATGACGCTGTCAGAAGAGCCCTCCCGGAGGCCATGACCAGAGTTGATCTCTCTGATGCTGCACTTGTCGCTCAGCTTTGACTGGGGGAAATCGAGACCCTTGGGCGAAAGGTCAAACGAGACAACCTTTGAACCGATGTCGCGAGAGTTGAGCATTGCGTTGGTTCTCGAGGGATCGGGTTGGACCACACCGGAGCCCGAACGAGTAGTAGTCCTGTGGGGAGGGCGCTGGACAAGAGGTAGAGGTTGGCGAGGCTGCTGGTAAAGTTTGTCTTGCGCCTTAGGGGTGACGTAGCCTCCTTCGATGATCGCCTGCTTCTCCTCGTGGCCTAGGTGTGCCTCTTCGAAGGTGCTAAGCACTCCGATACAGCAGCCATGTGGCTCGCATAGCTTGTTGGCGCGGGTAATCTGGTCGAGAGACCTATCTGCTGCGCCATGGGATGACTTGGGTACGGTATTAGGAGAATCACAAGCTGGGTAGATGCTTGATACACAACATGATGGTTTGTTTGTACCACCAGTGTTGGAGACCTTGGCGGAGTTGTCGCAGATGGCTTCCATGCTGTTGAGATTCATTGCTGTTGAACTGGGTGACTGAGAGCAAGCCCTAAGTTCCTGCAGGGTGCGAGGCTGAGCAGTCTCGTTGTGCTCATTGGCACAGCCACCGCGAAGGATAGCTAGCAGAACAACACGAAGTTCTGCTGCGCGGTCTCTCTGGGTGCGCTTTACGGCTGTAATGAGGTCTGCACAAGCAGTGTCTGGTTGGAGACTTTATTTATGACCACAAGGGATCCCTCGTTGACTGGGCCGTGGACTGCAGAAGCCGGTGTGATCTGAGACGTGATGGCGTCGGTGTCAAGAGAAGCGTTGTAACCAGAGTCCGCAGCAAGAATCGAGTTGGTATTGCTGTAGACAAAGCAAGTAGAGATGGCGTCAGGGACAAAGTGCTCGGACTGCTGAGACGACTGAGAAGGATCAGAGCTGAAGGCGATTAGATCCGAAAATGACTCTGTCTAGTCTGGTTTAAAGCTGCTAGACTGCTCAAGAACGATGACTCTATGTACAGCTGTGCTGAAGTTGTCGTTGACGTTCATTGCCGAGTCGCTACCTCCACGAGCGGCGCAGGTTGACGAGGTAGGACTCATGGTGAGTTGTGGTGTATCGAGAGATGCAAAGTCGTAGGGATCCAGATAACCCAGAGAAGAGCTTGAGCTACTTGAAGAGCTGATTGAAGATTCAGTGCTCGAGCTTTCGTAGTTCACATAGATGGAGTCATCGTCGAGGTCGCTCTTACGCGCCTTGCGCTTGAACGTGAATGAAAATGGTCCGCAGAGACACATCTTGGTGTAGAGCAACGGTTTGAGCTGTCTTGACGTTGAGATGCTGAGATGGAACTGCTGTAGTGCGCGTTTTATTTGCGTCTGAGAGAGCTGGACTTTGTTTTGACGTGTGAGGATGTGACTTTGCTGCACGTCTCGACCAGCCTCGGAGGCTCGGCATTCCCAGCCACTCGAGGAAGCCTCGAGTTTTTGGACACACCTGAGAACATTGCATAAAATGATTGTAAAGCTGGTTGACCTCTTACACAAGACTCCAGACGTGCTGCAGGGTATGAATGATCTGATGACAGCATCACAGTTCAGGGTCAAGTCGAGCTCTCGACCGCCTCGATCTACCGTTCCCGCTCGAGGTAGCTCAAACATGCATCCAGCAACGCTATCTTATAATTTAAGCAGATCTTGTGCGCCTTCGGGGCTGCTCTGGTAGTCTTTTGTTCGAGCAGCTCAAGGGGTGTGTCACGTAACTCATCAGAGAGGCAAAACGGTTGGCAAAAGAGTTTTGGTCTCTATTCTCGAGCACATCTGCAGGTACATAGGGTACGCTGCATGATTACCTCATTCTCCTTGCTCAAATTCCATTCCGCTCATGTGTTCTTTGAAAGTGGATTTGCTTTTCTGCTCCCCATCTTGGTCCTCCATTACATCCCCCACCACCATATCCTGAGCCTGCTCCACCATAAACCATAGTGTCACTTCTTCTACTCTCCGATTGTACTTTTGTCGTCCGCGCTCACGAGGATACGGATCAGGGGGGACTGTGTAATGAGAACAATCAACGTTCAGTGTCTGCGTCGGTCTCCGGCTCCGTACGAGGGTTGTGCTCGTTCTCAGACTCCATGCCATGTTCGTCCTCAGTCTTGGTGCTCTGGTTTACAGCAGTGATGTTGTCGATAGTGGTGTTGTTGAGAAGAGAAAGGAGCATGGTGGGAGGCTTCGCGATTGGATGTGTGCAGGGACTCATCATCCTAATCAGAACCATCAGTCATGAATACCCTTTGCTCGATATCAGCACACCTACACGCTTACGTTGCTCTTCGCGAGCCATCTGCCGTGAATGAGCGTCCATGACCTCCTCGAAGTCTTGCTCGGTCTCCTCGTTCCACATGACGTGCGTCATCCTGGTGCGAAAGACGATTACATGAAATCTTTATCTAGCTAAGTGACGCGGATCTTCTCAAGGGTGCAAGTGTCTGGTTCTTCGGTGAGAGCGCTGAGAAGAAGGCGATTAGTCACACCATTTACTGCAAGAGATCGAGGAAGCAGACTCACGTTTCGTGCGAGATGTAGTGTTCGCTGCCGTAGTTCTCGCAGTCGACGCCATCATGCATAGTCATCTTGTAGCGCAGAGCTGGTCCTCCGATCGGGTCTGTCCAGATGTCAAAGGGCAGGTTCCACATGAGCAAGTTGGTGTCTTGGAGGTCTTTCTTGGCCCACTCCTGGAACCGGTCCAGAAGTTGGAGCATGCGGTGCTGATAGTGGAGATGATCAGTGCTGTGGTCGTGGTTGCAGGTTGCGGTGCCGAGGAAGATGTCTTGATGGTAGTGTATCTCGCGATTGATCAAAGGCAAGTAGGTGTTCAAGGTGGATCGAAAGCTTTTTGAGAGCATCTGCTCGTGTAGTGGGTGGCATACTTGCGTGTATCTGGATGGACGTCGCGTACGCGATGTAAAGATGTTTTGGATTTGGAAGCAGTCGGGTGTTCAACTTTGTTTATTCGTCATGCTCAAATGATCTCAATGCTAAGACCTGTCAGCCTGACGACCTTTCCAATGAACTCGGGTGTCTTTGAACCATTATAATGGCTATGGAAAAAAAAGTCTTCGATTTTGTTCTTCGATCACGCTCTCCGAAAGCGCAACTCCAGCCCTGCTAGCTTGCTCTTGAATTGGCAGTTTACTCGACTATTCTCCACGCCGTGTTCTCTCGTGCGTCGATTGCCCTCAATTTTCATTCTGTCCCGGCTCCCTTGATCTTTTCATTCATCCTGGAAGCGCTTCTCCTTTCTTGCTGGAGTGTCAAGATGAAAACTGCTAGCGACATCAGCGTAAGTGCTCAACAAAGAGACTATCCACTCGTACCTCTAGATCGACCAATTGGGAATAACGCTCTTGTTTTTGATGTCCCAGTCAAGGTGCTCACTTCGAAGTCGTCTCGTGACAGCGTCACTGCGAGAGTAGTCTCTATCGCAACCGGGATAAGGGCAAGGAAAACGAACGGCAACGGCTGCGGTGGAAGAGCCAAGAATAGCAAAAGTAGCAGGGGCAGAGACGGCAGGCGGAAGAACAGCAGGGGCAGAAATAGCGGGCTGAACAATGACGAGGAAGGGGTCTCAATAGTATATCAGTCTTGGGGTTCCTTCAAAGGAAGCGAACACGCTTGCATAGGCGTCGATTACCTCCGGGCTCGGTTTGATCATCCTTGGCGTGAGCATCGTTGGAGAAAGCCACGGGGGTGGCAGGTCCAGCATGACCCTTCTGGGACCATAATCTTTACTGCTTTGGCAGCGAATCTCCTGGCCACGATCTCCTCGGCTTCGGCGAAAGTGTAGCGGCGCTTGAGGGCGTTGGGCTGAGGGCTGGTCTGCTCGTGAATGCGAGGCTGCTCAGGGATAAAAAGCGACTCGCCATCATCGACGATGGGGTTAGCGTCCTGATTGAGGGCAAAAGGAGAGGCAACGGGCTCATCGTCGTGGTCGAGGAGGTCAGGAGCAACGGATTGGGCATCCTGATTGCTGGGAAAGCGAGCACCAACGATCTGAGTCGAGCCGAAGGTGTTCAACGCATGAGCCACGGGATGCTGCTGCTCCAGAAGGTGCTGCTGCACGAGAGCACGGACATGGTCGCGTTTGGCATGGAAGACAGCCAGGTCTTTTCTGAATTGACGCATCTCGGCGTCAAGGTTCCCGACTTTGGCTGCCAGCACCTGTTCCTTGACGTGCAAGCGCGCCATGGTCTGATCGAAGATCTTCTGTCTTTCCTCACGGTCTGTCATGGCGTGACTATATGACAGTATGAATGTGTGTATAGGTGCAGATGTGCTATGAACCTACTTGATTGTTGTTGATGCTGTTGTTGTGGCCGAGGGTGAGGTCAAGGAAGCCGAACAGAAAGAAGCTTGAAGGTAGAAGTTTATAAACGAAGCCGGTGCACTGGTGAATGAGAGTCTCGCCTACACGTCCGTTTGCAAGCCGCGGTACTCTGTGATTGACTTTACTCCATTGCCCTTCGTGCGGCAGTCTTTGGTCTTTCCATCCTGCTGGCACATCCTGCAGCGCCACATTCTTGCGAGAATTGCCTTGAGTTGTGGTATCTTGATGTCTGGATGACGATACTACGATAATATACTATATGGCTCGTCTCAGACTAACTGCATTGATACCACCCTTAGATCGATGTCAGTGTGTTCGGAAATAGTATGGATATCATCAGCAGCTGATTCGATGATGCGGGAATATATGTCGATATGGTGAGAGGGCCTTTCCATCCGCATTTGAAGCGCCGAAGTCTCCTTGAGTGGTTGTTCCATCTATCAGATCGAATAGAGAACGCTCAACGTTCAGGATGTACAACCTCTCCAAAGCGCAGTCGCTGTCTCTGGTTTCGTCAAAAGGAGAAGCGTCCGAAGTCCGAAGCTTCCAGCTGGTCTCGTAGAATTGTATCATCGCTATAATGACTCTGGCGATACTATCCTGCAATACTGTCAGCAGAATATTCAGGATGAACAAGGAATCGCAGGAAACAGCAGGATACTAGAAAGGTAGGGACTCACGAGACAAGGTGGCAAGTACTGAGAACAAGTCGACTGAAAAGTCGTCAAGAGCGGTTTCTCGCTTCTGATCTGCATGGGGATTTCGAAGAGAGAGCTGATTGAGTGTGAAGTCCACCAGTGCGATTCTGTTGTACCACTTTACAATCAGGGTGCTTGGTTCATGCGTTGACCTCACAGCGTAGTAGCATACTTGTGGCGGCCGTTCTAGAGGCGACTCCCTCTGTCGATGTGAGCTTGAGCTGATCGCAGGATCGCAAGCGTCCTGTGAGTCTCGCCTTTTGCTGCCTGGACTAGCAGTGTGTTCGATCGACGGCAGACCAATCATTCGAGACTATGCCCGACGTCTCCAGCTGCTCTTTGACATCCACATCAAAGAACAGGATGTTGATGTTGGCGAGGTGGGTCTTGACGGCCTGTTTCCGCACTGGAACGTGCAGTGTTGGATCGATATTGGTTGTGCCGTTCTAGGGCAGTCCCATGTTGTGAGCATTGCCAAGGTGCGTCTTCATGTTGCCTTTGTAGTTGGTTGTATTCGCCGTCCTCTGTGAAGGCCATGTCACTGTCAGGATCTTCTTCTACAAACCTAGGAGCATGTCAAGTTCTGGTTCTGTTCCCCGTCTTGTCCGAATCCTCCTCTCCAAGGGCAGGAGCGTGTTCGCCAGCGAACCCAGTCGCGCATGAACGAGTTGCAGCGTTTCAGGATGCCTCATAGCCATCGTCGTACGAATCATCGATGTTGGCGGTCTGTCATGGTGTCAGTAGAGTTCTGGGAGTAATGGGGTAGGGTAGGTACTCACGGATTCAACAACTTGGTCGGCGAGGTTCTGGCTCTGTTCTCCGTCTTCCTCCTTCATCTCGACGTCTTCTTCCTCTTCTCTTCCAGCGCCAGAATTCCGGGTGTACTATCTCTTCCGTTCAAACACGTAAGAGAGTGTCTGCCTGAAGCAGCAGACTTGCGAGTATAGGGCTTCTTCCCTTCGTGGACGTAGGCCAGACCCTTCTTGTCGCACTCGGTGCAGACCTTGGGGTCGGTGCCCTAGACGATGACCCACTTCATCTTTCCGAAGTGACAGCGGTTGCAGGACTTTCTGAGGTTACCCGTGGTGTTGTTGATGTGTCTGTTGCCAGTGCCGACGTTGTGGCCTGGTATAGGGGTGTTGGAAAGAGAGGCACGCATAGAGGGAGAAGACTTGGTCTGCTGTTGGGGCGCCCATTACGTAGGTTGCCAGTACATGACCAAGCGCAGCTGAGTTGTTATTCTGGGAGCCAGTCAAAGTGGAAACGCAGTTCTCTTGCAAGAGCGGAGTCGGGCAGCATGTCGTCCTCGTGGCTAGAAGTCTGCTGATTAGTGACAGCGACCTCGTTGTCATCTTCGCTGCTGCCAGTGGAGGTATGACTGTGCGTGACGTTCATTGAGGAGAGAGGGTTCTCGTGAACTGACCCAGGTGATGGAGGAGCTGAAACAGGCTCAGCAAGATTATTGGGCGATTGCCCGACTTTCCGAAGTTGCCCACAGTGATAGCAGGTTGGGCATAGCCGTTGAGGGTAGGTGACTATTGTGACGCTGTTTTCTACCGTCAAACAGCATATGTATATAAAGTTGCAGAGTGCTCAGATACTTGCGAATCTGGAGGTATTGTTCGGTTGGTGAACCTGAATTCCATCCTGCACGATGTAGTCGACGGTCAGGAGAGGAAGACTATTGTGTTTGACGTTGGAATCAACGTACATGGCTTTTCATCGACCATCTTGAAGGTCTCACGGTCACTTTCGCCAACGGGACCTGGCTCAGGAGTGGAGTCGCTCTGGGGTTTGGCTTTGTGGGCGTCGGCAAAGGCTTTGTTGCGAGCGTTCGTAGCGGCCATCTTCTCGTCAATGGTCAAGGTCGACCACTGGGCCTTAGCGACAGAGTCAGTCTCAATATCGACCAAACCACCACCACTATCTAATCTCAGCTAGTGCCAGCTGTAAACTTGCGAATGGCGGGCTTCTCGACCTCGAATTCGCAGTCTAAGCCTTGATGGCGCTAAAGAAGACACCCGAAAACGAAACCGAGTCTAGATTGACGTTGTCGTGGTAGTTGCAACCGTAGTTGTAGTTATAGTTGCGAGCATCGCTGGCATACCAGCTGCGACCACGGAAGTCTAAGCATGATGGACAACTGCTGCTCTCGCTGCAGCAAGAGCACGTGCGTCTGGCGAAGGTAGAACAGTACGTCCACTCCAGGTGTTTCTGTACGGTATGAGACACTCTCGGACCTCGTTGTTGGCTCGTACGTTTAAGCCAGGATCGTTGGAGGCGCCTAATTCGGTTTCACCAGATCTGCGGTGGTGAGATGTGATGGTTGACTTGCGTAGACCTATGTAATAACACTCGGTGCACCTCCATTGGCCGTAGTCGTGGGTGGAGATAAAGCCAAAAGTCTTGCACGTCGATATGGTCGATTCTCATGGCAGATTGGATGTCGTTGATAATGCGAAGCGAAGATCCGTGCTTACAGATACTTATGGAGGCAGGTTGTAAAATGTAGCGCAGCACAAAGATGTAGGTGGGGGAGTCAGTGGCTTCGACACTGCCAGTATATAGAGTAAATTGATAGATGTAGGGCAATGTCGCAATCATGGAAGTGGCGTGGAGGAGCTAACCGTCAGAAGCAACAGTTATGCGACGGGTTAGCACGCTTTCACAGTTAACGATGGCTTGGTAGGCGAGCTCGTGGTGCCAATCCATGTTGTTGTGGTAGTTGTGACCACTCTGGTAATCGACGCTGGTGCTGCTGGTCAGGCTGTCGTGGAACTCGGTCATCTCCTGGAAGTCGATGTTGTCCCGAAGGTTGATGTTCCGCACCTCGCTGCATGACTTGGTAGTGGGATTCATACTGCCAGTTGATGATGTTATGATGATCAGAACCGGTATGATGATCGGCAAGGCTATAGTTGTTGACGGGGTGATCAAATTGATGGAGGTTGTAGTAGTCGAGTATGTTCCGAGAGTTGCTCTCGCGGCTCTCAATATAGTGGCTGCAGTGGCTCTACATGTAGTGACTCCGAATACTGTAGACACCATAGCGCAGGCTGAGCAGATTACGCTCGACCGTTCCTTGGCTCCGCCTGATTCTTCCACAAGAGGCTGAAGACCTAAGTCTTAAGTTGTGACATACATTCTGGCCGTGAGACTCTGGCGAGCTGTACGCAGACTTCTCCGGAAGGGAGAGTAAGATGCAACCTGGATGTGGGTGGAGACTCTATATATATGTAGAAAGATCTGCGTTGAGCCTACGTATATATATGTGATGAAGAGATGGTGATGAGAACTTGCAAGGTAAGAGCATAAGATGCTTTGGAGATGAGCAGAGCATGCTTGAAACTTGTCGGCGTGCTGCTCATATCGTCAATTCTGTCAAAGCTGCAGTCAATGCTTGCTGCTCTCAAAAAGATGATCGATGGAAAACTGTGGATTTCTTGAGAGGCGTGACAAGCAATCCCTCGTTGTTTCTTTGATAAAGCGTACGTTCTGTATCAACTACCGCCATTCAGACAGTCGCCCGAGAAGAAAAAGTAGGAGTATGGACGATTAGCAAACAATTGTATGAGCTGCATACTTACAAAGACACAAACACTTTTGATGTCTCCTAATCCTTCTTCAGACCAACTTTTCCAATCCTCCTCAAACCCCAAACACTGACCAGCAAACTCGCAACAATCAACGCAACACAGAACCAAAATGCAGCTCTATACCCGACCATCAAGGCCTCAGGCGAAGTCTTGTCCTGATGCTTGGAGTTTGCAGTAACTTGCTGAGCAATCAGCAACGTCAAAGCCATACCCACAGACTTGCCAGTTTGTGAAATAGTGTTGAATACACCTCCTGCAACGCCTTGTTCGCCGGGTGGAAACATGGATGTGATGAGAAGGTTTGCGACAGTGAACATGCCGTCTGCACCGACGGGGTTGAAGAATTGGGCGACAAAGGCGCAGCGCCAGTACGACCAGCTTGGATCGATGATGGCCATCAAGAGGGAAGCAAGGGCTGAGACAATGCTGGTGAGTACGACGATCCAATCGCCACGGATGCGGTGGACCAGCAAACCAACACCGATGTTGGCAAGGGCGCCCGAGACTGGTGCGGGCAGAAAGCGAAGAGCAGTGCCCAGAGGACTGTTTCCTTGCACATCCTGGAAGAAGAAGTTGGCGTATTGCTCGAAAGCATTGAAAGCCGCCCAAACGCAAAAGACGTTGAAGCAAATGCAAGAGAAGCCTTTGTGTTGCCAGAGAGAGTTGGGGATCAGAGCAGGGCGTCCAAGGCGTTCTTGACGGCCAACCCAAAGGACAAAGGCACCGAGGAGGACGAATGACAGAACGAGCAAAGTAATGTTGACGGGCTGCTTCATCACAGTCAAATCGCCTGTGAGAGCCCTGCAAAGTTTGTCAGCGGGAACTGAAGGTGGCATACGTAGACAACTCACGAGATAACGTAAGAGAGCATCGCAAGGAAGCCACTGGCGAGGACGAGTCCGAGCCAATCGATATCAGTCGCAAGTCGAGACCAGATCTTATGCTTGTGGTTCGACGGAGTAGGAGGCAGCTGCCAAGCAGCAAGAATGAACATGAAGAAGTTGATTATAGCGGCAACATGAAAACCCCATTGCCAGCCGATGGTGCCAGTGAAAACACCACCCAAGACCATACCGATGCCGAAACCAAAAGGTTGAGCTCCGCCCATCATAGCGAAAGTGATGTTTCTCTCTTTGCCAGGGGGAAACACTTCGTTGATGAGACTCACAGCTGAAGGCAAGCAAAAGGAAGCTGCAATGCCCGAGAAGGAGCGAAACGCGATGATTTGAGCGGTGTTTTTTGACAGTCCGCAAGCGATGGTCATGAAGCACTGTAGGAAACAGCCTGACAAGAACATTCGTCTGCTACCGATGACGTCTGAGACTGAGCCGCAAGCGAGAAGAGTACATCCGCAAGCTAGAGAATATACTGTGACAGGCCTGTAGGATATCAGCGACTGTTTCGAATTGATGAAGTTCGGTAGCATCTACCATAACACCAGATTTTCGGGAATGTTGAGGTCTTTGGCCATGATAGGGATAGCGATGGTGATGACTCCAGCAAGAAACGACGCAATACCAGTACTGAACGCGATGCACCCCATAACAATAGCATTGCCTTTTTTCGAGGCGTGTCTAGGGTTCGCCTCGGCCAACGCGAGACTCTTGACCGTCGAGGCTCGTCGCTGATCGCCCATCGCACTCAATTCTACCGCCGGATCGCCCCAGATACCTCCCCCAGATGCAATGGCAGCTGCCTGCATCGGGGTGGGCGCAGTGATGGTGACTGTCGAACTGCTTGCCGTGTCGCTCCTCATGACTTGATTGATGCACACAAAGCGAAAAGGAACAAAGAAAGTTGTTGGAGAGATGCAGTCAGCCCTAGTCGGAAAGTCGATCCGTTCCCCGGCTCCATCGTCCCCCGCTTCCGTCCCCGATCTCGGAAGAAGCGGAACATGTCCGCGTCGCCGGTATGACCTTGCCCTTGTTGAACAACCTCTTCTGAACAATCAAAATCGGATGATGATGGCATTGAGACAATAAGGACAGTACTTCCAGATCATACAGTAACTGTGCAACTCTCATTGGGCATCACCAGATGTGGAAGTGCTCGTTGCATTGCGATGGTTCGCATCGAACATGTGGTGGCGAAATGAGACGGTTGGCAAACCAATGGTAGCGTCCCCGAAGTTGCGTTACAAATCCATTGTGCTCATTGGGAAGAGCCCGTTAGGCACTTCCACTTTGCATCACAATAGGTCTACCGTAGCAAGTCGCTCGACTATAGCATGGTCACGAGAAATTACACAGGCACAGGTATGGTAGCAACGAAGGTTGATTGCAATCGACAGTGCGAGAACAATCCGCCCCGAGAGAAGATTGAAGACATGCTGGCATAGTCGAAAGTGGGAATGGTCCAGTCTTGAAGTAGCAACATCGTGGCAGCAACCTCTCAAACCTTCTTCTGAGCGGCGACCCAGGCCTCCATCTCGGCCAATCTCTTCTCCAAGCTCTCATTCTTCTGCTTCTGCTCCTCGAGAGCCTCGATCAAGTCATTGTTGTCCTTCCTCAGGATCTCCATGCGCTTGGTCATTGAGTCTAGGGCCACAGGGAAGAAGGTCCACAGCTCGGTGACCTCTTTGGACAGATCTCCGACCTCGCCGGCTAGGTGGACAAGCTTATCGCCAGCTGAGATGGTGGATGACTCCACGGTGCTTGACTCGAGGACTGGCTCAGCGGCAGGAGCAGCGTCGCCAGTAGGGGTCTCGACGGTGGTATCCTCGACGCGCTTCTTGAGGATGGACTTCAGGGGAGCAGAGCCCTTGTTGATAGTCTTGATATGCTACACGAGTCAGTATAGGTAAAGGTAAGGATCAATGGTAATAGTAGACTGACCGAGCGGCCTGAGTCGAACTTGCTCTTGCGCTCCTCACGAGTGCCCTTCCACTTCTCTTGCTGGTGACGAGCGAGCTCCAGCTCGAGGCTGAGCTTGCGGATCTTCATGGCTTCCTCGAGGAACCAGTCGGGGTTCTGTAGAAGGTCAGCATGCGGCTTGGATACTCTCTGGAAGTGACCTACGGCAGCGTCCATATCGAGGATGGACTGGGCCACTTCGCGAACGAGCTGATCGTTGGGTTTGTCGTCGTCCATGGTGAGCAGAAGGCGAATGTCGATCTGTTAGTCACGGAGAGAGAGTCGCGAGAAGAGAACTTATCTCCAAGTATTCGATGAGATATTCCGTGGGTGCGACCTCGTGGACTGCCAAGCAATCACTCCCTCGCAACCACCACTTCACGTGTATCCTTCAACCAGACCATCACCAAGTTTTTGTCATTGACGCGGCCATGGATCTTCCCCCACCCGCACAGCCTGTGCAGCAAGATGCTGCTGTTCCAAACCCAGCAGACCCTTGTGTGAGTCCAGCATCGTTCAATGCTTCCGTATATCATCCTGATGTCTTCTAGTTCCCTGTCGAGCTCCAGCAGATGCTTCTGCAGCGCATTGCTGGTACCGGTCGACCAGCTCCCGTAGGTCAACTTTGGAGCCTTGATGTTGTAGCATGTTCTAATCGAACCACTTCTGGAGTATCTCTTGCAGTAGCTCATCTTCAAGAGCTCTTGATTACATGATGACCTTGATCGTGAGGTTTAGCATGGCTCGAAAGGAGGACAGTCGGCAAGGCAGAGAGGAGCGTTGGCTGTCGTGGGATTAATGTCGCAATTGGGAGACACGAGTCTGGACGTTTCCTTCCTTTGACTATTGCATAAAGATCATAAAACCAATGACAACGAAAGAAACATTCTGAGTAGGTGTTCTGCAACTGTCCTTCTCCGATGCAAGTGTTTACATTACTGTCCTCAGCCACATTCCCACAATGATGTATTGTCACAGCATGGACTATCAACATGCATAGCTATGTCTGAGATCAGATTCATAGCTGGAGAAATACTGCAAGACAAGTTTTCTCACTGGACAGAGTTGCTTCTTACATGATCTTGTGCATTTTGATGGATTCGATGTCATGTTCATGTGTACATGTATAAGCGATGGCTTTAGCATCAACTTGTCTCTCGCCATTGTCTATAGCAACATTTAACCATAAGAATGCACAGCTGCTGCTCTGGTTAGAGGTGTGACCAAAGAGATGTCGTGAGACGATATCTCTGGCTCGTTTTCATTGGATACCATGCATTTTCAGAGCTATATTGTGACAGTTCTCTATACACCGAGAGTCAAGAAATGGGAAGAGTTTGCGAATAAAAATGACGTTCAACGTGCGAGATCTGCTCCAGGATAGTGTAGTCAAGAGCGAGAGTCAATGCACACGAGGAAACAAAAGCTACAGAAAAGCTGCGACCATGGATGGACGTGCTCGGCGCCTTTCTCCAAGTCCTTCGCTTGATGTTCGTCTCATCGCTACTCTTTCATAATTCTGAAGACACCCTTACTACTGGGGATAGATTGCACGACCTGTATGCTGGACTTGTCTTTGATTGTGTTCTGGTCCTGGCGCTGGTAGTTGACTGTCTCTTGTCTCTTGCACTTTACTTTGACCCTTCTCTCGTTCCTTGCACTCCTTACGAACTATTTCGACCAGAGCCTTTTCAGTCGAGTATGTGACTGCAGGATCTCACCCAGCGTTCCTGATGTCTGCCATTGACAGCCCAACGACTCCCCATCTCCACCGTGCTTTATAGTTCAGGCGTGGCGGATAGAAACTTCTGAAGAGGCAGTTGCCATGAATGGGAGCAGAGAGATCCAAGATCGCGACTCTCAGAGAAGTCCAGAACATCTGCTCGCTTATTCATCTGTTTCTTGACTGACGAGATTGTTCGCGGCACCTTGAAACCTGAGGCATTGGTTAGTGAAGCTCGTGGCAAGACACTCCGAAGGCATCAAAAACTTACCTTTTGCCGTCCAATGGTGCTGCTGAAGCAGAGCAAATCTTGGCACGCTAGTTCTTGGGTTGAGTCTCTGTGTCGGTGGTGGTGAGTGACGAGAGAAAGCTGCAGCAGCTGGAGTCTCGAAGCGAATGATCCCTTCAGTCCAGTCGGCGTCGTCACCATCAATCTCCAGGGCGAGCACACTTTTGAAGACAGAGCTGCTGTAGCAGACCTCTTCAGTACCGTCCAACTGTATGTGCGAGCTCGCAGTAGTGCGACTGCGTTCGTCCCCCACGAGCACATTAGAGACGTGGGGTGGTGGTGTTGTCTGTCCGACAAAGCCTTCCAGTCACTGATGTCGCCGTCGTCCTCGTAGTCGGTAGACTCGATGTCACGCAAGCCGACAGATCAGGCATCGTCAGCAGTCGAAGCGGCAAAGAATGCCATAGCCTGGGCCCTGCTGGTGGGGGCCCGAGGAAGTATAGCAGGAGGCATGCCAGTACGAACAAGAATCTCACGCTCATGGGCGACGTTGGCAGCAGTGTTGTGATCTTGGGAACAACGATGCCAGCGTTTTGATCGGCACAACGGCTGGTATCACGGTAGACGACAGGACGGCCGTAAGCATCGCGACGTATAAGGCCATGCTCTTCGAATTCATCTCCAGTGCCCTCAGTAGTGTTCGACTCAGTCGAAGGACGCGAGCCGATATCATAGGTGCCATAAAATGCTTGTACGACAGCAGTCTTGGAACGTGCAGCACTGCTTTTGAGTAAGTGTGGAGGTAGGCCAGTCGTAGAGGAGCTCAGGCTGATCACTGGCTGATGTTTCAAGGACCGCCTGACTGGACTGGACGACGGGACGCTGTCGTACTCTCCGAAAGACACGATACCCAGCGACTGGCTCTTCGTGATCGGAGTCGCTCGGCGGCAGGGTGCTGCGATTGGCTTGCTTGCACCGTCGAGAGGTACTGATGATAGTCAGTGACCTGATTGTGCAAGATAGGACGATGAAAATCAAGGATCCGACTTACAAAGACACAAGTAGAGCTGTGTTGAAACGGATGAATAAATTCGTGTTGGAGATTTTGCTAGCAAAGAACAAACATCGGTGGGCAAGTCGATCTAGTCGAACCTTCGCTGTAGATCAGATCTTGAGGCATTTGGTAGGCTCCAACAGACCCACTGACGCGTCGGCCTGCTTGGTCTTGCTGACAGAGCCTTTGTTGTATCTGAGAGTGAGACGAGACTTTTTCTCGATCTCAGCAGCGAGCTTCTCATAGTCGGAGTCGGGGTGCGCTGTTGTTGCTTTGCTCTTGCCTTTCTTGGTGGGTATGATGGCTGCGTAGAACGTGTCCCTGGTAAAGGTTAGTGACCGTTGGGGAAGAGGAGATGCGGAAGTTGAAGAAGAAACCCACCAGAATTCAAGTGCAATCATCCTGGAGCAGCCGAAGCGGCGAGGGTCCCGTCAAAAAAAAAAAGAGTCGACTGGGAGTCGACGTTGTACCAGAACTCGTTCGTGACATCTTCCATCCACGGTGACGGAATCGCGAAACTTGGCCAAGGGACAGTCGATACCCTGAATAGTGGCATACGAGACCTCGTACTTCTTGAGGGGACCTCACCCGAGCATTGGCGCTTCTGCTCATTGTTAGGAGGCGGGAAAAGGTGCTCTCCATAGTGAGAGCGGGTCCCGCCTTACCCAACGCCGAACCGAAGCACTCCGACGCTCCCAGTATGATCCCCACCAGCCGGGCGATGGCCAGCGTGGTGGACACCAAGAACAGTTCCGGTCTCTGAAACCCTGAATTCCATCTTGGCGAGGTCAGCTTGGATCTCGCGGATCTCAGCGTTGCCAGGAAGGTCAGCTTCCAGGTGCTTGACTGCCTGCTTGAGAACCGCATCAACCTTATCGTGGAATAGGTGGGCGATGTTGACATTAGTGGTATGGACAAAGACGCGAGCGGCAGCTGCAGCAGCCTTGATCGCGGCAGGCATTGTAGATTTCTGTTGCTTTTCGACGGTCAGCACGCGAGTTGTTTTGGATCTATATGTACGTACTTTTGCGGTATTGGAGGAGGATTGATCGAGAAGATATGCTTTGATTCGAAGCAGGTGGTGCCTTTGCGAGATGGCTCGGGATGGTAATGTTTTGGCTGTAAGACTCTCATCGCATCTTGCAGTATCCAGCCATCGGCATGCGACAGAGCCACCTTGCTCCTTCGAACAGGAATTATCGGCATGCACATCATGTCTCCTTGCATGTTCGACATGATCCGCAAGAGACACATGGCTGGGAGCGCTCTCGAATTGGCTGCTTGATGCTATTGACAGCTGCTACTCTGCGCAGTCCCAATTCTTGTGTGTATCGATGGCAAAGTGCTTTACGCTGCGCCGTTAGTTAAGAGACTACGACTGACACTTCAAGTAGTAGCACTCGAATACCATGCCGGCTACTTGAGAACAAAGTTAAGGCTCTTCATGGCGCACTCTTTGAGCGTATGCATGCTGAACATGAGATGGCCTTATTGGACGTCACTCGATGCAAGGATCGTAACGAGTCGTTCACTGCTTCGAGTCTGGCTATTAGAGAGCAAATCGACTACTGCGAGGAGTCCATCGTCGGTCCGGCAGATAGCATGGCAAAAAGGAAAAGTGGTGCAGGACGAGGCGTGGTAAAGGAGAACCAGAAGGCATGGAGACAAGGAGAAATAAGACCCAGGGCGTATGAGACAGTGACTGAACCTCGGCGATGGCAGAGCACAAATGATGAAGAATATGGGGAAAAGTAGTGCTTGCTTCTACGACTTGAAGACTCCAGCTTCTGTTATCGAGTACGCAGACCACTGAAATTCCGCAGTATGCAAAGTGCACCTCCTCCCAATCTTCTCGCCGTGGTGCACGGGAGATGTCAATTGGGCGGCGATCTCGAGGATGCTTCCCAATGATGTACAGTGCTGGCGGTCGGCGAAACGTAGTGGACCTCATCATCGAACAACACGTTTTCCATTCTCTTCCTTGCTTTACATCATCAAGGTTCATTCCCTCTCTATTGTTGCACCACTGCGAATTGCTTGTAATTCATCTTCTCCACTCAAAGACCCTCCAGCTTCGGAAGCACAAACCACTCACAGCTCTGCTCGCACCAGTTCCAGCTCTAGCGCAGCCTCATCATCCGCAGATACGCCCAGTCCATCGTGTAGACATAAGAAATCTCCAAGAGAGCTGCTGTTCGGCTCACTTTATCCCTTCTCCAGGCGTACATTTTCTCGTTGCAACGTCCCATTTTCTTCTTCCGAACATGTTTGCTACTGTTCGCTTCGAACCTCCTCAAGAGCTTACAGCTGAAGTTTTGGAGCAACAAGACTCCCAAACCATAGTTCGACCGTCGGACAACACACGCGTGGACTTGCAGACTCCAGTATTGTACATTTATCGGCATGCACACCGCGGGGGTTTCTCGCGTCCATCTTCTCATACCTCAAAATTCCAACTCATCGATGATCTCTTCTCCCCACCGCAGCGGTTCACAAGAAAGATCCGAGAACAGCGCCAAGCGCGCTCTGGTCGACGTTATCAACACCAAGGTCAAGATCACCTTCGGTAAACGCATTTACAAGTCGATCAAGGAAGCCCGTATCAAGGCTGCTCTTCAGTCCAGATTCGTGACGGTGCGTTCGGAGAAGTCAGTCGAAGCAGCTCGTACCGAAGATCTCTTCCCGGCCCCCAAAGTTATCTGACTTGGTCCGCGAACAAAGCCTAGTCAGATACATTCTCATCGCTACTTCCACGGTCTTCAAAGGCGCTGCCACCGCTCGTAGCGTATGCCTCCTACATGGTGAGTCGCCTCCACCCTTGCTCTCCTCCTAGGGCGTTATCTTTCCTGGCCTCGCCGCTCCCATGGAATACGGCTGACTCCCACGAGCGACAGAGCTTTGATACACTTCCTCGAGCGCCGTGATGATTGCGGCAACCATCGCTTGCAGAGACTTGAACAGCTTCACGCCCATCCCGCAAGCCAAACCGAACGCTCGCTTCGGCGTTTCAATGTTACGCGATTCGATACGACACTTGTAGTGCCTTTCATCCCAGCATCACTTGGTATGCTTGTAGGATTCGTTCTCCGGGGCTTCCAAACTAGACGGTTCAGTATCCGTGGTGAGTTCGAGTACCGCTATGACGACTTGTGCCTTGTCCACAGCAACTCGGACTCGCCGCTCAGTCTCCATCGCTTGTATTCCACCTCATCACACGCCAAAGCTGTCGATATACGCCGAAGTGCCTCGATCATCCCTCTTGTAGACTACAACGAGGTGCCACACTTACCATCCGATGCTGCAGCCTTCCCATCTCAAGGGCTTGACGAAACAGACGCAACGATGTCTTAGCCGAGTCGCAAACTCCACCGCCAGCCGAGCCTCGTGGAGTTGTCAAGAATTGTGCAGTTCATCTTAAGTTCTGCCAAAATCGTTTCGAAGACTTCGGCGCTCGTCCCAAACCCAGCTATATCGACGAGGAAGAAGAGAGTCTCGGGCTCAGTGATTTCCACACACTAACCTCAACATTGCACCACTCATCCATCAATCTCTGCAACTGACGTCAGGCGCTGCTGTTCTGCGGGGTTGACTCAGTCTCCGGAGGTATGTTTTGACCTCTCTCAACTCTTGGTATTGCCGGTTGTCAAGCGCCTTTGAATGATCGAATAGGTGTCCAGATTAGGTTGAACTCCACTGCCGCCAGTCTGTGGTTGCCAGCGCTCTCCTCGAATCCACTCTAGCGATGGTGTTGTTCTCTATGTTCCGCCTTAGCAACTCTGCATGTTACGAGCAATTCACTCCCCAACAAACCCTTGCCCCCATCCTACCGTCACCGTACGCGAGAACCCACCATGGCTGCCATCCATGCCGACGACCAGGCTGCTCTCTCTTGGACGAATACCAAGGCTGTTCAGCATCTCAAGATGGCCACCAATCACCCGAGGCTGAATATCCAGTGATGCTGGAGTCCGCGAGATCGAAGCTGAAATCGCCAAGATGGACGCAAAAGATCAAGGTACGAAGAAGGAAGATGGTGCTACTGGCATCCACATCACTAACCCAGACTTTCACATCGATTTTGAACAGTGACGATATTGTTCTAGAAGTTCGTGTCGGCGGATTCTGCTTGTTGCATTCGACCGTCTCTCCAATACCAACCCCTAACTGCAAGACTGGGGTCGGCGACCGTTGGGTCATCGTAAACCCTCCCCACTGGCATCGATGTTGGGACCGGAAAGATTGAAGCCGGGCAAGATGGTCACAAACCTGAAAGGCCCCAACGAGGAAGAACATGGTCTTGTGGCTGCTGATCCTCAGCTGAATGAATAGTCTCAATATTCGCCAACAAGAACGGTGAGGCTCTCAAGCATCTTGTGGGGTACCTCGGAGAGGCTTTCCCGTACAAGCCTCCAATAAATCATGCAGTAAAGACACGAGCGAAGTTGTCAGTCATGTATCCATGGATATTGCCCGGACTTTTAGTACTGGTCATCCCATGCAGGAAGACACCGACATTGTGAGTTCTACTTGCAACGAACGTCTAACTCCCAGTCGCAATGGCAAGATTGAATCATGCATACAGAAGAAGCAAGGAATACAGCAAAAGAAGAGGGAAGCAAAATAAACGACGCTCGTGACGTAGTCGTGCGCAGAGCCGAACGAGAGAACACCGAAGGTGAGTCTCAGGGAGAACACATGATTATGGGCTCTTAGATGGCCGGCAGGAACGAGGGCAGACATCTTCGCAAGGGAGGAAGCTTTCGAGGGGGATGTCATGGGGGGAAAACAAGCCAAGGCCCGCATATGGTTTCGTCCTTATACCGTCAACGAGACCAGCCCCATGGCTGGGCGCCAAGCTCAGACCGATATGACCTACTACAAACACAACAACAGAGGACCGCTGCGTGCTATGCACGATACCCTGACTGGTAACGAGGACACCATTGTAGGACTCAAGCGTTCTGATACTATACAGGCTTATCTTGACAACGATGATCACATACTTTTGGAAAAGTTCCAAAGACTTGCACATGTCCGTTCAGCGCTTGTATGTAACATTGGAAGAATTTTCATGAAGCCTAAGATGTCTTTCAGCCATTACATTAAAGCCTGATCAACACCTTCTCATGACCGGCATTTCTGATGGTACCTTCATGGAGGAATGTATCGGTCGTCATGCTTGCTTGACAATAGGTTGACATTTCGCTTCGAACCATACTCATAAGTCACATCCTCCTCAAACTCCGCCGTTGTGACTCTATCCTTTCCGTTTATGTTTCTTCGCTAATTCTTGATTTATGCGGAAGAATTGGTCCAAGACAGCCATGCTTGTCACTGACTATTTTGCGTTGTCAAATTGTTAGATAAACATGAGCTTAGTGTTTGAGAAATAGAAGCACAGTACCAGATGTGGTCAAGACGGATGCAAAGTATCCAAATTCTTAAGACTGTCTGCAACTTCATTTTACCGTCTAAGTTTTATTCTTGATCTTCGCATCGTCTTTGCGCTACTAAGTTGGCTTTCTTCCCCTCCCTTGGAAACTTCGTCTGACGTCGCTCTCTTGTCTTCAGACATCTGGTAACGTTTGCCTTCCAAGTGTATTGTATCTTCCTGTACAGTCTCACAACAGGATGGGCAAGCTTTTCCTCTTCTCATTTCCTCTTGCTTCTCCTTGTCTCTTGTCCCTTCTTGTGTATTGTGACACTAGTAACACTGCCTCTGAGACCTCAGGGAGGCAATGAGGGGTGCATGCCAGTACATTCGACTCCCTCCGCGTTGTGGTGTTCTCCAGAATACTTTGACAGACTGCGGTGTTTCGAAGAGATGTGTCGAGAAACTGATTTTTCCGGCTTGGTTTATGGGCCGAGCCATTGCTTGCATGCTGTTCTTGTTGCGCGCTGTGACTGCGAAGCAGCTTCGTCGTAGGACTCGCTATCGCACCATCTTCTTCAGTACCAAACACAACGACCGGCGTCAGGTGGCTTTGTTTCCTAAGCCTACCTCTCCTCTTGGGAGCGGCAGAAGACTCAGTCCCCTCCACGTGTTGCGCTTCTTCGGAAGACTCGTGGAACGCCTCACCGGGCAGCCTCCGATTTCTTGGCTCTACCAGAACCTTGTCAGGCGGGTGGAGGGACGAGCTCGACCTTGTGCTCTGCTTGAGCGTCCACAACTTCGGATAGTCGCGAATTGTCAGAATTCCTCTTGGTAGGCTTGGGCTCGGAGACTCTGGTTGCAGGTGAAAAGGCCCTGGTTTTATGTTATGCGTCCTCTACTATTTGGCTGTACAGGATCACTCACGACCTCCTAGGCTTCGTCTTCGTAGGCTTGAAACTCTGATTGCAGGCGATTCGACCTTGATGACGGTTTGCTTCTTGCTGAGCCACAGTCCCCCGATGCCAAGGGCCAGCGCGATGTAAAGTCTTCCATGTTCCGAATGTCAAGTGGGCGCCTGTCTCAGACACATCCTCTGATCCACAGTCGTTGACTGCAGTTGACTGTGGAAGATTGTGAGCTAGAGACACGCCGGCGTCCGGTCAGGGATCCTTTCCGCCCTAGCGCAAGCTGTGACTTCGGACGCACTCGCTCGGAGATGAAGGAGGATTGCTTGCGCTCGGAGATCGGTGAGGTGTCTTTTGGTGGAAGGTCGAACGAGGTAATGGTCTGTAATCTTCTGTCGTGATGTTAGGAAAGGTTGTTCAGTATGATCGTCAGAGAGAGGTGGCGCGGACGGGGAAGATGACAAGAAGGTAGGCGAAGGTGCATGAGCACCTTTGGCAATGGACGTTTCACTGACACGCACACAAGACAGCGTGGTCGATTTTCCTCCGATGCCGGGCCCAGAAGACGAAGGCGTGCTGCAACTCGCCTCTTCTCCGGTTGTGGAGTGCGCGGTCAAGATGTTTAGTGATGGAAGGATCGTCCAACGAGACGGATCCTTAATGGCCGTCAGGGTCGGCGGGTTCGAGAAGGTCCGATGAAGAAACTGTAGGTGCAGGTCGCAATGGGTGCAGACCGGAGGAGTCGCTCTTTCCTGAACTGTCGACGTTTCCAAAGGCGTCAGGTCTGGGCGTGCTGTTACCGTCGCTGGTTCTGCAGGCAGTGCGCACTGAGATGTCTGAGCCGGCGAGGCTAGGGGTGTTTCTCCCACGGTCGTTGTCAGATCCGACATGGTGATTGTGGTATTGCGTGTCCATAGGCGATTGCTACTAGCGGAAGTTTGACTCTTGAGTGTCGTCGGGGCATGATACACCTTCGCAGTTTGTTTTTTTGGCGAGCATCATTTCGTCAAGCTTCCTTTCGCCTCTGCGAGAACCAAGCTGCGTCCCATGCTGGCACTATCTCGTAGCCTCCTCCATCCCCTCTTTCAAGTAGCATCAGACATACCAGCAACAGTTTGCCAGCCTCAGTCGACAGATTGACGTCCGATATGCTGTATTTTATGTGCTATCTCAGTGGGAAGTAGCAAGCACGGTATGTAGAAGATAGTACCTTCAATGAGTTTGTTCCCGTAGTATCATCGTTGCACAGAAGGGAGGACACTTTCGAAGGCAGAGCTGCTGGAGGATAGGTCGTCAATACCTTCCATCTGCTTGCACCATTTGGCAGTAATGCGACTGCGTTCGTCCTTTTCGAGCACGTCCAGGATGTGCGGTGGTGGTGTCTGCTCTACGGCTTTACAGTCACCGCCATAGCCAACGCCTCCAGTTTCATCAAGCCCGGCATCACAGTAGCTGGCCGGTTCGATGTCGTTGGCAGTGGAGATGGGAGAAGATGCCATGGCCTCGGCGCTGCTAGTGGGGCGAAAGAAGTGGATGATAACTCGCAGCTTTGCGTCAAGAAGTCACCGACATCACTGGAGTCGCTGTACTGACTGCGAATGACTCTCTTGAGGAGAGCGTGCGTGCTGCTCCAAATAGTTCGGAGGTGACCTGTACCGATCTGATTGACTTCAAGGCGGACGCAGGGTCGGGTATGGGTGCATGAGGAGGGCTGCGTCAGGAGCGGGAGATACACCTGCCTGCGTTGTTGGTCTCGAGGTTAGACAGGCCCGGAACCGAATTCCAATCTCCAGGATGTAGTTTTGGGGGAGCGCGGTGAAAGTGACACCAGCGCGTCTTGGATGATGTCAGCTGAGGTTCTTGGGCTCAATTCCGAATTAACTTACCGAGATTTGTCATGATCTGAGGTTGCTAGATCATATGGAGAGAGTAACAGAGCCAGTCCGGCGTGAGGTGCTGGTGCGCGGAGTGGATAGCATGGTGATAGAAACCATGTATTCGTTGTTGGTGAGACGGATCTGGTCGGCCGTCGTCAACGTGTGTCAGAGCGAAGAGCATGCAGCGCGCGGGAGAAGTTTTGAACTCGTCTAGACAGTCGAAGATCTCGTGAACGTAAAAGGTGCGATACTTGATGTTGTGTTCACGCATGGAAAGGTGTCAACATGTACTGCGCTCAGCTGAGCAGTCGAGATAGTGATGATTATGCTTGATCTACCACCTACAGGTCGAAAAGAAATGCATTAAACTACAGAATGTCACAGTCATGAACACTATTCGGTCACTATTGAGAGAGAGAATGGGAGTTTTGATACAAAAAGCAGCACTGCTGTATACTCGTACACTTCGCGTCAAGTCAGCAAGGTGCCCACATGCCTCATGGATATGGTACCTACATTACTCAAACAGAGTGGCGGCGCTTGGGGACCTGGTTCTCCTCAACCTTCTTCTCCTCCTTCTTCTGCTTCTTCTTGACGGGCTCGCCAGCGCCAGGCTGGGCCTGTTTCACGGTCAGTATACCGTATGGTAACAAACGGCGTGAGCAGCTCACGGCCCTCTTCTCGGCCTTCTTGGCCTTGTTCTCGCCCTTGGGGGCGACGACCTGGTGACCAGCCTCCTGCCCAGCCACGAACTCCTCGTACACTTGGTAACTGGCCACCCAGTCGATGTGGCCGTCGCCCCAGTTCTTGTTGGACGACATGTTGACTAGTGAGCGGTCAGTAGAAATGACTCTGCAGAGCTACAGGGTGGTCTTACTGGTGGTGATGATGGTGTGAGGGAGGGAGGAAGAAGAAGTGTGGTCAATGACCTGATGGTTTTTTTGTTGGTGTGAGATCGGAAGTGCGAAGCAGAGGCGCGCGAATTATGAATGTATCGTGTGCTCGACTTCAACGCAGCCAAGCATACTGAATTAGTTCCTTCTTGGGCGCGAGCCCGTAGATCTATTTACAATCAACCCCGACTATACTCGTCCTGTTGTAGTACATCTCAATGCTCTGGATCTCGAGAACATTATCTCTTTGTGGTGGTCCACCGCTCCAACTGCCACCATTTGCCCAATTGTTCCTGCATCTTTAGTCAGCATACGATCGCAGTGCATAGTAGCGACAACATCGGGGCTTCATCCAAAGAGACTAACCAAACCATACTGCCAGGCACCGTAGGCACATTCTTCTTCATCGAACCAACGTACTCCCCATCAACGTAGAACTTCGTGACACCCTTCAGCCAATCAAATCTATACTCATGGAAGCCAGCAGTCATATCACAAGGTGGCTCTGTCTCGAAAGTTGATGCTGCAGCAGTACGCGAAGACTTTTGGTTGGTAAGGAAGATCTGGTCGGGATAGGACGTGCGGATCTCGATATCCGTTTCTTGGGTGTCGGACTTGTAGAAAAAGAAACCTGTGAATCTCTATGTTAGGTATTGCCGAGGGTATAAAGAGCTGAGATAAGGCAATACCATGGCATGTTCCAGGCACTGAGCTGACCTTGGCTACCGTACGGACAGAAGCATAAAGGATATCATCGTAAGCGGTAGTGAATTCGGCGCCTTGAACCGGCGACTTGGTCTGCCCTCCAGGGACCCTGAGTTGTAACGGGCGACCTCGTTTGAGGATCACATTATTGGGTCCATAGTACTGGTCAAAAGGATGTTCGTCGTCGTCAGGATCAGCCGTGATGCCGTAATTACTAATTGAGAGGCCCAGGGGGAAGCTTGTCCATTTCGCAAAGTCGTACTTGACGTATTGGTTGAAGCGACCGACGCCAGGTACAGTCGTCATACATGACTTTTTTGCTGTTGCTCTTTCTTCGAGCAGTTCTGTGGTGTTGAGGTCTGCAGCAGTGGCGGAAGAAGCCAAGAAGGCCAGTATAACAGAGAGGTTAAACAGTTTGGTCATGACGAGAGGTCGAGATTGCGGTTGAGATGGAAAATAGAGAAGGCAAAGCCTCAGTGGACGAGCCTCCTGTATATGGTAAAAACAAGCAGTGGACGTTAGAAAGCCAAACGGCTTTTCGTTAGAGGGGAATCCTTAACGGTACAGGGCCGTTGACATGGATTTACGGTAATTTCTCATTCCAGTATACACACTTTGGTCACGATAGAGACATGGAAAGAAGATGTTTCGATGAGTGGAAATGAACAAGGGTCGCAAGGAATGCTAGTCGTTTTCTGGAAGCCTCGGGGGCGAACGCGGGCGATAAAGAAAATGGTTCAAGTCAGCTTCGTTGGTGGTATCACCCTGTCGTTCAGCGGTCCATCCTATGCAAGGCTGTCCAAATGTTCAATATTCTCGCCCCTTTGAAACCGAAGAAAATGATCGTGATTATGACTTTGGAAAGATAGAGGTAAAAAGCTCGGCAGCGCTCGCTTTCCAATGAGTTCCAGTTTGACTCGGTTCGCCCAGCCAAAGACTCGGCACAAATGGACCCGTCTTGAGTGACATATTGCTCGCAAAACGGTGGTTGTGTGGCCGAGTTGCTGCCTAAGGTAAGCGATTATTCCGTGGTTGTCACCTAGGCGAGAAGTTACCTGATTGGGATTAGCTGGATTGATGCTGGCTTCGAGTGCTCGGCAGATCTCTCGCATGGCGTCCATGTTTGGACCAGGAGAGCGGGAAAATACTATGGATACAGAGGAGAGGTAGCACACCCAGGAATGGTGGTTCAGATCGTCGCTCGAGGCGAATGTGTAAAGAGCCAAGGGTTTCAGAGCACCTAGCGTTACCTCATGCAGTAGAACAGAACGATGCCAGGATTAGAAGTGGTTCAAATTGGCTATCGACTACACATTCTGCTGTAGTGAGAGAAGACAGCTGCAAGCACTTTGCGTGGAGTGACATTGCTATGGAGAATTTGACGTTGGGAAAGAAGGGCTTTTTTATTTTCACTCCTGTGCTCAACGAGAGAAGCTATTTGTCTCGCTCCGAAGATATGATCAAGCCAGAACGCCACCAACGAGAAAAACCCTTGCCGAAAAGACAAGATCCTGGTCGCAAAAACGCCTCGAAAGAGTGGCAGAAAGCTTTTTGGCAAGGCATTGAGGCACCCGCTCTGCCTGACAACAACCAAAGAAAAGAACAATAGAAGGCAAGACTTCAACACAGAAAGAAAGATAGAGACTCGAGGCATGATGAGCGCAATGTCTCCAGTAGAACATGAACGACTGCTCGGAAACGCTTGACAGAACTTGCTGAAACGGACCCAAATGCTTTCAAAGGAGAAGAGAATGTGTGTCGCGCATGGTGTGATAGTTTTGGCGGATTGGGGTCGTTGAGAAGGGAAAGTAGTAGCAGAGGAAAGGGAATGAAGGCATAGTGGTTCAGATGGACGCTCCTGATAATGAGAAGCTACAACCACGTTCGCAAGGGCTGCCATACCTGCTTCTGGTCTCGTGGGGACCTACCTTGGTGAGTCCAGACCGCTTGATCTCCTGGAGACAACAGAGGTGGAGATGATCATGACTTCCTTGCATGCTCAAGCCAAGCGGTTCAGGGGAAGGTCGAGCGGTCGGCAGCGGCTGCCTCGAGGGCGATGACACGAGCCTCCAGTTGAATCCCTCACATTGCCTGATTGTTGATCTGATCTTGGAAGCTGACACGCTGAGTACGGAGCTGATCTTGGAACTCGACACTCTGAGCAGGGACCTCGATGCGCTGGGTTGGTGTCGTGAACACAGGAGCTGCGTCTGACATTTCGTCGTCTTCATGGGCATCCTCCGGGTTGTTGTCATCAAGGGAAGAGATGGAGGGAGTAGGGCTGGGGGATGGGTCCGGTGTAGCATCATGGGAGGAGATGATATCACTGTCAGTGCCAGAGATGGTCGAAGATGGGGTCGCGGGAGCAGCAAGCGGAGCAGCCATAGCAGGGGCGGTGACTGGCATGAAGACTGGTGGCACATATGGCGGGATGTAGGACAGGTTACTTTCAGTGTACAGAGCGCTGTTCATTCTCTGGCTGTATTGCACGATAGCATACTCGTGGCGACCGTTGCGCATGAGCTTCTCCTTGTTGATGTGGGCCTGAACATGATCTCTGCGCGGCTGGTGTCAGTATAGACACATGCAGACACTCTGAGTATGTCACGTACGCTCTACACTTGGCGTAGGGGCACAAGGCGCAACGAAAGGGACCCATGTTGTGCGCACTGCCCAGGTGCGCCATGAGGTTGCCTTTGGTACGGCAGTCTGTGTGTTTGCCATTTTGCTGGCACATCCTGCACCGCCACATCCTTGCAAGAATTGAAGTGATCTGTAGGTTCTTGATGGGATGAATATGGGACTGGGGTTGTGTGGTAGTAAGAGAGGTCGTGCAGAGAGTGAACAGGGGAGGCTGGCTTGGTAAACAGTACAACGCGTCAATCGCGGACTGCGCAACTAGTTTGGCCGACGTCGTGAAAGGTCTGCCCCGAGTGCCGAGACTACACGCATGGAGAGATTTGGTCACGAGCAGCAGATCAGAAAGACAAGACCTACTGAAAGGGATGCGGGTCTTCGAACGAGGTAGGAAACAGCTTCATTGGGCATTGACTTCCTCCAGCAAAGGTCTGCGGTAGCATACCACAACTGTTTCAGATATGATCTGTTTCCCTGCCCGCACATCTTCTCGAGTCTACATGCTCTGCGTGTTTGACAGGCGGCCCTCGTACCAAATAGATTGGTCTCAAGCTCCAATCGTGGATGGCAATGTTGGATGGGCGCTTTTGGGTCCTATCGAGGCAAGGATATTTCAGTCTCTCTCAAACATCGGAAGCGCTAGTAGCGAGATGGAGTCTGAACAAGGAATATTACATAGCTCTTCGAATAAGCTACAGCATATGCAATCGCGAACCAAGAGCACTTACGCAGATGGACTCACAAGGTTACTGATAGCTTATTTGACGTCTACTTGATCAGGGACCACGTCTGGACAGTGATAAGGCAGACAAATGGCAAAGAAGCAGAGTAGAAAGGGTTGTCTGGAATGTGTGAAGGTGTGCTTTGCTGAAACTACAACTTGAAACCGTCGCCTTTCTTACTACCTATTCTTGAACCGCTTGTCTACTGTGCAGCAGTGAACCGTGTAGATTTACGCAAAGAAATTGAACTCAGAGCTCCAAATCTGACATTAGCCAATTGGGTCAATAACATCCATGAGAACATAGTGACGGAAGCGGCGACACATAACGAAGGAAGGCAAGAAGAGCAGATTCTGGTCATCAAACTTTCTTTGTTCTGCTGGCAGCTGTTTCCCTCAGTGAGATTTGGTTGTCACCATGTTCGGCAACGATAGGGATGTGGTCAATACCGAATGCGACTCACTCGCTGATATCAGGGATACTGCGATAGCAGATCTAGATCGAGTGTGCTGATGCTGGACGCTCTGGACTCGGCTCGTAGTCGCGCCTGAACTCTAGGCTCATTTCGGTGCATCCCTTCCGAGACGCGGGAGGAGATACTAACAGCCGCAGATTGAAGATGAGATATACAAGGGCCATAATTTCGTAGCAAGGCAGCTGGAGGATACACTGTACTGAGGAGCCTTGTCAGACGGTTAGGCCTTACCTTGGCCAAGAAGAGGCTGAAGAAGTCTGTTTCTCGGCGAGACAGAACTCGGTGCTGTACTGAGGAGCCTTGACGCTGATCTTGTTGGCGGAAGCGGCGAATGAGGACTGTCACGATGAGGCAGCCTGGCAAGGGGTCTTCTTGAACAACATCCGAAGGATAGAAGCCGGCCTTGAATGACGGCGAGATTTGACTGAGGATCCATGACAGACTTGCTGGCGGAATCGCAACAAGCAGGAACTGCGATGTTGCCATTCGTCTGAGAGGCCATGTCATTGGCCAGGAGGCCCAAGACAACAATGTCGGCTAGATCAGCGTGCTGATGATGGTTGAGGTTACTGCTGCGGCTAATCTTCTCTCCCTAGTCGATGTACTCGAAAAGCTTGTCGTGAGTGTGGAGCGAGTGGTAGTGGTTCCTGGGATGCACCTGACGATGGCTGGGGTGCTCCTTCGACGCAATGAGCTGCTACTGCGGCTGGACTTGCTCACGTAGTCAGTGCACTTGTAGCGGGTTTTGTGAAGGCGTAGCTGGGATTGGGGACAGCTGAGATGTTCCCGATCACAGTTTGTCTTTCGTCTGTGACTGTACTTCTGGTTCGGGCTACTGCACTCAAAATGCTCGTCGTGAGAACGGAGCGAGCCTGGGTGCCGTACCACGTATACCAAAGACGGGTACAGCGAATAAGGTCTTGGGCGGTAACGAAAAAGCCCCAAATCCAGCCGAAAGAGTGTGAGGCATCGCGATACGTTGCTTGAAGTGTTTGCTGGAGGAAGGACGGCGCTGAAGCCAGCCAGAGTTGTGCAGTGTACGGCTTTGTTGCGCTGTGGCGCTGGGCGCAAGATTGGCAAGCATATAGAGAGCCAACGACTACAGCTTATAGAGCATTCCAGGCCGCAACAGAGGTATCAGAGCGCTGGACACGCAGCGAAGCGTTGCTCGACCTGCATGTGGTGACCTCGGCAAAGTGCTTCTGCTCCAAAGATGGATACCGCAGGTATAGGCTCCCGTGACAGCCACTTCTTCGATTGCCTGGATCAAGAACACAATGATATCGGCAATCCTGAGTTCTCACATGACTGCATGTGCTCCATGTGTAGACCGCTGGAGTGGAAGGTGTAGACACACGCTACTCTCATGAGCGCAGCGCTCAGCAGAATGGTCTCAGACCTTGGTACATAGGTGCCGAATGGGAAAAGCTCGGACTTGTAATTGTGACATGCAGAGCGTGAGGCACAACGTTCCAGCTGAAACTAAGATAAACAAGATGCGGTGAAGATCTTCGGTCACACAAAAGCCAGAAGGTGAGGTGCAAATTCCAGAGAGAAGATGGGCTGCAAATGAATGCGGTTTCGGACTACCAGAAACAGATGCCCTTCCGCGGACCATCGAGAGCGTGAGTTTGAAAGAAGCAGTGCCACCGGGAATGAAAAGATATAAGAGTGGAGAAGTGTCTGAAGCCAAACAAACGCAGGGATTCTCAGCGTTCTTCCGCAGTCTGCTGACAGAGAGAAAGAGGTAACATTATCAAGCGGTTTCTGAAGATGAACAATGCGCAGTAGTGCGCAGCGTGCTTGAATGATTGGCTTGCAGACATGGGAATACAAAGAGATCTTTTGAGAGCGCTTACATGGAGTGCCATGGTACACACATCACCCTTCTCTGCGAGGGACAGAAGGGGAGAGATGCGGCCAGGACGGCAGTGAAGTTTGATACGCACGATGGTCGGGAGATTGACAGTTGACGAGGAATGGTTCAAAGACGAAAGCACGAAAGTTGAATGGTAGAACGAGAAAGTGCAAAGCCTGAAAGCCGCAGAAAAAAACAGCCTCAAGTTTGAGTAAGTACAACTTCCGCAGTGCAGGACCATCATTTGGCAACCGTTGGAGCTCCTTACCACACGTCACACAATAGTGAGTAGAAAAAATGCTCTTGTATTTGAACTTGATAGAGGATCGGCTTCACTCGTGCCCGCCATCATCATCCCAAATGCTGACTCTCAATGGCCTGATGCACATGCATGACTTGTCTCTGCATTGCGAGCATCAGCATTGGAACCAGAGTATCGAGAGAGAAAAATCACGCTGCGAAGATCTATCTTCTTCTCTTGGCAGGACGGCGTTTCTTCTTGGGAGGCTCCTCGGGGACCTCAGGGGCGGGAAGAGAGAGAGGTGCTGCGTCTGGGTCGACGAACATGTCCATGAGCATATCGTCTGCCATTGAAGCAGGGAATTTGCGACCAGGGGGCTTGGTGGAGGCATAGTAGGCTGCGTGGCCTTCGACGGTGAGGTCTTCGGGGGACTTGGTCTCGTTGATGGGCTTGCTGGCGGGTTTGGCGGTGGCGGGCTCGGGGGCTCTGCCCTTGCTTTCTCGTGTTAGGAAGATGGTCTGGTGTGATCTTCGGACGTGTATACATACTCTTCGAGTACCTTCTGGATGGCCTCGTTCTTCGCATTGATGGTGGGCTCGTCGCTGACCTCTTTGTTGGCCTCCATGGTGTTGACCTCGTTGTTCTGCATCGTGGTCGTGTCTGCGAGAGAGATCGAGGTCGCGATACAATCTTGAGAAAGAAAGGTCTTGCTTTCTAATGACGATACAACCATCTGTTGAGCCGGAGACTCCGACTTGGACCGCCAAGGACAAGACGAGCTTTGGTCAGATTATGGCAGTATTGGATCTGATTGTGCCTGGAGTCATGCCAGAGGAATGGGCTTGGAGATTTACTAGTGGTTTGCGGTGAGCACCTCGACGTTTTCGACGTGGTAGCTGGGTACCCTGAGCTCGATGGATGACTACCTCTGATGTGTCCTGCTGCGGTATCTTCTAAGTAGCTATATACATGTCCTCAGACTCTTGAGCAAAGTTAAAGCACTTAGAGAGCGATGATTGAGATTGAAGGTAAGCATCATGATTCAAGTCTCATAGATAGAACATTTGATGGAAGAAGAAGCGAGCAAATGGTTCATTTCTCGTGCAGTACGTCTCAGCGGTGATGCAAAGCTGCGGAGAAGGTCGAGGTAGGTTTTGTCAGTTTTGATGTGGCTTTGTCGTGTGTTTCTGTAGGTTTGTTAGTTTTTTGATCCCGAGGCCCCGTAGTACAGAGGACAGAATGTCAGGGACTCACGGTCTTGCTGCGTCGGTACTTTTGCCATTGGCATCGAACTGGGTTTCTGTACTGCCCAAGATAGTTTGATCGTCATTGGCTGGACCGGTTATTGACCAGTATGTCCAGCGACGCATATCGCACATGGCTTGATAGGTATCAAGTTGCTGGTCAGGTGTGAGGGTTGCTGGGATATCCACAATTCTGCAGATGAGATTTGTATCCGGATCGATGACTGTTTCCATGGAGGCTACATGCTGCCTCATGGCGTGGAAGTAGCTCAACACAATTGGGTCGTCTAGGACAGCTGATGCAAGGAGCAGTGAGTGGCGCAGCATGTCGTGGTCTTCTTGCGTGATGCCATGCCACATGTCAAACCTGAAAACCGGGTGTGTGCGTTGATTGGGATCAACCGTCGGGTTTCGCCAAGTAAAACAGTGCAGCTGTCCGAATGGACCAATTCCCATTTCCTCCAAAGGATGGATGTTGTTGATAAAACCAGCTGCATTCAAAATCTTCAAGCCAAACTTTTCGAGGATTGCGTGTAATCTGGTTGTTGACTTGGAGGTCCCATTAGGTACATCTTTGGCCAGTCGCCTTCGAAACGTCTGCCCATGCCTGTTGGGTCGTTCTCGTTGAGCTCGCGCACCTCGAAGGCGCTGCGATCATCGAGTAATCTCACAGTGTAGTCCTCGTTTACGTCGGTCCAGTGTTCGTTAATTGGTTGGCCATAAACATCTGTCTTGTAGGGGAGCCATGGAGGCAGAGGGACATGGTAGCCGCGAGGCCGATCAGGTTCAGGTTGATTTCCAGATATGTCAAAATCCATTGGGTCAGGATTTGCCATATTGATCACTAGTACAGGTGTGCTCGAGACACATGCTGACCAGGACGTACGTGACACTGTGAAGCTCGAGTCTTGGTGTCACGGAGTCCATCAATATGTCCTACCGAATGCGGAAACGATCGGACAAAGAGTGCAGAATACCCCAGTCGAGGCCTTGATTTTTTGTGTCTAGCGAAAAAGTACAAAGGAGTCGATGGGCCAGACTCTGTCTTTGTCCGAATCAATATGGACTGGCTTGCAGCTTGGTGTCGAGAGCAAGCGTGCTGCTTCTTGCGGAGCCGAGGTTACTTTGAGAGAGAATTTGGCACCGCTCGAGGCGCAGACCCGCTCAATGGGCTGGTTTTCGAGGCCGAACACTTGAGAAGCATCGGTCAACGAAACTCTTCAAGGCTTGTTGAGCTCACCCAAGCTGTAGTGTGATGGTGTGCCGAATTTAGTGAGTCGTTTTGCGAATGACCAGTCGATTTGAGAATGACCGTTCCCTCGACCTGTCGAGAAGAGATATTGGGCGATCTTCGACTTTGTCTCTCAAGCCTTCTTCGCAAAGCCAGGATTCTGCTCCAGAGTTTGGCCGATGAAACCACGAAGGGCAGCCCAACGGTTCGACGAATCTCCAGCATCAGACGCGGCTTGAGCAGGCACACTCATACTTGCCAAGTTCTTGCCAAACCTCTCCTTCTCACTCTCCTCCAGTTTTTGCTTCCTCTTCAAGGCACCCGGTCGCGATTTGAGTGTCTTCAACTTCATCTTCCCATCAGCAGGCTTTGCCTTTCTGACCCTGACCATCTTGCTCAGTTCGCCCAGTGCACCATCCATGTCTTTGTCGTCCTCATCGATACCTTCCCATTCATCATCGCTGTTTTCCTCGAGCTCTGGCAAAGCATCTGCTAGCGAGTCTAAGGCTGTGTTGAGTTTCTTGCCAGGACGACGGCGTTTCAAGGGCTTCTTTTGTGACTTTTCGATGCGAGAGATGAGCGTGTCGTGTTTGAGGGCTCGCTTGCCGGCTTTTGTGTTTGCCGACGAGGTTGTGGCAGTTGTGGCAGTGGTTGCTGGGCGAGAGGCTGCGGCGACTTTGGCGCGCATCGTTGTGCGCTTTTTGCCATTCGTGGGTGCCTGTGGTAGACGTCAGGAGCTGGCTACGAGCGTCTAGATGCTACGCATACCATTTTGATCTACTTGAGCGGAATTTAGAAAGACACAGCCACAGTTCTGGAGACGAGAGCTGTGCGGTAGCGTTGTAATTGGAGATTGCGATGGAAGATTGGAAGCTGCGACCGCAAAAGTCGCCGTCTCGAGTCGATCGCGACTTCCAAAAAATCTCCAACATTGATGGGCTTGGTCTGTGCTCAAACGCCATGCTCTCAGTACCCCGCCGGGACCAAATCTGCGCAGCGAGGTGTATTCTAACCACACCTCCTTCAACTACTTTACCGTATGAGGCTATGACAATCCGGTATGCACCACATCACCATGACATCTTCTTCGTTGTCAGTCTATCACAAAGAGCTTGGATCTTGTATCAGCGATCGATATGCCAATCGCATACTTTTGGACCGTTTCCGGCACGTACATTCCTCAAAAGCTGCCAGTCCAGCCACCCTGTCTCCCTTGTGAGGCTTCTTGGAAATAGCTTTCGTGCTTTATATACACGTAGATCGTGTCAGCCCATGCCTTACTCATGAACTGTTCGAAAGTTACATTTAAGATTTCGCTGGCCTGTCGTTCCCGACGGTCGTTAACTCAATTTGAGAAATACTGTGCATACCCAACGAGTATTCATCTTGAAGAGTGACTGTCGAAATGCAACGATTGGAGTTATGAACACAGATTCATTGCCTCCGTTTGCGGTATGACCTTACAAGCTACTCTCCCCTAACCAGCTTATTTGCTTCCGTCAAACGATATATTTGCTCTCGCCAGCCAGGTCTGATACCACATTTGTTCCATGAGCATGCTACATGTGCTCCTCCATGAGCTATACTTCGTGATACCCTTTCGTCCTTTTTGATTCGGGAAAGCCATCAGTTAGCGGCCGGGTGTCGTCAACGGTTCGTACGGGGTGTCCGTCGCTTTTGCCAAGCCATACATGCGTCCACACAATCAATTGCATCTCATCTAATCGCATCGTGAGCCCCTCTTCGTTGACGCTGAGTTGCAAGCAACATCCCGAACCTCTAGAGTCTCGTCGACAGCTTGTAGCAGGCCATCTCCGGGTCCGTCCAACTCCACAGCTTTCATAGCACTACATCACCTTCAACATACCACGATGAGTTCCAAATACTTCGTCAAGTGCCAACTGAGGATCCGCCTGGGCGAAGACCTGGAGCGCCTCACCCTGGAGCCCCGCATCCCTACTCTGAACGGCCTTCCTGAGCCCCTTCCCGCCACTATTCTCAGCCATGCGCTCTCTCGTCGCCGCGATGGTTTCCTGACCAGCATCATGACCACAGCAAAGATGAACACAAAAACCACTTCTGCTCGTCCCTGTCCCAACTTCCTCCTCGTCAACAAGAAATTCCACCGTGTAGGCAAGCAAGTCTGGCTGACCACCGACTTCTGCCACATCTACGTCAACTCGTGGACACCCTTGCACAGAGGCCTGATCTCCTCTGCCCGCGACTTCCCTTTCTTGGTCATGACTATTGACATCCGTCGTGGCGAGCGTAGCCTTGGGGAGAAGCTCATTCCCTCTGCTTTCGGAGCAAAGTTGCGTGAGTCGCTTCAGGAGATGAAGAGTCTGGAGGTCCTTCTCATACGTGTGTGGCATGGACTTGGCAGTCTGGGTCCTGTCTCGGAGATCATCATGAACAACTTTACCGGCGTCAAAGTTGGCCAGGCCGTGAACATCGCAAGTATCGTCAATACTTCCCATTGCATTGATGGAGATCGCGGTTGCCCTGGCTTGCTGTCTGAGTCTTACATGGAGAACTTTGTGTCTCATTTTCTTCGTAGGTTACCCGGTTGATCACGTTCCTTGTAACTGACTAACCCACTCGCCAGACTTACCACTGAAGGATATTCCTAAGCCTACTACAGCTTACCTCGACGACACTGAGCCTCTGCTCAAGATCCCTATCTGGCGTGGCTACTCTGCTGCTCTCGAGACCGTTGACAGCGTCTGGCTGCCTGCTGTGAAGGAACCCGGAGAGGAACAGGACGAGGTAGCTATCAAGAACAAGGACGAGAAGGAAGAAAATGAAGAAGGTGCAGAGAAGGATGAGACGATGGCCGAATCGTTCAGGGATTCCATGATGAATATTCCCTGGGTCAAGGCTGCTGCTAGAGCTGCAAAGAGACAGCAGAAGGCTGGAAAGAAGAAGCAAAAGAAGGAGAAAAAGAACAAGAAGATCTCGGTGGGCGAGAAGGAAGCTGAAGGGTCTTGAGGAGATTAATGCTCCAGGGAGAGAGTGATAGCATTACCGTTGCATCGAAACGCAAAGCGAAAGCCATGATATAGATACTCTCCAGTGAGAACCTTGTTGGCTGTCCTTTTCTTTGGACGAACGAGGTACACGATAACCCTTTTGCGTTCCTATAGCCCGGCTCGAGATGCATATTTGATGTGAGACTCGTTCTATAATCGTTGCGAGCTAGTGATTTCTTTGTTATGGTCCAGGTTGCTTTGTCAAGAAACGAATCCGGCAGCATCTACGCATCAAAGAAAGCCAAGAGCTATTCAGATCATACTTCTTTACCGCAGAGGTCCATATTCTCGTCAGAGCAAACATCAGAAACGACATAATACAACACGATGTCTGACACCGACATGCCAGATGCTGACGACAGATCCGACGTCTCATCCGTCTTCGAGCCCACGTTCCCCCCCGTCGATCAACTCCGATCCTACACAGTCATTCACCCTCCAGCGCTGCCCGAATGGACCAACATAGATGGGACAGACTACAAAACGCGCTGGTACGACGATTCCTGGCGCTACACTGCACGCGCATACTCGAAGGTCGATGGTGCGGGCTTCGAAGTTCGACAGATGGATATCAACAACCGCGACGACTTTGAGCCTGAGGACCCATATAATCCTCTCTGGTGGCCGCCAAAGTATGCCCTTGGTGCTCCGAGTGATAACAAGGCGGTATGGCAGGCTTTGCTCGGTCATTGGGGCTTTTCTGTGCTGGAGAAAGCTGGATTCATCAACTTCTACCCCGGAGACGAAGATGTCGATATGAAGCCATTGGGCAGATTGGCAGGGAAGAGAAACCCGAGTGGACGGAGAACCGAGCTCATCCATCCGATCCTGAGACGAGGCATGTGGAAAGACATTGACGATGATGAGTATGATCTCATGGAGCCTGCTCTGCTTCTGGCGAGCGCGATCCTCGATGACCCCGCCGCGCTTGCTTTCTTCCATGCCATCGCAAATACGAAGTCGATGACAAAGTTCCACGATGCGACTCATGGACCATGTTTGGTTGCCAGCATCCCCGCTACTCTGACTGATCAGCAGCAGACTGAAGTGTACAACAAAATTATCAAGATGCGAGACTGGACGATATGGCACCTCATGCCCCTTAGAGAGATGGTGACAGTGGGGGGTTATGGTGTGACTAGGCCGCGCAAAAAGATAAACAATCAAGACAGAAGTGCTAGTCAAGCGTAAGTCAAATTCTTGTCACCATTCGCATACAAGTACTAAGTCTCGATAGCTACACTAGCCAGTCAGATATTCACATCTGTCAATCCTACATCTCGATCCTGGAAAGATACCGTGACGACGACGTGAACGACACCAACGAGCATGGCGAACAGCTCGAAGGCTGGCTCGACAGATTCAATGTGCCATTGAGCCGTCGACCACGCACATTGTTTTCCGACTCTGCCATTGACCGAACAGTTTTCAGTCTCGCCGAAACACTTGTACATGAGTTTGCTCATGCGTTTTCTATGGCATACTTCCCAATTCCTCCTCATCCAACCTATGAGAGCCCAGAGGAGCCCTGGATACAAGGAAACAGAAGCAATGAGCTTGGCTGTGCTTTGATCGACCATCTACTCGGCGGTCTCGCTTATGCAATGACTGCATATACCACCTGCGACACCACAGAGCATCGACATATGGTCAACTGCCCCTTTGGAATGTATATCGAAGGGCAATGGGATCTCTGGGTAGAGGATGATGGGGTTGAGCGTGTGAGAACTGACACCCCAGCTGCTGGTAGTACCAGCAGACAGACTATCTATCCCATCCCTCAGAAGTACTTTTATAATATGCTCACTGAAGAGACTTGGAAACAACAGGTACCTAGATTTGGGCTAGCGTCTATCAGGATGCCGAGACTGAAGGAGTGGTCAATGACGATACCAAAACCCAATTGAAATATTGGATGTCATTGAGCGCTGAATGAGCTGCTCTCAAGGACGTAGTGTGGGGTGCAGGTTGATTGTAAAGATACATGGAGTTTTGCAGATACATTTGGCTTTACATTGAAGTGGTTTATTGGCGTGCAACTTCCTTGGACAGGTCAGTGTTTTCCTAGTACTTCTTGCATTCTTGTAGCTAGTTTGACACATATCGAATGTCATCGAGAGATGACAACGAGAACCTGTTTCAGTACGATGATATATTGTGTATGGTGACCATCAGAATGCAGGAAGTTGTGCTACACACATGGCTTTCCAACGAAGCAGTTCCATCGTATACTATCTCTCTGGACAGTGCAGAGTTTCCATCATGTTTTTGCCTTTCTATAGCTAGCTAGTACGAGTTCTTGTGAATGAGATGACTGCTTCCCTGTCCTTGGCATAGCCACAGCACGATGCACCAAAACCTTCGTGCTAATTTACATCCCATTTTCCTTCTTGCGCGCACCCAGACAGCAACAACTCCTCCTTTTCAGCACCACCAACCTTTCCTTTCCACCCGCAATGGCCTTCCATCCTACCATTGGTGGCCTCCGTCTTCCTGCTCCCGCCGCTGCTGGTCCCATGCAGATCATAGATCTGGATCTCCTGCCGTCCGATGGAGATCGATCGTTCTGCCACGAGGGCGACCCTCTCTTCGCTGTCGTCGACCCTGATCAGGTCGCTCAAGACTTCCGCGCTGCCTTCGGGCGTCAAGCTGACTTGCAAGTCCTCTTCGGTGTGTAAAGCAACGTGCATTCGCCTGAAATTTTTACTAATCTGTTCTACAGGAGGCGCTCCCTTCCAGACTCGCGGCCTCCCCCTTGGCTACCAGGTCGAGCATCGTGTCTACCCTGGTCGCAGGGAGATGAGAATCTATGGACACCCCAGTGGCCATTACTTCAAGTCGTGGCGCACGTGGGGTGTTCATCTCACCTCCCTGCTCAAGGAAGACCTGCAGAATTGTGCTTGCTGCTTGTGTGCCTCCTGGCGCACCAACGCTCCTGCCCACGCCGCCATTGTCGTCGGTCTCCCTCTTGTTGCTGGTGGTGCTGTGCCTGCTGCTCTTGCTGCCACTGTTGCTCGTGAGCAGCAGAGAGTCAGGGAGGAAGCTGCTACTGGGCAGAGTGTGGATCTTTTGGTCAGAGCGAGTGAGGTTGTTGATCTGCCTGAGTGGCAGAGAGTCATCATTCAGGAGGCTGTACAGAGTATTCTTGGTCGTGGCCGTTAGGCGTGCAGTTTTCCCTTTTCTCGATGCCCAGTCTTGTATTTCATGTAGAGTAACATCATCAATCTTCTTCTGTTCTGGTCCATCTCTCGATCATTTTGAATGTACAGACAGGATCCGTACCCAACGAAAAATCAGGAAGTATCGAAGTCTGGAGGACAGTGTGTTGACCAAGTCGATGGAGGATCAGGAGATCATCGATCTCACGAGCTTCAAGTCTCCAGACAGAGTCACTGTGTCACTATCGGGATGCACAGAAGCATTCAGGGATCAGACAACGCTCATTGCTTTTGCCAAAAACATACACCTCTCTCAATCGAGTCAATATCCAGACCAAAGTACGAATCAACGTGCACACTCAGATAGCGGCAAATCTGAAGAGACTGTCAGAGTCCGACGAACACCTGTTCGAAGACGTTTGCTTGATCTGCAAACTCGAGTCAATCTTCCGGACTATGATACCGGCCCACCGCGTCTTTCAAGTTCATCGACGCTCTTGAACCTACCACGGACTCGAGAGAAAGTTCGTTCCTCGACAATTATCAAACAACTCAAGCCATATCTTACAACCACCGACTACCAACATGCACGCCGTGCTTACCTTCGTCGAGACCGCTATCCTGTCTTTCGCTACCATCATATTGGGCACTCTCATCCTGTGTGGCTTCTACGCCATGTTTTTCAAGATCATCTTGTAAGTCTCTAGATATCATATGTCTCTATATCTTCCCATTGCCAGATTCCATAGCGACACCCGCGACAGCTTGGGCGGTGATCAACACATTCATCGCGGCCGTAACAGCTCATCGTACAACATGGCTGTCGCTGGAGCCGTCCACCAAGCCAACATACGCCGCGAGACTGAGATGCGTACTCAGCAGAGCTGCTGATTCGACTCCGGACGACCACGACGAGTCGTCAGTTGGGTTGCTAGTGCTGAGGAAGCGAATTAGACACTCAGGCACTGTCGAGCCCAGAGTAGCCACCATCGTTCACCAGCTGGTTCCGAATCAATCTTGTCCTTCTCCTTACTCATCTCGAAACGTGACTGTTCTTGTATCTAGGTGGAAATGTAGTTTGTGTCATATATATCTCGCTTGTTCTTCTGTATTTCTATCCTTGAATTTTCATGGTATACCTCTCTACTGCCCTCAGAGTGATTCTATACCCATACCTCTCTAGAAGCGCTTGAAGCTTAAAAGGCATAGTGGTGCCTGAGATCCCAGAAGCACCGCAGAGAATACCGTATGCCATGCCTCGGTCAGTGATCCAGTACTCGTTGACCATACTCAGGATGGGGTAGTAGAAGATCAGAAAGCCGAGTCCGTAGGCTACACCTTGTGTGAGAATGAGTATGCCGAGGTTTGAGGCGAAGGATCCTGCAATGAGGCCAAGGATGCAGATGGGCTCTGTTAACCAGTCATCAGTTGATGCCTCAACCTTTCAGTATCGGGCGACACATACACCCGACCAAAATCATCTGCCTACGTCGGTGCTGATGAGATTGCACATAAGGCACGATGATAGGTGCACCGAGGTACCCCAGTCCAGAGGCCGCAGTCCCCACAACCGAAATGTAGCGATTGCCGGCGAACACTGGGATATGTGAATAGTAGTTCTGGAACACTCCAAAAGATGAAGGGAAGCCTATGTTTCATCTTGGTCAGCTTGAGACTCTCATAGTCGAACTGCGAGCAGGTAGTACCCCACAGCAATGCTTCGAACGCAAAGGCAGCGACTAGTAATCTCCAAGCGGCGGGTCCTCCATCAGTAGATGCAAGCTCTTGTCCACTCAGCTCGCTATTCTTGATGTCGTTCTCTGTATCGAACGGCGAGGAAGGCGATTTGTCAGCATTCTCCGAAATGACGTTCCCTGGTCGTGGAGGCGTCACGGTCGTCAATACGATATTTGCCATCGACCCTGGCATGATGGTGTTTGAGATCGATGTCACGGTTCAAATGAAGCTGCACAACGTGAGCTCTAGAGTGCTAAATTCACATGGGATGACCGAGGCATGCTGACTACGCTCGGCGGTTGCCGGAGCCGACGCCGAAGAGATTCCGGCATCATGCAAGTAAAATCTTACAATGCAGCATCAATCGCAACGCAGCATGAGAATCTGCTTCCATCGACAATAACACGACTTTCACTGATTGTAAAGACCTCAGTGTCGCCAATTTGATAGTACTTGTTTAAGCAACCGCCGATGGGTCTTACCATCTCTCGCAACGTGACGGCATCTTCAGACTCTCCCGGTGTTCGTGTCCTGGAATGGCTCGAAGTTGGCGAGCATGCTGATCACACATTCCTCCTCCTATCTACCCTTGCCTCCCGCTGACATATCGATCTCTGCATGTCAATTAAATCTCCTGTCCTACCTCCTAGCACGTGCAGGGCCAAAGATTTCCCCTGCGTGCTTGAACCCACCTTCTGCCCTCTACTCAAGCCCTACAGACGCATCGTTTCTCGCGGCTTAGAAGTTTCTTGCGTGCCACCTCCCAACAGGTGCAAGACTCATTCGGTGTGTGCCTATGCTTGACCTTTCACTCGAAAATCAGCCAGACCGAGTTCTTGTTCTGCTGATGCGGATACCTTTGCACGGCACAGTGTGTGACTGACAATACATTGTTTGCATCAGGCTTGACTACGGTCCGCACACTGCTCTTGACAGACTGTCTAGCCATTGCTCTCCCACAATCTCGAAAACCACCCATTTTCTTTCCGAAGCAGTTCTTGGGGATGTCCTTGTTCCACTATACGACCTGCATCCATGACCACTATGAAGTCAAAATCCAACAACGTCCGCAGACGGTGCGCGACTGCAATCACTGTACTATTCCTGAATTCTGCTAATATGCATGTAAGCAAGCGAGATTCTGTGGACTCGTCGACTCCGCTAGTCATCTCGTCGAGCACGAGTAATCGACTAGGTCGCAGCAGGGCACGAGCAACAGCAAAAGATTGTAGCTCGCCTTGCGACAACCCGAGCTCTTTCATATCTGCTTCGAGGCCTCCTTGCGTATTGACAAGATCAAGGAGTCCAGTCTTCACCAGGACCGATCTGAGGACATCAGGGGTGTGTGAGTTCTCGGGGTCGAGGTTGGCGAGTACTGTACCAGGTAATAAAAGCGTCTCCTGGGGAACAGCAGTAAACCGGCGTCGAGAGACAGCTCGCGGGAGACTTGCCAAGTCAACACCATCAACGAAGAGGTTACCCGCTGTCATCTCTATCATGTGAAAAAGGGTAAGAAGTAACGAAGTTTTTCCACTCCCGCTACGACCACATATCCCCACTTTTGTACCCGGTCGTATGTGAAGTGTAATATCGGACAATGTCGCTGGACCCGTCTCGGAATACGCGGCAGTGATCTGTGAGAAATATATGTCTCCCGTTGATGGCCAGGTGTCTGTCACCTCTTCGACTTCCGCAGCTCGATGCTCCGACGGTGTGCTTGTTTCGAAACTTCGACAACGAGCCACAGCTCCAAGAGAAGTCTCGAGGAGCGTCCAAGAGGTGACTAAATTTGCGAGTAATGAATTGAAACTGAGAACGTTCAAGAGCGACAATCCGACAGAGCCTGGACTCGCATTACCGTTCAATACGATAGCAAAAGTAACTACCACCGTTGCAATAGCCGCGGTGACCAGATCAAGCACTAAATTTAACCACCTCTGTATACAGAGCAGAAGGTAGAACGGTCGCTGTGACTTATCCAATAGTTCCAGGCATCTTTGATGTGAATAATGTTCCCACCCAAAAGCTCTGATTGTTGATGCGCCTTCAAGAGTTTCGAGAGCATGGGAGAGCAATGGACCCTGCGCTTCGAGCTCCATAAAGCGAAGTTGGCGCGAAGTACGCAAGTAGAACTTTTGGAGTAGGTAAAGAATGCCAACGACAAATGGTATGGCAATCCCAACATAGTCCGAGCCAGCAGCGATAAGAGCTGCTGAGCCAATACAGGCACCTGACCCTAGAACAGTGTTCACCATCCCTCCTGCAAGTTGTGATTCAATGAGTGACATATCGGTAGCGAATCGGTTGAGAATTGTTCCAGCATCTGTGCTAACAAGGAATGGAAACGAAGCATCCATGACGCTGTTCAGAATTTGTCGATGTAGCTGTGCGGAAGATTTTGGAACGATCCAGACTAGAAAATTCCAGAGAAGTGCAAGGTTCGATAAACTTGCGATTGTACCGACAAAGACATATACTCCAATCCATACACTGATGGGCCGATTCCGGTCGCTCAAGTCTCCATCTCCCACCCACCAAAGCACCCAAACCTGAGGAAACGTCTTGCCAAAGGCGAAGCACATAGCTGTCAAGATCATGATTGATATCAGCTTCCAGCCAATTGATGCAGCATAATATTTGTAAACCGCTGTGTCGCCAGTTTGACGTGCGAGATCCTCTTGCAGATCGCTGTTGATCTCAAAGTCGGTAGACAGATTCTGATTTGCCCGTGCATCTCGATCTTCATGATCGGGTCGATGACGTGCCTCTGTATGATGCTCTACGGTATGGAAACCCGCATCATGAGTTCGGAGCATCGACAAGGATCCTTGCTGGGTGATTCTGCCACCATCTCCCATCACAATAATATGGTCCGCTAGATGCAAGTGCTGAGTGGCGTGGGTGGCGATCACTATTGTTGTGTTGTACATTCTGCAGGTTGATTTGAGACTGGACGTGATGGTGTTGGTGGATATTGCATCTAATCCTGCGAGAATGTCGTCGAAGACGAGAAAGTTCTGACGTGAGTACAACGCCCGAGCTAGAGCCACCTTCTGCTTTTGTCCACCGCTCAAAGATAGTCCTTTGCTGCCAATGACAGTCTGGTCACCTTGTGGGAAAGAAGCAAAGTCGATGTCCAGAGCAGATGCATTCACAACAGCGGTGTACCAAGGCTCGTCGAGTGAAGAGGGGCCGATGATCAAGCGCTGGATAGTCCCACTGGGCAGCCACGGATCCTGCGCACAGTACCCAAAGTCTTGCGAGAGATTGGACAGTATGCGCTCACCACTACTGCACTTCAGCTCATTGATGACGGCGTGGAGTAATGTTGATTTACCACTACCGACGGGACCCACAATGCATGTCAGCGCAGCCGGAGGTATAGAGAACGAGACTGAATCCAGAATTGTCTTCGAGCGGCTTCCTTTATGGACAGAGACATTCCGAAATTCGACCACCGGGCTCCCGTCATGGATCGATTTTGGAGGAACAGACAGCTCAATGGGTTCTGGTTCATTTTGAGCAGCGCAACTCGGTGTCTTCTGGTGCTTCTCCGCACTAGCAAAGGTTTCTCCACGAAGTAAGAACTCTTCTATTCGCTCACCACTTGCCAGACAATTCAAAACCTCTGGCATTGCAACGATGGAATCGTGGATCGGAGTGCAAAGAATCTCGACAAGCGATAATGCGGTAAATGCCACGGATCCATCAAGCTGTCTTCCGCTGATAAGGCTGTAGGCAGAGAGGGCCACCGCAGGCGCCAAGTCATCCGGAAGAAATCCTAAAGCATTGCGTATGGCAACAAACTTTCTATAAGCGGCGGAAGCAGCTAATTCGGAGATTCGGAGATCCTGGATACGTTCTCGAAGAATTTCGGTTAGACCAAGCATCTTACTGCCTTTCGGGAAATTGAGAACAGATGCAGTATATGACACTCGCTGTTGCACAGCCGCAAGCCATTTTTTCTGAAAGGGAAAGGCTCTCTTAGAGTTGGCGAAGCCCGCGACGCTAATAGCAACAGTCAGCAAGACTGGAGCTAAACAAGACACACCAATTTGCCTCTCAAGAAGAAACACTGCAACACCTATCTCGAAAGGGGCCGCAAATAATCCCGCAATCACTGGAATAGCTGAGCAGATCCGATCTGTATCATTGGTCATCAAACTAAGAACAGCACCATCTGCTGCATGCTCTGTAGAGATTGCGAGACTTTTGGAATGCATTACCGATATCAGTACGCCTCGAACTTGGGTCGTTAGACGATCAAGTAAACGTTTAGACGTGACATTGACTAGTGCCAAACTGACGTAGAGTAGCACTGTTGCGCCGATAAGACCTCTACCTGCAGATGTGTCCACATGTTCTTCGCTGAGCCACAAGGTGACCTTGCGAGTGAGAAGGGGTTGCGAGAGCTTCAGCGCGCTTAATCCCAATCTGGAGACGCCTATGGCGATGAGCAAAGATGTGAACATTCTTGACATCGCGCGCAGAAGAGGCCATTTGGATGGAGTTCCTGTAAAAGTGAGAATGAGAACAACAGCAGACCTGCTCAAAGGATCGTACCTGCTACCCATCGATCTAAGAAAGCTCTCTCGTTTCTTTCTGAAGCCAGATCTGGGTCGATAGTAAATAGTTCCGTGTATGTGATCAACCCCTTGTAGCCCCGGATGAACAGTGGATTGAGCCACCAGAGAAGAGTCCGGTCGTAAAGATTGACCAAAACTTCTGGGCCATATAGTCGATAGGGGATCAGCAGGATAGATTTCTTGCTACGTGCTTCGAGATATAGAACAACGGTTTTCGCTATCATGCTCATGGTGAAAATTACTGGCAGGGCACCAGGAGAATACCGGAGCCACAAGCTTCTACATTGGGGGACGTCAAGTACAATCGTGGTGAACACGAAAGCATTGATAGTAGAGCTTGGTCTTGTAGAGCGTAGATGTTCGAGGTTTGACAGGTACAGCAAAGCCATTGATGCGAGCAACGAGAGGATAGCGGATGGAATTGAGGCTCTCGTTCGCAGGCTACCAACGAGCGCCCACGCCACGACAAGAGCGATCTGAGTCCCTATGAGCGCCAGAAGGGCAAGAGTTTTCGCAATACGTGTTTTGGCCTTCAGAATCTTGACACTCTGCCGCTTCAGTCGTATCAAACGACCTGGCAGGTAGAGGAGTAGAACAGCGCATGGTGCGATCTGAAGAAAAGACTGTTCAAAGAGCAGCGTCAAGTCGAAAGCACGGCAATACTGAGGCCCAAAAAGATCGTCCCTGTCGTATGAACAAGACATGGCGAGGACGCATGCAGTGCAGCGAAGGTTGAGCTGACTTGTGGGAACTGTCAGCTAATGTTCACTACATTTTTGGCTCTGCCAGAAGAACGCGGATGAACCATTACCCCGGAACGCAGGCTCCAGCTTGTTCATTACTGCACTGGCGTGATTAGATTCGCTAGCGCATCCTTCGTCTTGGTCTGTCGCGCCAAAAAGATCCTTTATTTCGCGACCCAAAGGCACCTGATTCATCTCAGCACTCGGGCGTATTGGCAGTTCACTTGCCTATTCCAGTCGAGCTTGTCACATAGCCATACCCATTTCTCACTGATACCTTGAAGTATATATGCCTCCATGATGGATATAGAGTTACCGAGGTCTCTCGACTTTGCCGAGGCCGAATAATTCCTCAAAATCTCACAGTGGGGTACGCATGATGAGATTAAGAGTCACAATATAACGTCACCTCTTCCTTATCTTTGTCCACGTTCAATGATAGATCTCTGTTGGGTGATTATTGTTAAGCACCTGCCTTTTATGTTGAAGAATACGGTGGCAGCGACACCACCCTGAATTGCGACATAAGCTTTTTGTCCCTTATCTTGGCTCTTGGCAATTCAGGCATCTTTAGCCGCGCTAGTTTGTCCCTTAGCGACGGTGCATCCAGACACATATATATTCTGTTAATACCTCAGGTATGATGGATAGATCTGTTCGCTGGTGGTTTCGTCCAACGGGCCTCTACTTACAGAAGAATTGGACCCTGTGCGATACCCGGCTTGGTCTTCCAGCACCAAGATGACCTTGACAAAGTTATCCCCGAGTCCTCCGCCAATGTTCACGCAGGACAAGGACTACATAGCTTCGCGTGTCGAAGAACTAATTTAGGGCTCACGCAAAGCCCACGAGGATATCTTGTCAAAAATCACGCCGGAATCAGCAACCTTTCAGAACGTCCTCGTACCTCTGGCTCCCATCCACAACTCCCTGACTTGCGAGATCCCTGTCCTTTGCTTTCATCAGACAGTCTCGACCAACTCTGATATCTGCGATGCGTAGACCAAAGCCGAGGGTCGATACGCAGATCTCGAGATTGAGACTAAAGTGCACGAGGGACTTTTCTCTCTGATCAACGCCGTCGTGGAGAAGCATGAGGATCTCGGGGCTGAAGATCGACGCTTGTTGGAGCGATACCACAGGGACGTCATCCGCCATGGACTGGGCCTGGAGAATCAGCAGCGAAAGGAGCTCGAGATCACCCAGAAACGACTTGTTCGTCAAATCAACGAATATGAGAAAAATCTACGAGAAGACAATGATGGAATTTGGTTCCTTGCTGAGGATCTTACTAGCGTTTCTGAAGGTATGATTGCAGGTTTGAAGCGTGGTGCAGACGTCAATGAGGGAAAGGTCCAACTAACTTTCAGCTTTCCCGATCGCTTCACCACATTGAAGTATGCGAAGAACAGTGAGACTCGCCGACATTACTACATTGCATTCGAGAACAGATGCTCAGCCAACGTGGCTATTTTCAAGGAGATCTTGGTGCTCAGACAAGAGGCTGCTCAACTCCTTGGGTATGACACACGAACTTCGATGCCTTGATGCATGCCTACGACGCAGGATTCTACGGCTATGTACAGTGAGTCCATCAATCTCAGCACGATACAAGAAGTACCGACGTATCTACCGCCACCAGCGAAAGAAATGCCCAGCTCTGTCTTGCATGCCAGAGATCATGTCATGCCGAGGGAACGCAGCTCGACCGTAGCCCCAAGAATATCCGCAATCTGATCGCCCTGTTCCTTTCTTGCCTGCTCATCTCTCCGCTTCTGACTTTTCATATCGAGTCCATATCTGATGTTCTTGAAGTGGGCATCCATGTTCTTGCTCCATTTGGGCATTGGACTCGAATCGCCACTGCCGCCCAGTATAGAGCGGTGTTGCGTCCTCCAGCAGTGGAAGCTGACAGTGACCTCTCGAGGGAGACCTCTTAGAGCGACCAGGGAATCGTTCCGAGGTTTGATGCTTCTTTTACTGGGTTGTGCTCTGATGGGACAATTCAAGACCAGTTCCTCGAGTCGCGGAAGGCGATTGTGAACGAGACCAACAACTTGTTTCATGTCTCTGGATGACCAGGCGTAGTCCTCGATCTTGATCTGTAGGGTGCGGATGAACGCGCAGGCATTGCTGGACAGCCGGTGGATGAAGATGTAGTGCAAGTCCGATAGAAGGGCTGGTGAGGTGATTGAGATGTCGGCATTGGACCAAGCAAGGGCCAGGAGTTCTGATCTGAGCAAGCGGCATGTGTTTGCAAGGCCCAGGAGATCGTCGATGTCGGCGAGGTGGATGTTGCACTCGGCATTAGCGACATTCTGTTTTTTGATGGCATTGTTGCCCTTGAGAGTAAGGTGATTCTCGCGGATCCTGAATGTCAATTTGTAGCGCACAGCGCCTGGAGGATCTCTCTGGTGGAGGGCATTGTCGCTGATGTAGGAGATGCGCTTGTTGCTCATGAAGGCTGACTGGAGCAGAAAGTCGTAGACAGTCATCCTGGTCTCTGGGGCTAGGTTGAGGAAAGACAACATGGCTGTGGAGTGGATTGAGAAGCGCTGTGGAAAGCATTAAAGGGCAGATGCACTTTTGGAATCGGCAAAGAGGAAGACGTGATGATTGACATGCGTTTTGTGCTTCGAAACTTCGGCTATCTCTCACACAAACACAAGCAACACTTACTTTGAAACATACAACACATTCCTCAAAAGAGCGACCGAGCCAACACGAAAGGGAAGAATAATATGTTTCGCACTTGCCTTTGTTGTCGCCGAGACAGTCAAATGAGGGGTCACGCACGTAGGAAAGCATGGAAAGGGAAAGAGAGGTAAGGAGGACGACGAAAGACGAGAGAACAGGCGCGAAGCCTTCATCGGACCAGCGCATGGGCTGCCGGACAACGAAGAAAAGAAAGAGACCAACTCACCATTCTGTTTTTACTGACCTACCGTTCATTTTACAGCTGTGCAACGCATCCTCTATAGCAGAGGCTGCTTGAAAACCGACTCGTGGGACGTAGATGAACTCCCAGCATCGCTCGGGTGCGTGAGATGAGACCGACCGTGCAACCATGTCTGAGTATATTCCTTCTCTCCACTGCCTTTCAAAATTCGGTCGCTGCCTCCGCAGTAGACCGTGCGGTTCGAGTCGTGAATGAGCGGCGAACGGAGCGGTGATGGGTGGTATGTGATTAGAGAGGGCGGGCTGGTTTGGCTGCGCAGCATTACGGAGGCGTTCATGCTATAATGGCGACAGCAACCAAGGACGAAAGGCGATTGCTTGCCGATGGACGTGACGACAGGTTCGAAATGTGATGCAATCGAGGAGGAGGAGGAGCTGTTCTCAATGTTGTGATTGATGGAGAGGAATGCAGTCGTTGAGTGCCCTGGTGACAGCTTGCCAGACCAAGCGTCACGTCGCCTCGCCTTCGACCTGGCGGAGAGTTGATATTTCGCTTGCTGTGACACGAGCAGCTTCGGTTGATGGAGAGCAGCAAGCTTAACAACGTGAAGGGCTTGTTGTACGTGCGTATCGTTGTGCTTGAGGGTCAAAGGATAGGAGACGCTCACCGCTCGCTGCAGATTGCGCCCGACGCTGGGCATCTCGGGCGTCGTCAAAAAAGACACCAAGTCACGACAATACGAACGTCTTAAGCTGCATATCAGCATATTCTCAGCATCACTTCGATACGCAGCAGCTCGCAGACAGGTATTCCAACAAGAATCAGAGTCGGCCATTGAACACACAGAGAAAGAGGAGGAAATGTATGCATTCCGATCACTATCTAACATACAAGCAACCCTCAATACACTCCTTCTCATAACAAGTCATGCAATTCATCTCCATGCAACCCACCGAAGTCATTTAGATCATCAACAAAGCAGCAACAGCAGCTCCGATACCAACGCCAGCGCCCGAGACACCGACATTGTTGGCAGCGCCAGTGGCCGAAGCTGTGGCAGCACTACCCGATCCCGAGGCGGTCGAAGCCTGAGTAGCGGCATTCACTTGGATACCGTAGGCAAGAGAAGTAGTGGGGACGCCAGAGACAGTAGTGGTAACGGTAGAGGTGGCAGTAGTGGAAGCCTGGCAGCCCGACCAAGAGGTCCAGGGTGCGTTTGTGCCCCAAGGTCCAGAGGTCCAGCCAGACCATGTGCTGTCAGGGCAGTTGCTGCCTCCCCACCACGAGGTCCAAGGACCAGAAGTCCAAGCACCGCTTTGACCCCAAGGGCCCCAGCCAGAGTTTGTACCGTTGCCGTTGACGCCGCCAAACGGACCGTAGCCATTGCCGCCTCTCCAGCCACCGGGGCCTCCATAGCCACCGGGACCGTAGCCGCCAGCCCAGGGGAACGCGCTAGGAGCGGCAGTGATCTGGCTACCGCTGTTGGAAGCCCAGTATGAGGATGCAGCCGAGGCGTAGGATGACCATTGCGAAGGGGCAGCGCTGGGGCTGACGCTGTTCCAGTACGACGAGGCGGCATTGGCCCACGAAGAGTAATCACCTGTGGCGGTAGGGTTGGCTGATTGCCAGTAAGAACTTGCTTGCGAAGCGTAGCTCTGCCAGTTACCATTGTTGTTGTTGTTGTTGTTCTGGGGAGCTGCGCTGGCTGAGCCGACGAGGGCGGTGGCAGCGGCGAGAATGGAGAAATCGAACTTCATTGTGGATGTGTGTCTGTTGCTGCGGGTGTAGTCTGAAGGTGTGGATATAGAGATTGATCGTGTGGGTATTGAAAAATGACTGAGTGCCCAAAAAGACCTACCTTCTTCTCTGTCTATATAGCTTGATTTTGTTGCACAGCCGCGTCATGCAGGCCTTGGTCGCAGACACCTTGGACCCTAAAATCGCCTCAATCGCAGTGACGCGTATTCTCCGAGATCCTCGTTGGTTTTGCGCTGCTCACGCGCGCCCCTCGGACACGTCTCGCCTCTCGCTGCGACAAGGCATGAGGCAGGGCGAACAGCTTCGCAGCAGCAGCAAAAATAAGGATAAGCTGCCTCAGAAAGTCCGAACGCTTGACCGCTTTGAGCTTAGCAAGTCCGTGGGGTTGCCCGAGAGGTGCCAAACGTCACTGGTCGACTTTTGGTTAACCACCCAAAATCTCGACCTTCTTGTTGTGAACTGTCCATGATGCTTGTTGCTCTGTTGGTTTCTGAGGTGATGCTTCGGGGATTTTACTGACGTCTCACACATATCCACAGTCGGAGGTGTCGGTGGTCCTGAATCCGTCTTCTCTCTCACTTGCCTCGCTGATCTACTTGTCCAACACCCGACAGCCTGTCATCTTGCCTTATCATTCCAACACAGTATGTAAGTAGCTTCTGTCAATGCTCCTGTTCGCATTGTCATGTGGGTCTGAGATGTCCTTTGCGCAGTGTTTGTGACATTTAGCCTCTCCCGACGTGATCAATCTCCATCTACCGAACACTTTACCAACATTGCCAGCCCTGTCGGAGTCAACTCTCCCTCTTCCTCCGACTGCCCGCGGCTCTTCAAGTCGATCTTGTATGTCTTCCATGAGTACTCCACACCCTCTTCTCAGATCTTATGTGTAAGAAGCATGGCAATCGTGCGAGCCACGCGGCTGTGTGACCGCCGACCACCCGGAACTTTTCTTGCCCAGCCCATGTCTCGGGCTGTGATCTGTCGATGATACATCTGTCTCGACGCGTCGCTCAGAGGTCTCGTGGGCTTTAGATCTTGGTGCTGTGGTGTAAGGCTGTTGTCATCATTATATGGATCTCCTATTCGCCGACTCTGGCAGAGGAAGTCTTGGACATTACGAAGCCACTCAGCCCTGGATGTACTACTCTCCAAAGCTTATCAACACTCGTACAATGCATGTCGAATGATATGTGGCCTTGGAAGTTGCTTAGCTTCCGGATCCCACAGTGATGCGAGTCGATTCGATCAACCTCCAGCCATATATCAACACTTATACAGCATACACAACTATTATGCCATCACCCCGCACTCACAAGCCTCTTCACAAAGTTGCCAAGCTGCCAAGCTCCATACACAAACCCCAGGCTTTTCGCAAATCTCATGTCCGAAAATTCAAAAATCCATTTCACCACCCATTCTACCTCCTTTTTTCTACCCTTCGACATAGTGCTATACAGCAAAAGGATAGTGACGAGAGTGGGATTTGAACCCACGCCCTTTCGGACCAGCGATTTGGAATTAACCTTAAGCTGGCGCCTTAGACCGCTCGGCCATCTCGCCTTTGATGAAGAGCGGGTCCTGAAGCTTGGAAAATAACCTCTAGAGACATGGATGTTCCGGACGCGGTCCAGCAAGCAGCGGCAGTACTCCAAGCATTTGGCTCCATATATGAGACAATCTTGTACCTCAGAGTGATTTTCCAAACATGCTGTGTCCAGATATGCCTGCTGAGGGTGAGTATGTCAAAGTCCTCCTTGATAGTGAGACTGCTCATATCTCTGCAGGCGATCTTAAGGCGTCGTTTGAACAATCCCGTCGTGGGGTAGTTAGAACTTGTATTGACATTGACATACTGTATGAAATGCCACAAAATCTCCAGGGTAGCTCCCCTGAGTGATCGTAACTTCTCATTTGGTAATGAATCCACCAGATACGGCACACCGCTGTCTGTATACGAGATTCATTGTCAAAACTGATGGTTGAGAGTAAAACCCTGTCAGATGACTAAGCATACGAGGTTGCTGGTGCACTCGAAGACAGTGTAATATCGAGTCATTTTGAGGCCAGCCAAGTCGTTCAGTCCAAGCAAGAAACACTGAACCCACGCGACCTGTTCAATCTGAAGGGGGAATGTATGATGTCCTCCAGATCGATGGTCGTCGGTCGTCCATGGTCGCACTCAGGCAAGCCCAAGAGCGTCGGCTGTCGTTCTTCGCTTGGGGAATGTACAACCCTTTCCTGTCCAATCGCCAACAACAAACCGTCGGACGCAGTGCATGCGCTGTAACGATATAGCCTTCAGGTCGATTCTCCTTGATATGGGCCACTGACGAAACTAGCGACTACACGCATAGCGGCCGTAGCAAGCCCAAGGCGCTCGAGTCACGCGACATTGCTCTACACGAACGACTGCCTGCACCTGATGACTGAGTCAATCTCTAGTCGAGCGATCTGGCACCGCGGTCCAGCCTCTGAGGCCTCGATTGCGAACGGCCGATTCAAGATCGCTGTCGCTCGAACGGTCGAGGCGAGGTACTATACAGCATTCTGGTCCAGGATCCAAAGCCCTATATCGAGCCGCTGCGCCCTACTGCGGCTACCATTAAAGTGTTCATTGAGAGAAGTTCAGAGTACGAGAATCGCCTTTCGAGATCGAGGCGACGCTCCGATCATATACCGCATATCAGGAGGAGGAAAACGTTTTGCGAACATACCTCAACGCGATCACGATATCGCTTACCAGGGCTGACTGGTTGTATCTCACAGGTTGAAACGCATGCAGCTGCGTAGCGTGCTTCAGGAGTCTCTTTGTTGAAGCGAGATTAAGGTAAACTTTTCACTCCCAGCGCCTCCCCCACAGTTGGCGTTTTGCTTCGAACTTCTGGATTGGCGAACATGCTTGGCGAAGCTCGTCTATTGGACTGGATATATTCAAGAAAGAGACATGCAGCGGTCACTTGATGCTTGATACAACACGCCACGGATCCTCGGACCTTGCTTCCATACCAATTTCGTGGAAGCGACAGGTATCTTCGGTTGATGTTCAGCATCGATGAGTTGGACTCTTCTCCAAGCGGGACGAAGCGCCCCAGACAGCCCTTGGCAACAACGACCTTGTTTCGGGTATACACGACCTTCCTCATTCCACCCCTGCAGAGACGTTGTTTTCGCTCTCGCATGGCCATACGCGAGCCACGCTGTCACATAACCAGATCGCTTGCATTGATCATGCCCTTGCCCTCTCCCTGAGGAACACTTGGCACAGTACTGATCAATGAACGATGTCCTCTACCCGTCTTGGCTCTATATCAGCCAGTCGCTTGTGGCGCTGCGTTACTGTCTCAAAATGGGGAGGGCAAGGGTGGGATATCGAGGCTCTGAATGGAATAAAGCCCTTGGTCGGTATATAAGGTAAGGTTTGATCTTGATCTCTCGCTTTTCTCTCGAGCATCACTTCCACTTTTGACGTTCTTTTCGACCACCACTCTTTTTCCAAACCGACTCTCGTTCAACTCCACTTGACTTCATCTCGAACCTCTGGCAGGTATACCATATTCGATTCTCTATATACAACAATCAAAATGAAGTGCTCTATCGTCTCGGCTCTGGCTCTTGCCGCCTCAGTCAACGCCCATGCCATCATGCAGCGTATCATGGTCGACGGTGTTGACCAAGGCTCCTTGACCGGCATCCGTGCCCCTTCCAGCAACAACCCCGTCCAGGATGTCAGCTCCACCGACCTTCTCTGCGGTGCCAGCTCTGGCTCTTCCTCCAAGCTCATCACCATTCCCGCTGGTTCTTCCGTCGCTGGGGCTTGGGCTCACGCTCTCGGTGGCCCTCAAGGCGCCGGCGATTCGGACAACCCTATCGCTTCTTCCCACAAGGGTCCTACTCAGGTCTACCTCGCCAAGGTCGACGATGCCGTTTCCGCTTCCGCCACTGGTCTCAAGTGGTTCAAGATTGCCAGCGACGCTGTTACTTCCGCCGGTGTCTGGGGCGTCGACAACATGATCAAGAACACCGACTCGGCAGGCTTCGGCTGGCAGAAGTTCACCATGCCCAGCTGCATTGCTCCTGGTCAATACCTCATGCGTGTTGAGTTGCTTGCTCTGCACTCTGCTTCCTCGGCTGGTGGCGCTCAGTTCTACCAGTCTTGCGCTCAGATCAAAGTTACTGGTTCTGGCTCCTTCTCGCCTGCCACATCGGCTCAGATCTCGCTTCCTGGTGGCTACTCGGCTACTGATGCTGGCATTCTCGCCAACATCTATGACTCGTCCATCTACACTTCTTACAAAGCTCCCGGTCCTGCTGTCATCAGCTGCGGTGCCGGCGGTGCTGCTCCCGTCTCTTCGTCCACCAAGGCTGCTACTTCCGCCCCCGTTTCGTCCAAGGTCCCTGTGACTACCTCCGCTGCTGCCCCTGTTACCACCAAGCCTGCTACCACTTTGTCCACTGTTGTCAAGACTTCTTCTCAGGCTGCTGCTCCTGCTACCTCTGCTGCTTCGGGATCTGGTGGTGCTGTTGCAAAGTATGGACAGTGTGGCGGTAAGGGATTCACTGGCGCGACTACTTGTGCTTCGGGATCTACTTGCAAGGTCCAGAATGACTGGTACTCTCAGTGCATCTAGTGAGGATGGCGAAAGAGGGAGATTTTGGGGTTTGTTCGATGGTTGGTTTGGGATGCAGGTAGTAGTTCACTTCGTATACGATTCTCTTCTTCGTCGAAACATATTTGTTCATGTCATGATCCATGCTGCTTGTGTTCTCACCGTGCCACCGCCGTCTAACAAGCTTGTCGGCCGATTGTTTCCCATGTCCTGCCTGAGGCGATGGTTGTCTTCGTCTCTCTTCGTGCGCAATCAGTTTCAAGCTGCCACCGAGCTCGTCAGTGCCTCTTCGAGATCTTCTACCCACAGAGTCACGCAGAGCATGCAAAAAAAAACATGCACAACCACCGAACCTGCACCCTCCCGCTATACTCTCCCCTGTGAACACCCAGAGCCCTCACGAGCCAAAAAGTGGAAATCGAACCCAGAACCTTCTCCAACTCAGTAACCACTACAAGAAGTGATGCTAAGAAGATGTCATACCACTAGACCGCAACCCCAATTGATGAGGCCGGGCCAACAGGGTGCGTGTACAAGAGTGAGAATCTGGTGGGAAGCAAGTGGGAAGATGCCCGAGATTTGGCCGGTGAGGTGGGCCGAATCCTGGAGATGAGGAAGAGAGACAAAAGAGACGGGGAGACATTCATGGAAAAGTAGAGGAAGGGTATGTGAAGGGTAAGCTGGTAGCTTCTTTGCTCCGGAGGGTGGAGTGTGATTGATGAGCGGCCAGTCCGTAACTTGTGCGGTAGTCCGGAGGGGTTCAGCAGCCAAAAAATTGCACCTACCAGGAACTCACTGTTGATCATCTGAAAAGGCGGACAGGATTAGTTGATCCACCTACTCACCTCTGGAATCAACATCGGTCGATTCTTGTTGGCCTGATAGATGCCACGTGAAAGCCTGGCTAACGTAGTAATAGGGTCTGTATTAATGATAGATAAGCCCACCGACGTAACCAACCCGAGTCACGTTGAAGCGGCAGAACGTGGGATGCTTCGATGCAAGGCGTTGTGCTCTCGTCGAGTCGTCAGCGACCACTCTGATTGTACAACAGACCGTCAATTCCAAAGACCGAGATCTTCAAATTGTATCCCCAGTCCTTGTTTCGTGTTTTGAAGATTGATAGATTCACCAAGCGAAGGAAATCTCATCAACCTCATGTCTAGTTGATCAGGTCTCGTGGTCTAGCGGTATGATACTCGCTTAGGGAGATTGACGACAGTCATTCTTGAAAACTCTAAGTCTATGTTGCGAGTGGTCCCGGGTTCGATTCCCGGCGAGACCCCTTCTTTTGCTCGTTGAGGGTGATGCTATCGGTATAGGGAGGTCCAAGTATGGCTGTGGTGGATTGATCGAATTTCAATTTTGGCTTTTCTGGTGGAAAAGCGAGGGAACGGAATGGACTCCCGAGCAGGTTTGTCTCTCCTCTCATGGCTCTGTTCTCGTGTCGCTGCTGCAGCGTGTTTTTTGCACTAATTGTGTGCAGAGACGGCGACGCTTCGGCGTTGATCGAGCGTGTCGGGTGTGAGAGATCCGAAACCTGGGGGACTTCGGCGGAGCGTGGACCGAGGCAGTGAGTTCTGGACAAATAAAGGAGGCCGATATGGTCGACAGATTCAAGACGATGAAGCTGGTGAGATAGTGAATGAGAACCTAGGATAGAATTCAGAGAGAAAGACGGCGGAGGTGGAGGCCGGGGAGCACCTTGTCTATGATCAGCAGCGCCGATTGCGTCATGAACATTCCGATTCGACTTGCTTCGAAAGCATCTTTCAACGACCGCTCCTGCATTGTTCGACGTTAAAGATTGCCTGGCGATAAGACTACACCGTCCGAGAGCATTAGCAGGCGAGATATCAAGCATCCACGGAGCCCGAAATCCGGTCAACCAAAGGCAGAACGCAACTCTGATCGTGGCATGACCAACAAACGTTAAGTCCACTCATCCACCACAAAAATGCTGGTGGGTAGGAACAGAATGGTACCAATTCAGTGACTACTGATCAGGCTGATACACTGAAACCATCTTCTCGGTCTCAACACAGCTAGCCTGTCCAATAGAGATTCTGTAAGCAGGAAAACAATCTCTGGAAATCAAGACACTTCTAGGAAAATATATCGAAAAGAACGTATGAAAGACAGTCATGGAAGGCAGTTTGATTGAGGACCTAGCATTCGAGATCTGGAAAAGGGAAAGAAACAAGTCATGCGCATTGCAGTTCGAAGTCAGAGTCTAACTTTCAGCTCTGCTTGCTGCTTGTAACGTATCCAAAGGTATTGCAGCTGGAATCTAGCATTTTTGATCTGCTGCTCTGCTGGTTCCATATCCAAAAGTTGTTGAATCGTGCTCGTGTGTGGTTAGTTGGAGTAGTATTCTCTCCATTTCCCACCTTTGTTTCTTCTTAGTATTCTGGTTCTTCATCTTCGCATTCGCGGAAAGCGCTGGCGTCAATGTCGTAGATGGGTTCGGAGTGTGGCGAGGGAAGGCTGTGGCGTCGGCTGAGCATGATTGTGTTGGGGTGGTCGATGATTGTTACTGGACCCTCGTTGACCGTGGTGGGTCGTTGAGAAGTGGTGTCGAGTTCTTCTTCTTGTCCAATTTTCTCGTCTTCTGTGTCAGACCCGATGGGACCTGGGCATATGCTGATGTGTTTGGGAGTATTCTGTGTCTCTGTTTGTGCATCTTCGCCGTGCACGGTCTCGCCCTTGGATGCTAGCTTTCCTTCTGCGTTGTATACGACCGTCTTGTAGCCGGATCCTGGACATTGAGTTGACAATGCCAGTGACCATCCATACTTTTGGCGCTCGTAGTATATGCTTAGAGCAAATTCATGGATCTTTGAGGCGCTGCAGCCGAGACATGACCAGAGGATGTCGAACTCCAGAGGCGAGAGAGGTCTTTCTCTGATGATCTGTCTGATATGGCCATGCATGGGAGCGATGCATTCTTCAACTTGAAGAAAGATCAGAACCTGGTGGACTTGGACCGACAAGGAGAAATTGTGAGGGAGCTCAATGAACATCTTCTTTCCATGTCTGGCGCGGTTGATTGCACAGAAGACATATTTGAGGGCGTTTGGATACATAAACGGATCTCCATGGGAGATGTCGAAGCAAAGTGTGCAGTTTCTCCTTGCTGGACTAACGTAATCCATAGTTAGATAGTACTGTGTCAACCATCTGCGTGCCGTAGACGAGTGCTGTTCAAAGGCTTCGGCATCCAGATCGCAGAAGACGACCGTGTAGCACCCCCTGTACATGTTCCATTGGAAAATGTCATAGGTGTACTTCATGTTGGTAACTTGGCCTGGTCGTCTTATTGTACCCTTGGCGGACCGGGAAGTCATGTTTGCTGTGCGGATGTTTGGGTTGAAAGGAACAACGGCCCTTGAGGGGCGCTTTGTAGTCGCCTGAGGCTCCATGAACGAGCTTGTGCTATCATGCGCTTGGCACGTGTTCAAATATTGTCGTTGGAGTACGTGAAAAGATGTAGAGCATGATGGGACGGGCGGAGAGGGGCGCGTGATGGGTCAGGCTCGTGCAATTTGTTCCTTTTGCACGTGTCTTCAAGTACCAGTCCGACTTGGGAGATAGGTTTTGCTTGTCGGTAGCGACTTCGGGTGACAGGCACGGGATGACTCGGTGAGGAGAAGATTTGGTAGAGATGGTGTAAAGTCCAGATTCGCACGTGGTTTCAGGCGCTGGGAAGACTCGGCAAAGACTTTTCAGATGTTGATGGTAGATTCAGGGTGGGTGCTGGTCAAGTGCTCAGGATTTGATAGTGATGTTGGATCGTGCTATCACAAGTCAGTCGAAATGTTCTTGAAGCTCTCAAAGGATGGTGCGAGTTGTACCTAAGCACTTCTGCTACTATATGCTGTACTTCCGGGACGGTCCGATCTTGGGATATGATGTATATCCACTGGTTTGACCTGACCCCATATGACTTGGCGTGTTTGAGTGGTAGTTGTAAACGAGAAACAAGGACGGTGAACGTCTTATATAGCCTAAAGTAGGTACTTCTTCAAAGGTCCACAGGAGAGCATCTCGAAACTCTCTGTTCAACTGCACGGGGACACAAATTCCGAACATTTTATGCATGTTGATACGTTGGGACCGAGCATATAAACACACGAGACGTGGTCGGAGGTCATGACACTGTGTAGAGACATAGTCTCCTCAACATCGTCATTCCACATGACCTACCCAATGATGACCCAGCACAAGATTTTGATTTGTGATGGTCGCGAGATGAGAGAGATACAAACGGCAGAACAAGACAAAGCTAAAGAATGCGCTGGATGGTCCCAGCCATACCGCATGAGTCTACGAAGACAGTCGCTCACCGATCCATCTTCTGTCATCGAACGCAGAGAGACCTTTGCGTGCTGAGTTTCTGCGAAAAACGCTTCATCTACAACCTTTCGACTCTTTCTACATGGCACCGTATAACCTCGGCTTCGTTCTCAGACGGCTTGGGTCCATGAGGAAAGACCTTGAGGTACCTTCCCTTCCATCTACACCGGCCTTCTTTATTCATTGACCAGCGGCGCAAAGCCTGCACCTGCTGGGTACACGACGTGCGCAGCGCCAGATCGAGGATACACTCATCACCATCAAGATATCATTCGACAACTGGACCAAGAGACTCAAGCTGCCCCTCAAGGAACTGGGTGCGGACACGCCTCTCATCAAACATCGTTCGTTTTTCGTCGAATTGAGGCGTGAATTATGGCTAACTCTTCTCCAGCTCCGTCACTTTTTCTACATCGCTCTTGACCAGACTATGATCTTCGAGCGCTCATCCGACCCGGCTGCCGGCCATGTGATTCTCGCCTGAGAGATCAGAGTACACTACTTCGGCTTGCCGACCACGACTGTGAAGACTATTCGACTCTGCTTTCTGAAGTCCGGTGGCATGTTCTCATAAGGGCACAGCAGTCGAGAATTTGCGCTGTACGAAGATCCTGAGACTGCTAGAAAGTATGAGCATGCCATCAAGTCTGGTCTCGAGCCATACAGTATCGAGTGCAATGTGCAAGGAAGCTCGGTCGCACCAGACATTGGTCCGAACACCACGATTTCCAGTCTTGAAGCTTTTGGGAGACTGAAGCTACTCGCCAGCTTTGTCTAATCTGTGTCTTGGAAGCTGAATATACTCTGGGTCGAAAAAGCCTGTCGCCAAATAACCAACTTTCACTCTTCTCAACTACAGTGACAACGTCGGATACAGTTGTATCAGCTGAGTCGATAGTCTAGGTCTACTTGATATCCAAAGAGAGTCATTGACTTGGATGAAGCAAGAAGAAGATTGTACCGGCCTCTTGGTCACAAATCCCACCTTCCGCACTTCTCGGTCGTGTCATCAGCTTGGTCTCAACGAGGAAGAGAGGTCCTCGGCGAGACTAGCGTCAGACTAATCAGAGAATCAGCTATCTCTTCCTCCTGCGATCACTTGCTGAACGCTGCAAGTATGTGCGTGTGGTGGATACTTGTCTGTTTGCGCTTCTCGAGCTCTTTGAAGGTTGTGGATCTGCGTATGATATATCAATAGCATCAACCATTACATCTATCTCTGCTTCTTTGTGGCAGGATCATGTTACAGAGGTACTCACGCATCGTGAGACATGATTTCTGATAGTCTCGTGACTCTGAAATGCCAGTTCAGCATCTCGGCGTGCGACATCGATATTCATGTCGGCAAGTAGTGAAAATACAATCGCCTCTCACACCGAGAGCTAAGCCTTTTCGGACCATCTATGTCGTCGTGCCCATTTTGAAAATTCCGTCTGTGAAGGTAGAGATTCAAACAAGCGCGTTCGCTTTCCATCCATCTTCCTTTTGCGCACATCCATCACGCGAGTTGAGCAACATACCATCAATCATCAACTCTACCACCAACATTCAGCATCCATCATCATCAACTACCATGGCCGACCACCAGAACGAAGGAGGTCCCAGCAAGAAGCGCACCCATGCTGCCATGATCGGAGCCAAAGAGACTGACGTCGTTCAAGAAGACGTAAGCACTATCCTACTGATACTCGCGACTTTGCTGACGACCAGGCTCAGGTCGCTCGCCCTCAGGCCGCCCTTACCTCCACCCACTCCGACCACACTGTCGCTGAGCGCGACCTTCTCATCCCTGATCAGCCCGACGTCCTTCCCGCCACCACCCAGCCTGCCGACGACGACCTTGCTGCCATCACTGAGGATCACGACGATGACATGAACGTCGATGAAGTCGATCGTGGAGTTGTCGGCGAACCTATTCCTGAGAAAGGAGAGAGCATTGATGTCACTGGTGCTGGCGGTGACGAGGTTGCTGATGCCGAGGACGACGGTGAGAAGGGCAATGAAGTCGGAGAAGGAAATGAAGACGGACAGGAGGCTGCCGATGAAGAAGACAGCATCAACTACCCCGTCGCCCAGCACGTGAGTACCTATCTTGTCCCCTATCCACCACTTCCTGCAACAACACCATTTCTTCTACAAACCTTACTGACACAGATACAGACCGCCAACGCCACAGTCGTCCCTGGCCGTGCACGTCAGCCCGGCGAGTGGACTCCTGAGCTTCGTGCAATGGCACGCCGCGAGCTCCGCTCTGTCCGCCGCCGGATCGAGCGCGAAGATCGTCAGGCTGCCGTAGAATGGGGCACCATGCTCTTCGCGCACGCCGCTGCAGTTTCTGATCGTGAGCGCCGTGACATGATCTCAGAGCAGACTGATGCTGATGAGGAGAGTGAGGACGAGGAGCAGGATGCTTGAGGGGAGGGCAAGTCGCAGTCGTGAGTTCGCGAGGGATAGAGGGAATGATCTGGCATCAAGGCACAACGAGCCTTTGCTGTCATTCTTCATTATAACATGAGGACGTTTCGATACAATACACAAGATATTCATGTTCGATCGTGGTGTTCATCTGAGTACTTAAACCGTGTGATAGCATCGGGATCTATATGTTCTCTGCAATATGATATCCCACAAACACCTCAATGTTCGTGAAACACGATCCTGTCACAAGCAGTGAAGACATCGACAATGTCTTACAAATCAATAGCTAAACCTCTATTTTCTATTGACGAAGCCCTATTGAAAACTCCGTTCGTATTGGGTATTTGAGCACGCTTGTTTGGCTTTACCTCCCCAAATTCCTTTCAACTTTCCACAACCTTCCTCACGCAACCACGCGAACACATCGGCAGCTATCGTCTACCTCATCATCAAACATCATCATCAAGCATATTTGTCAAGTCATCCACCACCATGGCAGACGAACGCAGCAAGGCAGAAACCATAAACACCAGAAAACGCTCTCACGCCATCATGACTGGTGTCTTCAACACCAACATCGCTCACGAAGACGTGAGTACCCATGCCCCTAACAGCGCACCTACTCAACATACCTCTGACGATCAAGCTCAGCACACTCGCACAACCAGAGTCTTCGATCGCTCCTCGGCCATTGCATCTCCTGACAACAACAACACCGAGGCAGGTCATAGCCTTGGCGCTCCCTCTCGCCAGATCGACATGGATCCCCGTATCATTGAATCAGCTGCTAAATTTCTTGCTGCTGTTGACGAAGATCAAGACGACAGCATGATTGTCGATGAAAATCACCATGGACTTGCCAACGCATCTGTGTCCGAGGGAGGTGATCGGACTGCCGCCGCTTCTGGAGCAAATCACGAAGGCTACGATGCCGAAGACGAGGCAAGCAATACCTCCGAAGAAGAAGGGGAGGGACAGATGGAAGCTGAGTCAGACGAAGAGACCAAGGCGAAAGAGGAGAATGACGAAGAAGAAGAAACCAACCGTCCTATGGCCCGAGGTGTAAGTATCTACCCTTCTTCCCTGTTCAGAGCTTCCTACAGCATGTCACCCACGTCGAGGACTCTACTAACACCACTACAGACCAGCATGCACGAGGATGAGTTCTTTGAAGAACACTGGGACATTGAATTCCATCACGTTTCCTCTCTTGAGGAAGTTGGCCACAATGACGAGCATGAAGCTGAAGAAGAGAGCGATGCCGTCGAGATGAAGGAGGAGGAGGAGGATGAGGAAGACGAGGAACAGAACTTCGTCGACCACTCCGCGGATCTCGTAAGTTACCCATTTTTCCCCGCTCTACTCACAAAACTTTACTGACACCGTGACAGACCAGCAACATCGATGACTTGTACGACGATGGATACGAGGCATCGTGGATCGCCGCGATCCGCTCTTGCGCAACGGGGTTCACTGGCGAACACGCGCCTGCGCTCGAAGATTCCGACAGCGACATGGATTATACGGAGGATGGCAACTACGACGACGCATTCATCTGTGAGTAAGATGGCTGGGTCGCTGCCATGACTCAAGAGCACTACGGAGTTGATGAGGGCGAGGCCAGAGCTGATGCCGGTACCGAGGAAAGCCTCGAGGGAGCGATCGAAGCTGAGGAAGAAGGCGAGACAAACGTCAAGGTGGAGGACGAAAAGGAAGAAGAAGACGCTGATGAAACCGAAGAAGAGGAGAGTGATCAGGAGGAAGTTGGAGAGGAGGTCTTCAGCCGCGGCCGCGTAAGTTCCTGCCTTTGACCTTGCCTACTGCTTTGGCTACTGACACTGCCCGGGCCCTTGCTGAGTGGGGCGAGATGCTCTTTGCCCACGTCGCAGCTGTTTCTATGCGCGAAGACGGGAACAAGAACGAGGACGAGGATGAGGAAGAGTAAGTCAACACTGATGGGGGGCGATGACAACGGAAAGATTGAGAGAACGATTGCGGGTCAATCCAAGAGCCGCATCTAGGTAGACTGACCCACTACCACCAAGATCCACTCATGTATTGGCCTTAAAAGCATAAGCTACATTGATAATGCCAACGATGATTGAGGTTGATCGAGGTGTCTCTCGAAGGTGATGTCTTGTCTGTTCAAGAGTTGTGTGACTTGGGTATGCAGCCTCGAGGAGTCATCGAGAGCAATGTCTCAGTGTCATGAAGGAGTATCCGGCCCGGAGATGATGGAAACACGAGAAAGAAGAGGAGACGAAGTGCAGAGTCAACGGGTAGGGCTGGTGATGGAGCGTGGTGGGATGCAGGGTGGGTTGGTGGCTACGTCAATCTGGGCCCGTGCATGGACAATTGGCTTTGATTGTGGCAGTTGCAGCTTCCATGTCTAGAGGTTGCAACACACACAGACAACAACAACAAGACCAGACGACGACACGAAGGAAGGTGCGACTCAGGCGACAGCGTGTATATATCCCTTGGAAGCCTCTGCCTCTAAATCTCCGCTGGACATCCCATCGCATACATTTCAATGGTATCAACACGACGAGCGCAGGCAAGCGCGACTCCTCCGACCACGCCGTCAGCAGAACGACATGGCCAAGTTGCAATCCCCCACTCTGCGCCCGGCAGTGGCATCAAGATGAGCAAAGAGCTGCGACGTCTGACCATCGACGCCAATCCCAGTCTTGGAGGAGTCGCTTCTTCGTCAGCAAACACCAGAAACACACGCCGCAGCCGAGTGCGACAGGAACTGTTACCTCCCGCAGCAGACTCTACACAAGCGCCAACACATTTGCTTCCTGATGGAGGAGTCTTGCTCACGCCATCGCCTTCGGACTCGCCAGCTTCTCCCCATCTCGTTACTGTCACTGAGCGAGTGCCGTCTCCTCCCGCTGGCAAACAATCTCAGACCAGCAACCCGCAGCCTGCAAAAAAGTCTCTCATTCTTACCATCAAGTCGCCCGTCCTTGCTGCAAAGGCTGCTGGAAAGCGCAAGATTACACAGTACTTTACTGCTATGCCACAACCATCCCAGACCAACAAGCGTCGCAAGATTGACAACGATCAACTCGATCCTCCTGCTCTGCAAACCGCTGCGAGCGTCCCGGAACCGTCTGTCATTACACCTGTCGCACTACCAACAGCTTCCAGTGCTCCTGAGCTTAAGGCAGAGACCTATGAAGAGTTGGATCAGAACACATCAAGTCAATTGGAGGAAACAGAGAGCGTCATTAAAGTGGTACAAGTCCCGCAAAAGGACAAAGAGCCAGACAAGCCTCATGATACAGATCAAGAGCAGCCTTACATGACGGCAGAAGAAGATCGCCATCACAATGACGAGCAAGATCCCAGAAAGAAGGAAGAGGAAGAGAAAGTGGCCCTCAAGAGGGATCGAGAGTTGAAGCGTCTGCAGATTGATGCAAAGCCTGCTCTGATTGACAAACGATCGAGGCGGCAAACAACCCTCCCCCCAGCACGACAAGAAGACGCAGATTCGAGACCTGCAAAGCGTCAACGTCACAGCCTGCCTGCTCCAGCATCTGATGGTCCCTCAAACACAGTCGTTGGGTCGACATTGAATCCTGTGCATGTGCTTGAAGAAATCTCCGAAACGGCTCCTGACCCTACTCCAATTTCGACTTTGATCGAAGAGGCAAAGGCCACTCCACCCGAACCCAACCCTCCGGTCTTCCCTGCCGGCACCAATCCCAAATTACTTGCATCAGGCGAAGTCAACGACGAATGGTTGACCCAATGGCTGGGCTACGTCGCCCATATCACTGGCGACGAAGAAACCTCCAAAATCCTGGCCGAAGAAGACGTCAAAGAACTCATTAAACCAGACCGCAGCGAGGAATCTGATCAAGATCGGCAAAAGAGAATCAGCAACGAAATGGACATGGTTGCGGGATGGAACGTCGTTGAGCCACAACAAGAAGCCATTCAATCTAGTCCTGAACAAGCTGCTCCTGTCAAACCTCCGCCAAAGAAGAAGAAGCAGAGGTTCAATCCCAAGCCAAAAGGTCAACCGTATATCCCAAAAGCAAAGAAGAAGGCCCAAGAGCTTGCAGCCAAAAAGTTGGCAAAGAAGCAAGCTGAAGCAGAGGCTGAAGCAGAGGCTGAAGCAGAGGCTGAAGTCACACAAGAAGCGACGCCAGTGGATACCACAGCAAACGCAGAGGCGGAACATGTTCTAGAGCCAGAGCAACCAGCTCCAGTGCAAGAAACAGTGGCACCAACAGAGGCACCAACGGACTGGCTGACAGATCTGATGAATGCTACCGAACCGGCCAACACAGATGGAGAGCAGCCGAACAAGACGAAGAAAAGCAGCAAAGGGAAAGGCAAGGCCAAAGTCATTTGAGCAGCCGAGGGATTTCTCTTTTGTACGAGTTGGAAGGGAAGGAGGAAGGTTCGATCTTGCTCGCATGAATCGCTTTGGATTGCATTGTTCACGAGCATTGGCATCATGGTTTAGCAGTGGCGTTACTGGCGAGCGTTGAAATCATCGATAGCATGCAGACTTCTAGTCATTTTTACCAATATCAAAGCATTTTTGTGCATTCAATCCTGTTGACTGTGGCTTTTGCTCTTTTGTACTCGTGAGGTCTTGGAAGGATGATTTCGAGGTAGGCAGTACAGCATTTGATAAAGCCCATATCTCTACATGGCATCCTAGTCGGAGGCAGCACTCCGATTGTCTTTGGTCGAGTACGAGAAGATGGTGTCGTCGAGGGGGGAAGAGAGTCGGGTCAAAGTTGGCCAAAAGATGTTTCCCGAGTGACAGAAATGCTGACTCGAATGCATCGAGGTTCTTCCCCACAGTCATCTATACCAGTCAACCTGCGAAGTTATGCCCAACTCATCAACGACTCCTTCACGTCGCAAGCTTGCAGAAAAAGCGTCGCAGACATGGACTTTGACGACGAACTCATCGCCAAACTCCATCAACCCTCTGCCCGCACACCCACTCCACCGCCCTCAGCCCTCCCTGCCACTACAACAACATCAACACCGTCCCACCAAACCCCCACAACAACCACCACCCCTTCCCACACTCGCCCCTCAACAACCATCAAAGACGCCGAGACCTACTACATCAAACCCATCCCCTCAGGCCTCCGCGGTTCCTCACTCACCCATCTACTCTCCCTCTGCCACAACCACACCCTCCACAACGGCTTCGACGTGGTAAAAAAAGCAGGCGTGAAACCCACCTCCCAGAAAGCCGGTCGCAAAACAATCCTGCCCAATGCCGCATACTACAAATGGCACATCGCCTGCGTGCTCGGCGGCAAACCAAAAAACACGCGCCACCTCACCGACGAACAGCGCAAACGCGACAAGAGCAGCCTGAAGCAAGGCTGCAGCTCTCGCGTCTGGGCTTGGGCGGTGGAAAAGGAAAACCCGGATGGTGCGTGGGAGATTCGCTGGGGAGACACCGATCCGGCGATTCACAACCATCCGCCTGTTGATGTGAGGACGTTGCCGAATCATCGTAGGCGAGCGAGAGAGGTGGAGGGTGTGCAGGTGGCGATCAGAGAGTGTGCGGAGCGAGGGATGAAGAGGAAGGAGGCGTTGATGAGGTTGAGAGCGTTGTTCCCAGAGGGATTGTTCAGTGATAAGGATGTCGCTAATGAGTTGCAGAAGTTTAGGGTTGGTGGTGGGGGTGAGGGACAGGATTTGGACGTCGGGGTGCAAGAGGTCGATGGGGGCCAAGAGGAGGAGGTGATGGTGGATGTTGGTGATGATGGAGATGAGGGCGATGAGGTAGAGGCGCAGTTGCAGGTGCAGTTGCAGAACCAGACGAGATCGGTGCAAGGGGATCAGCATCACCAGCAGCTTTTGCAACAACAGCAGATGCTCCAACAACCTCGGGAAATCCATCAACAAGCTCTGCAGCAAAATCAGCAAAATTTGCAGCAGACTCAGCAGCAGCATCCGCACCTCTTTGCTCCAGGTGTTCCTGCTTATTGGTAGGGCAGAGCTGGAGACGACGTTTCTCGCTTCGCTTCCTCTCTACGATCAAATTTCTACTACTGGACCAACACACCACTTCCTACTAGCTTCTAAATGTCGTCCACGGCATCGTCCAGATTGCAAGCCATGGACCTCTTTTGCTCTACGGCTTCCTCGAAGGACCCAATTTCGGTTTGACGGTCAACAGTACCAAGTCATCGTGACCACTATTCGTCGTTCACAAGTATCGATTGATTGAATGGGCTTCTGGTCACGGATTTCAACTACCAGCTGACCTGTCTTTCGGTTGCGATATTTGCTTGCTTGGTCAATTGCACCTTTCCTGGATTTGGCAACGGTGACTCGGGAAGGTCTTATCTCAATCATGGTCCATCACTCTACCGCTGAACTAAGGACATAGCAATCGAGTAGGTCTGGACTTCTGGACAACACCCGAGAGTTCCTATCCACAGTGTTAGCCTGAGCCATGTCCGGGCAGCTGGTATCCCAATCTGTCTCGGCTTCTGAGGACCTCGAGACCGGCGACCCGGTCGAAGGTTGCTACCGCGGCGTCTTCACGACATACTGCGTCGACGGCATATATCTCGCTTTCGGGCTCCCCATACAGACGAGACTCTTCGCTGTCTGGGCGTCCACCAAGTCTACTCATGCAGTCGAGTATCTATGATTCCTCGTCTGTATGGTCACTGCTCAAGTCTCACAAAGGCAACAATGCCCCAAAGCTCTTTGTGCATTGTTTGTCCTCCGCTGCTGTTCTTTCAGCATTGTGTTACTACTTTGTGAGCTTGCTATGCGTTTGGTGTTTCTTTGTCGATTGTTCGCTAGAACTGGAAGTATTTAGTCGACTCAGTCACCGCTCGAGATGCATATCACCAGAAACACCACTCTGACCAACACAACTGACAAATCAACCTAACAAACACCAGAATCATGTCTTGCAACAACGACTCATATGACTTCGACTCTTCCAGTGACGCTGAGATGATTGGCTACCCATCATCTCCGTTATCCCCGATCCAGCACCCCGTCGCTAAGTCTCCACTAGTTGCTCAACCTTGCAAAACACGCAAGTCGGGCGGTAGCCGCAAAGGCGCGTTTCGAATGACCAACATCCCTCTCCCCTCCCACCTTTCAGCCAAGGAAATCTTCGAAAATCACCCAGACCGTCTCCACAACAATAATCTTCTGAAAGTTGCACTACACTACGACAACTCTCAGCTCTACGAGAAGTTGTGTGCACTCGGATTTGTCAAGCAGACCCTCCGTTACCGTATGAGGAGTGCTATCAAGTGGATCGAGTACGAATTCAAGATCAGCAGCGGCGCTTTTGGGATTGCTTTCAATCGTGAGGCTACTCGCAACGGGGTTTATCGACCTGTTCACGAGAATCCAAGGGACGACATCATACTTGCACGCAACGCTGCCAAAATCAGCGAAGCAATGGCTTGGGTCAAGAGAGGTGGATCACGAATTCCTACGACTTCACCTTCGCCAAAATCTCGTACTGTCGCTGCTTCCGTCTTCACAAATGACAGCAAAGAAAATGAGGCCGAACCCACAGCGGCATCTATATTCCACAAGAAACTGGATCAGGCTCAAGTGTCAAAGACTTATCCTTGCCCGCACCCTTACTGCAGCTGCACTTTCACTACCGCGAATGACAACTACAAACACATTTGTGAAGTTCATTATCAAGCATCTGAGACTTTGGTCCAGCGCGCCAAAGCTCGTCAGATTGCTGGGCCTCTCGGTTGGGTGGAGTTGCCTTGATGTTCTTTGCTTTTCGCCATCCAACATTCGTGCAGGTACACGAGGCTTGACTCCATAGACTAATTCATTTTTTTCCTTGCTTTTCTAACATTTTTCTTCTTCCCCTTCTCCAAATCCTATCGTTCTTTTTCGTGTCCGCGTGAGTGAATGAATACCGTGTTTCTGTATCTATCCTCTTGTTGTATTGCTATACTTGTCTCTTGATCTCATTGTTTGTTGAGGCGGCAGGATACACAGCCTATGCTGGTGCAATTCTGGCAAGCGGACCTCGAGCAAGGTCTCACCTCTCGTCAAGAGTGCTGCAAGCGTCGGTAGTCTCGAAAAACGTCCAGAAAAGATCTCTGCCAATGATCCTTCGACACTGAATATATTTTGGAGAGCAAAAAGTAAGCTGGAAAAATACAGCAAAAGAACACTGATTCTGCCCGAGCTGTTGTTTCCAAAATTCTAGGAAAAACTTTTTCTGGTTTCAATGTCTCAACATCCATATTTTGCTTAGGACAGAAAGAGACCTGGGAAATGGCGAAAACGATGATTCCAGCACAACCAGCGATCGAACGCTAACCGAAACACATCGCGCAAAACAGACAAAACAATGATTCCGCTGAGGCTCGAACTCAGGACCGCCTGTGTGTTAGACAGAAGTGATAACCAACTACACCACAGAACCAATTGTTATCAAAAATTCTGAAGTCATGAAATATAACCTGCATGTAAAGAGCCTCATCGAGCCTATATAAATCCCCTCCAATCTCATCAGTTCACCATCCTCTCACACAATGTTGATGTCGCTCATAAATAAAGACAAGATGTACCGAGTGAGTTTTGCTATCGGTCCGATCCTCGAGGCTTAGCGTCAAAAGTCCTCCATGTAGAGTTTACAGCAATCACTTTAGCTCTTGCGTAACACTCGATATCTTTGGATATCATAGCCTGCACAATCCATTGCTTCCTACCGGATAGGTCTCTCGGCCTCTGTAAGATACATGAGAATCAATTTCAATCACTCCGCTTCCGTTCTCTTAAGTAGGACGTCGCTCTTGCTCGAGTCTTTGTGTTTACACGCCATACATACAAGTACCTCCCCGTTTGTAAAGCTGGCAACACGTACAGCCATGGAAATACATGGTAACTTCAAGAGATGAATGAGTCCCAACGAAAAGCGACATCAACTCGAATCTCTTTTGATACGCCTCTACCATGAAAGTGATCGTGCATTTCCATAGTCAATGTTTCACTCTATACCCCCGTTGAAGGAATATAGGAGGAGTAGGGGTGTTTCGAGATCTAGCATACGGAAACGAATTAGTGCAAAACAGAAGGCAATGATAGTTGGAACGAGTAAGTCGGGCGTTGATTCCGCTACGAATTTGATTCCCTGCTACTGCAGCAGTACCCTATCTCCTGTGATTTCTCCTTTGCTGCCTTTCTAGCAAGACGGCGATGACCTCAACACACTCATCTGAAGTAATTATAACGCTCCTCGATTCTTGAGATGATCGCACGTCCCAAGATGTCCTCGACGCTCTTGAATCTACCCGGCTCCACAACCTTGAGGACCTTGGCGAATGCCAGCATGCGCAGGTTGCCAGCGTCAAGATACCAAGCCTCGTCAAGGGTACTGATAGCAAAGTCCTCGAAGTTCTTGTCCCGAGAACGAGTGAAGCAGTAGGGGGTTGCGAGAGGGCCGGCAGCGAAGGTAGCCAGGACCTCGGCGTTGGCGAAGGAAAACGAGGCCGTGATGTTGACGCAGGACGTAATGTCTTCGAAGATGGTCCAGCAAGTCTGCAAGAGGGCAAAGTGGTTGTACTTGATGTTGTCCAGTGTGTAGTTGTGGATGCGAGAGTGGATGTTGTGGCGGCGCTGCTGTCTGCGCTCGCCGATCTTGTACATGTGCGACTGGGTCTCTTCGTGGAAATCACCAGTGCTGAGAACGAGGCCCCAGATCTTGATGCGTAGCTCGAGAGGAAGTGTGAACAGCAAGTTCTTCTTCTCGGGCGTGACGGGAACGACAGCGTCTGATCGGAATGTCAACGGAGTCAGAAAGGCATTCGCGCATGATTTGCCCTTACCGGTCTCGTTGACGCTTGAAGTTGAGGGCTCATCGTCATCGGGATCGTTTTGAGTTGGGTTCTGATCAGGTAAGTCAGCAACACCGTCAAGTTGTCTACAAGGGCACGAAATTGTTCACTTTTGTGGCCTTCTGGTCAACGCGGGCACGACCTGCATGCTTGCGAGGGGCATTCTTCTTCTTCTTCTTGGGTGCCATTGTTGCGGCAGAGATGATTCTGACAAGGTGTGAAGATGGTCCAGCGTTCTTGAAAGAGTTGAAAAGTGGTCGCGGGCGTGGGAGAAAGTGGTAGGTGAAGAGTCCGCTCGACGCACCACGCAACGCCAAGGATACACGACGAGCAGAACTACGACACTGCTCGACACAATGAATAGCCCGGTGGTCTTCGTTAAGTACACGTTCGTCAGTTGCCTTTTCTGTTTCCGAGAGACGAGCACAGAGAGTAATAGAGGAAGAGTCTGATCTGTGAGGACAGCAGCACCAAGAGCATTGTATACCTTCCCAGTCTTCTCGCCCTTCTTCTCAACGACCACCTTCTCAATGAGCACCACTGTCGACAAAGCTTTTTGCCACTGGCGAGGGACTAGTCCAACATGCTCTCAATCCTCTCGATCATACTGCCATTGAACTACTGGGTCTGGTTGATAGGTGGTGATTGGTCCGCTCGACGCACCAGAAACACACGACAAGCGGCATGACAATTTCACTCGATGATACGAACTTGATTCGCTTTGCGTATCGATTGAATCACACGCATGCCTGATTCGCATGTTTGGAGAGGAGTCAACAAAGAAACGCAGGAGACGAATCTATCTCCTTACAACAGAAGCAGCAAGAGCTTCAGCCTACTCGCCAGCTGACAATTCTCTTTTCTTACCACACTGCCCTTTGGAGGAGAACCATCCACGAACTCCATGCTATCGACCAAGACCAAGAGCAATATACTCTTCGGAGTGAGTGATAGGTGGATAGCCTACTCGAAGCATTCCACAATACTCGACTACAAGAGGAGCAGCACGACGACACCGCTGGGTGCGATGAACAGATGACAGGTGCCATTCAGAATCGCAGCAACGGCTCATACCTTTTGTCTTCGAGTAACAAGGGAAGAAACGGTGGTAGAAAGAGAGTCTGGTTGCTGGTAACAACATCACTTATCGCCTCGAGTGTCTCGGGGACCTCATCATTCTCCTTTCACACTCATCGTGTCTTTCGTTGTGAGTAAAAACGCTCGACACCCAGGACTGAGTACGGCAGGCTCTTGATCTCATCTATGAATCTGGGTCTGAGATCATCGTTCGACGAGCGAACCTAGAGTTCAAGGTCGTCGATTCTGGTCAGAGAAACGAGCAGTGGTCCTACTTTAACTCGATGCCTAACACAGCGAACACTGCGACTGTCTCACAAAGAATCACATTGAACGTGTATTGTCTCGAGAAGTGGGACAAAGAAAAGTCGTGAGCAAAAAATCTACTCTCTGACAGCAAAAGTACCAAAGGACTTGAGTGTCTCGAGAAATCATCACCCTCCTCCTTTTCGGCCACATCCGCCTTCAGGACGAGCATTGTCAACAAGCCTTCTCCTGTTGACCGAAGAACTACTTCTGACACTGCAAGCACAGCTGACATTGTGACTACTCCTGTGGCTACTGACCTTTCCCAGTCCGCTGACCTCGCTGTTCAGGTAGGTAAACTCACGACCGATTCATACTACACAATGTGCAAATAGCGGTGCCCAAACTTCCAGCACGACGAAGACGCGCAAATGTACAACATCCGGCACAAGATCAAGACCTTCCTCTATTGCGGAGAGGGAGAAGAAGAAAGACCTGCGCTCGATATTGTAGGTTCCACACCTCTGTGTTTTGACCACAACTCGGCTGACGCCTAGGTGCAACAGGGCAGACGGCGATTCGGACCAAGGCAATTGCAACGGGGACTCGGTTGATCCTACCGGCACCACGAGAGGTCAATGTAAGGAGCGTGTAACCATCAACTCCTTCCATAGCTCACCAGCCCCCAGTCTCAGTTATGCCGGGCAGAACTCTTTGTGCCTTACAGTCCACTCTTGAGACTCGCAACGACCACTTTGACGTGCTCAAGGACCTGAACCCCCGTTATCACACAACTGGCTGAACGCCCTTTCGAGAAGTACGAAGCACCTCGGAGTCTCTGAGAGGTCGCTCGCTGGCTCAGACATCCAGAAGCTTTTTGCCTGGGTGTTCTGACAATAAGGCCAGCCCGGCTATCAGGCTGCATAAATAGTTGAGACAGGCCAACGACTTCATGACAGCCTCATCCAATTTTCCAGCCTAACGCTTCTCGGTGATGACCACTACTTTGCCACCTCTGGTAGACACTCGGGCAATCCGCTCGGCGAGGAAGTCGACTCGTTCAAAGCTGTCTTTCTACATGATACTTCTAGTTAAGAGGGAGGCATTGGAAGAGGAATACTGGGGCTTGAGGGTGCAAAGAGTCTTCCATTCTCATATTCTTGCACTGGGGACTTGTCTGATCAACCGCAGTACGTGGGGGTGGAACACTTGTATAGTAGCTTTCCTTTGTTGGATGGGTTCATCAAGGTCTATGGCGTGAATATCACAAGTACGAGCGAAGTGACATGGTAGTTGAGCCTCTTTGAACCGTTACGTCTTGCCCCATAAACGTCTCTCAGGCTAGCCTTCTCCCTTGCCGACTGCCTCAATCTCTACTTCCTGCGGTGCGTTCATGAGGCTCTAGTTAAGAGTGTCTGCGCGAAGGCCTGCCAACGAGTGACTGCATCTTGGAACACTCCATTAGGAATTTCCTCCTTGCCGGCGCTGTCGATGAGCTTGACGGTGGTAGGATCTTCCAGGGTAGCTCCGAGCCAGCCAACCGTGCGCATGGGTGCATCCCAGTCATTGCGGCGGTTCTCGATACAAATCTTGATGCTCTTTGCCTTCTGCAGCATGAACAAGATCCGGTCGTCGATCTTGTCTCTTGCTTCTCCAGGGTAGCCACTGCGGTAGCCCAGGAAACCTTCAAGGGCAATGGTGGATGTGATCTTGAAGGAGAGCTCGGACATGGCGCCAGACTCCTGGATCTCGCTTCTGATCTGTTTGGAAGTGGCGAAGAGAGAGAAGTGGTTGACTGTGAAGTCCACCAGGGCGAATCTGTTGTAGCGAAGGAGGGTTGAATCGTAACGCAGGGCACGACGCTGGCCAATCCCGAGTTCAGGCGAGGCGAGAGCATGGCGATAGATCATGCGACGGACTTCGAGAGGAAGTTCCAGGAAGGGGAAGGTCTTGTCGTGTGCAGACATAGGAGTAGAGTGCTGTTTAGTGTTAGTGTCATGCCTGAGAAGTGTCTCCAGCAGTGGTCAAACTCACCTTGTTGGTCTTGGTCTTGTTGCCCTTGATAGTCTTTGCCGTGGCTTTGGGTGCGGCCTTATTCTTCTTCTTGGGCGGCATTGCGAATAACGGTGCGCGAGCAGGATGTTCGCGTGTGCTGGTTGCGACGTGCGCGAAGGGAAGTAGCAAAAGAGGTGTGATCGAAGCGATGGTCAATTACAATGTTCTTCGCTCGAAAATTTCGCCTGATCGATCGGACGTCAAGAAACGAGCTCTGGAACGTATTTTGACCCTGGGCCTCCACTCAGCACCATCAGTTTCCCTGCGAATACAGCGCCGACTGGAAAGAGACCAGATCGAGCCACTTCTTCTCTACAACATCTTTTATCTCCCTTCATGCTATGTATTGGAAGGGGTTTACACTTAGCACACTACGATGGAAGAAGTATCATGTGCAGTATTCACTCAGAGGAAGAGAGCGGACGACACATCGGGACTCGAGTCGATACATGTTCGTGGTTGATACAGCAGAACAAGGGATAGGATGTCTGCCTTTCAAAACTCGCCGCAGACACATTTGGTCGCTGCTGTGAGCATTTTCCGCAACAATACACCGCAAGAAAGCAAAGAGTCATCTAAACACGAATGCCTTGTGGTTCTGCTGCATTGAGCTGAGCTAGAGCATATCATCAAGCCTCTCAGGCGTTATAATACTTTCCATCGATCTAAAGAGTAAACCATGATTGCGTCTCCAATCTTCATATTGCGCCCCATAGCCAGAATCACCTGTGCCACTGACTCGTTCTCTCCTAGATATTGAGGTCGAAAAACGACTGCCAGATCATTATGACACTCGGCACATAGTCTGGACTCGAGGAACTCACGACTCTGAGGACCGAGTCCGACCCCCTTACGTGGGAGCCTTACCGGAGCAGCTGTCGTTGCTGGAAGGCCGAGCGTCGGAGAATACACAGGTATCAGGGTGGTTGACTGCTGAATAGGCAGGTCAGTGTGCGGAAGGTGGGTACACAACTGTGATCTTGAAGACACGAGCACCTGTGTGCTTGCTGCCGAGCTCCTTGAGCTTCTTGGACTTCATGGCGCCGACGGCAGCACAGAAGAATTGTGCTTTGAGAGAGCTTGGATTGTGGTGCGATGTGGGAGTTGAGGGGAGGTGGAAGTATTCAGCGTCGAGGATGTGAATGTTTGGGATGTGAGATGACCAGGCGCAACGTCTGACGTGATAGTGTATCGGTAGCATTCGCTGATCATATACTATAGTGATTGATTTGCCGGCATCAATTGGTTCTGTGGTGTAGTTGGTTATCACTTCTGTCTAACACACAGGCGGTCCTGAGTTCGAGCCTCAGCGGAATCATCTTTTGCCGTCTTTTGGCATGTCTTCCACATATCTTTGACGAAGGGAGTCAGTCTTATGTGGTTGTAAAAACTCTACGACTTTTTTCGGCAGGTGCAGATGTGGCTTCCTGAATTTTCGCGGCGCTCACGCTGACTACCGCCACCAATACACTCATGCACCACTCGTGGTGCTACAGTATTCTTGATACTAATAACTTCGGTTAAATCAAGAAGAATTCATCTGAGAGTTGTCGAAGATTTCGGCTTACACCCTGCAATGTTTATGTGCGTCTACCACTTCATAAACAAAGGCCGAGACAAAGACACTGTTACCTGAAAGGCTCAATTGATGCTGGTGGAAATGAAAGAAGTGAATCAGCTCGTTTGAGCGTCGTAAAACTGGAGTCGTGACACTGCACACCTATCTGGACAAAACAGACTCGCTGAGCAGATCGTGCTTGAGCGTCTTCCTTTGGGGGCAGCTTCTCAGTGCCACCCCTGAGGATTAACCCTCGAGTGCTTCTCCATATCGAGATCAGTCTTGTCACGCTACGTTTGTAGCAGTGGTAAAAGTGAAAATGAGCTTATCCCAAACTTGGTCTACCGAATAGACTGTGCATCTCATAGCTGTCCGTGAGATACATATTTGTACATGGGAAGAACACAAGTGAATCTTACCAATATATCTACGTGAAGTTCCACTGTTTTGGGCGTGTCGCATCAAAGACTGGATGATCAAGTCACTTTGTTGTTGCGTATCTCCACCCAAGCTTTCCATCACTTTACCAAGACACCACAATGCACCACCCAAGGTTGGCTTCAACAGAACCTCCTCTTTACCATCTTACCGACACACTCTCAGACTTGGGGATCTCTCGAATCTTTTTCATCATCTCGAAAAGCGATTATCAGCTATCTAAAGCATATGGCTCAATGGACTTCGATCCTGAGTTCATCACCAGCTATGCTGCGGGGTCTGCAAGACCCGTCCAACAAGCGCGTAACTTCTTGCGCTCTGGTCAAGTTTGTACTAACGCCTCGCAGAAGACCAGAGCGGGCATTGGTGTTCGCACCACCATCATGTTGCGCAACATCCCCAACCGCGTCGACTTTGAGGACATGAAGCAGTTCCTCGATGAGACTCAAGAGGGTCACTACGACTTCCCTTACCTGGGTATGTTTCTTTGATGATTCCCACGGCTTCTTATCAAATCTGACAAGTATGAGCTAGACAATGTTCATCCCTCGAGTCTCACCTGATTGGACTCAGATGAATTCCCTACTGCGAGACTCAGTCTACTGATGTCCTCGCCGCCAAGAAGGGCAGTTCTGGCGACATGATCAACCCTGATGTTCAGATCCATACCAAGACCCGCGTCAAAGCAGTCCACAAGTTCGAGAACGTCTACTACACCAAGACTCAAGCCAATGGACACTACAAGTTCATGAGAGACTAGTACACTATCGTGCTACTTCATTGCGAGGTCACTACCTGTGTCTCTGTAAGTACTCATCCATCAACGACTGGGTCAGTTACTAACAGATCCAGAACACTACCCCTTCCTTGCACAATCAGATGCAAACACAACGTTGCGCCGCAACTCACGTACAGTCTACTCTCTCTGCACTTTTCGGTGTCATTCTCGGCACTCTTTCTGGATCTCGTTCCAGTTAGTTAGCTACAATCCCAATCAACGCCCTGCTGCGAGTTGTGTACAGTCTTCACCCTTGCTTTTGTCTGTGCTGCCATCAGTACTCATTCTTTATTCTTTCCTTTTCCTATGAAGTGAAAATGGCTCCTTTGGCAAATTGGAGGTATGCGCTGAGAGTCGTAGTTCAGTGAGTTTTGTACGAAACATTCCTGTTGCCTAGACAGAAATGTGCATTTCGGAGGCTTGTTTCTGTTTGCGTCTTTCACGGTCTTGTGATGTCACTGATGCGAGTGATAGTAGTAGTGCGAAAGGGCGAGCCGAAACGGGTGTGCTACGGCCGGCTGTACTCGGACCGAGAAATGGACCATGAACTTCCGTCAAAATAAATGTTGATCAGTCAGCCGATCATATGTGAGAGTCACTTGAGCAGAGTTGGGCACTACCACCACTACATGGACCATGCTATGAGAGGTGGTCTATGGTTGACATTTCCTTGGGGACGTTTCTGGTCAAGGGGAAGAACGGTCAGCTAAATTCACCTCCGTCTGACTCATCAGGATTTCGACAACCGTATTTCAAGAGAACCACATCCTCCACAACGTGGCAACACTTAGTTCGGATTCTTCGAGCCCGACCCTTTCTCGCGACCGCATGTAATCGCAAACCTAGTTAGCATCGATTAGAGCACACACATGCCGTTACATCACATCATTCGTTGTTAATCATGCAAAGCCCGTACACCAAAGGAGAAACATTGACCCTCAAGATCTCTCGCCATGGAATCAAAGGATCAATACCTCAAATGGACGACCATATGAAAGAATTGCAGGTCCGAATCACCGATGTCATTCAACCTTCCATGATGTCGATCGTTCTCAAGGTCGAGCTGGAGCAACCAAGTACAGGAATCCCTGCCCAAAAAATGATCTTGAAAGTGTACGATCGCCAACACTCTCTTGAACTGCGCAAGTCCTTGAGCACAGGCCCAGCGACCAAAGCAAGCGAAGAACAGTTCGCTACCTTTTTGCGCGGGGGCCTCTTGCCTCCTTTTCTCGCAGAATGTGAGGAGAACGGAGCGTGGGTGTCATCGGTGTATGCGCAATGGGGTGTGGAGGGACGGGAGGCATTGGCTTACATGAAATCAACTCAGAGCCACGAAGTCGAGCTCAAGGTATACGAACAGCTTGTCGATATGCAAGGAGTCCACGTCCCAACTATCTTCGCAGATGTACGATTACCCCCCCAGCACGCCGCCATGGAGAAAGATGAAAGCCTCGCTCACTACACCGAAATCAGAGCCATTCTCATGGAACACATATCTGGGTTTCCCCTCAGTGATCTTGTCACAGAGGTGCCCGAGTCTGCCTGGGCGTCTGTATGTGACCAGGCGATCGAGATCATCAGGGAAATTGCTGAACACGACTTTATCAACTTCGATGTCAAACCCAGAAACACAATCGTTCGACCAAGCGAGGAAAGTCTGTACCATGTGTTCTACTTGGACTTTGGTGAGTGTTGCGTTCGCGACCCGTCAGAGTCAGATGGGATATGGCAGGAACGCAAGCGCCAGAGGAACGAAGAGGGAGCTGTGGGCTTCGTCATGATGAACTACATCTCACGTGCAAAGGGCAAGAACGGGCGTAAGTACAAAGGGACTTTGCCTTTGCCTTGGGAGTACAAACCTTCTTTACGGTTCCAGGGAGAGTCCGGCGGGCGTCGTGAGGATGGAGGCTAGGCGGTCAGGGTTAGCGGTAGACAGAGCTTCCATAGCCTTCAAAAAGCGAGCATGATGGAATTTGGTTGCTTGTTCTGCGCTCATATAATCAAGCCATGTATTCGTTGGTTAGCCTTTTGTCTGAGACCCTTCGAGTTGATTGGGCTTGTAGCTACTTCAGCCAATGTAATAAGACTAGTAGAGTAAAATACCGAGCAGAAACTAGCTAGTGATCTCATGGATAGTCTTGATGGCTTGAACAACGACGCTGGAACGGTATGGGTGTGATCAATGTCTTCGCCGACGACGCTAAGCTCGAAAGTTCCATTCAAGATTACAGAAAGCAAATAGTGTATGCTATACTTTGGGAGCTCGGTGATGCATCGCTTCCATGAGTGTTCCAAAAAGGGCATGACACGCAGGTCCCATCCTTGCTTCTATCTCCTTATACATCAAGACTTTGCGCCTTTCGTCGACAACCAAAACGACAAGCATCCTACTGCAAGAAAGCTTCGAAGCGCTGCATCAGCTCAGCATCTCCATCGAACAGAACGCTAACTCGGGCTGTCAAGTCTCCGGTACCAATTGTGCCTTGATAGTAGTCCTTTAGGATCCTGAGAAATTCATCGTAGACATCCGGCCGTGTGTCACGAACGTAATCGAGGTAGCCTATTGCGTTGTCGTAATTCGACTGGGGACCTGTAGTCTTTTGTGCGTGCGACATCTGTAATAAGCATTAGTTTCAAGTGTAGTGCGATGTCGAGAGATTCACCATATCGGATAAGCTGTTGTGCCGTAGACTTTGTTGGTTGATGTTTGGTTCGTTTTTGTCGGTTGGTAAATCTGGAAGCAGATTCGAAGTGGAGTGATATAGCTTGGTATCGCTGAGTCCTAGGATGGAAAGTCGAAACGGAACAACTGTTTGGACAAGCTTAAAACAGAGGATGCTGGGTAGCAGCTTGCGCTGAATGATATAATTAGGGATTTTTTGTTGAATGATAACCACGACCTTCGCCTTGTAACCTTAAAAAAGCGTTGCCTAACTTGGTAGCAGAATTATCGAGCCGCCCAATCAGAGGCGAGTCCATGCCGGCCCGAGTCCTGATCGCCGTTGAGGGTCCCGAAAGTCTATTATGCGTCTGCCTGATATTCAACGACCAGATAATTATAGCATTGAAGAACGTTATAGGATGACATTGTCTCTCTCGGTTCTTGAAGACTGCGCGCAAAGGCCATTCTACGAATACCTTCCCCAACTGACAAGAGTGAAATGGAGAATGTAGCAAGTCAAGCGTTTTATGCAACCGGATCTCATGAAGGATAGTTTCTGTTTGACAATATTCTATACACATCTTGTGGAAAGTGGATATAGAGAGTGGGACTGGAAGGAAGAGTAAGTCATCAAACATCGTGAAATGCTAGGACAAAGCACAAGGTGAATGAGAGATAGCTTTCATGTACAAAGACTAGCATGTTATTCAACCTTCGTCAGCAGATATCAGGTCTCTCAAAACTTCAAGCTCGGTATGCTTTCGATGATGGAAGCAATTGAAGGCACGAATTACAGCCGCTCTGACGAAATCAATCCCAATGTCGTATTGTATACCTTCGGGATTCGAAATTTCGGCGAGGTCATCTGGTGTCACTTGTGTAAGCGTCAATAATCATTGGGAAAACTCCTAGATCTCGAACTTACACCAGCTTTGATCCGCTTCCGGATGAGGGCTGATGTTTGCCACCCAGCCGCTACCGTAAGCATTCAGCGTGGCAGCGACATCGTGGTTTGAAGAGTATCGCGCGAGAACAATCGTTGGTGAGCCGTCAGATAGAATGATTGTGGCGCCATCTTGGAAATAGAGCCAGCGATTGTTGTCTTTAGTACCTCGTTTTTTGCTAGTCGAAAATGTCCAGTCGACTTGAATGACAGTATCTTCAATACCATCAACCTGAGAGTTCGGTCTCTCGATCTCTCTTACAACCCTGTCGCCCACGGGGATGAGACCAAAGCCTTGGTGTGGTCCTGCAAGAAAGGCACCAAGGCAGAATCCAAGGGAGATACCGCCGTTAGCAACGAAGGCGCGCACATCGGGGGCATACGATTTGGCCTCTTGCCATGCTCTATCAAGATCTATACAAGCTGCATTAGTATGCAGACATTGACAGCTCACTGTAAGGGGTGATCGGGACTGACATACCTGGGCCGCCAGGCTGAACGAAGATTTCCACCTGACCTAGAGTTTCGGAATTGATATGAGTTGCTTCGTCGGGGCCAGCGAATATAATGTCGATGGTCGGATAGGCTTGCTTGAGAAGAGTCTCGACCGACTCTGGACAACCCTCGCAGGCAGCTTTTCCGCGATATATCATTGCTCTCGGACGGTCATCATCCTTGTTCTCCAACGTCAGAGAAATACAAAAGTCTGCAGCTACGTGCATCACTATAGCGATCAGAAAGAATGGTAAAGGTAAACAAACTCTCATGCTAGAAGTTCTAGTAGTGACGTGGATAAAGAAAAGGCTTTGGTTGAGGTGCAACGAAGAGGTAGATAAGAAGGCCCGTAGTCACTGGCTTACAGTTCATAAGTAGTCACATCATGATCGTTGAACTGTATAACAGTCAGCAAGATGCAAAAGCACGGGTCAAGGCGATCCTTCTGGGTGTCAGTGGCTTTTTCAACGAGCAGATCCAACGGGTTTGGCTTTTTCGGGAAGCACTGGAATCCGAAGCTTGGACCAAAGTCCCTGGACGGTGCCAACGAACGAAGGATATTCTACTTCAGCTGAATTGTCATGAGGATCCTGATCCCGGTGCGACTCGTGAAGCACATGAAGCAACTGCTAATGACTGCACATCAAGCTTGCACGCTTTCGGAAGTGATAGGTTGTGCAAATATTCGCCTCGAATTGCGCACATGGTCATGCTCATAGATCCCAGATCAGTGAGTTACATCACAGTCGATCTGTCTTTGTTGTAGTTACTTGCAGAGATGATCTGTATCATCCAAGCTGGTGTCGTTATATGTAGGCCAGGCTTTTCTTTGTCTTCGATCTCGTTTACTGGCCATCGAACAAGAACAACCTCGCCCTATATAACCAAACGAGTACCAGTTCATCTCTGTCCCCTTACTCACGGGTGACTTGGGCTGTCAGCTGCCCAAGCTGCAGCCCATCTCTGTCGACCACATAGATCGCCTTGACACAATTGGTCTTGTAGAAGTCGAACCGAGAACGATGCTGGGCGGGCGACATGACGACTTCCACTAGTCTTGCATCCTCGGGCACATGACTTGCTTGAAGGCCAACCTTCGGATCAAGATCTGAGTTCCCTCGTCTGGCAATTTGCTCTTCGTGGTCAACGATGATTTGCAGATAAGCTGCGAGGTAGTCGGTATCAAACACACCCCTCAGGTTGATCTTTCGCAGAAGTGTAATACACCGCTGACGCACAGAGGAGGCGCGACACTTTTCAACGATGGTAGCCAAACAAGTCACAACCCCAGAGCCAAGCGTAAATGCTGGAGGCGTATGGAAACGATTGGTATGTTTCTTTTCACAGCCTTCGAAAACATTATAGTGCGGTGTTCTCGCGATATGTAACTTGACATACCGCTCGCAAAGACCAGTAAAATATTCGAACTGAGCTTCAAAGCGGTCGACCAGACAGGCATTCGCATCATGCCATGTACCGTTCCATATGGAGACGCAGAAGAAGAATATTTGGGTCGTCATATGTGATAGAACATTTGAGCGTGTTCGAGATACCTTTCTGAATGCTTCTGCCCAAGCCTGTAGGGATCGTATACTTTCCTCGACTGCCTCCTGTAGGCGCTGGTTCAGAGTAGTTGTGCGGATGGCCGCACGCACAAGACAAATCTCATGGTCTTCATCGAGATCGACTAGAGCTCCCCGCTCACTCAAAGCTTTGGACGTCCGTATGAAGAGCTCGTCGTATACATCGAATATGTTGCCGGTGATGACTTCCAGATATAGGCTTGCTTCATCGGGATCGACAAATTTGGGGGGAATCGGGTCCGGACAGATGGGCCGTAGAAAGCTGTCGTGATGTCAGAAGTGCTAATGATAAAACCTGGAAGTATCTTGACGTACGGGTAGTCATGCCCTATCAACATGTAGTCCGCATCTAGTCGTATGAAAGTTTGTACCAGAACATTGAACATACTCTTCAAGTCATTATCGACTACGACCAGATGTCTACCACCCGACACTTGAGCCGTTCCTCGTGGGCGTAATCGCTCATGAATGATGCGTAGACCGATCTCCAGATGCAATAAGGCTTTATTGTCTTCTCCAGAAAAGGTCTCGTAAGTAAAGAAGAGCAAACAGGTCACAAGAACAACAACGACAGCGCTCTCGGAGACATCATCGCTTAAATCAGCAATGTATTTACGCATGAAAGCCGAGGACTTGTTGTATTGCTGCAATGCAAATTGGTTCCGATCATCGTCGGATCCTCCAGTCAGAGTACGGTGCAAGGCGGCACAAGCACAAGCTGCTGCTGCGATCGAGGGGTGGTGATCAGCCAGATCTAGTGTCACAAACTCCCAGGGAGTCTCGAATGACGATGCGCATGGGAGCTGAAATATCGTAAGGCGACGGAAGAAATCGAGGGCGGTACACTCGGCATCGTTCAAGATGACTGAGCTTGGAAGGGTTCGCGGGCAGATATCACGCAATCGTCCAGGCTTGGAGAGCGGCCTGCGGCAATTGCAAGCTTGATCTCCTTTAGCGCATCGGCAGCATATTGACGGCATGGCGCTGCACACCAACCTGCGAGCACTTCGGTGCGGTGTAAGCAAATCGTTTGAGTTTCGTGCCGTGTAAGTTTGGAATACCCGTGGCTAGCATGGTTGTCTTCAAGAAGTTTCGGGGCATCGAGGCTAGTCAAAGCTTTTGGTGCTGGTAACAGTGGTCGTGAAGAGATCTTGTGCGCATCCGCTATAAGAGGCCTATATCCATCACAAACCCGTCCGGTGGAGACGCAATTGTTGCAAAATTCTTTGTTCTCGTCGCACTTGATCCGTCTGGCGCTGTTCATGGTCAGCAATTGACTTTCGAGGCCTGGCACGGTACATTGTAACACACCGACATGTTCCACAAGCATTCTTACTGTACTTCGAATTTACCACGCGTGGTCGCCTCGACATCGTCATTGCGAGCATCGCAAGCTGCGAGTGGTCGATTTTTCGAGTTGCAGATTGACTCTTAGTAGAAGCAGTCGACAGAATGTCGATTTCTGGAAGACACTGAGCTCCATCTATAGCAGCTGGCTCTTTGATAGGCTGGCTCGATAAGTCGATAAACTTACGGCGCCAATCAGAACCGTTGCCGGACAGTAGAGAATAGAGTTCATCTCGGTGCCTAAATCTATCATCAGGCATGTACCTTGATTGGCCAATTCACTATATATATCTATAGAGTTTCAACCCCCGGAGGCCGCGGTCCCCATACCTCCCAACGACATTCCAAGTCTCTAAAAGCACGGGCCAATTATCTTGAACGACTTCACATCGTGATTGGGAACATTTGGGTGATTGGAATGGGGTATAGATGATCGACATTTAGTATAGACGATTGACATGGAGTATGTTGTCTTGAGAACCTGTGTCCGAGTCGCGGTCAAAATTCCACAAGTCAAACCAAAGGATGGAGTAAGCTTCAGATCACGGCCGAGAGACGCAAGTATCTTGCGGGAACTAACTGCGCTGGCGATGGTCTTCCCTGGTCGGTCAAGAGTTCTAAGCATTTTCCAACCGGCTCGTCTATCACGAGGGTTTTCTGCTTGCACCATAGGATAGATGAGTCTCAGCTTGCCATCTTTTGAGCGTCCCAGCAAAAGCGGCAGCATTATCGTTACGATAAGATGCTAATGGCGGTGGGTGCTCTAATGTTGACTGCAAACCCAACTCGACGAACATGAGCTTTGGTTTGTCAAGACAGAGAAAATGAGACTGTCTCAAGAGCTACATATGTATGGAGGCATGTAGAGTGTCTTGTGCACTGGACCTCCAGTCATGGCTCGGGCCCTCTTTGAGCGATCCCACGGTCGAGGGTGCAGATTATGGAAACCGTCGATTGCGAAAGATACTCCTACTCCATCGCCCAATCCAATAGTCCACTGGGCCCTTGAGAGTCTGATTGGTCAGATTTAAGACACATGGCAAGCACCGTGCTGAGTAGTGTCATGATCTCACAGGGTACCACAGAAGATATCATTCTCTCCATCCCAGCCTCTGTGACTCTCATCCCAAAACAGTCCTCTTACTATAGTGAGCTTCCATACTTTCGTCATTGTTTTTCTTTCGCTAACAGTAAAAGCCTTCTGCCAGCATCGATCGCCTTCCTCGACCTTCCTCGATTGCCCAGATCGTAGCTCATGTCTTCACCACCCTCTCCGAAAGCAATTTCGTATCCACCGGACGCCCTGCGTGTGAGCGACACAATCGTCTTACTGACATACTGCCTCAAACTCGCTATACCTTGCGAATTACGATGATCGGAATCATGAGCTTTCGAGTCGTGTGTATGTTCTTGGGGTGATTTTGATAGCTCTTCCATTATCAACAGCTGCGATCCAGAGAGCATCGTCGTCCTTGGGCCTGCTCCCACTCCTCTCTCTCACAAAGGTGTAGAAGCGCATGCTCGCCATAAAAAGGCACAGTGATTTCTTAGTCAGAGACAGATCCAGAGAGAGCCTGGAGGACACCGCATCTTATCGGACACGATTCGATCTCCAGAATTGTTGTGCATTACTATAGCTACGCGATGAAAAGGTCGTCCATGATTTGGCAGACAATCAACAAAAGTGTGCCACATGGTTTGACACAAGTCAAAGTTGACATGGTTTACGACCTGGGGGAGATTGGGCTTGGCAGGGGCACGCCCCACCAAATCATGATTCTGGCAACCGTCCAACCGTCGTTCGCATGTGAAACAAAACATCTCAATCTTACTTGCAATTTCTCAGGAACAGCCATGGCGCGCCTACGGGGGAAGCCTGCCGGAGGCCAGGTGACTCCTCCGAGGAAGCCGAGAAAATCTCGTGCTGGACCTTCGAAGTCCGACAACCCTCGTGAGAACACGTCCATGAATGGCTTTAACGGTACGAAGCCTATACATTCGACGCCGAATGTCACCATGTCGCAAACGACTGCCGAAACTTCGCGACAGCTCACGACTCCTCTAATGGCCAACGTTCGGCACAGGACGATATCTGCAACCCCGAGCGCAGGCGACTGGGAGGAAGACCAAGATTCGTCATTTTCAGAAACCGCAGACAAAATATTGTCGCCGCGTGCAAATCGCATCGACGAGCTTCGGTCCATATATCACAAAATCAGAGATCAGCATGAGAAGACCATCAAGGAGGTACATTCTTACATCTCTTCTATAATGACTCACGAAGAGAATATGACCCTGCAACAATATCTTCTTCATTGTGAACTAGTCTTGGCCAAAGCAAAGCTGAATCTTGATATCGCGACATCTTACGCAACAAATCAGTATGGTCGGTCAAATACTACGGATCTACCCAGACTGGCCATCACCAAAGGCTGGCTCGAAGAAGCTATCAAACGTGTCGATACGGATACACCCAAACCGGAAACTGATTACGGATCTCTGTTCTCTGAGTTATCACATTATTTTCTTGCAAGCATCATAACACAACATAAGCATTCAATGTTTGAACAGCGAGCCTTGCCCACTGTACATAAAATCGCCGAGATCTTCCAGAGGATAGAGCCACGATCATACGTACCTGGAGTTGGACCATTTCTGGAATTTGCGACTGGCTTGGCCACTGACGATCCCTTGCTAATGCCTGAAATCCTACGCCGACTCGAAGTCAAAATGCTCACCGATACAAGTCTGAAGGACCGTGACAACCCGGGCATCAACACAACATCATCACAGCTCAGACATCAACCGGAAGAGCGCGAAAATACTCGAAATCCATTCCTCGCACTCAATGAAGATGGTACGGTGCCTGAGATTGACCCTGGCCTGGACGAAGCACCTCCTGTGCGATACTTGTCTGCCGGACTTAAGATCGATCCTATGCTAGACGCGCCATCTCTTACATCAGTTTCGTCTATTTCGCCTCTTTCGTACACGCCATCGTTGACATGTCAACCAACCTCTGAGAAGGAGATTGACCCCAACCTGGACGCGCCTCTATCGATACGTTACCCATCATCTCAGATGGACATTGACTCTGGACTCGCTCCGTCGTCAGCAAATTATTTGCCCACCGTCTATCAAGATCACCGATACGAGGACAGTGTCGGCGAGAATGTGCAGTTCATACAAGACCGAAACCCTCCCGAGGATGCTCTGGCAGAGAATTCGTTTTCGACTTGCGAGCCTAAGTCGGAGGACGAAGAAGAGGCTGCTCGACCAGATGTTGTCGTTGGCGAACAGATAGAAGGTATCGCTGACCAATTTGAGAAGAGGGAGCTGAGATCTCCTGAACTAGCGGAATTAGCGGAGACTCCTGCACAGCAAGTAGAACTTGATGTTGATATGGACCATCAGGATGGAATCAATCATACAGCAGATTCACAGCCATTTTACATGATCAGGGAAGAATCGACCGGCTTGGGCGAGGGGGCTCGTCGGGAGCTGAGTCTTGTCTCTGACTTCTCTACCTTTGACGAAATCATGCAGGAGGTACAGGAGAATCCGGACGAGCAACACATCTTGTCTGCCATCTCCCAGGCCGCTAGTGACACAGAATCACGCGAGGACGCCTCTGCCGTTCTGGCTTCTGCACCTGGTCATTTCAACATCCCCGACAGTTTCGTCATAAGTGACGACGAACTCGAACCAGATTCGAATCCGTATCTCGCGGCCTACCGAGCCAAACAGCTCGCTTCTGCATCGGCATCGGCATCAACATCAAACGCACCAGCTTCGAGTGCACCTGTCGTATGCCTACCAGATGTCGCGCGTCGTGCTGGACCACGCAAGAGCGAGCCAATCGTTCTGGTCTCCTCGCCTGTCAGCTCATGCGTAACGCAATCACAAGCTGAACAGCCTGTTCCGCAAAGACGATCATCCAGAATCTCCGACTCGATGTTCGTCAGTGATGACAGCGACGACGATATACCACCAACCTCAAACCCTCATCTTGCAGCGCTGATTCGAGCCAAAGCGTCAGCATCCGCACCCAGGATCGCACCCGCATCTGCGATTGCATCTGCGCCCACCTCCGGGTCAAGCACACCGAGTTCTAGCGCATCAACAAGCAAATCAACCAGGCCCAAGCTACCCCCTCACCTTGCTCGTGTCCGAAGAGCAGCTCATCGTCAATCTCTGGATCCCTCGTCTCAAGTTCCCACGCCCGAAGAAAGGCAGCTATTGGATCAAGAAGAATATCCATTGATCGACATCATTGACGAGAGAACCATCGATGGCGAAAAGAAATACCTGATCAAGTGGAAGCCCATCCATGGTAGAAAATTCTTGGATACCTGGGAGCCTGCAGAGAACGCGAATGCAGCGTCAGTAGAGGACTGGGAGCTACAGAAAGCAAAAAAAGGGAAGAGAAAAGACATGGAACATGGGAAGGTGAAGAAAGTCAGGAGAGGCACAGGAAGAGAGCGGAGGGAAAGGCCTGTCGAAAGATCTGTGGCAGTAACAACGATCCAGACGACCCAGGAGTTTCAGGAACAGCATCAATCTGCACCTTTATCTTCTCCGGAACAGACTCCGATGTTCTTCGTCGACACAGCTGGAGACGCGTCGCTCGCCTCACGAGGCACCAGGTTCGTTCCCACTCTTCATATCCCGTCACCCTCGCCGGAAGGCTTATCATCGATCGATCAAGTCTCCTCTCGTACCCGCAGCAGAGTCAATGATAGAGATGACACCCGGAATGACTCCACCGAATCACTCTCGGACGCCACCCCGATCGAATCAGTAACAAATCTAACACCGGAACCAGCAGCAGATCGATTGTCTAGATACGCCGCTCGACCTTTTTCTTTCGACTCAGTTTCTGCTGAACCACAGCCAATCCCGGCGGCATCATCGTTAAAGCCCAATAACAGCGACAAATACAAGACACCAGCACAGCAAAAGACGAGGATGAGAGAGAAGCGAGCAATCAGGCGAGCAGAAAAAGCAGCGAGACTAGCCAACATGACAGAAAAACAACGAGCTGAGCACGAACACAGCAAAAAGATGCACAAAAGGGCAAAGGCCGAGAGGAGAAGGACCAAGGCAGAAAGACTGGCAGCCATGCCTGAGGAGGAGAGACAAGAACTGGAAAATTGGCTTGAGTGGAAGAGGGCTTTGAGGCAAAGGATCAAGGACAACAAGCAAGCGAAAAAGGCCGGCAAAGCAAGAAGAAGGGAAGAAGAGGCGCGAAGAGTGGTACATAATACTGAACAAGCATCGTAAGCAGGATCTTCGGACGCTTCGGCGAGTTGCTTACTGTTGGTATACCCGAGATGGCGGAGGTTGACACATTGTAAAAAATGATTGTGAACAGGTTTCCTATGTACAGATGTTCTCTTTGCAGATAATAACTATTATTACTCTCTTTTGCGTTCTTTACCTTATGAGATTCAGTGCTCACCAACACACCGTCATCTGACGCCTATACTATTATCAATTCAGTAATGATATTATCGTTCCACTATAAGTCGTGTCCCCCAAGACCTCATTTGGTGGTCATATCCAAAACGAGAATGACAGCCGTTACGGACATGCTGCGAAGAAAGATCATGACGGCATAAACATCCAGAGTCATATCAAGATGACGGCATAAGGGTCTGATCGAGTCAAAGATGACAGCATAAAATGCCAACGCTGCTCGAGCCGTTTATGCAAAATCGATATGCCAGCCCCCTCTTCCAACGGGTGTCTGCATACCAGAAGCCAGCCGTAGTGCCAAGGCATACATTCCGAAGGCCGCGAATGCAGCCAAAAGTCAGTTTCTTCGTCGTCAGCTAGAGACGACAGCAGAGTCGACTCCAGCGCTCTTCAAACAGGTTTGCAGGAGATGTGGTAGAGCTTCAAAGTTCATGCATCGAGGAGAAATGGCGAAGAAGAGCTCAAAAAGAGCCGCCAAGTCCAACGAAACGGATGTCAAAGATATGTAACGATCTCATCAGCCACGCCAGCCCCCTGCATCTTGCGGAGAGGGGAAGAACGCGTTTCAGGTGTGTGTGCGGGCTGATGGTTATTATTACTCTGCCTCGTCTGCCATCAGCTCATGCAAGCATCTTCCCACCTGCACTACGGAGTCCGAAAGATACAGTAGGAGGTCGACTTCACTCTCGCTATCATCTTCGCATACGCAACGATCATCATATCACAACCTGCTCTCTCGTTTCCACCGACTCGACTTACCCCACGTTCGCTTTGCGTAGCACCGCATCAACAACAAGAAAGACAAAATGTATTCGCGCTACATACGAGACATCTCGTCCGAGGTGGACGGCGTCAAGAACACCTTCTCGGGATGGGATCAGTGCATGACAAAGGCATACTGCAAGTACGTCGCTCCTTCCTCTCTGCCATCCATTCCAATGTCACTGACTCGATTCCTCTCCACAGATGGCCAGTCATTATCGGCATCGTCGTCGGAGCAGTAATAGCCATATCAGTAGTATGGTGTCTAGTCCGCTGCCTCTGTTGCGGTCTTGAATGCTGCTGCGGCTGCCTCTCCTGCTTCTCTTGCTGCACATCCTGCTGCAACAACCACCACCGCCGTCAACAAGGATACACTCAACCTCCTCCCCCCGTCTCGCAATTCCCGCAATATACTCAGTATCGACCCGCCGCGGCACCCGTGTATCGCCAACAACAGCAACAACAACAACCGCAATATGCGCATCTCGATGCTCCGAGCAAGTCGTTCAATGAGGATGCATTGCCAGCAATGCCCAGTTGGAACAACAGCCGCAGTTTCCGCCAACAACAGGATGCAGAGGTGGATGATATGGAGATGGGGAACATGCATGCTCAAGCTGCTCAACCTATGCTGCCGAAATCTCCTCGTGCGCAGGTGCAAGAGTACCCTTATCAGGCCAATGCTGGTGCGTATAATGGCGACCTCGGACACTCTCAGTCTCAGTCGCCGTATGCGAATGAGCCTCAGCAGTATGGGTATGGTCGTCAAGAGTCGAGAGTTGCGTTGCCGTACGAGGCTAGCATCAACCCGCCGCCGAGTTACCATACTTCTGCTCCTGCTGCTCAAGGAGTTGCGAGAAAGCCTGTTAGTGGTTCTTGGAGGGAAGTTTAGGTCTTTTTCTTTTGTTTTTGTCGCAAGATTGCATGGCGATGGCGTTTTGTGGCCAATCTCTATCGGAAAGAGATGGAGATTTGTGTTTGTTTTCTCGCGATACCCATCCATCAAGATGAGGAAGGGACAGGTTGCTGGTTCATCTTGTCCTTTCCTCGTCGCCCTGCTTGTCTCTAATACTTTATATCCAGCTTCATATGCTGACCTCTCATCACTTTGAGCGATTTTACGTGCCTGTTTCCATATAAATTGTGCTCCGACGACCACACAGACCTGAACTTGTTTCTCCTTGCGAGTCTGTCTGCTTCCATCGACTGTAGAGATTGAGAACTGCTGGGTGCAAGCCAGAGAAATATGTGTGTTACAGAAGGTGCAATAATCATTGCTCACTTTGCTTTTCCCGCGCACAGCGGTACATAAGACCGCAACGGAAAATACCACCAAAGGGGGCCCATACTGGCGTCGGCGTCGCAAGGACGAGGAAGTCGCGCCCGCACCTTCTTACAACTCCCCAAAAATGTTCTAACCACATAACATCGACTCCCTCTTCAATGATATGCAAAAGAAGAGCCAAAAGATGGCAAAAATGATGATTCCGCCCGGGCTCGAACCGGGGACCGCCTGTGTGTTAGACAGAAGTGATAACCAACTACACCACAGAACCAGTTGATGTTGAGTTTGCTACCTTGAATCTATATATTGATCATGTCGAATTGGCCAAATCAAGCAAATGTTCCACCCACTCTTCCGTCACCAGTCTAAGTCAACAAGTGGACTTGGCAAAACACTGTGGTTGTTAACAGTGGTTAACAATTGCTATCAATGTGAGTGAGAGACGCACATTCATACTCTCTTGCACGTCAAGGAACTAGCACTAGAATACCTAAGACTGTCTACCAAGCATACGCATTTGCAGTCCTTTATCCTCTCTTCTGTCTTTTCGATTTGACGTGCAATTCACATTCAAACAGCCGCTTATCTTCTTCCTTGGAGAGACATCCACACTTTTGAGCTTGGTTCTGACTACGTAATCCATGTAAAACGAGACCAGGTCGCCAACCTTTGGCTTTTTGGTCTCCATCAGATGTTGGATGTAGAATTGTTGATGAGGATGATGATGATGATGATGATATCTGGGCCCAGACATGACAATATCCTGCATTGATGAAACATCTAGCTCAAGGATAGATGCTCGAAGGTTTGAGCACCATATCACCTGGGCTAAACGAGATTTTCTGAGGTATCAATCAAACTTCTGTTCAGACTCTGGACTTGTGCATCATCTCACAACCTTCCTTCCCACAAGAGACCCTTCCAAAATCCTTGTTCTCGAAAAATTGCTCACACTCCTTCCTAAAAGTCCACTGATCTTTGCCTTTGCCAGAATTCCTCCGCTTGAAGAAGGACGAACCAATCAACTCCTCCAACATCCCTTGCATCCACGCATCGCAGTTATAGCCAGGTACATTTGTGCGAATCCAGTGTATGAGTTGTTCTTGACTCAGGAATCTGGTTTTGGCTTGACGGAGAGCCATGCCGATGAGATTCTCGAATGTGATTCCAGGACGAGGTTTTGTGCCGGGGGTTCTGTATTTGAGCATGCACATTTGGTATTTGAATGTTGCGAGGTCGATTCTGAAGGCTTTTACCATGCTTTCGACTGTAGCAACGGCATCTTTGCGGATGGAGAAGTCTATGGGATTGATCAACTTGCTCGGTTTGCTTCGAACATGGCATTTGATCTGATGAGAGACCCGCATGATTATTTCCAAGTAGTGTATATCTGCCTGGTTGTGGATGGATGTATGAGTTGGAAAGGTATTGCGTAGCCATTTCGTGACGATATTGTGGAGTTGCTTCAGGTTGGTGGAATGGTTGGGAGCCTCAAATATCACCATGTAGCAAAGATCCTTCCACTGAATCTGCAGCTCGCTATTCAGCCGTACTCCTTCGCTCAACTCGTCGATTGTTTTCCTCGGCATGTTAGTTGTTGCCAGACACAGCTTCGGAGGACTTGTGTCAGTCTTCTGTCTCTTTTCGACCAAGATCTCGCTTGACTTGGGCTTCCTGGTTCGCTTGTTTCCAATGATTTGGCTCGATATCTCGGGTGTTCTACGGCCATTTTGACGAGGAGCATAAGCGTCCGCCTTGTGGGCGAGATGAGGAGAAACGTACTCCTCTCGGATCTGAGTCATGGTCATGATGGGAGACCGACTCCTCTGAACATCAGGAGATGCAGCGCTAACGGCCGGGATCTTGATGTCTTCAGACAAGTCCTCACTAGCATACGCGACTGAGGAGCTTTCGGCCTCTTGTTGGACAACTGTCGCCTTGGCTTTCACGTGAACTTTTTGTTCGAGAGACGGACTGCGTTGACGGTCTCTGTGATCGGGAGTTGTGCTTGGGTCGATCAAAATATCATCATCAGCGGATGAGCTGTCCTGCGGAACATCCTGTCGATCTGAAAAGCTCTTCGGTGTCTGCGACATGTCTGAATGTGTATTCCGTTGACAGCCTCTGCTGTCACGAGATAAACCTGGAATGATCTTGAAATCATCATCGTCGGATGCGGCGTTTCCTGGAATGTCCTGTTCACTCGCTGATATCTGGTTTCCTTGGCGGATATGTGTATGCGCATGTCCCTGCTGGAAAGGATTGTCCGGAAAGTCATCTTCCACCCCATATTGAGGACCTACGAGATGGCTGACAGATCTGCTATAGTCGCCCCAGCCATAACTGGAATCCCACATTGCTTCATTGTGCTGAACTTCTTCTTCTGGTTCTTCCAGTGTCGTTGCTTTCTGGTCGCTGGATGTCTCCTCCTTGGACGTTTCACCAGCCAACTCATGAGACCCATGGCTAAGCTGTTTACATTGAACACAGTAACCGTCTACGATATTACCAAGTTCTCGACAATCTATACAATGATCTTTTGAGGTGTGGTCGATATCTTTGCACACATTGCAGTGTCTGTTTGCGTCGCAATGGACTTTGTCGCAGACTCGGCAATGTTCAGAGGCAAAATGACCAATCGCGTCACAGTGCTCGCAGTGATCCGCAGCTGTATGACCTCTCTGGTTGCAACGTTTGCAGATAAGTACGTTCCATTGGCCTTTGATGTTGGTTTGGCTGCTACCGTGACGCGTAGATGGTCCAGATCGTATTGAAAAGTCCGCGGAGCTTGGAGGTGTTTGGAATGTCGAATATGGATTAGGGGTCGAGAATAGGTGAGATTGTTGAGAAGAGGTCGAAGGGGACTCAGAGACGGCGGAAGCGTTCTGAAGTTCCAATGATGGATACTGGTAGTGCAGAACGTTTGGCAGGGTTCTATTAAATTGTGATCCCAGATCAGGTTGTAGTTTTCCGTTATCCGGAATGACGATAATGTCCTGGGTTAAGTTTGATGGAGCATCATCAGGTATGTGTACTGGATTCGAGGCGGAACCTGGCGGACAGCGCGAACGGTTGACTAGTCGGTTCCTCAGCCTGGGGTCTAGGGTGGGTGGAGTGGTGGTCTGGTTCTGAATGTTGATTGTGGAGCCGAGCAAGCGACCGAATGCCAAATCAACGGCTCTTTGGTCGCGTGGTTGACGAGAATCAGCCATAACCCTGACCTGCCTAGGAAAGATGGAGGTTCGTTGTCTTGCGGTCCTTGGCGATATCCAACGAGGGACGGCCGACGAGGAAGTGGGAATTAAAAAAATGCCTGTATTGGCTCGTGCCGGAGGGTTAATATATCAAGGCTTGGCATTAGTTATGTGGGTCATCGACCATGACATGTCGCTGAGGAAAACTCAAGACCTTCGGACATCAGCGGGGAACGATGGAAGTGTTGTAAACAAGCACGATGACTCCAGATTTGATTAGAATTATGTGGTGGATATCAATGAGAAGAGCAATTTTGGAGCGTCAAGTGGCCGCTCATCTCGCACGTCCGTACTCAAAGTCTGGAGAGTTTCCTCGTTCTTTTGTAGCAAAATCATGGGTTATGGGCAATGGAGGGACGGGCACATCGGTGACGGTCATTCTGTCCTTTTCGCGGACTCTTGGTAGACTGGTCCTGCTGGCTTGATTGCTGGGTGCCTTGCCGAGTGCGGGAGGGGTGACAGTAAGCGCAGGTAACGAGTTGCGAGTGATGCCCGAGTTGAAGGGGGCAGTTGCAATGTCTTGACGCCGGCGGTAGCGACGGCGGATGAGCACGAGAACGACTGTCAGGATTCCCAGACCGACAAAGACGACGATGAGCATGACGATCCACTTCCAATGGTCCGTCCACCTACAGCGGCCTTAGTCGTCGTCACTTTCCACATAAGACCAGGCTAACTTACCAATCGTGATGAGCGTTTGCATTCTGCGACGAGCTTGTGCCTTGTGAGCTGCCCGAGCTGCTGGAGCTTCCTGAGGTCGATGTGGACAGAGTCGAAGCTACAGTCGAAGCACCTGTCGCGGTAGTCGAGTCTGTTGCAGTGCCGGCACTGACTTTGGCGGCTGCAGCGACACCGTTGTCGGCACAGTTGGATTGGTACCACGAGGCAATCTTGGCCACATCGCTGGCTTCACACACATCGAAGCAGATGGTCGAACCAGCAGCCTTGAGTGTGGTGAGGTATCCGGACTGGCAGAAACACGATTCGTAGATGAGGGCGTCTGTCACAGGTGCTGCTGGAGGGATGCAGCCGGTTTGGGCGCTCTGGAGGACGGTGCATTGCTGGGCGCACGAAGGGAGGGCCGTGTCGCTGTATACGAGAAGTTGCTGGGCGGAAGCTGCCACGGCCAGCGATGCGACAAGGGACAGAAAACGCATGGTGGACTGATGACCGTGTGATTGTTGGATGGTCGGCTGCAATCTGCGACCTGCGACGAGAAGACGCCGTCAGCAAAGAGACGAGACAAGAGGAGAGGAAGGCACGCTTACGAGGCAGTCACGGCTGTCAGAAGCTTCGTGCAGATCGGCGAGGGGAGGTACAGGCAGGTATGCGCAATAACGGCAGTCACGATATTCTGCTGCTGCTGCTGATAAGACGAGGGGCTCAGGAATGTGCCATGAAACGTTTCAGCTAGAGTATACACTGAGCAGCAGCTTCACGCACACAAGATTGTCGTCGTTGGGAAGCAGACGAGGCACCGGGTACAAGAGTACTTGTTTTACGGTAGCTCAAGCTTCGAGCCAGTCAGGCCATCAGCTCGCTGTGTATACAAGAAGACCCGCGAGGGGGCAGGAGCGGCGCTGGTTGCAGCCTACCAGCACTTGGCGCTCTCGTCCGTGCCGAGGGTCCTGCCACCGTTATCTGCTGCTGCTGCTGCAAGGCGACGGCGAGGTTGAATACCTGAGCCTCGCAGCAGCAAACATGAGCACAAGAGGAGCAGCAAACGGTCCCAACAAGCTTTACAAATAAGGGTCTTGAGACATGCAGCTTTAGGTATCGGCCCGTTGGCGTTTGACAGCAGCATCAAGAGCCAGAGAGAGGCAGACTTGGCAACGACAATCACTGCCAAGTGTCGCGTTTCCTCTGTCCTCCGAGTCGCTTTTGTTCAAGCAATTCAATCAGTCGCTCCTTCTCTGCTCAGGCAGTCGTGTAATCGACCCTCTGCCGCCATGCTCTCCCTCTGGTCGCTGTCAACACGCGTATTCCAGCCGCACACATGGACGCGCACGGCGCAATCGCTCTGGTCGTCTTGTCGCACAGCTTCGTCCATCAGTCAGGAACCAAAGTCAACCAGTCAAGACACCGAGATGGACCAGCAATCAGCGCTGGCTCGCCTGATTCGAGAAAACCACAATGCTTATAATAGATGGCGTTATCAAAACGACGACGACTTTCGCAGGAGAGCCCTCGAGGCAACCACGAGATCTCGCAGATCACTCGCGGTCAGAGAGAAGATGAAGGCTGTCGCCCGTGAATACGAAAGAAAGCCCGCGAGAATACAATACCAAAAGCAAAGGTTTGTTCAGCGATACAACGAAAGCCTACAGTACCGGCGTGGCCTCTCGCTTCGCCTAGCCATGCGCTCTAAGAGGCTTGTTGAAGAGGGCTGGTCGTGGAGACTGCACACGCCCGTCCACACCCCTGACCGCGTGGACCGCCATTGCACCGCCTGCGACCAAGACCGCTTCCTCAAGCTCTGGTGGGCCACAAAGGCCGAACCCACTACGTACATGTGCAACTCGTGCTTTGCCAACGACTTTGACCTCATGGTGCCAGAGGGTCAACACAAGAACCTCCCTGCAGTCTTCACTTCTCCCCATCTCCCAGGTCCTCGCCCCAACAAGCCATCCTGATCTGACCACACATCCTCGCTGTCCATTCAACTACACACATGCGAAAACTCGCAATCGCAGCCAATCCTCTCCGCCGGCTTGATCTTGCGCATCGTCAACGAGTACCGGTCCTGCCTCGCGACCAATCTAGGACCGGCCTGATCGTGCTTTCTGCCCTTGATCCCATGAGTATATCCATATCTTGAGGGTCCTCGCATGAGCAATAGCGACCTCGCTGGCAATTCTAGCTCCCACTCTTCCGCCTTTTCCTCGATCGTCTCGACAGGAGGAGAAGGCGGCGGCGGAGGTGTTTCGCTTCCACCCCCAAGCGATCGCTTCGGCAGTCTCAATCGTCTGGACTCTTTTTCTCCACACAGCTTGAAGTCCATGCGTGTCGATGCGCCGAAACTCAGACTGTAGATGGTCTCCTCGAAAGCCGAATGCGTGTCAACATGTGGAGGTATGCCCGTGCCCGGTGGATAGTGCTGCAGCGTGTACTGATCTGGGATATCCCTGTCGTCTCTGGCGGGCAAGCGACTCAGCAGTCGCGTGAGATATTCAGGCGGCGGTGTGCTGGCCGACTTGGAGACGGCAAAGGTGGTATAGTCAAAGTGCGGGCCGTAATGCACTGCTCCTCGCTTGAGAACGCGCCCATCCCGAGAGGCGGTCGCAATGTGGTATTCGCGTATCATCTCTTCCTCTTCTTCTTTTGTGATGAACTCGTGCATCAAGATCAAGCCATTGGAAAATTCGTGAATTGGTGGATCGATGGAGAGGATTGTCGGTGGAGGATGATTCGGTTGTATCTTCGCCAGAATGCACTCAACCATGCTCGGCGCAGCATATGCAAACAAAGCCTTGGACTCTTGCTCATAAGCAGCTATGGCATGCTCAGTCGACTCATACTCAATCAGAGCATACGGCTTTTCCACTTCTTAGTCGTCAGCCTTCCATCTCTTCCCTCACACTCGACTTACCTTTGCTAGTAATTCTACAACTTGCACAGGCACACCAGGCAGATGTTTTGCGTCTGTGATTCCTGACCTCGCTCGTGCTGCCATGTCGCCTGCGTTTAGCAGCCACAGCCATTTTGTTTCTGTGGCGCTGTTGTCGCATTCGAGGTCGGCGAGCGAAACTTTCTCCATTGAGGAGATTGTGGCGAGGTAGCGGGAGCGTGCATTTTGGGGTTGCGCCTTCATTGCTGCTCTGCAGACTGCCTGTGTGCGTGTGATGCGTTATGTGGAATGTAAGTATAATATGAAGCCTTTGGATGATGAAAGTTGCGGCAGCGCAAGATGTGTCCCGAGCGGCCATAAGTCTTAGTTGTATCCATACTTTCGCATCGGCAACGACGATACTAGCAATTATTGCTTTCGATATTCGTATAGCATATCTTTGATACCATGCCAGCTTTCAATAATATTCCGGTATCATTTCGGACAGAAACGAGTAATTCATGGCTATGTCAGAAATATCCTGTGCCTTTGTACGTGATTATCATCCATTTTCTGAACCACCATGAATGGAAACAGAATATCGACTACACCTCTCCACCACCACTCACGAGCATCGTCGGAACCAGTATAGCTTCTGTTTGAGTCATGAGGAAGTCCATATATCGGACCATAGTCAACAAGTATCTCATCGTCGACGATTCCGAGACACTTTTATCAGAATCATGCTTGTCGAGCAGATCACCCTGACCGAGCTTGGCAGATAAGGATATCGGACCTCGGTAAAGCCATCTCCGACGAGGGGTTCCATGACGCGCTTTCTTGGCTGCCTTGTTGTTGTGACTCTTATCTCTCTTGCTGTTCCGTCTTCCTCTTCCTTTCTCTTCCTTCCACCGAGCCCCATGGGCTGGTCTTGCTGTTTCTTTGCGACGCAACGCAACGCAAGAGTCTGTGATCAAGTCATCGAGACTTAATCACTTGCATTTCTCCGTGAAGTCGCCCGAGGCCTATGGATCATCCTGCCGCGTCATTCGACCGGCACCCACGCGTTATGTGGACTGAGTGGACTCGATGCGTGGTTCTGTTGGGAGAAAGAGCTAGAGCAAGACAAGAGAGGGGCCTATACTATCACGAGCGGGGAACTTGCTTGGAACGAGAATAACCATTTGGTGTGCTGAAGCTGTAAGGCATGAGGTGCCCAGCTGTACTGCTGCTGCCATGTGTCGTCGCTGTCGCTTTCTGTCCAGTGCAGGCGTTGGGACTTCCCATCGACTTCGATTCGGACATATGCCATATCATGTTTTGACCGTGGGTTGATAAGATCGCATTAGTACTTTGAATGCTCTGCAAGATCTCTGTTGGCTCCAACCCTGCAAGTGCATTGATGAGCTGTACCATGTCGAATGGAAGCCTTCGAGACATGACCGTTGGTCCGACACCCCTTGACGAAGAACGTCCCGTCCTTAAGGAGATCGATACCAAGATGCATATACGATGTGTGATGGGTCCTCGGATGCTCTCTTCGCCGACGAGCAAAGAGTTGACTGCTGCTCACGCTACCTGTTACTTACACCAATCATCATCGACCTATATTCCTCTACTCTTGCTGACGAGTCTCTCGAAGTTGCTGGCTGCTCAAGGAAATTCATACAGAGACACCGCTCTCTTCGGAATACACCTGCCCACTCATGTACAAAGTACTGCTTGTCAACCCTTACTGTCCTGATATAGTCCCGACGAAACAGCTTTCTGTGCCTTGCACCCATCTGCCATTCCCGTTGGAACACGCCTGGCAAGTCCGCCTCTGTCTAGGCAAATTGAGAGGCTCAATACTTATTCATCAAGAAGACGACTATATGCCACAGTGATTTCAACACCACCGCCGCCGAACTCGGAGCCTCAAGACAATAATGAGGATTTTGCCGCCTCACAAGGAACTAAGGATAGGTCCCTCGGACGAAAACCAAATTGGCATTACACAAGTGATGCATCATCCCGGCCCGAATATTTTGGTGACCGATTTTTCTCTGCCAGTGGAAGTAGTGCCCAACGCGCGTACTCGACCAAATTCGATGGCTTCAGCATCCACAGCATTAAAAGTTACATCTGGATGCTTCGAATCATCTCAAGACCGACATCCTAATGACACCTCCCAGACACCTTTGCAGACCGAATATTCGACACTTTTTTTTTTTTTTGGAAGGCCTCGGCGCCCAAGCACGAAAACTAATAATACGCGTACAGCAATTTTGCAGCGGAATACTCACAGCTATTTATCCAAGGCTATACCAGTCCCTTCACCGAGAAGAGAAGCAATAAAACGACACATATGTCGCTAAAAGATAATCCCAAAGCTTTCTCATGGCCGAAGAAGAAGAGCACGACTAATGGCTACGCTCCGTGTTAATTGATGTCCCGACTTTTGTTAAGCAGCTCGTACACAGTCTCTGTATAAACATTGAGTGTTGGTTCAGACTTGGCGCCTTCCTTCGAAATCCTTTGCAGACCGACTGTTCAACGGACTTGCTGCTTTACTTTGCCAGTGGAAAGAGCAATCAACACGCTTACCCAACAAACTTGATTTGGCTTAAACAATAGTCACAACGAAAAGAAACAACAACTACATCGGGATGACCTCCGACAGCTGGCTCACTGTTTGGCTCCACAGCCTCAGCACGCCTTCGCTGTGACCTGTCAGATGTTCAACCTTCGCCTTTACCCAAACGACTCGCGCGGTTTCTATGTGCCCCCTTCACCGATAAAACAACTAATGTACATACATTTCCAGAGTACGCCATCTTGATTTCCCAATCGCACAAGGAGTGCAACTGGCCCCTTCAATGATCCCGTGTTATCACGTCGCCAAGTTGACCAGGCAAAACTTCTGGAAAACATCCTCGCGTTTGTTCGAAAACAGTGCAGCTAATTCTGTGCCACACAACCCTCACCATCAGCTTTCTGTCTTCGCTGTGGCTAGATTCAGGCTTATAGAAGCATTCTTGGAGCATTCTTGACATCTTGTTGACGTACTAAGTGACCGGAGTCCCCGGACCATGACCTGAGCGCCGACGGTTCCTCTTCATCTGCCGAGCAACACAGTGTTCTAGACTTTGTTTCCAAGCTCTTGCAAGTCCCCAATTCGTGGTTCTGCCGGCAATGTGTGTTGATTCCATCCTCTTGGCATCTAGACCCCTGCCACAAGATCAGAGACGCGGCCTTTTGTGGGATCATTTGTTGACTCCTTGCGGTCCAGACCACGGCAGTCCCAGCTGGCTCTGTCGCACCAAGAGTCTACCAGGGTCGAGATTCGGCTGAGCTTCCGCCAAATGTTCTACGGGTCATCGTCAATATTTGTGCTCCAGCGCTAGAAGGTGGGTGGCGTGAGGAAGAAGAGCGGCCTTGTTCGACGGCCGCCCCGACGTGAAAGTGACAGCAACCGACAGCAACATTAGGGCATATCCGCAGTCCTGCCTTCGGAAGGCAGATTGCCACGTGTGAGCACCCCTGTGCTTCTTCATGCTTCCTCCGATAGTAATCGAATTCTTACCACAGTCTATTACCTTCGACAGCAGTCAACCTTTCGATCGTCAACCGATCCTCAGTCATAACAACCCGGATCTTGTAAAAATCTCAAGTGGGAAATGTCGATCGACATTCAAACATTTAGCCGTAGGAGCCTCATCTCGACATTGAGCAGACAACAACCCCCTGGCTTTCAGATCTCCTACTTCAGAAAAACTGCAATTCTGCAAGAAGTCGTCAGTCTCCACCATGACCCTTGATTCTTCGATGGCAAAGCGGAAAGATGGTAGTGGCAATCAATACTAAGCAATGGCATACTGCCGCTGACGACACTTGTTCATGGTATGTTGGCTGTCGTCACAGTGCAGACATATGCAAAAGCGAAGATCACAGTCAAAGTCGTCGCATTGACGCGGCAAGACAGACATTCAGGAAAAGGTTTGGAGTGGAGTTCCGTGTCGCATCTCGTTCGTGCCTGCTTCTTCTCTGGAGACTTGCAGAACATGAACTACGACTTGGAGTCGTATCTGCTGTACAGTAATTCATTCAACCGCAGACGCCGCATTCCCAAGACCGAAGATATTTCAATCTCAACAACTATCTATTCGATTTGATCGCGCTTTCACACTCCATCTACGATCTGTTGTGAGTTTGCAACCTTTACCTGAGGCTATATTCACGAGACTATGCATGAGCATTCCAGCCCATCTGTCTCAAATCCATTTCAGGACATCACGTCTATAATAGAGTCTCCGAAAATCGCACAAAAACCGGCTCCTAGCATAGGCCGGTGTTTGTATACTACCGAACAACGCAGCTGACACGCAACTCGAGGAAGTTTATGCCGAAGGCAAGCAAGGGCTGAGTTGTCTGTACCCCAAGCACGGCGATCCCAATGCACTGTTGCAGATTTCCAACAACCAGGACTTGTTCAGCCATCCACGATCGAAGGAATGGATGCACATGTAAGCCAGGATTGCTTGCCACGACTTTGTATCCCATTGCGACCCCGATCGCTTTACATCTTCTCATCACACCATCATGATCGAAAATATCTGAAAAACCATACGCCGTGAACGACATCTTGACCTTTGTGCATTCCTCAAAAAATTTGCTTGAACTGCCCCGGTGACAGTTGTCAGTCACAATTGAGAATACATATTCAGCTTCGAATCCCTCGTGGTCGAAGGTTCAATTCAAACTCATACAACGCTCGGCCATTTGATCTCCATCTCCACCTTTTGTGCTACCGTTCTGACACACACCAAATATCACACACATCACACACATCACACAAAAGACATGCGTTTCGCTATTATTCTCTTCATCTCGACCTCTTTTGCACTCCTCATCCCGAGATGCGACAACGGGTATGAGAGCTTTGACAGATCTAAGATTGAATTTGCTTCTGATGCGCTTTAGTGACCACGCCTCATCGTCCGTCGAGGCCCGCGACTTGAACGCTTCTCCTGTTGCCACCCCGGCTGTCTCTGAATCAAGATACCCTTATACCAAGAAGGTCAAGACTACTTCTGCAACATCATACTCGACCACACCATTGGCAACTCGTGCTGTATCAACTGCCGGGAGCGGACCCTCGGCAACAAGTAGCTGCGTCCCGCACTCCATCTGTGTAGACAAAATCAGCCCTTGCGGCAAGCGCTATGGAGGGTTAGTGCCTCTTTCTTCCTCAGTGTGACCTGTGACTGACACAGAGCTCAGATGCTACGACGAGAATTTCTGCGATGGAGACACAAGTCCATACCCTATTCCAACTTGTGCAACTATGGTGACGATGAAGCGAGCAGCCGCCGCCGCCGAGCCTGCCATCACACCAGCCTGATGCAGTGAAACATGAACAAAGTGTTGCCAGTGGGTCCCTAAGATTATTGCTGAGCTATATCAAACAAAGTGGGAAGAAGACAAGTAACGTTGGTTGAGTGAAAGTCCCAGTGGGAAGTAATGAGAAGTCGAGCGAGCTTGTACGATAATAGAGTGTTTATATAGACTTGGATTTGACAAAATACTTCAAATTTCTCTTCCGAACTCATGCGCTCTTGTTGGCCAGAAAGATCTTGTCACAATTGTTTATTAGGAAGCCAGGAATGATTTGTTGCCGAATCTTGATACCCAGACTGCTCGAGAATACAGCCAAGTGGAGATGGTTTGTGAGGAATGCACGGCGTAATTTACGTTACGCAAGGAGTAGGGACCAGACACATACAAACTTGCATCTGATTGTGCTTGAGGACTGGGTGCAACATTTGACAAAAACACAAGCGCGGCCTGCTTTTGCTGGCTCTCGGTTTTGCTTACGAATTTCGTTGGTCGTTCTTTCCGACTCAAAACAACACCTTGCTATTTTTCTCCTATCGTCCTGTTCGTCTTGTTGACTCTCACTTCAAGGCGGAGTCTAGCCACTCGTCTCACAATCCAGCATGCGTCTTCTTCAAGTTGCTGCTCTCGCAGCTCTATCTGTACCCATTGCCGCTCGAGGCGATTTCGACTTCAGAGTCAATCAACCACGCCGGCTCGTTGCAATTCAAAAGCCTAGCCCGAATAGGATTACTGGACACAGCATAGCTCTCGGAAGAGCCAACACAAAAACAAACTCTCTCAGTGCCGGATATCTCCAAGCCATTAGATCAGGAAACCATGTAGATGGTGTCTACTCGCGACTTCGAGTAAGTCGCCTTTTGGACGTTTAATTTTGACAATCGCTGACCAGACTCAAGAATGGAACAATAGATCTTCTCTCCATCAACGCCGGAAGTGTCTTCCTCGTACCTCTCAATGCAGGTGGTGAGACTTTTTACGTTGTCATCGACACAGGAAGCAGCGACACCTGGCTCGTCAACAGCGAATTTACTTGCGTGGATCCATCAGACTCTGAAGTCATCGACGAGGCAGAATGTGCCTTTGGACCCAGCTACTCCGTCACTGCCACCGCTGAGCAGATCGACAATCGCAACTTCAACATCTCGTACGCTGATGGAGAACGACTCAATGGCCAGATGATTACCGAGGACTTGACATTTGCTGGCATCACAGTGGAAAATCAAACCATGGGTCTTGTCACTTACGCAGGCTGGTACGGCGATGGCGCTTCATCAGGACTGGTTGGATTGGCCTATGCATCCTTGACGAACCAATATGGTGGCACCAACCCTAGTGCGGACATTGCAGGCTTGAATATCCCTTACGACCCTCTTCTCACAAACATGTTCAAGGAGAACCTTACTGCACCTCTCTTCAGCATTACTCTCGACCGCGATGTCTCTAGAAGCGCTCAATCGGCAGGTGGTATCGTAGCCGTCGGCGGTATCCCCAATATCCCTCATGGCACCTTCTGGTCTTCGTCGAACATCACCATCATCGGTATGGATGCGACAACAGGACAACCCGAGTACCAATTCTATGCTATCAGTGTTGATGGCTGGGCAGTTAGCAGCAAACAAAACGCGGACTTTGATGTCAAAATGACTGGAAATTCGAGAAAGACCCCTCTGCTGGGTGCACCTACCCGAAATGTGATCGTTGACTCTGGAACGAGTCTGATCTACGCACCCAGTGCAGTTGCCGCAGGACTCGCTGCAGCTTTTAACCCTGCTGCTGCTGTGTCCTCCTCGACTGGGTTATACCACGTCGCTTGCAATGTGACCGCTCCTCTTTTCGGAGTAGTGGTGTCGAGTAAAGTTTTCTACGTCAACCCACTTGACTTGATCATTGACACCGGATTGGGCTTCTGCGTCATGGGTGTGCAGGATAACAACGGAGGATTGACCATCGTGGGAGACGTGTTTATGCGAAACGTCCTCACTGTTTTCGACGTGGGAGCTGCTCAAGTCCGTTTTTCGGCCAGGCCATGTCAGTTGACCAATGGAACGATTACTACTTAGACAAGTTCGGAAATGCTAACTTTTTTGTTAAGAATAATGAGGAACACAATTGAGTTTGAGCAAGATTCAGATTGCAAGAGGGATATCCAAACATATTATGTACCGAGGAGAATGTGACACAATTACTTCTGTTGCAACTTAAACCCAAGGTCCACCCGCCTGAGCATCAACAAGCAACATATCAGCCACCGGTGCAGCAATCTCACCACCGGCCTCAGCAACAGCCTTTGCAGCAGCTTGACCGAACCTCCTCCACTTCTCCGCAGCTTCTCTCTCTCTTCTCGCTTTCGTTTTGCTGCTGCCCGATGGCGCAACACCGGTGAGTAGCTTTTCACTGTCTGAAGGCGTGTAGTTTACAAAACCGCCGGATTTGCTTGCTGCACGACTGTTGCTTGATTTGTGCTCGGAGCTGGATTTCCGGCTGTGGGGTTTCGAGGAAGAGTTGCGCTTTGTGATGCGGTTGCGTGATGGAGAGGGTGTACGTGATTCTTTTCTTGTGATGTTGGTGGTGGAAGGGTATGCGGCAGCGGTGTAGTAAGGTGTGGTTTCTGCCAAAGTTGTTTCCATATACGCAGGAGCCAAGGTAGGATCATCGTAACTTGTGGGCAACAGACTACTGTGGACTTGGAAGTTGTTGAGGGAAGCTTGATACTCTGCTTCTTTCTTCTCGCTTGCTATCCAAGGGCTGAACGTCGGAGAGGGCTCGTAGATGTCCTCTGCTCCAAACGAGTTTGCGCTCCAGGCGGACTTGTTGTACGAGTCTAATGAAGGTTGCTGCTCGTAGTAGATCTCGCGGAAGGCGGTGGGTTCTTCGGTGAATGCCATGCTCCCGCGTTCAACGCTGGGGCTGGTCAGAGGTGAGGCTTCAGGGCTGTAGAGCTGCCTAGGCAGGCTCTGTTGGTTGAAGGTGCTCGAGAAGGGTGATGCTTGCTCGTCGTAGTTTGTGAATGGTTGGAAGGGGGAAGCGTCGAGAGTGCCGAAGCCTTGAAAACCGAGTCCGATTGCTGCAGGTTTACTTCTTCCGCTGGAAGGGGGAGTCAAGGGCGTACTTCTGACAGGCAGAGTCATGCTAGTCATTCTGGTGGGAGTGTGGTAGATATTCTCTACCCAAGCGTCCGGAGCACCTGCCCTATAACGCGATGGCGACATCATCTTTGGTGACTTGCTGGATGATCGATATGCTTTGGTAACGCCAACAGGTCTCTCAGGAGTCTTTGCAGAAAGTTCGTGTTGGTATTTGTTTGCTCTTCGGCGCCTGGCCGCTGCGTCTGCTGATGGCGAAGATGGAACAGTCGAGATGTGTGGACTGGGGTAACCACCGAGACTCAGAAAATCCGCATGAGGAGTGTTCTTTGTGTTGTAGAAAGAGGCGGCTGGCGCAAGAGTGTGATGGTGTTGTTCTCTTTGTTGTGATCTGCCGCTGTCTTGCTGCTGCAGTTCCAAAGACGAAGCGCTCTCCTCCAGCACCGCCAGTGTTCTGGCCCAAAAGTCATCTGAAAGACGGCGGGCTGCTGCTTCGGAAGTACTGCTTTCGCCACTGTCGGTCTCGATCGAGCTGAGAGTTTCATTGTTGCTGCAGGCTTCGTCTGAACTGTTGCTGCCGAATTGGAAGTCATCGGCGTCAATGTCCACGTATTGGCTGAACAGATCGTCATAGACGGTTGCCCACTGGGGCTCTTTGTTTGTTGGCCGCATTGGGTAAGTGTGTTGCTGAGTAAGGTATGCCATGGTTGTATTGTGAGGTGGGAGTTTGTGTAAGAAGGCTGTTGAGATGCTTGTTCTGATAGGTTGATCAGACTTTGTGCACGATCTGTGCAGAAGTGTGGCTGAGGGATATGCGATCTGGTAGAGTGGTTGCCAGAAAGTTGGTCTGAACAGGGATATCAGTGACTGAACAGGTAAGTTGTAATGCACGATTATGCAGGAACAAAAACAGACATTGACACAAGAGGCAAGTGTAATATATGCATGCAGGGCTATTGTTGGTAGAGACACCCCAGCCATTTTGATTGTAAAAGGCATTCCGGGTGGTTGGTTGCTTGTTTGTATGGAATGGGAGATTTACAATAGTGTGGTTCTCTCCTTCTGTTAGGGGGTCACATGTGTTTGGTGGGTTTACCTGGCCTACGCGCTGAATGGGAACCCGGTGGCTAGCATTCCAGTGGTATACAGAGTGAGAGTGGCTGGAGAGGTCGGTGCATTCCTTGAGGCAGGGCATTCCTCAGTCCAGCGTCAATGGTCAAGCCGAACACACGTGATTATCAAACAATAGTCCACCAGGTACAGCAGAGGACAACGTGAACAAAAGTCTTATTCATGAATAGAGATGTTCTTATCTGTGGCAGGATCTCGCGTGGATCATGGAAACAACATATTGTGTCGCAGAAGAATAGTATCGAAAGTCGTCGGGCCCCCTGAGTGGTTTCATGAGCGAACCTGCCCGAAATTCGGAAAGCGAGCCACAAAGTGAGCTCAGCTTCCTCTATGAGAGCGAGTATCTATGCTAGTGTAGTCATCTGTATTCATCGTCCGGCTTCTGTGCATAATTGTTCTTCTCATTGCTGTCTTGTGAAGGTCTTTGCCTATACTCGATGTCGCGTGAGCCTCAAAGTTTCGCCTCACTCATCTCAAACTTCCAACACAAAGGCTGTGCTTCACTGTCTCCAACCCAAACATACGACACATCAGCAGCCTAGTATTATAATCCAATCTTATCTGGTTGCTGTGACTTGTGCGTCTATCCGCTTTCGTATGTTTGTTGCCCAGGGCAAGGAATGTACAGCAATTAACCCACATTCCAGCATAATCACTACAGCAAAACATGGCCGTTAACAGTATCCGTATAAGTCATCTGCTGCTTCAGGAAGCTCACTCATTCGGGCTCTTCCTCTCCTTCAATAAGTCGCTCCAGAATCTCACTCGCTCGATTCTCCAGCCTTTCCCTTTCCTGATATCATTATCACACAGTCACTCGCTCGAATATCATACAGCTTTGTAATAACATTTAGCCATAATTCCAGTCTCGATCAGTCTTCAAGATGAAGATCGAGTTTGCGGCTGCTGCAGCCATCGCAGCCTCAGGCGTCGTTGCTCAGTCTTCGTCTGCACCTATCACTTCTGCTGCAGTCAGCACTTCAACTGCATCACCGGTCTACGTCACGCTGACAATCGATGACTGCGATACTACTGCACCTCCACAGATGGTCACAGTGACCAATGGAGTCACACTTACTTACTGTCCCAAATGCGAAGAGGCTTCAATGACCTCTGCCGCTGCTCAAGTCACTCCTTTCACCACAATCTGGACAACGACTTATCTTTCTCTTTGCACGACTGGTACATCTCACGGTATGACACCAGTTGTCTACACCGTCACCGAGTCATGTACCGAACCTACCCCTACCTGGACCCCTGGTCCGTCTTACGTTCCTCAAGGCTTCACCACCACCGAAGTCGTCTGTCACCAATGTGCCGAAACTCCTCAAACCTACACTGTCACTCAACCTTGCGACTGCGAGGCTACTCCTGCCCCTGCCCCAGCAAACCCCACTGGCTCCTCACCAGGAGGCAATGGCGGCAATGGAGGAAACGGTGGCAATGGAGGCTCGGGAAGCCCTGGTGGAAACGGAGGTAACGGCGGCAATGGCGGGAACGGCGGCAATGGAGGTTCCTCAAGCCCTGGAGGCAATGGCAGAAATGGTGGAAACGGAGGCAACGGAGGAGATGGAGGCTCTTCGAGCCCTGGTGGAAATGGCGGAAATGGAGGCAATGGTGGCAACGGAGGAAACGGCGGCGATTCTGGTCCAGGAGGCAATGGAGGAAACGGAGGCAACGGCGGAAATGGCGGCAACGGAGGCTCAGGAAGTCCTGGCACACCTGGAAGCAATGGAGGCGCACCTGCTGCACCCTCTGTCCCTACTGCTCCTGCTGCTCCTGCTGGCAACGTCGTCACCCAGATCAGCGATGGTCAGATCCAAGCACCAACCGGCAACCCTCAACCCGTCACTCAGATCTCAGACGGCCAGATCCAGGCTCCTACCGCAGGTGTCGGCCGCCCAGAGGGTAACTCGACTGTCACCGCTCCTTGTCCTGGACCTCAATGCAAGCTCTCGACTGCCGCATCACCCACCGGCCCTGCAGCTGCTCCTACCAGCCCAGTCACATACACTGGTGCTGCTTCAAGCTTCAGCATGAGCGGTGTCTTCGCAGCGCTCATCGCAGTTGCTGCTGCTGGGTTCGCCGTGCTTCTCTAGAGATAGAGTTGCACTTGATGTATGCTAGTACGAGGGTGAGTGGAGTCACCGCTTTGCATGGCCGACAACATGTGTTAAAGGGCGTTTTCTTGTCTTCTTCTCATTCTTTTCGATTTCTTTTTCTTTTTTCTCCATCTCTCTTCTTTTTTCTCGTCTGTTGTCGAACTAATCCATCTATGCTCGGATATCTTATTATCTACCAAAATACAGAACAAACGATTGTGCCCCAACTTTTCCTTGCTCCAATGTATATTGCCAGCATTGTGGATAGTTTGCTTGAGATATATTGAGAATCTCTGGAAGACTTTACGTATGTTCGATAGGTGCATATCGTTGGAATGCATATATGGAACATACGAAGACATTCCTTGTAAAATTGCAGTGGGCGATAGAGTCACCCTGCCTTGTTGTATGAAGACCTCACATCAACCTGAGAATCCACACCAACTCCTCTAGAGAGCAGCCGTCATTGAGGCAAAGTACCTCTCGATCAACATCTGATATCAATGTCTGGAGTGATGCGAATAATAGGGACACGACACATCGATTCGAAGAGCATGTCGAGTAGAGTACGTAAACACTTCTTTTGTCTGACTGTTTTTGATCGGTGACATCTCTCGGCCCAGACTGACAACGACTCGAGCTTTCTTGGGGGCTACCCTCCGAACATTACTCTCTACAGCAGAGGTGTGTCAGATAACTTCAATGGCACATTATAGTGCAACAGACCACGATGGAGGTGATCTACGCCAAGCCTTGATAGATTGCCGGCACGAGCCAGACGCGAACAAATTTCTTCGAAGCGCAACGGAAGGGCACAAACGACTTTTCAACCACAATACAACTGTGATTGAACACCTCACACCGCAATAACAACATTATCACTCCTGGAACTCCCAACATGAAGCAACGAAAGTCCCCGGCTGGCAGTTCCTTATCTCCGGTCTCGAACCTTATGTCCGGCCTCTCACTGGGACCTGTCATGCCAGAGACAAAGACGACCGAGCAAGCCACAGCAATGCTCGAAGCAGTCGAACGAGAGAGAGATCTATTCGCAAAACATAGGGCAGAAATCAAGCAAAGACTCGATGATGTCACCGAAATCCTCAGACAGATCAGACTCAAGGAAGAGAAACTTGACAACACGCACAATGCTATCGACACCAAAATGGAGAACATGGACGAGATGATTGTGCACCTCGAATTCGAAAAGACCGGACTCGTGAGATGGAAGCAGGAACTCCAAAAACAACACGATGTCAATTCGAAACAAACCAAGAAACTCGAAAAGAGCCAAGCAGCTTTCCAAAAACAATCGGATCTGGTGGCACAACTCATGCGACAACAACAGGAAACGAAATCACTACTTGACGCTCGCGAAGAGGAAATCAAATCTCGTGAAGAAGCCCTGGCGCTTCGAGAGCTTGCGGTGAAGAAGGGAGAAATAACTCTCGTCCACCGAGAACAAGCTCTAAAAGCATACGAGCAGGAAGTTCAGAAGCAGATCAACACATACCTGCAAAACGAGAATGCTTTACAGGAACGAATGAATGGTATAATGAATGAAGCAGTGGACAGTTCCTTGATAAAGCACGACTCGGAGTTTTCAACGCCATACATACCTGGTACTGTAACACAGGTAATTGATCCTCTCCAAGCCATAGCTTATCTAGGGAAGACTACTTACAGGCCAGTAGAATAGAGTGTCAGAAACAAAGAATCCAGCTTCACATGATGTCGGGACAAGTAGTCCAGTTAGACAACGACGAGATCTTTACGGCAGGAATCCTGGAAGCCGCACGAATAGGCGCATCGGAACCTGAGCGGGGGCCTTGCTGGAACACAGTATCTTCCAAGTAACGTTTCAGAGAACGTGGTATGTACATCAGACGCTCAATCATCACCTCTTAAGACTATTTAGCTCAAAGGACGCACCAAAATATCTATCATGTTGAGGCGGGTCACCACCGCTACCACATGATGTCAACCGGACACACTGATAATTTGATCATCTCCATAACCTCACTACACAAACTAGGCCCTGGTACAGTTTAGCTGACAACTCCTTCAGGAGTGCTGTCTCATTAGACAGACCATGAACACCAACCGACATGCCATTGAGCCAGGAGCTCGGCAGTAGATGAACCCGCTTCTGTATAGACTTGTTACGTACACGATCCTCCCATACCCCTACCTTTTTTCCTTTAACTCACAGGATGTAAAACAATTGGTCTGTTTTTCTGAGGCGGCGTAAGACCCCGCTGCCACGATGTCAAAACAATGCGCTTGTCGCAGTACTGATGATTCGCCCTTTCCCGCAACCCTGTCATATACGTGTTTTCGAGACTGCATGCAACTGATGAGGTATCCAGGTATGCTTGCTCGTCAGACCAGATAAGTTCAATCAGCGAAACCAGCTCTGCTGCACGAGGGTACTGAAGAAGAGTTGTGAATTTCCATGGGATTTGGGGGCTTCCAAACACAATTCTTGAGGGTTCAGACTCTGGATATGCAAAAAGGACGATACCTGATATCAAACCATATGTATATACCACTCAGACCCCCCAGCCAAACAATCCACTCGATATCTCGGCACAAAACGCCAAACTCTCAGGGCTCCCTCGTATACCTAGATCTTGCCTTTGGACTCGCGCCCTCATCTCTAGCCGCAGAAACACTTTGCCCGTCCAGTTGCCCCTTCATAACGCTATCCACCTTCTCACTCTCCACGCCTATCTGATTCGGCGGCGTTGTAGGCCTTTCAACTTCCTTTTCTACAACACCTTGACTTTCTTGAGATGGTATCTTGCTCTCCTCCTCATCATTCTCATCAGAGCTTTCGTAGTCAGTATCGGTATGCTGCCACTGATCACCACCATATGCATCTCCCTCCCCCTCTTCCTTCCCAACCATATTCTCATACTCTTCTTCCATACCACACACACTCTTGACCTCCTCCTCCACATCCTCATCCCCGAACAAAAACAAACGCAAATCTTCCTTCAACACCCCACTCCAAAGCACACCCGCAATGAACCAAAGCGCCGCTAGAGGAATAAACGCGAGCCAAAAGACCAATGACCCAGCGATGTAGAGAGTATTGACAACAAGCGCAGCAGGAAAATACACAACAGTGTACGCTGAATTGAGATAGCGATATAGCGTTTTGCAAAAGTATGAGAGCAAAGTCCATAGGTTCCAGAGGATGGCGAAGGTGATGATGGCGAAGAGGGTGATGCTCAATACATGGAAGATTGTGTGGAGGTGGAGGGGTAGGGTTGGGAAGGATGTCTGGATTTTTGCTCGCGAGTTAGCATTCTTATTCTTTGTCATCGTGAGAGGTTTTGGAGGGATAAATGAGAGCGAGGAAAGAAGAGGGAGAAGAATTTGAAGGTATCGAGTGGGAAGAGGAAAGTCAGGAACCGCGAATCAAGATGATAAGGAGAGTAACCACGGTTCAACGCAGGCACGGGGAAAAAAGCAAAACAGTGGACAGGATAAGCGGAAAAGCAGCGGGACGATCAAGGGATATGACAGATGAACAGGAGGTTTTAGAAAACTTGGAACGCAACTGATATGTGAAAACCAAGGAGACAAAGTCGCAAGCAAAGAAGAAACCACTTACCTCAATCTCACCAACAATGATCAACAACACCTCCGCATCAGGATCATATATCAACCCCTGATTAAACTCCGACCAAGGATTAAACGCATTGTAAACAGACGTAACCGCCATACCCACCACCCAAAGCACGAGCAAGCGCCGCCACCAGCGATAAGCAAAGACACCAAGGCGTCTAACAATATCGCGCAACATGCGGATAACAAGGTCCTCAATGCTCATGTCTTTGAGTTCGTCCCAAAAGTCTTCCCTGTCGAAAAGACTGCGAGAAGACACTTTCGGCCTACGCGCCTCCTTGCTTGATGCCGTCTTCGCCGAGGATATTGTAGTATTTGCCCTTTTGGGGGTCCGACAGGACCTCGTATGCGTACTTCAATTCTTTGAATTTTTCGGCGGCGGCTTCTGGTGATGAAGAGTTTTTGTCTAGAAGGAGAACACAAAAGTCAGCCGGGTTCCCCACAGCTAATAGCAACATGGTCGTGACTACAAACCGGGATGGAACTTGAGAGCGAGCCTGCGGTATGCGGCCTTGAGCTGAGCTGGGGAAGCGTCGGGGTTGACGTCTAGGATTTTGTAGAACTTTGTTTCTGCGACCATGGTCTGGTGGTGGAGGAGATTCGAGGTTCGCCAGGGGTTGTACAAGCGATGATAGGGCTGTGGAAGTTGAACAAAGAGTATCAAACCACAAAGGACATTCCAGACCGGATCTGGCAATCACTGGCGTTTTATTCGAAAAGAGTGGTACCCGAAGCTAAAAGCTTCGATATAACAATAGTCTTCTCTGGCTCTGTGAAAGCGCTCTGTCGATCAGAGGTTAGATAATGGTAGTTTGATCCATGCATGAAAACTAGACTTAGAATGGAGTTCAGCTGGGCAAACGGCGGGAAAGCAGATGATAAATACAAGAACTTGGAGCAATAACGATCAAAAGTCAATAAGCACAATCTAGATACAGTGAAATTGTCAACCGCTTTGTCTTCCACCATATCGTTTTCCTCCTCTTTATTGGTCCTCCCCTCGCCTACGAGTCACCACATTCTCAACCAGGAGAAAGCGGTTGCCGCGCCCCAGCACCAACGAACCAACTCCCAAACACCAGATTCCAGCACCAAGCAATCACACCCCAAAACATCACCAGCACATGGCCCGGCACCCTCTTGCCCACATAAACATACTTTCCCTCGGGCGCGTATCCATTAGCGTTCGCCCAACTCCATTCCGCCGCTGTATTCGCCGTGGCGCTACCAAGATACGAACCAGCGAAAACAGTGAAGAAACAGCAGAGGATAATCTGCCAGTTTGCGAGTGCAGTGGCAACGAAACTTTTGGCAATGGGTGTAGCTGTATTGGAGAGCAGATCAAAGACGTGCACTTTCGTACCTGGAGGGGGTGTGAGAGGACTGCTCGGGTCGGGGTTGGTGATGGATTTGAAGTGTTGGAGGGTGCGAGGCGACATGTCTTTTGCGGGTACGCGAGGGCGTTTGATGTTCAGGGTGTTGATTCTGGGCAGCTTTCCATGCTGAGGGGGGCGAGTCTTGTCGAGGGCGATTTGGTCCGAGGTGATTTCGTTTGAGAGAGGAGATTTGGGTGACTTGGTTGAGGTAGGAGATTTGACAGCTGGATTTGACGAGTGTGAGGTACCGGATGAAGTCGCTGTCAAATTTGCTGGGAGTGGTGCGCCAGACGGCGATTTGACCGGCGGGCTAGTTTGAGTTCCAGCATTCGTGGTGTCGGAAGCTGCATTCTTCTTAAATGGAGCTATTGGACTTGTCTGGACCCCGCTACTCAATACCTCAGCAAAGGTCTTGCGAGGCGAGGTAGGCTTGTTCGACGAAGCAGCGATGGGACTTGTTTGGAGTCCACTGATGATCATCTCAGATAGCGTTTCTGCTTTCTTTGCAGAGGGAGAAATAGGACTCGTCTGAACACCACTGCTGATGATTTCCGAGAAAGACTCTGTTCTCTTTGCAGAGGGAGCGACGGGGCTCGTCTGAACTCCACTTGTGATGATCTCCGACAAAGGTTTGGGAGTTGAAGTGTTTGCCTCGGGGGCAACTAGGCTCGTCTCAACTCCACCGCTCATAACTTCCTCGAAAGCCTTCTTTGCCTCAACAGAAGCAGCGATAGTACTCGTTTGAACCCCACTGCTTATAATCTCACCAAAAGTCCGAGGAGCAACAGTTTTCGGTGAAGCAGCAACAGGACTTGTGTTGACACCGCTCCTGACATCCGAGAAAGTGAACTTCTGAATCAAAGCAGCGATGGGACTTGTTTGCACTTCATGGCTAACGATCTGAGACAAGCTCTTCTTCTTGGGCGATGCGATAGAACTTGTCTGCATCTGGGTACTTGTAGTCTCTGGCTTTTTGGGCGAAGGGATGGGAGAAGTTTGATTGCTACCGCTGATGTTGTTAGGAGTGGCCTTGATGGAAGGATGAATAGCGATAGACTTGACTCCAGACAAGCCAAGCGTGGGCTTGGTCTTCTTTGGTGTTTGTTCAGAAGCATGACTGCGAATACTGGCTGCGTCAGAGGCATCTCCTCCATCTTCAGACCAGAACTCATCATCACTCAAAGCCTCGAACTCATCAGCAAGGTTGATACCACCGATGGATGCACGCTTGGGCTTTTCGGGGCGTCGAGGTCCATCGTCGTCTCGTGTGGCCGTCCACTTGTCCATAAACTCAAAAAGCACATCGTCCAGCTCCTCGGCAGCAAGGTCTTTGGTGACGGTGATATGGCGAGCCACGATATCCAGTCTTTCGAGCAAACTCTCGATCTCTCGATCTTTGGTTTCCAGCTCTTGTTGAAGTATCGCTATATCCCCCTCCAAACCCTTGACTTCGGTGATTTGGTCATCGCGCTCGGCTTTTGTTGTCGTGAGATCGGCGGTGAATTGGCGGACTTCGGCTTCGCGGTCTTCGATGGTGAGTTCGAGGTTGGCGATACCTTTGATTTCCTTGTCTCTTGCTTCGACAATCTTCTCAAAGGTCGAGGATTGGCGGCGTAGCTTGACGTTTTCCAATTGTGTTTCTTCGTGTTCTTTTTCGTGGTTGCGGACACGGTCTCTGAGTCTGAGGAGCTCGAAATTCTTCGCCTTGATGTCGAGCTGCTGCTCTTCGACCTTTTTTTCGAGCTTCTCGTTCGAAGTTTCGTAGTAGCTGAAGTTTTTGTTCACTTCTTCGAGTTTGGCTTTGAGTTCTTTGACTTTTGCGGCGAGAGGTGCTGATGGGTCGTTGAAGGGCAGAGGTGAGGGCTCGCTAGAATGCGCGTCCATGATGTGGTGTTTGGTGTTTGGTGTTTGGTGTTTGTTTCTGACGAGGCGCCGTGAAGAGATGGTTCTAAATACCATGGCGAAGGAGTTGTAACAAAGAATCACTACCGCCGCCTTTGGACTGTTTGACAATGAAAAGTGAGTCAAGGTTGAAGATGGTTCAATTGCATTCATGACCGGAAATGGAAATTCGACACTCTTCATTCACTTTCGGATTTTTTTGTCTGCACACATATCGCCAACACTCTTGGTAGACACCCTTGGACATGTTTCAAGACTCACATAGCATTGTTGTATCGGAAACCATGAAAAAGATGTCAATTGTCTTAGAACAAATATCCGTGGTCTGGACTGTGAGAGATTACAGACGAGAATCGTTAACGCACGTGTAGTGAGAACGACCCAACACACCCCGCCACACCATCTGACCAGACCAAAAAGTGAAGATGCGTTGTGATGCAAATGGCTCAGAGTTTGCGGAAAACAGAAACAAATATCATGAAATCATCAGAGATGCAAGAACTGGCAGGAAAATCAGGGCAAAGCGACTGCACACTTTATCCTCCGGTTGTAAGCGATATCTCATGTTCTGGCACGCTTTGCAGGTGACCTGCTTCGACTTGGGTTGGCCCTTCTCTTTCCACCAGTAGTCTCGTTCTTGTGGATCACGTTGAATATCTGATCGGCTACCATGAGATCCTCTTCCGAGATCTCGGGCAGTTTCCAGGGGTCATGGGACGGGACAATCTGTTCGGGGTATAGGTATTTCTTCATGCCACCAAGGACTTTCTTGAGAGTGTAGAAAGAGCCACCTTGGAGAGCGTCCCTTGCTTCTCTGCCTGTAGTAACGACTCAGTAGATGTTTTGATAAAGACGAGATGTTTTCACTTACCACGGGCCAAATCAGCTGTTATCTGTCTGCTCATGACTTGCTCCATGTGAGGAGTCTCGCCGTAGGGGAAGCGGGCAGCCTCCTTACGATGCCAGACTTCTGGATGGGGTAACTCGGGCAGGTTGAGACGAGCAGCGGCAGCCGCAGGCTTCTTTGGACTGGCTTTGGCGAGCTCGGCGGCTTTGGCAGCGGCGGCGGCCTTGTCAGCGCGATTCTTGGCCGCGATTTCCTTGTCTTGAGCCTGCATGACTTGATTCTTGGGGTCTTGGGGTCTGCCGAGAGTGGTGCCATCCGGGTACAGACGCCACTGGTCATCCTTGTTGGGCTTGATGGGCTTGATCATCGAAGTGCTGTCGGGGAACTGGTCGCGGGTGAACCATTGTTCGGCGCCCTCGGCAATGCGGTTCTCATGGATCCAAATCATGTAGCGGACCCTGGCGCAGAGGTTCTCGGGGTCTTCCTCGTGGTCAGGAGTGATGCCGTCCATGTGGGGGTGGTTTATGTCCAGCCAGGTCTTGATCCTGCCCAATTTCTCCTCAAAGTCGACCAGGTTCTCGACGCCTTCGTCGGACAAGAAGTTGATCATCTGGCGCATTCTTTGCCTGACGTCGACAGGGGCTACCACCTTTTGACCGTAGCGGTTCAGAACAGCAGGCTTGTCGGTGACGGTCATGGGTGGAGGTGCTGGAGGGAAGGGGTCCAACATGTGTTCTGGAGGGGGAGAATCTGCGATGATCAGACGACGCTTAGCTGGCGAGACGGTGCGGGCTCGAGGAGTTTTGGTCTTTGGCTTTTCGGTTGCAGCAGCTTTCTTGGGAGAAGCTGGCTTGTCGGGAGCAGCTGACTTTGTGGGAGAAGCTGATGCTTGGGGGCGACTTCGGGAACGGACTGGAGAGCTGGAGAGTTTGGTTGGCGACTGGACGGGTTTGGTGGGAGAGCGCGTGGGTTTGGAAGGGGAGTGCGGCTTTCTGGCGGGCGAAGTGGGCAAGGGGGGAGCTTCTTTAGACGGCGGAGCAGCGCGTGGCTGTCTCGAAGATGAACGTGTGGCGCGTACATTCTGGATGGCTTCTGCACTTTCGGGCTGCTTGGTCGAGGCAGAGGGTCTGGCCGAGGAGCCCAACTTGGTGGCAGGGCCATGTTTGTCGTGCCAATCCTGATTCTTGGTCTTGTTGGGCGACGTCTTTGGATTCATGGTTGCTGGTGCTTCCGTCTCGGTATCGGTGCCCGAAGCGTAGGCGCCGAAAGTGGACTTCTTAGGCGGCGCCATGGTTGACGTGCTTTTGACTGGATCTGAGTGTGAGTGAAAGTCAGTCTGAACTCAGCACGAGACGAGACAGTGCCGACGCGTCTGCAACGGTCTTAGAGATGGCGAAGGGAGGCAGAAGGTCTGACTGTCGACTCTTGAGCGAAAAACAATGGCCTACCTGAACAAGGCGCGAAATGAGGCTGCATTCCTCAGTCCGAGGGTGCGTGCCTCAGCTACATTCCGAACGGAACAACACCAAACAATCGCCCTGAGACCGAAGCTGCAGCTGCCAGTTGGTTCTCTGCTCCAACGAGGGCAGCTGCCATGTCGTGGCTGTCTTGTCGTCGGCCACTCTTGCTCAGGGCGCTCCTGCCTCTGCGACAACGATCGGGCTGCAGCATGCCATCTAAGCTTCTACCTCTGGCACAGTCGGTCGCTTGTCATTCTCACCACGCCTTTGCGTGTTTGTTCAAGCAGGTGCAGACGCAGTCGCGGGCAATCAGAACGACGAGTCGATTGTCTTGGTTGTTGTTGGAGTTACGAACGACTTCATCAATGACGCTTGCTGTCTTGGCATTTTGCCGGATCGAGCTCCGTCTTTTTTCCATCTCCTCCACATGCTAATTACTCCAGCCTGCCACTTTGCTGTAACAATGCATGATATTTTTCAAGAGCGTGTCGACGATATTGGGATTCATCACAATTGTAACGATGAAATTTCTCGGCATGAACTGTGTACGGCTCCTGCGACCAGCTATGGGAATGCACAATACTTTCCAGAGCTGAGCGCCATCCACGAGAAAGGTCGTCTCAAACTATCAGCCACACTTTCGTTCATTTAGATACTCTCCATCCGCCCCCATTAGCTAAATTCTGGCACAACCAACTGCTCTCATATCAACGATAAGGCCGAGTTGAAGCGATCACAATGCACAATACTTTCAAGAGGATAGCGACAGCCACTAAGAGCACTTAATATCATGACACTCTCGTGGACTTTATGTGGATGCTTTCAATTTCACAAGAGGGATCTTAAATTTCCAAGGTTGTCGGTGTGCTAAAAATCTGCACATAGGGAGGAGCTATTGTAAACCTGAATCACCAGTCCTTGCCACAAATCGAATCGATTCTTTTCCCCGTATTCGTGATGATGTGGAACCCACACAGAGTCTCCAGGAACCCTTCGAAACAGCTAATGTACTCTTCTTTGTGCTCCTCAAACTCTTTTGTGTTGCCCTCTGGGTCCTCGCCTGCGTTACACGCCATGTTGAACACTCTTCCTTGGAAGAAGTCACGGAGCTTATCAACAGACTGAGCGCAGAACTGGGTGCTGCTCATTCCTTGGTCGATGAAGCGAGCAAAGGCTGGTCTCTGTTTGACTGCATCAGTACACGGTACAATGAACGAGACACTGAATCTCTGCCTCTTCCTGTGTGCGGGCCTGTGTGACGTGGGAAGCCAGGAAGCAACTTACGAATCTTGGATGAAGACAAGTGGTATCAACAGCATACTCGCTGCCCAGTCTGGTGTATGGACCGGTACCCGGCGGCCAACTGCAGCAAGTCGGTGCTGGAGGTCCGACCCACACGTCTATTGTCCTTGTTCTGGGAGCAGGAGTTGTAGGTGCAGGTTGTTCCGTCACGTCGATGGTAGAAGTCGAGGTCGAGGTACGAGTCACAAACTCTGTGGGTATGCTAGAGTAGGTATTGATTTCGGTGTGCGTTTGCGAAACGTCGGTTGTCATGGTGGATGCATCAGTCTCAACGACCGAATGGCTCGAGGTAGTGACCTTGGTCGCAGTACGAAAGCTTGTCTCCAAATTGGTCAATAGCTCGGTGGAGCTGATAGTACCAGTCGTAAGAGCGTCTTGTCCAGAGTAGTCGATCTGGGCAGAGCATCTCGAGACGATGAAGAGCAGAAGCAAGGACTGGGAGAACATGGTGGACGTGGGATACTGTGGATGTAGAGAGAAGAAGAATGCTCGAAGAGGTTTGAACCTGGAATCATGTCTTTGTTATAGCTCATTAACAGCTCATTCTTGCTCACGCCATCGTGACTCACCTGTATCCAGTGGCTTTGAGGGAAGGAACGATCACAACAAGCTGGCCGATGCGTCATACTGGGATGCCCACGTGGTTCGGTCTTTCGCAGAACGACTGCGTCTGTTGTTCGTGTCTTGGCGGGAGGTACTCGGCTGTTTGCTCTTTCCCCTTTGGGATTCATCAGATTATAGTCACTTCACCGAACTCTTCCTTGTCTCCAATCACTTCCTCCATCGGTATTACCACTCAATTCTCTTGTCGTTGTTGCCAACCATCTCCGTCGTCATGCCACCGCAAGGCGCTGCTTACAATGTGGAATAGGTTCTCTCATCTACTTCAAATGTTCATGTGGCCGCTAATCGTGCATGGTTCACGTGCTACATAGCCTTGAGTGCAAAAGTTGCAGAGCGACGACTTCCAAGCGGAAATAGAGGAAGATCCCACCTCTCATGTCGCCGACTACAAGGTTCCTTCCGACCAACTCGACTTCCTCAAGACTCACTACGCTCATTCAGGCAACCTCATGCGTATCAACGGTCTCAAGCCATGGGATGATGATGACTGTGACGGAGCAGTCAGTATCGTGAAGGCCATTATGGATGACGAGAATTGAGATTAAGGTATTCAGTCTGGTCTTATGGTGTGGATGGCAAGTTGTGCTTGAACGTGACTCTTACAAAGTGGAGAACGAGGCGCAAGAAGAGTTGATAGGGAGAGGGTAAGGGGTTTTCAAGAGGCATGTGTTATACCTTTTGAGTCACGTTAAGCTTGAGCAAAGTTGACGAAGTGAGAATGAAGACGCATGATGAATATTGAGCTTACTTTGATATATTCACGATGCTGTCAGTGTATTATCTTAGCTGGGGGAGAGGAAGCAACGAGAAGCGGATTTAATGCTATTCCAACCCACAAGAGTACTCGATTTATTCAGCACGTATATTCCATGTCCACTCGCAACTCTATCGTGGTTCAATCCGTACGAAGAACAAGATCTTGCCAACCCTTCTTCAACACGGCCTTCTTGTCGTGATGATCTCTAATGAAGGCCAGTACAGTCTCCTCCGGGAACTTACCGTACAATCCCATATCAAACTTATGCTTGATCTTCTCTCTCACATGCTGGGCCCTTTTGTAGTCTGCATTTCTGACCAATATATCTGTAGGTACACCAGTCGATTTCAGATGATCACTGTGAAGCTTTTCTGCTGCTGATTCGGCGGTGATATGTGGGATATACGGTTGCTCGATTCTAGACTCAGGATCTGCAAAAGGTACAGCGATTTTCTCGTAGTGAGCAAAGGTGTCCCAGTTGTAACCATCGACATGTTCGAGAACGTCGAGGATGGTGTATCTGTTGTGAGGATCGGACCAATGTGTCCTTGTCCAGCTCTCGACTTCGCGAAGGTCCTCCATGTAACAATACTCGACGAGAAGGCAACAGAGATCCATCCAAGCTATTTGGTCGTTGGAATCGAGAGTGCCGGCATGCGACCGAGACGCTACTGTGGGTGTCTTCATGCAGTAATCAGTCACATAGCTGGGATTGTATGCAATCAATTTGTCGTCCCAAACTCGCGAGACGTCCAGAAGCGTATTACGGTGAGAGATCAAGTCGTTTTCAAGGAATTTCTGAAGCCCGACTCTATCGAGATTGCCTTTGAGAAAGATGCGTAAGAAAGTCACGATATCGTAGCCGCAATCCATGCCTGAGATCTTGAGGTATGACATATTGACACTGGACATGGGCTTGCATACTTCTCCGGCTTCTTCTTGGATTGTATCAAAGTCGTCAGAGGCGTATTGATAGCCGAATTTGGGTCTAATAGCCACCGGGGCCGGCTGACCTCTGACACCGCCGCCAATTCTTGGTGTCGTGTTGATTGCATCGAATTGTCTCTCGAAGGCGGTAAAGATGGCCATCAAACTTCTAGCAATATCCATATGGACGCCTCGATGGTTGTTTCCGACATGGACCTTGAAGTCTGTAAATTCGTTAGTCAAGACTCTGTAATTTGGCTTGACGCTCAGTGTCTTCAAAGCTTGGTCTACTGCTCTGACCTCCGTATTCCAGTGGCATTGAGCACGACGTCCGTGATGATCGTGATAGAGCCAGTCTCCGTCGATGGGGCTAGCAAACTTGTCTCCAGGACAGTAGGTCTTATTGTAAAACCTGAAGACGCGACTGATGATCTGAATGCCAACGACGAAATATCTGTCAGAGAGAGCCATGAATTCCTCGTCGTGGAGATGTGCATCTGGGTTGATGTCGACCTTCCAGTATTTGTTTCTGTCCGCGTGGTTTTCGTCTAGATGTTTGAGTGACACGGGGAGTGTGTACTCATGGTCGGCTTCACATATATTACAAACATCGCCTATGAAGGAAGTGCTTGCGAGGGCGTTACGAACGATAGTCTTCGCTGTCTCTTCGATATCCCAATTGGCAAGGTGATAGCGTGGATAGACAAGGATGAAGCCGATTTTGCAGCCTATCGTCAGTGTTTTTAGTTCTCTGGGAGGAGGAATTAAATCTTGTTTGGCTGTGGTTGGGGCTTGACCCGAAGTTTTGGTTGGGTGGAATCTGGGAATTGGAGTCATTGTTTGAGGTTCTGATTTGTTGTATGGTTCTGGAAGGGAAAGAAGAGAGAGGGATCTACCCCCGAGGGGCGACTATGAGATAGTACTATTTGTATGGAATCACAACACAACAAAGGATACAAAGAGAGTCGCTCATTAGGGTGTGATTGACAAAGAGAAATGTCCACAGTCGCCACCAACATCGACACAATGCAATTCCTCCCGCCTATATCGCAGCCTTTGAGCCCACGGACGCCTGTCACGCTCTGTTGTTATCCGCATCCTGCCTTTGAGTAATATTCATAATGGCTTTGTGCGAGAGGACAAGCCTTTGTCGCCTTTGTGAAGGACAAAAATCACCCAACAATGGGACAAGGAGTGCTTTGTTCTCTTGTCCCCGTTGAGCAAGTCTTAATCATTGACCCGTCCTCTCCTCCCTCGACTTCTCTCCTCAGAACAGAAACGAAATCTTACTAACCACATTAAAAATAAACACAGTGTCAGCATGTCGCAAACCTCCGAGCCACAACACCTCGGGATCATCTCTCATATTTATGATGACACATTCAACAGTTACTACGCGCACGAGAGAAGTCTTGGTCAAGGCGGTCAAGGTGATATCAGCCTTGCCAGAATCAAAGTCACAGGTAAGCTTGTTGTCGTCAAACGTTTGAGACTGCTGCCCAACACAGACCTCAGTACTGTCCCCGAGATCGTTATTCTTAACAAGATTCAGAAGCTCGGAAGTCATCCCAACATCCTCCCCTACCTCCAAATCTGGCAAACCCCGGCTGCTCCTGGAGAGTGCCCCACAAGCCGCATCATGATGCCCTATCTCCCTGGTGACCTCAACACCCTCAAAAGGTCCTTCGACAAGATGAATGTCAAAGTCCCTGAAGCTTTCATTTTCGACGCCTACAAGCAGTTGGTCTCTGGGCTCAGCTTCCTCCATGAGAATGGGGGTATCTCACACCGCGACATCAAGCCTGAGAATATTATGATCGACCCTGTTGAATTTGGTAACCCAGCTCTATTTCCTACCCTCAAGGTGATTGACTTCGGCATTTCTTGTGAGACGACTGCTGACCACGAGACTCCTGACGGCACTCCTAAGTGGCAGCCTCCCGAGGCCCCTATCGCTGGCAGAAAAGCAGATGTCTGGGCCATTGGAGCTGTCATTCATTTCTTGGCTACTGGTTCTGCTACAAAGGTTGATCGTCCTACTAACGTTCCCATCGAAAAGGCTACTGATTACTACCGCAAAGCTGCTCCTCGAGTTCAGCGCCTCGTTAACACGGACACCCACAAATTTGCTCTCGGCTCTTTGTCTCACACTGAGGCTCAGGACTTGACATACAACTCCGGAAACCCACTTCCTCGCGAAAAATACTCTCCCCTGCTTGAATACTGGACTGTTCGTGCTCTCGACTTCAACCCCTCTACTCGTATTACTCTACCAAGTTTGAGTGTTTCTATGTTCGATGATGCTGACAGACAGATCAACTACTACAAGGCTTGGTTCGCACACTGCAAAGCTGAGAGCATTCAACGTCCTCTTCTTACTTTTGCGATGACCGAACCCCACACTAATTGGGCTCCTGCTGAGTAAATTTCTTTGGTAAGTCAAGCAGTCAGGCTGGTCCTGGCTGTAATAAATCTTACGGTAGGTCTTATGATCACGACATAACTCATTGTAAGTTTTCTGTTCTCATATGATGATCCTAATACATGATTTTTTCTCCTTGAAAATCTACCCTTCCATGATTTGAGTCGCGCACTCCTTTGTAGATTTAATTGCTATGTTCTCAAATCAAATCTGGCACCACTCCCTTGAAGTACATTTTCTTTGTCTGCGTCGAGATCAATGTCCTCTTCTTGACATCTGCTTTGTTATGGCAATACACCTTTGTCCGTTGTATCTTTTGCACAAGTTGACATGCTTTGTAGCCTTTGTTCCTAGATGCTAGCCTCAAAGTCATTCTCCCATTTATACTGCGATATCTGCCTTCTTGCTGAAACTCTTACAGCTTTCCACCTATTTCTTGCTTACTTCCATACAGTCTTTCAGTCTCTCAACAGGCCGGTCCCTGATCATTCCCCCAACCCTCAAACACGATGACTCAACATACAACCCAAACAATCACCCTCTTCGGCCTCACCTTCGGCCTCACCTTCCCCAAGAAAACAAGAACACTCGCCGAATGCGAAGTCCCCGGCGCATGGCCCGAGGACGAACCCGTACTCAAAATCCCAGGTGCATGGGGCGAATCCACCGATGAGAATTGGTGTGGACACATGATGTGTTGGATTGAGAATGACTTTGGTTTCGAACATTTCTGCAGCCGGCATGAGGTTGTTGAGGTTTATCTTTCCGGGCTGAAGCTTTGATAGACACGACCTATTCATATTTCTTTTTTCTGTCTTGCTTGTGTATCATGTAACTTCATGCCTACATCTTGTGTGCTGTCGTGATTCTAGAATTTTAGATGAGCAATGTCGTTTTTGGTATGCTTTTGAATGCTAAGATGCCGAATCCAAGGCACCTTCGCTGGGGGAATTTTCAGACCATGCTTATCGTGATCTTCGACGAAAGCTTGATCGCCGTTATGTGAGCAGTGTATTCCCGATCTCGCTGTTTGTCGACTTGTGTTCTCCGGATCCGGCAGGCTCAAGAGACAGAAGCCATCAGTGGTTTATCCGATGTGTTTTTGTTACACCTCCCTCGTGGCCTTGAAACCGGTCACGCCGATATTGCCTTCTCTCCCCACACCCCATTGATTCTTCTCCTGATTTTCCACCATCCTCCTCTTCAGACTGACTTCCATGGTCCTTCTACCCTTCTTACGACCTTTCAAACCATCATCGTTCTTGTCGTAATACAACGCCCATCTCGGATGCCCTTGCTCATTTCTATACATTTCCTCTTCCACAGCCAAGAAGCCCTCAAAATCATCCAGCGTGATACTCGAATCATTGAACTCGTCCGTCCAGTCGTAAGGCCCAACTTTATGTGCAATACTGCCCGTGCGGTTGGCATACTTGAGCTCAAAAGTGTCATTGTCCACGTAGATCCAATTGAGCATGGGTGGATCTTTCTGAATGGTCGTCACCAGACCCCGTTCAGCCGGAGAACGATCCTCATCCGGGTACATGAGATAGAACCCCGTAAAGGGATGCGAGTCCTCGCGTCTGGGCAACCCCGTCGCCCGATTCTTGGCTTCGATCCAGAGTTTGTCGTCGCGGACAACGACGATGCTGTCGTGAAGGACTTCTCCTCGTCCTCGTGACCGTGATCCTTCATCCTCTATCACCACATCGATGTAAAATTTTGTCGTCCGTGATTCCGGGTTTGCGTTGGCGGCTTTTTCGTTTTCTTTTTGTTGGTGGGAAACGCCTTGGGCTACGCCTGTCACGACGCCGACGCCTGTTGCGGCGGTGACTGGCAGCGCGATGCCTAGGCCCATTATTACGCCGAACACCATGTTGGACTGATAGTGGTTGTATTTCTGTTTGGGTGATACGATAAGAAGCAGCTCTGAGATTTAGGTTGATAGATTGTTGTGCATGTGAATTGTGGTAGGTAGAGGTTCGTGGTCAAGAGGCGGGGAATACTCCGGGTGAACGTCATTGCACCGCGTAGCCAGCCAAACCTGTTTCGAGTGTTCTTTAAGGTTGACCAGGATTCAGCGCCGAACAAACAAAAGCACGGCATAGATAGGAACTTGAACAGAAGGTTTGGGAGCTCGAACACAGTAAATTGTTGCAACTCATCAAGGCTAGTCCTGTTGATATGACTCTATGCTATACAAGTTTATAATTGCTCTACGTCATTCTACCCAAGACTTCTCCTTCTCCCTCTTCCCCTTTCCTGTTCACCATCTCGCACGTCCACGTCCTCCATGGCAATATCCTCCACCTCTACCCCCACACCTTCTTCTCTCTTCCTACTGACAGCAGGAGCAGAGCTACTTCTCCAACTTCCCACTATCCCAGCAATAACGCCGATACCGCCCTCAACAGCTCTTTTGAGACTTTCTCTTGATGAACTTCTCGTTACCATGGCAGGCCGCGATGGAGTGGTATTAACAGCAAGAGGTGAGATAGGTGTAGGGATCTCAGATCGAGAGTGACGATGCTGAGCTCGAGAGACTAAGCTGGCCAGATCTGCTAGGGCAGTAGTAGGTGTTGCTGTGGAGGGCACGTCAATGTCAATTCCATCGATTGTCTCGGCGACGGCTTGTTGTTCGACGGTAAGAATGTCTTTGAATTCCGTCTTTGGCTGCTCGGCAGGAGCATCCGTCATGTCCACATCTGTGATTTCCATGCACGAAGGCTCGTTGGGGTTGGGCGTACTAGATACACGATTCAACGAGGGGAAGGTAGTTTGTAAAGGCGTATCAACGCCAAATTGCTTGCCCCAGCGACATTCGGAAGGATAGTCGCAGCGATTCCAGCAATCTTTGACTGGTTTGAGAGGTTTGGCATTTTTCCAGGAAGAAGTGTGGCCAGTGAATCCAGCAGCAATGGGAGAAACAACAGAAGCCGTAGAAGATGTCTCCTCTAGAACTTCATCTTCAGTGTCATCACTATCGAAAACACTGTCGCAAGGTGAGTTTTGTCGCTTCTGTTGTTCAGTAAGAGTTAGAAGATTGCGCTTCCATACACCCCGGTCCTTCCATCCTGCATAGTCGAATTCAGAGGCACAAGCTTTATGGCGACGAAGTCTTCTGACGCCGTCTTTGCGGGAGCGAACCACAGAGGTGCCGGCGCAGAAGTAATGGCCGTCATCTAGACAACGACGAGTAACAGATAAATTGTACTGGCGGTGGCAGAGATGACATGCCCAGAGCCATTTCATCGGTTGCCGTTTGGGAGGAGGTAGAAGGTCGATCAAGTCTGCATTGGCAGTGGCGGAAAATGTTCGCTTGAGAGTGGGGGGTGTGATGGGATCCGCTGGGGAAAATGGTGATGGAGGAACCGCAAGGCGGGAAGATCGAAATGGCACAGCCGTTACGTTGATCTTTGCAGGCATCTTTCCAGAGATTATGTGAGGAAGAAGGCCGGCTTCAAAGATGTGTTTGCTTCGTGTGTGATGTGAATTCTTATGTCAAGGAACCAGTCCGTGACAAGAAGAGATGTGATAGTAGAAGCACAAGAGGTTGAAGCGTCGACGATTCGATGTCGAAAGCGATGACTCCATCTCATCATGGGCAGCCAGATACTTTAAACACTCAGTCGCGGCCATTGATGATTCCAACAATGAATGTTGCAGATTTGACTTGAAGCGAGACAAGATTTGACAATTGCTCAGTATACTCTCGGACAGTCAGCGAGACACGTCGTCGCAAGATTGCCTCGGCCATCTCTTTGTCCGACCTGTCTTGGTATCTGAAATGTCTTTGTTGATGAAGGAGTCCGCTTGCTCGATGCACGTGGAGTCTTTGTTCTAAATTTGTAATGTCGAGTTGATTTGCCAAGATGCTCGCTTGTGTCTTTGTCTGTGTTTTGAACTGTCCTTTGTCGGATCGCGTGGCAGGTTTGACACACGTGGCGATGAGTTTTGATATCTCAAATGATGCATTGGCGGCTATGCGACAAACAAAGAAATGTTTGCGGGAAGAAGGTCATCTTAAGGTCATATCATCGATGCCGAGCAAGTGTGGATTAGCAAGGAAAGCTGTAATATGTCAACGGTCACGTCATTCAAATGGAGTTGGAACGGAAAGTCAAGTTGTTGAACAAAAAGTAATATCATTATCATAACACACACACTTACGGAAGCTCAAACACATATAGCAAAAGACCTACCAGATGGAGCTTTGCAGGGCCAGCCTGTTGTTGGAGCGGTTGGTTAAGGTAAAAAGGAAGCACTCACCTAATGTCTACGACGAAGGTTGTACTTTGAGGGAGTGGGAGCTGCGCTAGTAACAAAGATGTGATCATCTTCATCGTCAGAGAAGAGAGGAGTGTGGTGTCTTCTTTTATTGGGTCTGGAGGTGGACTCATCATCATTGTCAGTCTTGCGGGTGTCAGAGCGAGCAGGCTTCTTCGTGGGGGCGTACTTGTAGTCGGGGAAAGCTTCAAAGTGATTAGCTTTATCGATGTCAGCACAATTGATGTAGAACTTGCGGACGCTTTCAGGCTCAAGCTTCCATGAAGCTCCAGCAATGATGGAAACAGCCTGATAATCTGTTTTGGATAAATGTTGCCTGATGCGGTCAGCGTAGGCAGCGCGATAGCAAACAAAACTGTTCAGAGATCGAGAGATTTTACCAGATCTTGCGGTCGCTTCAGCACGCCTGATATCGACAGAACGAGAAGCGACGGCAAGCATATCTTTAACGGGAATATCAGAACTTTCAGTCAGAACACTAATGGGTGCATTGAGCTCAAAAGCTGGTCTGTGAGGCTGGGGGTAACTAGTCTTTCGACGTCTGGCAGGAGTAGTAGGGGTTGAAGGGTCCTTGTAAGTAGTCTTTTTGCCGGCGGTTCTGCGCGATGTTCTGGAAGGGGTAGGGCTGGGGGCAGAGATGGGTTCAGGCTCAAGCTGGAAGTCATCAAGACTTGGAAGGTCTTCATAGTTTGGGAGAGTGTCAAAGCCTGAGAGGTCGTCAAAGCTGGGGAAAGCGGGAGCATCAGAAGTCGGAGTGAAAGAGAAGCTAGAGTCCATGGGCATAGGCATAGGAGGCTGCATCATTGGCATCATTGACTGTTGATCGTAGAAGACAGGAGCGGGAACCAACATATAGCCAGGAGGAGCTTGATAACCGAAGTTGGGGTAAGGGTATTGAAACATGGGCATAGGCATAGGCATCATCATAGGAGGAGCAGCGAACTGATTCGTGTTGGTTGAGCCAAAGCTGTTGAAGCCAAGGCCAGAGTTGAAGAGACCAGTATCGGAGTCGAAGTCGAAGTCGAAGTCAGAGTCAGACGGAAGAGATAGACCAACGGAAGGGGTCGAGAAGTCAATGCCATCGGTAGGAATATCTGATGAAAGGTCAGCGGGGAAGTCCGAAATGTCAAAGTCGAGGTCCATGTCAAGTTCAAGATCAGGCAGACTAACAGTGAGCGAGTCCTGCTCGACAGTGGGAATGATCAGGTCCTCGAGAGAGAAGTTTTCAAGCAGCTCAGACATCCTGTTGGTTGTATTTCTGTTTCGAATTGGTGTTTTCGAAGATGTGTGAAAAGTGGTAACGAGATGTAGAGCTGCTGTGTTGTGTTGTTGTATGCGTGTGTGATCTTTGCATTGACAGGCGTATAACGGGGTTATGTACATTCTCACGTTGATCCCTGAACACAATCCATTTGTTTCTCGACAAAGAGCCGGACAATGGGCACCCTCGAAGATGAAAGAAGATCGTTGCTGGAGATTGTCTTGAACAAAGCCGTGATCGGATACATTGTGCTCGCCTCTTTGTCACTTGATCGTGTGAAATAGAGCAACAGTTGCGGAGCTGATGATCAAACCTATCTGTGGTTGAATAATTGAGTGCAGTTATGCGATGGCACGTCTCGAATTCACAAAGAGCACAGACGACTATGCAAGGTCCATAAATTTGTGCAAGACGGCTGCTGTGCCTCCATCTCAAAGCTTCCACGTCTCCAACTCCCAAAACACCGCAGCCTCTCTCTTGTAATCGCAACAATCAAGACCACGGAATAAAAATGAAGTTCGTTACTCTGACCGGTGCATTGGCACTCTTCGCCACCGCAGCTTCTGCTTTGGACAAACCTCTCAACATCCAAGTCGACACGGCCGTTGAATGTACCCGCAAGACTCAAGTTGGTGGGTGGAGGCGATCAATTCAGGATGAACGTACAGAACATACTGACAAAAGGCGCTCAATAGGTGACAAGATTGAAGTTCACTACCGCGGTACCCTCGAGGATGGTGGCAAGGAGTTCGATGCCAGCTACAACAGAGGCCAGCCTTTGAGCTTCCACGTTGGCAAGGGCCAGGTCATCAAGGGTTGGGACCAGGGCTGTGAGTATTGTTCATCTACCGACAGAGGATCTTAGTAATGTGATTTTAGTGCTCGACATGTGCCCCGGCGAGAAGCGCACATTGACCATCCAACCCGAGTGGGCCTACGGCAGCAGAGGCATGGGACCCATTCCCGCCAACAGCGTGCTAGGTATGAGGCATCGTAACAGATGTGAAGGCATGTATGCTAATAGATGGCAGTGTTCGAGACCGAGCTGGTCAGCATTGCCGGAGTCAAGAAGGACGAGCTCTAGAGGTCTAGACAATCTACAGTAATGACATGGTGCAGGTTCTCATGTCGTTTTGATATTTGTTCTCTATCTAGTCCTGGTTCATGGCTATGTCCTCCATGTTTTGCACGCCGGCCTCTAGTTCACGGATCCTCTGACCAATTCTCCTCTTGACTTCTTCTGCCAGATCCGTGTCGGCGCCTTCGACGATGCTTCTGTATGCTTCTTGAACTCTTGTCAACTCTTCTCTTGCGGCTTCGCGGTCGGCCTCGGCGTAGATTGTCTTGTTCTCGGTTTCCTCCATGGCCATCTCGAACTAGCCACAGTGTCAGCTCATGATTTGGAGTGCGAGATGTTGAATGAGTGATACCTCGTCTCTAGCGGTAGAGTATAGCTCAGTGATCTCCTCAATGGCCTCATCGGCGGCCGACTTTGTGCTCAGCCATCTGTTGAAGTTGTTCACATGCGACGCCGCGCGGATCTGAAGAGTGGTTGGCGCGAACCGAGGGCGTGACAGCGTGCCCAATGGCCTCGAGGTAGAGGTGGGCTTTTGGCGAACGAGAAGAGCAGCAGCTCGAGACAGTGCAGCGCGTGAGAACATGGTGTGATTTGTACGATACGGTCTTCTGGTGAGAGGTGTTTGTCTGTTGCTCTCATGACATCAGGGTGGTTTTTCGGAGGCCGGCCTTGGCGTCGCTGCATCCCCGCCTCCCTGTGCCGATTAATCAACTCTCTTCATTGTTGTCGACGGCAAACACCAAGTATAATTTCTAATGGCTGTCTGGGGCCTATCGCTGCTGATTCTGTCCTTGACATTTCTAATACACCGGCATCCACCAAACACATGGCGCCTATCATGGTCGCTCCTTCCGCCTCCCGACTCGAAACACATCAAGGCGACGCTCGAGGATTACGATGACAAGAAAAAGACTCGGGAAAAGCAGGGAATGGGCGAAGATACGACAACAGTCAAGGATGAATCAGAAGTCAAGGTAGAAGAGGAGGGCAGCGACGATCAAAAGACACCTCAAGCAAAACCCGCTGCTCCATCAATGGCCGTTCCTTCCTTTTCGCTCGACTCGTCAGATGCGCCGACTGCTCCTTCCTTCTCGCTGGACGCGCCAAAACCAGAAACTGCACCTTCCGTACCAGCAGCAGAACAAGGCCCAATGCTCCCACCGCCGAGAATCTCGCCCAAACCACAAACTGCACCCTCGTCGAGAGCACCAACAGCGCCCTCATCTCTCATGCCGCCACCCTCGTTCCCAGCGCCCAACTCTGCTCAACGCGCCTCTCAGTCTTCGTCTCTCATGCCCCCTCCCTCGCGGCCCACCCCCCGCTCGTCTCTCGGCGTACCCGCTATACCATCCAGACAACCACCACTCTCCTCGGCCGCCCAGGCCCGCGCCCCTCCACCACGCATAGATACACCCAAATCTTCTGGCAGCAAAGTAAAGCTCGCCCCTGGCTTTTCACCCCTCGACTGGGCTTCTCTAGCCGCATCAAAGAACCTCGCCAACGTTTCGTCGTTTACCCGCGTCACACCGTCGATGCTGGCGGAAAAGAATGGGAGAAAGGGGAATGATGCTTGGAGTGTGTACAATGGAAAAGTTTACAACATCACTCCCTATGCACCGTTTCATCCTGGTGGCAAAGGTGAATTGTTGAGGGCGGCGGGCAAGGACGGCACAAAGTTGTTTCTGGAGGTCCACCCTTGGGTCAATTGGGAGGGCATGCTGAATTCATGTTTGGTCGGTGTCATGGTTTCCGAGAGCGAAGATGAAGGTCTGGATGCCATGGATTGATTTGCTATAGCTTTTTCTTCTCCTTCTTGCCTGTTGATACCCCAGATACTAGAGGATCTTATAGACGCTTCCAATGATTGTTGAGTCGTTCCCTCCTCTCTGTCTTCTGCATGGTATCTACACTCGAGCTCCTGTTGGCATGTATTGCCTGTCGAAGAGAGAGTGATCGGTCGAGATCTGCATTTGGCGCGTCTGCTGGCTGTGCTTCTGCGCGTTGGGAAGCTGAGGGCTACCCTGTCAAAATATGCGCTTCGCATGGATGAGAACAGAAAGAAGCCCCAGTGTCGCAATCCCAGCTGCTGCGTCGATGTGATGTGCTCAACAAGCGACATACCGACGGAAGATCCATCGATCGTAGAACCTCGACCTTCGAGCTCGCAAGAGTTTGTGGCCGATGTGTCGTTCGCCCAGCTCATGCTGCGTTGAAGGTGTCGTTCAAATAATCCACAAACAAGTCCTTGATGCGATCTTTCGTCAGACTGTGCGTGCGATTCATCGTAATGAACTGCCTTCTCAACCTCTGCAACTGCGGCAATCCCAGGGTATTCGCAGGTAACTCAATCGCATTCTCCGCTCCCTCCACCACAACCTCACCACCACTTTCTCCTGAGTGATCTTTCTGCCAACTTGAAATTTGCGCAACGATATCAGATGTCATTTTGTCCAACTCGTACAGGTAATTTTGCTCGGTTGCTGGCGCAAGGACGGTAGCGGAGTTGGGTTTCACGGCTTTGACTTTGCCGCCGACGAGGGTGTCCCAGAGTTCTTCTAGCGGTGGTGTGGAGTCGTCGTAGGGAACGGTGTACAGAGGAGAGTCCCAGCGTGTCATGCCGTTGGGCTCTTCGTAGCGGAAGACGAGGTTTTCGAACAGCTCGGGTGCGTAGCCGCCTGTGCCTGCGTCGAGGGCTTGTTGGTTCAGTTCGCGACATTTGTCTACGGGTGTGCCGATGTGTACCTGTATCATCAATCATCAGCGTGTGTGTGGAAAGACAGAAGGAGAAGGGTAGCTTACCACACAACTCGGCGTCCGCTGAGCTTTCGCCTCACAGAACATCTGATAGCGAAAGCCCTTGATATAGTTCATGGAGTCGGCGATAACGATCGAATTGGCAGTCAAGTCTCTCTTGATCGCCGACGACAAGGTCGCTCTTGCATCTTTCTCGCTCCTTGCAGCAGCATAGACATCGCGGTCTAGCCCTAGGTTTTGGTCGTTCAAGTGATGGATCTTGAGCTTGGAGATGCGTGTGTCTTGTGACTCGAGTATCCTTTGCGAAAAGTATTCCTTTACTTGTTCGCTGCGGTGGGTTTTGCCGCTTGAGGGAAAGCCGGAGATGAGAATGAGCTGATGGCGAGTCGTCAGCGCGTGTGTTTACTGTCTAAGGGTGCCATGGTGAACTCACTGGCATGGCGGCGCTGTGTGTCTGTGTCTTTGCGACAATTCTTGGAGAGAAACCGGTATGACGACTCTGCCGGCGCGTTGATGGATCTACCTGCATTTATCCATGCTGCGGCAAACACCCTGGTCTGACCGACAACCACCTATATTCCCACTGACTAGATCACTCGACAAACCCTACGATGACCCGGGACACTTATACCAAGCAGATAAAATTAGACCTTCCTCGTAAATGGTTCCATAACCCGACAGATCGTATTCTGTGAGTTTTCTGGGCATCACCCCTCCTATGGGTGCGGTAGGCTTGTTCTGAGGAAAAATCAAGACAAATACTCATGCCACCCACATCTTGCTCGACTATGATCCGACCCAAGGAACAAGCTTCCCAACCGACAGCAGTGAGGCCAGTATATGGAGAGCTGTGACAGCTTGAGGGAGTGCCGTTCCTTTTCTACACATCTGATTCCTAGTCCAGATTCAGTCATTTCCAAATCAATACCACTATGATGGCTTTGCGAGTCCTTTGCCTCTATCTGGCTAGGTACCTTTACTAGCCTTATGATTCTCATCTCAGCCTCAGCTATCGACATCCCACCTCCTCCACCACCAACAGACATTTCTAACTCCACAGCCACCCTCTCCACAGTCGACGCTTCCCTTCTCATTTTACTCTCCAACCCCGACCCTGTCCTCGACAAACGCCAGGAACCCGAGGAGTCTGAGGAGCCCGAGGAGCACGAGATACCCACGAAGCCGAAGATGCATTGGAATAAACGTTGCGATCGCCTCAACCCAGGCAGACACAATTGTCCCTTGATGCAAGAGGCCTGCCACATGTTCTTCGAGCGAAATTGGAAACCTGGAGATCGCCAGAGGTTGAGATACGGACAGTTGTGCAGAATGTGGATCTGTGAGCAGACAATGGGTGATTGCTGCGAGAACGGCTGCACTTGGAAATGTTCGTAGCCCGCCTGATTGGTACCATCGAACCGCATTCCTCGTTCCGACAAAGAACGAGGAATGTGCAGCCACCTCTGGATCTTCGGCACAGCTCATTGTCCTCATCGGGCCGGAAACGGTACACACCTCTCTCGACGCTCTTTGTTGTGCAAATTTGGCAGCGTAACTGATCCGAAGGTCGAGATGCCGGTCTGGTTCTTTGAGCCCAGATTCTCAGAGTATCCTCACGCCCCACTAAATTCCTCTGTTTCCTGTCCTTTTGGCTACTCTGGTGTTTCAGAGAGATACAATCAGTTCAATCATGTCTGCAAACGCAAACCTACTCTCGCTACTTGGGAACATCACTCTCGACTCAGGGGGCTGCCCTCATCCATTCATCAGTGAGAGCTTACATCCTTATACCCAAGGCTGTAAGTCCATTCTCCTCACCCCTCAAGTAACAAAGTATACTGACTTGGCATCAACAGACATCGGCGGCCGCAACTGCGCAAAAAACCCCCTGGACTTCACCGGCAACGGCTCCAAATGCTGCGTCCCCTGTCCCCTCTCCGACTGGGTCAACTCGTCAAACTTCCCAGCTCTCGCCGACGGAGCAGCATGGGTAAACGTGGCAGGCTTCATCCTCTGCGGGTTTCTTCTTCTCTCATACTTGGTTCTTCCTGCTGCAACAACAAGACGCTCGTTTCTCAACATCGCATTGCTGGCTGGCATCATGATCATGGAGTTGGGCTTTATTGTGCCTCTGGGCCAGAAACCCGAACAGTGCTTCGATCCCGTCACGCCGAATGATATGAACAGCAGCAATTCTTGCGCTGCTACTGGAGGATTGGTGGTATTCGGCGGCATGTTGACGGTCTGCTGGATTGTTGTGCGCTCGGTGTTTATGCACCTTCAGATTTGCTGGGATATCGTGCCTGGCCGCGTCGCCATCATCGCTGCCAATATCGCTGCGTGGTCTGTTGCCATCGCGCTCACTGCAGCGGTGTTGGCTAAAGTGAGTGTGTCCTATCGCTTTGGCGGGTACTGCCACGTCAATGTCGGATCGACGTCGACCTACTGGGGCTGGATGATAGGATTCGGAGGTGTGGCATTGCTGCTTCAAGTCGCTACATTCGTCTACTGCGCAAAGGTATACCTCACAGCAGCCATGCACGGACGACAAGCGCCCTCAGGCAGCAACGCAACAAATTCAGTCAAATCAGCATCGTCCAAACGACAGGCGTGGACAGCAGTGCGAAGACTCAAGCAAGTTTTGCTGCTGCAATGGCGATCGCTTGCCATAGTCGCTCTGGCCATCTTCGTCATCGCATTCGTGTGTGTCATCTTCATCTTCCAGGTGGATGCGTACACCATGTCGACGTTTGCGAGTCCGACCAAAGTCATCCCTTGGGTGCTTTGTATACTCCAACAACGTAATACCGACGTTTGTCTGCCGAAGATCCAGAAGTTGATTCTGCCTCAATCCATGGCGGTGGCTGTCTTGTATGTGATTGCGTTTGTGGGTGTAGAGGCGTTTGTGCTGCTGTTCAAGCCGGAAATCGTGAGAGCGTGGGGGAGGTTCTTGAAGTCGCCGTTTGATGGACAGAGGAACAACAGCGCTAGTTCTTCGAACCCGAGTTGGGTGGAGAGACCGCCGAGGTTTGCGATTGATAGGGGCAGTATGGTTGCTGTGGATACGCCTGAAGGGCAGGAGAGCGAGCGTATGGTGGAAAGACAGGATTCTGTTGTCAGTGAAGGAGACGTTGAAGAGCACGCGCAGTCGGAAAGCAGAAGACGGCAGGAGGTGGAAAAGCAGTATCATGATATTTGAGATGTGTTCGTAAAGGAAAAGAAAAAGGGTATATATATACAATAATGGATCTTGTTTAATCAAGATCAGGGAACTTTCTCAAAAAGTGAGAGGGACACTCGTAGCCGCCGGGGTTGACGTCCAGGTACTTTTGGTGGTAGGCTTCTGCGTCCCACCACTCGCCGGCTGGCAGGATCTCAGTAGCAATCTTGCCTTGCTTCCACCACTGCTCTTGGACTTTGTTGGTGACTTCTCTTGCGATCTTGTCTTGGGAGTCGTTGTGGGTGAAGATGCCGCTGCGGTATTGGGTGCCGACGTCGGGCCCCTGACGGTCTTCGGTGGTGGGGTCATGCATGCGGTAGAAGAATTCGAGGAGCTTCTGGTATGAAACCTTGTCGGGGTTGTAGTAGATCTGGAGTGCTTCGGCGTCTATGAGATCTTGTTAGTCGCTCATGCCTGCAAAGCGCAGAGGTTGTCAAGACTCACGGCCGGTTCTTCCAGTGCAGACAGCGCGGTAGCTGGGATCCTGAGTATTGCCACCGATGTAGCCGACACGAGCATCCAGAACAGCGTCCTTGGGGAAGTGGTGGCGGTACATGTGCTCGACTCCCCAGAAACATCCGGCTGCGACTGTTGCCTTCTCGGTGCCTTCAGGGACAGATACGGCGCCAGGTCCTTCAGGTCCAAAGCGCATGGTTGAAGATGTGAAGGGGCGCGACAGGCGAGCGAAGAGCGAGTTCATGATGGGTGGTGTGACGATCGCGATGGCGATGAGGATGACAAGTGTGAGTGGTTTCGTGGTTGCGGTAGAGTCCTGGAGTATGAGTTGGCAGGTACGAAGATGCGTGGGTGTTATAGACGGCAGGAGCGAGCTTCGATATGCGCTGGACCTTCCAGAATTGTTCTCGCGCGCTGCTTAGCTAATTGCCCCATGAGCTCGTCATGGACAGGGACCCTTGGTTGCCACTTGCGCCGACACCTCCGACCTGCCCCTCGCCTTCCGCCTTCCTCTTGGCACCGGCTCCCTGAGTCATGCTTGAAAGTCTTAAGTTATGAAGACGTCATCTCATGAATTATGCATCTATCTGATATGTACAAACCAAACACCCTTCCGAACGTCCTGAATTACTTGGCAAATCTACACCCGACGCGTCGACCTTTCCACCACGTTTCCTCCAACTCGACTACATTACAGCCTGCTCAGGCATGATGTCTATCAAACTCGGTATCTCAGGCATCGGCGGCACAGAGGTGTCAAACGAATTGACCTCTTGATCCCCAACATCTCCCGTCGCAGGAGTGGGTGGAATCGTATCGAGCGCAGTGTGTCTCCATCCCTGTCCGCTGGGCAGAGATGTGGGACAAGCAAATGACACACTGTTGCGGAAGCTGTTGCGTGCATTGTCGTCAAACTGCAAGGACGATGATCTGACATGATGCCCTTGGGTGGAGAATGACCCAGAACGACTGCCTGGTAGAGAGCCAGCAGACGAACGACCGCCTGATGCTGGGGCTGATCCAAAGGCATTCGAGAAGCGACGGAACATTGTCCCAGAGAAGCTCGATGAACGCGACGAGGCGCCCACGGTAGGAGACTCGGGCTCAACCTCGCCGCTCATCAGGCTGAAGACTCCTTTCAAAGCCGACACACTGTGTCCGACACTGGTTTTGACCTCGTTCCAGCTTTCCTCGAGGCGAATGAAATCGTGCATATTGCTCTCTAGTGCCGAGAGGTGCTTCAAGACAGTCTCAATGCTGTCAGCGATGATGGTCGTACCGGTGATCCAGACGGCTGCAGCGGTATCCTGGACACTGCTCGGCTGCTGTTGGACGAGAGCGATGGCTGAGGACGTGGCCTTGTCAATTGCGTGGTCTGCCATTTGCTTCTGCATCTGGACGTCAACAAACACCTTGCTCTTCTCGTCGCACTCGCCATTAGCAGCGTGAGACTCGTGGAGATAAGTCTTGAGACTGTTGTAGGCATTCTTGAATGCGTCTTCGTGAACGTGAGCGATGGAGGCGTTCAGATCATCCAGACCGGAGAGCACACTATCAGCGTCATCTCCAAGAGTGGCCGACAGTGTAGCAACGTGGTTGGTGTTGTCAAACAGAGCTTGAGCCTGAAGAGTCTTGAAAAAGGTAAAGTCGCCAGAACGGTGGGCCGCGTGCAGGTTGTGGCGGACAAGCGCGATGCGCTGCTGCCAGTGCAATGTCTTGTTCATGTCGAGGATGATTTCGAATTCTGCCAGCTTGTTTGCTATCTCTGTCTGGAGGCGTGGGTTTGTGCTGAAGTCGCAATATTTCCAAAACGCAAAAGTATGTATGTACAAGGCGAAGAAGAAAGACAATAACGTCCTGGCGTGGTTGCAAAAGATGCTTGAGAGATAGACAGAGGATATGCAGCAACATTTGCTCTGACTTATACCATTTTTCCAGCCGGCACACCACGGCTGAGATGTTGTCGGTGGCTGCGCGGAAGTCTTTTGTTCATCGGCCTCAACGACGTACGTCAAGCCGGTTCCGACTAGCTGGTTCATGGAATCTCCGATGACATCTGGTGCGATAGCTTGAACAAGCATGTATAGGGTTTGTGGTCAAGAATATCCTTTGTGTCGTAGCTGTTTGCGGTGCTGACCTCGGGCTTGATCAGGTCTTCGCGAGGGCGCCATTTTCAGGACGGGGTAGCCTGAAAGGATACCTGCGCTTCATCTTGCCAAAGTAGTCGTAAAGACGTTGGTGCACGACCACTGATGACCATCAGATGGGACAATGCTGCCTTTATTTTGTGGGAAACTGCTACCATAGCCAGTCATATTCCTTCCCGATTTTCGGCATGCCGATTGCGCTTTCGGTTGTAGCTGCCATCCGAGGTTCCATGCTGTCGCATTTCAGCGCCTTTGCCAGCCCCTTGGTACCCATCACCTGGCTAAGAGTCACCGCCTCATGAACACACAGACAAGCACTCCTGTAATCATTGCTATCGATTCCACAGCGCTATACCTTGGCTCATGGGACACCTGGGGATCCGTTTGGCATACGCATGTGAACGCGTACTTCGCTTCCAATCCCTGGCACCTGCAAAGAAGCATATCTTTCATTGATAGATCGGGCGACCACACCCTTGTGCATCGGCACCATCGTAAAAAAAGAATCGAGCGTGATGTTTTACGCGACTATGCATTTAGATGGTGAGAAGAGACACTGACAACCTCAGACGAAATTCGTATCCCATGGCGAGGTGAGTCAATGGGAAGAGCAATGACTGACGAAATGTTGTTACTGGGGATACCACGTCTGTATATCCTGTCGAAACCATACAAACAATAGATTGAACCACACTCCCGTCACGATTAAATTCCCAGCCGCGCCCACCTTTGTACATGGTTGAATGCAGTTGACATATTCGACATTGGCGGCGCTGCGTTCATACAAAGAATGTTGCCGAAAGCGGACGCCTCCACCTCTCAATAGGATTACCACCATCTTAACACGCCCTTTCACGATCACAATAGCAGTCTTTCTATATATGCCAATCGGAAGCACTGCTTGATTCGCCCCGCAATAACCAAAACAATGCGTTTCTCAATTCTGACCATCACCGCTGCAGCAGCTGCTGCAGTGGGAACACAGGCCATCAAGACTGCTGGTAAGTCGGGTCATCTCATATCTGTCGACCAGAATGCTGACCGCATCACAGAGGTCCCTGGCTACGAACCTGTACCCAAAGCTGCTATCAACAAGTACGATCACCATGTACCCGGGCCTGTCGCTGACTTTGCAACTGGCCCTTTCGAGCCATCGTACATGCCCGAAGAAGACTTGAAATTGCACGCTCGCAGCGTGGCTTCGGCTGTGACAACTGCTCAACCCACTTCTGCCGCTGACGAACCTGCTGACGGCAGCTACGAGGCCTTCGTCGAGTGGATGGAATCTCGCATCGGCCGGGAAGCCACTGAAACCCCCGAGAGCAGCCATATTGCCCGCAGCGTGGCTCCTTCGTCAAGCACAAAAGCCCAAGTCCCAGACAGACCGACTGACGACACTTATGAGGCTTTCAAGCACTGGATGGAGGCTCTCTATCCTGGAGAGGTCTCTGAAGAGACCAAGCAGAAGCTTCACGCTCGTGGTACTTCAACACCAGCCGGACATGCCACGACTTCCACGCATGTCACTACAGCAACAGCTGGTCCCGCCGACGGTAGTTATGAGGCATTCAAGCATTGGATGAAGACTCGGTTTCCTCAAGGTTTCTCTCAAGAAGAGGAACATAAGATGCTCGCTCGCTCCGCCAATGAGCATGATGACTACCCTTCCGAGGAGTTCCGCGAGCTCAACGCCAGATCTGCTGAGGATCATGTGCAACAGGAGCTCGAGTGGATTCAATACTGGCCCAAAGAAGAGGATGAGCACCTGCATGCTAGGTCGACTGATGATGTTCCATATGATCACGAGTACGAATCTGAACATGTCGAAGCTCGTTCCGAAGCAGAGGGCGATTACTCTTACGAAGGATCTTTCGAAGAATTCCTTGCTCGCCAGGGTATCAACCCCAAAGAGTTTGCCCAGCAAAGCGCCTCTACCGAGTCGCATGAAGAGGACCCCCAGCCTCAGGCACCAGTCGAATCAGCTCCTCAAGTCTCAGAAATTCCCGCCACGCCAGCTGCTGCTCCCACTCCCAAGCCTACTTTTGCAGAAACATCATCAGCAATCACTTCCACCTCTGCATTGCAGTGGACTGGAGAGACCGCCACAACCTCGTCCGGCTCTGCCACCGCCAATGCTCAAGCACGCTCTGTGAGTTCCCACTACCGTTTCCGTCATCACTCAGCACATGCGTCGGACAGTGGTACGGTAACTGCATCCTCTGCAACCAGCTCTACCACTACAAGTCGCAAGAGATTTTTCAACCTTCCCTGGTAGCTAAGTGGTGGGAGTGATGTTGTAAAGAGAAGATGCTGACTGTTTTATGAGATCTTCCAAGGGTAGAGACACTGCTTGTTCATAAATTGAAACTTTTTCCTATGTAACACGAACCAAATATCATGCATTTTTGTTCTACATCTTTCCACTTTCTTCTCTTCTCCGTGCCACACAAGAGCTGACTTGAATTGGTCAATGGTCGTGTTTAGCCTTGCTAAACAAAGGCTCATACATACAGAACACACATCTCAATGAGAATCATGTGTGAGATATCGGGCGCCTGACGCGTATCTTTCGCCCCAACAGTCCTTATACGGCTCATTCAATGGAGTTATTAGCCGCCGTTGCTCACTTGTCCTATAGCACAATATACTCACACTCCATCCTCAGGACTGGAACGCCCTACGCCTGTGAGGGTGGCGGATATTTCATTGTAGTGTTCAGAGGTTCCGTAGAATAGTCGCTTCGTCTTGCTCCATAGGCCCTTTGTCACCCAAGTCTGGACGCGTCTCCGACCGCAAACGTCCATTTCGAACAGTTCGTGCTCGACTTTAGGACCAAAGGACGAATGCCCCACAAGGGAAACAAACACCCTGACTGGTAAAGCCACATCCTTCACTTTGTGCCGATCATTGCTGCAATCAGCCGCATAAATAGATTCCTCGTCCCCAGTATCTGGGTCTTTTATTCCTCACAGGAGTTCAATCTCATTGTGAAAGCACTTCTTCGACGGACGAGGTCATTGTACATATTTCTCTTCTCTTCGGCCGTCATCGTTATCAAATTGCACATATCGCATCCCTTCATCCCTCGTTTCCCCCCCTACGCCGCTTCGACAAAACAGAACAACATGCACCTTTCCAGCATCTTGTTCGGTCTCGCCAGCCTCCTGGTCTCGGCCAGCGCCAAACCCGCAAATGGCACTGTTTACAAGCACTTTGATTGCGGTGTCGACATCAGCCGCGCCAGTGAGCACTTCAACAACACCGTGCGCCTGATGCACCAGGGTGTCTTCAAGGCACACAGCGGAACCCAGATCGCCGGTCTCACTGTGCGCGCCGACGCAAAGAACCCCATCATCGTCGACTTTGCCATGCACATCATCACCACAACCGCAAAGGCTGGCACCATCACCCAAGCCATGGCCGACAACCAGCTCGCCGTGATGAACAAGGCCTACGCCCCCAGCAATGTCCAGTTCAACCGCATTGCGACCACTTTCACCGTCAACGACGCCTGGGCCGTTGGTCAATCTGCCGATGCCACCGCCATGAAGAACGCCCTCCGCAATGGCACATACCGCACTCTGAACATCTACTTCATGACCGACCTGACCGGCAGCATCCTCGGCACGTGCAGTCTCCCCACCGACATTGGTCCCGGCACTCCAGCCCCCAGCACCTACAACAGCGACGGCTGCATGATCCAAGCCAACACCATGCCCGGCGGCAACGTCTACGGCTTCAACCTGGGCATGACCACCGTCCACGAGACCGGCCACTGGATGGGTCTGCTGCACACTTTCGAAGGCTACGCCTGCACAGGCAACGGCGACTTCGTCAGCGACACACCCATGCAGAGCACCAGCACTGATGGATGTCCTTCAAAGCCTCCCAAGGACAGCTGTCCCTCAGTCGCTGGTGTTGATCCCATCCACAACTACATGGATTACTCCGACGACTCGTGCTACACTGGCTTCACCGCCGGCCAGACCAAGAGAATGTCAAACATGTGGTCGACCTACAGAATCGGTCGCTGATACCATTCGGATGTTGAGATGACGGAAACAGTGTTTATGCTTGAAGGGCCACACGACTGCGTGCAGAAAGAGCCATCTCGTTTCTTCTTCTGTGAATAGCTTACTTTTTTTCTTTCTCTTCTTGATAGCTGCGAACGAATGCATGACAAACGGGCGTTTGTTTTCTCTTTGCTCTTCTTCTTTTGTGCAATTTACTGGAATGTTGCGGTTGTAGAGCGGAAACAAAGCAAGGCACGCTATCAAGAAACGTGGACGTAGCGTGACAGGAGGAATGTAAAATGTGACAGCTCCGACACTTACTTGAAGCAGTAACATTAATTCTCACAATGCAGTCATGAAATGTCTCGTCTCCCAGAAATGTGATTTCTCACCCTTCCCGATGGTCTCCCTGTCTGCATAGCTGCGTTTGTATTGGACCAATTGTGAAGTCGCAGCCATCGATCGCCGTACTCGAGGATGTGGATGTCTTGGGTTACTTTGTAGCTGACTTGCGGGGAGGATGGATATATCATCTGGGTGTGTTTCGTGCGGATTGCAGTGTCAGACGTACCTCTAGATATTGACCGAAGGTTCTACCGTCTTTCAATCCAGAGACCCGCGTCTGTGGTCCTCCTTTTGTCGTATCGACTGCAATTCTCCCCAGAATCGTCGTACTTTTCGATGAGACATACATACGTGGAAGCAATGGATTAAGCATTAATATTGATGTACATGCTTCGTGTGCGAAGAAGAGAGGCTATCAAAGCGGGCCTGAGTGTCCATCATCTCGCTTCTAATCCGAACTGAGTACCCCACAGATGGTGATATACTCAGACGATTACAGCAGCAGCTCCAGCCAGTACAGCACCTACGCCCCAAGCCCAACCAGTCATTTCAGCCGCAATGCGAGGAGCTTGTCCAGTACTGCTGGCCGTGACTGTCGCCGTGACAGTAACGCTCTGCGTACTGATGTACGCAGTGCTGTTCGTTCCGTTCGACACATTGGCGATAGCTGCTGAAGCCGCCGAACTCAAGGCCGGCAGAAGAGACGTCGAAGATGAGGGGTCGAGCGTAGGAGCAGGTGTGGTCTTTGCATCAGTCGTCTTTGCTGCATCGGTCGACTTGCATGTTGCAGCAGTAGGTAAATCGCTGACTTTGTATGCCTGGCAGAAGTTGTTTGCGAAACCGATGGCAGCTGCTTGATGTCAGTGCGTGAGCAGGAACAAGCTAATCGTGAATTGCATACCGTCTTGATCCTTCTTGCTACAAGCCTTGGACATGCAACAACCGAGATTGTCGAGGAAGTCTTTGTTTTTGCAGATGCATTCGACGTCGATGGAGTTGCAGCCGCCAAAGCTGGAAGTCACGCATGTGCTGGCGCAATCGGGTAGACCCCAGATGCTCGCTCTTTCCTGTAGGCTCAGTGGCTTGGGATGGCTCCAGAGACTGAGCGCTTGTGTGGCTGCGCTAAGCGATGTCATCGTGCAGAGAAGAGAAATCGCAGGTGTCATGATGAGACTGAGCTTGGTCTTGAACGAGTTGTGGGTATAATGTCGGACTGATGGAAAAGGGCGGTGTTTCGAAAACTAGCGAAGATAGGCTCTCCAGCATGTTTGTAGAATGACTCGTTCGTTGATTGTTGACTATGAGAGGATCTTCCGGTGCTCACTAGGGAACGCAAGTTGATATGGAATGTAGGTGTTACCGGAATGCAAGTATTGGGTAGAGACATTCCGAAGCCCACTGCACGAAGATTCTCAGCACCAAAACTTGGAAACCATAAGCAGGTCGTGCGAGCAAAACTGAGAGTCATCACCAAGCTCGGATCTCCTCAATTGTGGTCTGTAAGTCTATCTGGCAGGCTCTCACATCTATACAACAAGACAAGATAGGGACAATCGCAACCCTGCGTTGCTCCTAGGTTCTTCTTTTTGGTGCTGGGTACTTTATTCGCAATAACCGACATTACTTCCGGTCATGTCCTGAATCACTAGCTGAGTCTGGACTCTTTCTGGTCGAGATTCTGGCTGTCAGCTTTGCTGCGTCTCGATTTGCCATAAGCAATTCATGATATCGATTGACAAGACCTCTCTGTGAAGTGGAATCCTCCATCTGGATCGTGTCTCAACTCTGTCAGAGCCTGTTCCAGGATGCTGACATGCGATATCACGAAGAGCAGAGCAGAGCAGAGCTGCGTGTATACACATGTTCCAAAGATGTCAAGGCAGAAGTTGCAAAGTTGAGCATTTTACTTGCAAGAATACTGCACAGAAGAGCAGCCGTCTCGCGGGATAGTTCAGAGACAACGATTGGTGAAGATCTCCATTGTATCATGAAGATGGTCTGTAGCGATTCTGCCCAGACTACCTTTTCTTGTTTTCACATGCATCGTACATTGAGCTGAACCGACCGCCGCCTGCCATCCAAGCCTCTGATCATGTCCTGATCGCAAAGCAACGATATATGACTCCCAAAACCGGGCACTGAAGACAGACAACAATATAGTGTTACACAAAAGAAGCACGTGAAGAGAATATTGGTAAAAAAAAATTGATTGATCGATAGACTGAAACAACGACATACTTGAACTTGAACCAGAAATTCAAAAAGATAGAATGTACCCAAACGCCGCCTAGAAGAGACTTCTAAGCAATCGACTCAAATCTTGCGCGCAACTCAGCTCTTTACATGCAGGGTCTTCTAGGGCAACGGCAGGCAGGGCAGAACCAGTACTTCTTGAGAGGATCCCTTGAAGAGGGGTGTAGCAGAACGAGCAGAGGAATCTAGCACCGTAAGAGATGATAGAGAGGTCAGAGGAGGAGGGAGAAGTGGTGTTGGTGTAGTTGCACATTTTGTACGTGGTGTCTGGATGTATCTGTATTAGAGTGTGTGTTCAGTGTTTTTGGTTGGAGTTGCTGTGTTGGATGAGATATGAAGTCAGAGCAGCAGTGGTTGGTTTTATAGACTCTTGAGGGTCTGTATGATCGATTCGATTGCCTTGGACGAGACAATGGGCTTGTTTGCACCACAAAGAACATAGACACCCAGACAATGCAACGAGCGGAAGACGACAAAGAGCAAAATGTCTCCATGAATGTCAGAGGACAGGACCCAGAGGTATGAGCGATTACTTTCTTACGACTTTGCAGCACTTGCCGCCGTCATCAGTCTGGAGAAACAGAACGATATGTCACATACAGAGTATCCGAACGATAACAGCGATCCAAATGCTCAATGCGTACTGTAGATCTGAGATCAAACAGTTGTCAGCAGGAGCTAGCAAACATGTCCATTGTCCAGAATTCTTTGAACATCAGGTGACAATCGAATCCAAGTGGCTTTATGTGTTGATTCAGGTTGGCAAGTCTGTCTTTGTACCAACCACTCAGACTCAACAAAACCTTTGTCTCCCGGTGGTTTGCACAAAAGCATTATCCTTGAAGATGTGCAGTGCAAAAAGTACATAATGGCGCTCAAATGAGGGTACATCAGCACTCAGAGATTCAGCAAACTAGAGTAACCGACACTACAAACACTATAAGCAGTCAAGCTCCATCAGCAACATCTGGAATGTCCGACACAACTAACCTTCCGCTCTGGGAGCGCACAGCTGATTATCTAATCATTCTCTTCGATATTCTAGTCATCTTCTACTACTTCGTCGTACTCCGACTCCGTCCAGCCTGCAAAGCCTGCAACCAGAAGGTCCGTACAGTTCTCTTGCCTTGCGGTAGCGGTAATTGCCATTATTGCCCTGCCTGTCTCAACGAGTGTGTAACAGCTCGCTGCCAATCTCGTGCTCTTTGGCCCGTCCACTGCTGCAATACTAGTCCGTTGCCTCTTCGTCATGTCAGAAACGCTCTCACTGAGGACACTATCAAACTTGTTCGCAGACGTGTCAGCCAATGGGGACACCCTAACGGTGAGCTCTACTGTGCTAGAAGTTCATGTCTCACTCCTCTCCCTCGATCACAAGGACCTAGAGCTCTCTGTCCCGAGTGTGAGTGTCACACCTGTAGAAGCTGCCGCAACTTCACCCACATCGGCTCATGCACACCAAATATCGGGGTTCTTCCTTGATTCCTATGCAAACTGATTCCCTACTCGCATATGCCAGCTATACCGTGACTGGTTCACTGGTATCCTGTGTTGCACTAGCTCCCATCATAATATCTAATCCAGATTTTTTTCTCTCTTTGCTGCCTTTATCTAATTATATTCCTCGTACCCTCATAGACGCTAGCGAATTGAATTTTACTCAGTGTAGTCCGTCGTTGTAGCAACCTCGGTCTCGATACTTCGATGTGGCCAAGGAAGCCTGCGACACTCTTGTCCGGAAGCTAACAAATGCTGTTCTTAAGTCATCGTACGAGTTGAAGGTCGATTGCGATCTTCTTTACATAGGAAACTTGAGAAATAGTCAACAAACACCGTGCAGAAGCGACCGACAACTGGATAAATCGCTTATGGTAACGTTGCAAACTTTTGCACACCGCTCTCACGCTATCCCACTTTGGCCGTTGGCTCCTCGGTGCACGGTTGAGTGGGTTGCGGTCTGATTTCTTATCGCCCTCATATCTCCCAAGACAAGAGATGAATCAAGAAGAGAGGATCAAGCATAGCTGTTTGGTCGGTCTGAGCCTGCTTTGCTACGGCGATGAGTCTTTAGATCCGGGTGCTGGATCTAGCCCGAAGAGTTGGCCAACGCGTTCCCAACAGCTGGGAATTAGTCGGCTTGTCCGAGACCCCGACTTTCCGACCCGACTCTCCGACCTCGGCTTGCCAAGACGGTTTCGATCTGATATGAAAAATCTGATAACATTCATTAACAAACAGCTATACCCGCAGTAACATCAACATGTCATTAAGATCAAGACCACTACAACACAAACACTTCAACGTGTCTTTCCCAGATGATCGCATTGTTCTGGTTACACTGAACAGACCGGACAAGCTCAATTGTGTCGATCAGGGCACAAGCAAAGAAATTGCTAAGATCTGGGAGTCGTTTGATCAGGATGAGACATTATTAGTTGGCATCATCACAGGAAATGGAAGAGCGTTCTGCACTGGTGCCGATCTAGGCGGTTAGAGTCAAGAACATCCACACTCAATACTGCCGAAAGCTAACATACTCTCAGAATGGAACGACATGAACAAAAGCGGCATTGTCAATGACATGTCAGCACCAGGCCTTGCCGGCCTACCACGTCGAGCAGGCAAGAAACCTATTATCGCCGCTGTCAATGGTATCACGATGGGTGGAGGCTTCGAAATGGTCGCAAATTGTGATCTCGTGGTTGCGGTCTCCTCAGCCGTTTTCTCGCTGCCAGAAGTGAAGAGAGGCATTATACCAGTCGCTGGTTGTTTGCCTCGCTTGACGCGTACACTAGGTCTTCAGCGCACCACCGATCTCGTACTTACAGGCAGAAACGTGACAGCAAAGGCGTTGTACGAGTGGGGTCTGGTCACTGAACTGGTTGATTCTGCTGAGGAGGTTGTGCAAGCTGCTGTCAAGACTGCGCAACTCATGTGTAAAAACAGTCCTGACGCGTTGATTGTTGGTCGCTTGGGCATCAGGATGAGCTGGGAAGCCGGCAGTGTCGAGGACGCCGTGAGCACACTTGCTAAGGATTGGTACCCACGTCTTGTTCAAGGCGAGAACTTCGAAGAGGGCATTAGGGCGTTCGCAGAAAAGCGCTCGCCACTTTGGGTGAGTTCGAAGCTGTAGAGTTCAGATACATCAATGAATCTTGTGAGGATGCGATGATTTCCCAATCTTCTGCTTTCCAGCTGAAACTGCCCATCAGACCCGCGAAAGAGCCTCTAGTATGACACACTGGGAAGGTCATCCCGACCAAATTGATGCATTATCGATGAACGCATTGCCAGTCAAACAAGGGACGTTCACCAGATCGGGTGGAATTACTACGAATACGAGTTGGAATGGAATAGATATGCGATTAGGAAGTCATTGAAGCATTAGTAATTGTTATTGGGTGGAGAGGAACTCTACCTACAGTCACGGCATCGTCCATGATATAGGATCCCTTTAGGTTCCTTGTGACACACGCTGCAAGGATCCATCATGCCAGCCGGGGCTTGATCTGAGAAGACTAATCTACCTGCGTTGTTGAGTCCTAGACGACTACCGACATGCTGTGCAGTAGCAAAGGCGTTTCTCATGGAATTATCTGAGTCACGAGATCTAGGTGAAGCCGAATCGCTTTGGAAGGTATGACGCGACGAAACACTTCCAGATCGGCAGATCGGAGAGGCCATACGATGAACGCTTGACCTGCCTCTCGAGTGCATGTTCGCACCCACTTGTGGTCTCGGCTCGGCGAAGAGTTGAGTCGGACTGGAGGTTTGCTCTTGGCGATTGTGTCCGATCATCTCCTCAACTTCAGGAGTCTTAAATAACTCCTTGACGGGTGTGACAACCTTTTTGTTGAGCCAATGAGCAGCTCGGTCCATCGGACTAGCAGGGCGCGAAGGGCGCTTCTGACCCGGAAGAGGTGGAAGAGGCTTGTTAGTATTAGGTTTTGACTGCGCCTGATCGCGAAGAAACGTATACTGGAGTTCCTCTTCTCGTATGTTGTGAGTGGCTCGAGTATCAACATGCAACTTCGTCGGTGCGCGACGTCTGCCAGCGACAGTCGAACGTGCCGAAGCCGCATTGTAGCCAGTGAAAACCATGTATTGTGCACCGTTTGACGGTTCCTCACCGCCAATCTCGCGAAGAGTCGATGACATTGTTGTAGTTTGCTGAATTTGTTTTCGATTCGGATGTGGATGTGAATTTGCTTGGAAATCTTCGAGGAGACGAGTTGATTGAGCACGGCACTTATATCTCTTCATGTTGTCGTAGACAATGGCATTTTGAGACAGACAAAGTCTGAATGAAAGACAAGGAGACAAAGACTGTCTTTCTTCGCTTCGCTTTGTGCGATCGTGACAATACAGAGACGACAATGAATGCCCGACACCATTGTCTTACAGAATATCTCTGGTTCCTCACAGTAGTGCATTGGCTAGGGACTTGCTAGCTCGTCGACAGGTGGTGACCCCGGTAGAGCAAGGCCTTAGCTTTTGCCTGTGCGATATCAGACGGAAGATCTTTCTGGAGTTTCGTCCGGCTCGTTGTAGAACCACAAAGCCATCAATATTAGAGGAAAGTGGGAGTTTTTTCTGATGATGAAACGTTATCTCTACATGAGGAGAGAGAATCCTGTCTCCTGAACAGACTGGTATGGAGGTTTACCCCAAGACTTAAATATCCATTACAAATACATATATATATATATATATGTAAAAGATCACAGTCGCCCATGCAAAGCCCAAGCTCTTCGTGGTACATACATCCTATCAACTCGAACATGAGCCTCAAAGAAAGTATCCTGCACGTATGCTGGATCCACAAGCACAATTTCCACATCTCAAAACTCTGGATACATCCTCATCGACCAATCAACCTGCACCTGCAGGACTTCTCTGATCCCGCAACAAGCATTTCTGTCTTCCTCCCTGGTCAGCCCACACGGTGTTTTCCTCTTGAACTCCCTCAACCACTCGTCCCAAAGGCTCCAGCTAAGTGCTGCAGAACCAACCACACCTTCGATTCCGTACCTGTCGAACGCATCTGCTACTGTAGGATTTTCTGTCACAATCTTGTTGGTGCCGCGCAATGCAGAGCGTTTGCTTTCGCCAGAAGTGCTGTTAAGAAGTTGGTTCAGACTACACTGGAAGAAGTCCACCCAGCGACTAGGCAGCAAGAAGAACGTGTCAGGCGAGACTCGGCTAGACAGGATGTGTAAACAGGGATGAGCATTCGAGAGCATTGAGAGGGGCATTGGGCTGCCGTCGATGTTCTCACTCGGATTTGTGGTGACGGGCAGGCAGACAGTGTCCTCGGCGAGGAGATGTGTCAGGATGTCTTGGGTGGATGGAGGCAGGTATATGTGGTTGCACCAGGGGTGGTCGGGGTGCAACTCGAGCAGTCGACGAGGTGGCGCGACCTCCTCATCATCATCGTCAGATTCGAACCCTGGAATTTCCGTTCCAGGAGAGGCGGCGGCAGATTTGGAAGACTGTTGCACCTCAGAAGGGGAATCGACGAGTCGTGATGATGGAAAGGGACGCTCGGTGCCCGTGGCTATAGGAGCAGGCGCAAGCGCTCTCAGACTGACGGCATGTCTGCTCTGTCGCGGGTCATCGACGTTTGAAAGGTTGGCTTGTGCAGATGGAAAGAGCGCGTCCCATTCGGCAGGCCAGAAGTCTTCCTCGTCAGGGCCCGCGAGCATAGAGGCCCACATCTCTGTCGCATCGTAGCCTCTTCCATCAGCCCGTCCAGAGCGGATGTTACATGGAATCGGTGGAATTTCGGCTCCATGCCATGCCATGCCACTACTTCTAGCTAACATGCCATTCCATGTCAATTATCTAGTGGAATAATGCCAATGCCAACCCCATCGTCGTCATCACAGTGACCCTGTCCTTCTAATGTGTCACCCTGTCCTTCTTGGTCCTCCTGGTCCTCCTGATTCTCCTTGCCGTCCTCCTCTCCTTCGTCAATAGGTAGATTAACCTCCTCGAGGCAGAGGTTCTTCTGCCAGTTCTTGAGACACTCAATGTAGCCAAGATTGGCAGCAGAGAGACATGCTCGGTCCCACGACAGCGTCCTTCTGCAGCCACTGAACACCCTCTCTGACTCAGCAGACATTGGATTGATTGAGAGGATATCAATAGCCATCTGAGCGAGGTTTGGGTAGTTAAGTTGCTGCGTCGGTTCAAGCCACCACTATATAGCGTCATCAATGAGCACTGGCATGCTCTTGGTAAAGTGGACGAACTCCTCGGGTATATAAACTGAGCTTATATGCCTTAAAGAAGCCTTCCATTGAGCAAGCTTATTTGGCTCCTCCTCTTTTGATGATGACACTACTTGCATAGCCTTAGTCTTGTTCTTGTACTTGTCATTCCATAGAGCACGTATAGTAGCGATGGCTGGTGTTCGCCATGACGAAGGCCACTACTTGTTAATGTAGGCTTCGCAATAAGTTAGATGGAGGAGGAGTGTAGCGGCATAGGCAGGGGTGTAGCTGTTAATAGCTTGCCATTTATCGAGCGCAAATCGGCTAGTGTATATAGCGGCGGCAAGCACTGGATTTGAAGTAGCATACTTAGTTGCAGACTTCTCGTAATACTTACGTAAGAAGTCCATAGAAATCAGTACTTGATCAAGTATAGCATTATCACCTTTACACAACTTCGTCACCTCCTATAGTGGTTCCATAAACTCAACGAGCTGCTTAAGAAACAGCCAGTGACGCCGCTAGAGGGTGGTTTGCTCCATATGCTCGTAAGCATACTAAATCGTACGTATGGCTAATCGGGATTGAAGCCCTCGCTTGATCATAGATAGCCAGCTATTCCACCTTGTGGTATTGTTGAGCATAGCAGATACACCAGCAGCTGCCTTGAATTCACGACGACGGCGAGCTGACTTCATAATCCACTTAAAGAACTGACGGAGGTAGTCGACAGCTTCGTGATTAGTAAGGCCAGCATCTTGACTAAGCATTAAGATCGCTTCTAAGGGGTCTTAACTTTAGGCAAGCGTAGTAGCAATAGCTTCTTTTGAGCTTGCTAATATAAGTGCTTAACTAGTAAGGTTAATCTAATGGCTAAAACAACGAGTTCGATGCTATATAGGGTCCTAATCAATAGAAAGGCGCTCGCTAAATAGAGTAGCAAGGTAGCTTATTATGGTGTCGTTACAGGTAGCGTTGTTAGAAGTGATGTATCCAACTTTCTACTTAATGCCATATTTAACAATAGTCTCGAAGAAGAGAGGGGCACACTAAGCACCAGCATGGCCAGACGGTAGCTTATAGAGAGCAAGTAGTGCCTTACTTAGCTTGCCATCTAACGTAATAAATCGAGCTATAATACTAAGCAGCTTATGGCTACCATAGTTGGCTGTCTAAGCATTATAGGTAAAGTGGATTAAGGATCGAGATGTTGTAAGAAGACCTTTAAGCTGCTCTTAATAGAAGTCATACTCCTTCTTGACGTGTTTAGCAACGGTATAATGAGTCTTAATTAGGAGCTTAGATGCGCTAGGAAGCACCTCGTCGAGTAGAGTATAAAGCTTATCATTGCCGGCGATACGGAAGGGGATATTGCTTAAGGTGATTAAGTCAATTAGACGTCTATTTAAGCGAGCTTTGTCGATATTAGTAACAGTACGAGACTAAGAGGGTGTTGCTCTTACTATAATCCTTAGAAGTGTACTAGTTGCCTGCCTCCAGCCATGTTTATTTATTAAGTGCGATCTAATGTTGTCGTAGTTGGTAGTAGAGTAGTTACGAGGACAGTCTTTATTACCATAGAAGCAGTACTAGATCTTCTTCTTACGCTTACGGTCGCGCTCACCATAACGGCGAGCTCTAGCATGAGACTAGAGCTCTTTAGAGTCGCCACGGGTAGAAGTAGCCCTCCGACGAGGTTGTATTAGTGTTACGTCAGACTCATTAATAACATTACTTAAGGTAAATGGTGTCAGTCGCTGTCGCTTTAAAGGAGGAAGCAACGGCTGATTAACATTAGAGGCGCTAGCGTCAGACTTAACGCTACTGCCTTTAACATAGATACTATGTATGCGATCTACTAAGCCTTAGACTAGAAGGAAGGCCTTCTCTTTTAGAGTGTTAAAGGCGAATTTAAAGAGAGTGCTCTATATAGAGGCGCGTAGCGGCTAGCCCTAAGGAGTTCGAGAGTTTAATTGGCTTTGCGACTGTGTATTAGTAGGTGAATACATAATATGAAGGTCGAGTTGAGTATGGTATAGTGTGCTAACTAAGACGGGAAAACAGCTAGGAGCTTAGCTCTAATGTGCAGCAAGAAGTGGTTAGAAGAGTAGTAGTTAGAGTGTTAAATGTATGAATTGGGAGCAATTGATACGCGTCGAAAAGGACGCGTGAGAGATCGCGTGGCTGAAGCCTGAGTCGACCAATTAAAGCGCTAGATCTAATCTCCGAGATAAGATCTAGCCAATTAGAGGCCTCATATATGCTACTAATCGAAACACGCGTAATAGCGAGCTTTTCCATGAAATCTGCTATGCCTAAGCGCTACACGCGCTAACTTCGAGCTTGCTACCTATCTAACCATCGACATTAGCTATATCAAGAGGTGGAATAGTGGAATATTCTACCAGAATTGGCGATTCTATTCCATGCCAACTAGGTAGAATATTCTACTGAAAATCAGTGGCATATGCCAATATTCTACTTATTCCATGCCATGTAACATCCACACTGAGCCCGTCCTTGGCCGAGACTGCTTGCATGGACACCCTGACACGGGGCTGGATGTATATACTCGGCCTCAAGCTGAGCTTCCACAAGACTAGTCGCCTGCAAAGCATCATCGATCAATCCAGGCAGAACCGAGAGTCCAGAATGATCCGAGAACGGCCAGTTTGGGTCAAAAGGATCCTGCTCTGTCCAACTGGTGTCGAGCTCGAAGTCCAGGGGGTTCGGCGATACCGCCTCCCTCAGAGCGGGAGCTGGTCTTGCGATGTCAACCTCAGCGTCAGATCCTCGGCGGCGTTTTCTTGTTGCGCTGTTCGAAGAAACCAATGCTGAAGACCAGCCTAGAGTGGCGGTTGGAGAGTCTCTCGGCGACTCTGTCAGGACTGGAAGCCATCGATTCAAGAATACTCCAGTACCCGGATTCGCATATATACACCCCCAAGGAATCAGTGAGATTCTTTCCAGTGCTAGAGGTATAAGGTCGTCTGCCATCAGGTACGGGAAGTATGGACCCGTTATGCCAGTGCCGGTAATATCGTAGCAATCCGATTCTCCTTCTCGCCAGGCCACGGAGTGGGGTACGATAGCCACGTATTTTGGTGAGTCTGGGAAGATGACGATATAGAAAGCCGGTCGTGAAGCGTTACCCGCTTGAGCCATTGTGGTCGTCCCATAGCGAGAGGCAGTTCCAGGTCTGTCTTCGAGCAGGACCAGAAAATCGAACCATATGAGACGTTCAGGCTCTAACATCTCTTGCGATATACGGACTGCACCATCATGTGGAAATCCAGGTTGAGCCGGTAGAAGTACATTCTCCAGATCGAAGGACTGCAGTAATCGGAGTTTGATGATATTCGCTGTCACAAGTTCAGGTGTTGAGTCCGTGTATTGATCCAGACAGAGATATCGTAGACCTCGGCTGACTCTTGGAGTTTGATCCATGACTGGGTATTCGAGAGCGGTATAGTAGAAGAAGTGTTGATCGAGTACGATAGAGCAGTCTTCGATTGTGAAAAGCCGAAGAAGGAATTCAGCTCCTCAGAAGGTATTTATCGCAATTTTGCTTCTTGCATGCGGCAGCGCAAGACAAGACATTTTCAGAACGTGATCATGGATGAACGCACCGTGACTGTGCTTGTCCGATGAACAAAGCTCGTGCTTCTTTTTGCGTTTCCATCTTCGCCAGTCACCCCATGACTGCCAGGCCATCCGTTGCACGCGAGTGCGTGGTCAAACAATGCTTGAACGTGGTTAGAGAAAATGCATAGAAGTCCTTCCACATACGATTCATGTGCGCTTTAACTCTTGTCTGTGCAAGCGTGACAGTACCATTGTGCCAAAGTCGTTAAGTCTGCCTTGCCTAGTGCGAGCGCACAAGACAAATCATGCTTTTGCAGATTTGAGAGAGGATGCGTTGGCTGCAAGCCGGGGACAAGCTCAGACCAGCAGCGTAGCGGCAACGCTTGAGTTGTTGGCTGCATACTGCACCAGCGTGAAGAGACATGTAGAGTGGTATAGGAGGGTGACAGCGTGGGCTGAGGTGTTGGTGAAGAATTTGTGGTCGGTGCCAAAGACCAATCAAATAGCGAACAAGTTTTCAAATTCTGGCTTGCTGAACTCGTGGCTTTGTGGGTCCTGAACACCAACGTCGATTACGGATCAGCGCACTCGTCAGAAAACCGGACCTATGTGGACTGGAATCTGAGGTCTTGCCGCGCTTAGCAACTACCCAGTTTCACGGGTCGATGATTAGGATATGGAACGCCACTCCTCTCACACTACTGCGACGCTGTCTGTTTCACAGGCCAGAGCATAGCTTCGGCTTCGTCAACTAGCATCATCCGACAGCTAATTCGATATGCATTGAGCAAGTGGATGCAGACGTGGCAAGCTGGCGTGTTGCTGCTGAGAAGGAATCAGAATGCGCCTGTAAGAGCAACCTTGTCAGGCGCTTGGCTGATGGCCATCATCTTTGAACGATCATTGTCTCCAATTTTATCAGCTTTTCGATGACCGACAGTTCAAGTGGCCTCTTATTGCTGCTCTTCAACCACCGCGACGACATGAATCACAACGCCACCAGGATCAGAATAACATGATAGACGCACACTTGCGCTTGTGGCTTTCGAGTTCATTGATCATTTCCTCCATGCGCTTCTTAGCGAAGGCTCGAACAGGCTCTTGACTACTTTTTTTGTATCATTACGATACCTATGCTCGTGCGGCAAAGTCCTTCGGATGCGAGACTATCGGCTTGACACTCGAGTTGGAACCATTGAGATCCACGAGAGGGAGTGGTGTTGGTGCTTGCCATGCTTGCCGTAGGGCACCGAATCGCTCCTGGTTCGTCGAGCAATTCGTCCTCGATCGACGGCAGCACGTAGCGCAGTAACATCTGCATGGCCATACAATCTATGCTTTTAAAGGAACGAAATCAGTAAAGAATTCTTGATGATGAAGGCTCGGTAACAGGCAGCTGCCAATATGGATGAAGAAGTCTCATACCAGGTCGCAACTCCTGACCTTGCGGATCCCTCTTCTTCTACCCTTCACTGGCGTCGGCGATGCCTTTCTCTCAGAATACCTCTGCAGCTTACACTTCCATCTTGTATCGGTGATATGGATCCGTGTCTTGATCAACGACACGTCCGCTCTCGTCCTTCTTGACAGAAGTAGTCTCATTTGTACGGGTCGTAAATCGTTCTTCAGGGTATCACCTTCTTCATGAGGCTCGCAAATCGCTGCCACTCAACCTGTATATGCGAATCAGGGCATCCATACGGCTCGTATCACATGCGCTCGAAGGTTGGTATTGAAGCTGCTTTTGGAGTAAGGTGTGTACATTCCAATTTCATCGTCCCTTGCTGCTCTCACCCTCTCGTACACGATTTCATGCCCCTTGCCTTACACCCCATCTTTTCTTCCACCGTCCATCTCGAGTGTTTTCTTTCTCTTTCATCTACCCACAGCTCTCGTGTATCTCTCTTGATCACTTCACGACCGCTACATGTCATGATTTCTCCATCCAATCAGAACAGGTTCCTGATCTGGGGCGGTAACGGCTGGGTCGCCGGCCACCTTGCATCCCTCCTCAAAGACCAAGGCAAAACCGTTGTTACCACCACCATCCGCATGGAAAACAGGGAAGCTGTCATTGCCGAGCTCGACAGAGTCCAACCCACTCACGTCATGAACTGTGCAGGTTGCACCGGCCGCCCCAATGTCGATTGGTGCGAAGACAACAAGGCTGCCACCATCCGCAGCAATGTCATTGGCACACTGAACTTGGCGGACGCTTGCGAGCAACGTGGTATTCATATCAGTGTGTTTGCGACTGGCTGCATCTATGCTTATGACGATTTTCATCCCATCGGTGGACCTGGTTTCAAGGAGACTGACCCTGCCAATTTCTCGGGGTCTTTCTACTCGGCTACCAAGTCGAAGGTTGAGGAGGTCAGAATTTTCATCTCGACGTTATGAGATGGAGTAGCTGACAATGGCAACAGATCATGATGAAATACACCAACGTCCTCTGCCTCCGCCTCCGCATGCCAGTCTCTGACGACCTACACCCCCGCAACTTCGTCACAAAGATCACCAAATACGAACGCGTCGTCAATGTCCCTAACAGCAACACGATTCTCTACGACTTACTCCCCGCTGCCATCGTATTGGCCGAAAACAACGAAATTGGCATCTACAATTTTACCAATCCAGGCGCTATCTCTCACAACGAGGTGCTTTCATTGTTCCAGAAAATTGTAAGACCGAGATTCATGTGGAAGAACTTTTCGCTAGAGGAGCAGAGTAAGGTTATCAAGGCTGGGAGATCGAACTGTGAGCTTGATAATGGGAAGTTGGTGAGGAAGCTGGAGGAGTATGGTGTGCAGGTTCCGGAGGTTCATGAGGCGTATGAGCAGTGCTTTAGACGTATGGTCGAGAATGGTGTTGAGTAAGCGAGAGAATCTAACAACTCACTGGGCCGAGTTCAAAGGTATCTGGCTGCAGCCAGATGAATGTGGAAATAGAGTGGCTTTGTCAAAGATGGCACTCACAGCTCCACATACCCTATATTACACATCTCATCTCGGGTTTTTTGTCCCGATCAAAACCTGCGTCTCCCTTCTACCCAAGCACTGCCACCGTCGCGTATAGGGAAGCAGGCCGGCCCTGGAAGCTGGCCACCCTTCCGATTTCAACACCACAACTTCGAGCTCAATTATCTCAACAACCAGTCGATGGATTTGATTGATTTATAGTTATAAATGATCGGTATGTATCTGGCTTCAATATCTACGATCGCATTTGATCGCGCAACCTCGGTACCTTGCGTGGTTCCTTTGGAACGTTGTCGTCACGGAATTCTTGTTGTGCGGCCTCGATGACGGCCGCGTCGTCGAGATGTTTGTGTTTGATGTTTTGGATACGTCGTAGGGGCTTCTCTGATATAAGGTCCTTGATTGTTACGTTCTTTTTGGCCAGTTCCAGTTGTTGTTGGGCGACAGTAATGGTTGATGTTTCGAAGGCCTTGTTGGCTTTGCGACACGCGCGTTTGAGATGATGGTTTTGGGCCTCAACGTCAAGGTCTGTACGGCTAGATAGTTGATCGATATATTGAGGAAGCTCGTGTGGATGTTGTGGTGTGTTGAATAGACTGGTAATTGGGTCTGGTGTTGGTGTACGTGGTCGTTTTTTGACCTCATCGCGTGAGATGACCAGTTGTGGGTTGAATGGCACAAGACCTGCTGTTTCAAAGCATTTATGCATAGCTCTAGTGGTCATGGTCAATTGGCGAGCCTTGCGGTATAATCTGAGGAAGTCTTTCTTTTTGGTTGGTGCGCCATCCATCTGGTGTTGTAACGCGTGAAGCTTCGACCGTTATACGGTTTTCAAGGGCGAAAACATGCGTAAATCCAGTGGTTGTAGTACGTCGCTTGTATGAGGCGGTAGGCATAGACAGATGATCTTTGCCTCTCGGCATTTGAGCTCAAAGTCCTCTGAAACATGGCTTTTGTGGCCGTCATAGATCAAAATTCGTTGTGTCTATGGTTGCGGCCGGGTTTGAGGTATATACACCTCATTAAGCCAGTATATCGCGATATCATTGTTTGTCCATGCCTTGTTTGAGTGGATATACTTATAAGGAGGCACTGGCTCTGAAAACCAGTTTAGATAGGTGTGTTTGCCTTTGAAAATGACAACTGGTTGTGGTGAGAAGCCAGTAGCTAAGATACACTCAATAATTGACACCCACTCGCGAGTTTGGGACGCTATAGTACGAGTCTCTTTACGAGGCTTGCCTTATTTAGTTTTTTTGGCCTCTCCCCTCACCTGGTGACTAGAACAGATGCCTAAACTCATGCCATGTTCATCAATGTTGTGGATGTTATGTGGTTGAACTTTGTACCGCTTGATTTCGTGATCGACCATGTTAAACCAGCCTTGTATGACCTCTTCAGTAGCCTGCTCAACACGCTTAGATGCTTGAGGCTTGCCTATCATAGATTGAACCTTTAGATTGCGTTGAATGAAGCTAATGTGCCATTTTTTGCCAATAGTTCAAAGGATGTATTCAGAGCGGAGAATGGCCTCGGCCATTTGACGAACATCATTTGGCGTAGGGGCATTATGGCGACGGTCTAAGTCAGCGCGGGTAAACGGCGGGAGTAACTATGACTCTCTTAAGGTAGCCAAATGCCTCGTCATCTAATTAGTGACGCGCATGAATGGATTAACGAGATTCCCACTGTCCCTATCTACTATCTAGC